GGATTTTTATAAAAAAAAATTTTATAATTATACTTTTAATTAAATTTTATTTTAAGCTTAAGCTAGTGTTTAATAAACGCGTTAGCCTACTTTAAACTAACTAAATTTTAGTAATACTTAATAAGTAAAAAATTAGCTATATTTTTAATTTTAGCAAGCTTAGGCGGGTATTTTTTTGCAGTAAAATTAAGTATATAATTAATAATTTTTTTTTTTTTTACTATAGTAAGCTTTATTAAATTAGGCATATAGTTGTGTTAAAAGGTAGTTTTAGTAAATTATTTTTTAAATATTAATTTAAACACGTTATAGTATTTTATAATATAATAAATTAAAAAATTTGCGTTTTGTTTAATAGCCTAGATTATATTTTATATTTAATATTTTTTTTAAGCTAGTAACGCGTTGTTATATTAATTTATTGCAATATATTATAAGTAATAGTAGGTTTTAGTAGGGGCTTAGCAGAGACTAACTACTTGTCCTAACTAACTACTTGTTATAGAAGTACGTTATTATAATTTACTGCTATAATTTTTTATAGTACTATACTATTGTGCATAGTACTAATTTTAGTAGAATTTTAGTATTATAACTAATTTAACTAGGCAACTAACTCGCCTATATAATATATTATTTTTTAGTATATAAGCTGTTAGTAAATAGTTATAAAAAGATAAAAGTTTTTTACTAGGCATTAATTTTTAGTAAAAAAGGGCACTTTGCATAAAAATTACTATTTTTTTTATTTTTTTAAATTGCAAAATTCTGCTTTTATAGACACTATTATTTAAAAGCCTGTTATAGGTTAGCTAAAAGAAGTTTAATAAATTAATACTTTAGTAAGTAGTAAAAAAAAAAAAATCTATTCTATTATTATATATAAATAAAAAACAAAGGCTATAGAGTAGAGCAGTTTTATATATGCCTTAAAAGCAAGTAATTTTTTATATAATTATAACTTGCATTAATATATTACACAGGCGAGTTAGTTGCCTAGTCGAGTTAGTTACAATACTAAAATTTTACTAAAATTAGTAGTTTTCTACTATTAAACGCAATACTTTAATATAATAATATATAATTTTTTTTAATAAAAAGCTGCGCAGATCTACAGCATTTTTTAAATAATATTTAGTAATTAATTAAAAAAAAAGCTTTTATAATATAATACTAGGCCTAATAAAATAAAGCTTTTTTTAATAAAAAAAAAAATAATTATTTAGCATATACTTTACTTTAAAAACTAAACATTTCCGCCTTAACTAGCTGCTATAAATAATATAGCTAATATTTTGCTAGCTAAATATAAGCAATTATTTATTAGCAGGAATTAAGCTAGTATATTTATTAAATAATATTTATAGCTTAGTACTAAAATTTTTTAAAAGTATAACTACTAAAAAGCTTTATATAAAAATTTTAAGCTTGTATAAGGCTAGTTTTAATTTATAAAAAATATAAAAGCTAAGTATAGTATTTAAAATAAAAATATATATAATTTTAATAAAATAGGCTTTATATCTCCTACTGCGTTGTATGATCCGCTTTAGCGTTAACTTTACTTTCTCTTAAAGCAATTTATAAAAAATATAAAAGCTAAGTATAGTATTTAAAATAAAAATATATATAATTTTAATAAAATAGGCTTTATAATAAGCTAGATATTATATAAAACTGTTATTTTAAGTGCTAACTATTAAAAATAGCTAAAAATAGTATAGCAAAATAATTAAAAGTAAGTAACAGTAATTTAAAGCATTAATGCAATAAAATAAATTATTTTACTTTTTATTATTTTTACAAGCAAAAACTACTTTTTAGCTTAATATAAAAAAAAATAGCCTACTTTATAATTAAATTATTACAGTTTTTAAAAATAGCTAAATAATAAATAAGCTTATTTTTAAATAGTTAAAGCACTTTAATAAGCATACTAAAAAAAAAGTTATTAGTACTTATTATTTATTTATTATTAATAGTTATAAAAGCTACGCATTAGTCTAATTTTAGTAGTACTATAAAAAATTAAAATTATTACTTTTTATATACTTTTATATTTATTGCACTTATTATAGCTATTTAATATAAATTATTTTATTGGCATTGCCTAACAAGTTAGTTACTATTAAGATTTAATAGTTACATTGCTACAATTTTTAAATAATAACGCATTAGGTTTGCTAATAGTAATTATTAAAAGTTTTTTAATAATTTATTTAGCTAGCCTAGTATTGTATAAATTTTATTGCCTTAATACTATAATAAGGTGCTGGGTATAGTACCTAAACTATAGTTTTATACTAACTTTTCCTACTGTGTTGTAATATCTGCTCTTGCGTTAACTTTACTTTTATTTATAGAAATAAATTATTTTATGCTTTTAAAAAAGGCGTATAAGTACTAAGCTAAAAAGCTAATATATAATAGTATTAATTATATTACTAAAATTAAGTTTTTACTATACTTTTAACTAGCTTTTAATACTACTATTATAAAAAGTAATATTTTAAATAGCTTTAAAAGCGCTAGTTTAGTTTTTTTTAATTTTAAAGCTATAATATTAAAGCTTAATATTTAGTTGTATACTTTACTACTACTTACTATTAAAAATAGTTTTTAGGAATTAAAAATACTAAGCAATATTTTAAAATTTAAGTTTTAATTAATACTAGTTAAAATAAAAATTTAAAAGTATTTAAATAGTTTTTTTACTTTAATAATTAAAGCTTTTAAAAAAAATTTAAAAAATGCAGCTATAATTGCGCACAAGCTTATATTAATGCAAAAAAAAAATTACTAAATTTTAAACAACTAATAAAGCTACTATATAATAAAAATTATATAAAAAAAAGTAAATATAAAAAAAAAAAACTTTTATAGTAAAAAATAGTTTTTAATTAATAATTTTAAAAAAGTTTAGAGCGCATAGTAATAAAAAAAAAGTAAAAAAGCAAGTATATATTAAAGTAAGTAAGCTTTTTTAAAAGCACTATAAATACTATAATAAAGCTAGGTATAACGCACAAATATATAAGTAAAAAGTAAAAATAATTTTTAAATAAATTAATTTATTATAATTTACTACTATAGTTTTTTATAGTACTATACTATTATATATAGTACTAATTTTAGTAAAGTTTTAGTATTATAACTAACTTAACTAGGTAACTAACTCGCCTGTGTAATATATTAAACTTATTAGTAGTTATTAAAAGTAGAAAATTAATATTTAGTACTATAAAATAATAATAATAAAGTTTAAAACTATAGTTAGCAACTATTTTAATTTATTTTAAAAAAATTAATATAATTATAAATATTTCTGTACTTAAAGTACTTTTATAGAACTAGCAATAGCTTAACTAGGGCATAGGCGCTTTAAAAATCCTCTTAAGAGTTTATACAGCAAATATGCCAGCTTTAAATTTAACTAGCTAACTGCAATATAAAAACAAATATAAGGGCTTAAAAGTTAGAGTAAGGTATGCACTAGCTAGTAGCTAAAAATACTTATAGAGGCCTGATATAAGTATTTTATAAGTAATAAAATAGTTTGCATAGTTCTCTAGGGTTGTTATCTAGCTTGTTTTGTCTATTAAGTTAAAAAAGTGCTATTACACGTGTCTAAAGACAGGATGTGGGAAACGCCCTATAATCTGCTATATATACTTAACTTAGTATTTGCACTCGCACTTAAACTACTAATGCTATTAATATTAAGACTATTGTAACTAGCTAAGACACAGGATACATTTTGGGATTCTACACAGCTGTTACTACTTTCTACTCTGCTATAATTAGTTGAAAGTACTAATTACCTAAAGCTATTTTTTAGCTTAAAGTTAATAGTAATTACGTGCAAGATCTGTCCTTATTACTAATTAGTAGTAAGCTGTTTATATTTAATTAGTATAGCTATTTAGCTAGATTTAACTTTATATAAAATACCTGCCTAAGTAATTATTTTACTATTTTATTTTTTACTAGCTACTACTTTATTAATTAATTATATTTTTATTTTGTAAAGCTAATATAAACAGCTTTTTATTTTTATATAAAAACTTAGTACTTAAAATTATAAGTAAAACTTTTTTATATAAAATAATTTTAGCTAATTATTATAAAAAAAAATCTATAGCTTTTATATAGCTTATAAAGCTAATAAAGCTAATTTTACTAATTTATATAAATTTAAAAATAATATTTATTTATTTACTTATATAAATTTTTTATATAAACTTATTATTGTAAAGTAAAAACTTATTATTTTTTTTATTATTAAAGCTTATTTATTTAATTTATTACGCATATAAGCTTAAATTAAAGTTAATTTTTTTAATAAAATTTTTAGCTATTTTATAGCTAAATAGCATTAATATTAAATTAAAAATTAAAATAATATAGCTTTATTAAGGCGTTATACTTTTTAGCTTAAAAAAATTAGAATTAATTAACTTATTTAGCTAAGAGCCCTGCTAGGCTAGTAAATAGGTTAGCTTTAAAGTTCTAAACTAGGTTAGCTTCTAACTTTTTTAGTATTAGTACTATAAAAAAATTTATATAATATAATAGAATGCCTGATTTTAAGGCTTTAAAATAAACTATAAATTACTTAATTTAGACTAGTATTAGTAGAAATATTATAATAAAAAAAAATTTATATAGGAACTCTAACGCGAACTTTTACCTAAACTTTATTAAAGTATACTTTAATAATTTTATAAGTACTAGTTTAAATTAAGCAATTTATAGCTTATTTTAAAGCCCTAGCTTAGTTCTATAATTTTGTAATATAAAACTTTTTTATAGCTCTAATATTACGTAAGTTATTAAAGGTTGAAAAAAGTGGAGCAAACCCTATTTACCAGTCTAGGCCCCGCAATACTTTGCCGCAGTGGTCTGTGCTTAATCAGATCGTGACTTCGCGTTAGAGGGTTCTATCTTTTCCAAGAGCGTGTATCATCTCACGACACCACAAACACCTCTTCCTACTAATCATGGCATCCATACCTGCTCGCAGAGGCCTCTCTGCCCTCCTAGACGCCTCATCACCAATCACCAGACCCTTCGCATACCGCACATCACAGCGCAGCTTTTCTGCTTCCACACTCCGCGCCGCATACGCGACTGCGCCAAAAGCAGCAGCAGCAGCGACCTCGACATCCACTGCCGCAAAGTCCTCTGCTACCACTTCAGCTGCTTCCACCCCAGCATCATCCACACAACGAACAATCACCCCCAAGTACTCCGCCAAAGAACCCCCAGTCCCCACAACCCGCACCACTCAACTCGACACCCTGACCTCCCAAGCACGCGCCCAACGCTCCCTCACCTCCGGCCTCTATGATGCCCCGCCTGAAGTCGAAGGCGTGCCAGCTATCGACTGGACGCGCTCTTACCACGGACTCGGTAGTGTCTCGTTTACCCCCGAGCAGTCCGAATTACTGTTAGCGCCCGTTGTGGCGGAGGATGTGGAGGTGAAGCCCGACGGGCTGCTATATCTTCCAGAGATCAAGTATAGGAGGATATTGAATAAGACGTTCGGGCCTGGAGGCTGGGGGTTAGCGCCGAGAGGGGAGAGTATCGTCACGGGCAAGTTGATTACGAGGGAGTATGGATTGGTTGTGCAGGGCCGGTACGTTATAATTTCTCTGTCCACGGCGTTCTTTTTCTTGAGGCATACTGACGTGCATTACTGGTAGATTGGTCTCGATAGCTCGCGGCGAACAGCAGTACTTCGATCCTGACGGTATCCCTACAGCAACCGAAGGCTGCAAATCGAACGCCCTGATGCGCTGCTGCAAAGATCTTGGTATTGCGTCTGAACTCTGGGATCCCCGCTTTATCAGGGGCTTTTTGAGCCAGCAGACGAAAGAGGTGTGGGTGGAGCATGTTGGTACGAAGAAGAAGAAGAAGATTGTACTCAGGAAGGACGATGGGGTTAGATACCCCTTCAAGGAGATCAAGGCGTAGATAACGAGCGGAGGAGTTTTGGCACGCTGTTTTTAGGGAGATAAGAGGTGAATGTGTATGATTATGTATATAGGGATGATGCATATGCAGGCGTTGACATTGCATGTTGTACTTGTATGCTGTAAAAAATATACTCAAGTAGATGACATATGTACATGAAATATTGCGTAGTCAGGATATATTCAAGCACTTTTGGACTAGCCGAGAAAGACGCGCAAAGGATCGCACGTTGGGTTACCGAATATATACCTTATAACATGATATACAGCCGCGAGGCCAAGTAGAGGTTTTATCTACTGACTACCCTCGTTCCGCAGCCAAAACGCCCAATGCACAATCATATGTCCGACAGCGTTCTTCTCCCAGGGTTCGTCTCCTAACGATCCCCGAGGTCGAAGCCGCTTGCCCTCGCCCTATTCCTTATGTCACTGCTCCTCGAGTCCCCAGGTTCTTTGCCATATGCTAGCGGGTCATCGTAGGGCTGAGTCTGACGCTGCCAGTTCCACGGCATCCAGCCAGTGCTCGTTTGTCGGCCTAGGGGTGGTGGTGTAGTGGGGTATGGAGGTCGCTCAGAGCCCGAGCTGATCTCATCGCGCTCGATCCTGTCGAACTCGGCTTCGCTCCTGTTCCTCGACAGACCGCCACTGCTGCTCTCGTAGTATCTGCTTCCACCTGATTGTTGTGTGCGGATGTTCTCCTGCTCGTGGTCGAATGCTTGGAGAAGCGTCTCAAGACGCTGGCGCTGCGATGTGACGTAGTTTAGTCTATCGTCATTGTTGCGGATTGAGTCCGGGACCAGCCGCGCCGCGCCGCGGCTCAGATCCGCAGCTTGCGCGTCCTTATTCCCAGCTCCATAGAGAGCGCTTGCTCCGCTGAGCGCCTGATTGACCAGGCCATACAAGTCGTTACTTCCTCTTGCAGAGGGCATCTGAAATCTGGTCATCAAGCTCTGCGCATAAGTCTGTCCCGCGGGCCTCGGTTGATCAGGCTGTCTGGGCGCGAATCCCAAGAGATTAACCTTCACCCACTCAATCCCCATCTCGATATACACCATCCCCGCCTTCCTCGCACGATCATGGCTCTCGCTTATAAAGTCGTCAATCTCCCTTTCATGGTGGTACAGGAACGGCTCGATATATTCCTGATAGAGGAAAGAAGCGCCCTGGGAGCCCGGTAAGATGAGGTAGAGATGGATGAAGAAACGGATCCAAGAGTAGAAGGGCACCCAGCTGAGGATGAAGTCGAAGGTGTTCTCGACGATCGTCAAGATGCTGAGGACAACGAAGTATATGAGCCACGGGGCGAGGAGAGCGGGATCCGAGGTGTGTAGGGCTTTGTACGAGGCGAAGATGGGGAAGAGGACGGTGGTGGCGACGCTGAGATAGTGTTAGTAAATTATAGAGACTTTAGTGGACTATTGAAACGTATGCGAAGCTCTCTAGAGCAGTTTCGAGCTTCACAAGTTCTGCGGGAGCTTCGCAACTCCATGTCGGGCTTGGAAAGCTTGAGAGAGCATTGACGACTGCGGGGTGCGGGGCTCACTTACGTCAACCCGTCGGCAATGAAGCTGAACATGGCCACAATCGCTACGTCTCTGGGGTATATAGAAGGTGTATAGGTACAAAGAGAAAGTCGGAAAGAACAAGTGGAGAGCCTAGAAGCTTGGTTCGGGTAGGCGGCTGGGTTGTGGAGTAGTTGGGAGCCTCAGCCTGGGGTTGCTTGTCGTAACTCATCAGCAGCTCCGTCGGTCAAGCCCGGCACGCTACCCACTTCCGGTTTTCTTTGTGTTGAGACAGACGCATCATCAAGGCCGGCTGCCTTGGTGGAACAATTTTGGTGATCATAGACACGTCACCTGCTTGAGGAAATTCAACATTGACTATGTCTTGTGAGCAACTTTCGGTGAGAGATGCGGTGCACGGTCGTGATTCCCTCTTTCGTGATAGGTCCCGACCGACGGCCTTGAGATGGAAGCCCAACTGAATGATAACATTTTCTCCTTCCTCTTCATCCTATTGTTATTCATTTCTCTTATTTGACTTTTGTGATGTCTTTTCTAGGCATGTTTCAGCTGAATCTGTTGCTAGTAGGACCTGGTTGGTGGGCATTTCAGCCACCTGCAAGCCTTGTAAAGCAAAAGCGATGTTTCTTGATCCCAAAATAGACCCAGCTGGTAGTCTTGGATTTCAACATCATCAGCCTTGTGAAATTCATAGAATAGGATTTCAGGCTTCTCTCCGCTTTCGAGCCCTTTGACATTCCAGGATGGCCCTTAGAGATGCGTGGTGGATGCAATCACAGCCATCGCAGCAAACCCAAGCACCACCTTCGCCGAGTCAGCCACAGGAACCGCATCAAGGATGGCCGTGGAACCAAACCGTCGGTGGGATCAGCTTTGGTATCCTCGAGAAAACACTGAAGGAGAAAGCCGGGCTGAATTGCAGAGTCGATCAGTATACATAGAGGTCAGCCTTGCAAGCACTCGTTCCATTCACAGGCAGGCCACGTCAAGCCCCACGTGCAACACCACATATAAGCCCGAAATGGACCCTCCAGAGTACTGCTACCACGGTGCAAATGCTGATAGACGCTTTAAAACGGCCTGTGAGTCCTTTCCGCGGGATGTACTTTAACTAGTTGACACAGTGAATAGCTACCAAGTGAGGTTCATAGCACGTTCTAGTAGGTTTCCCTTCACCTCAATCATTCCATGATCTGATGTTATTAGTATCGCCAGTTCTTTGCAAAGCGAGTCTATACAGGCCTTAGGCTACCACTTAGGGATTACACCACGATTTTTCAACTTTCCTTACTTGCAGCTGAGCACTGGAAACACGGTTGAAAAATGTACGCACGCTATATGTTTTTCACATTGAATCTGACACGCAGTAGATGTATTTTACTCTCTCCAGTTCATGGAAAGATATAACATTGGACACAAACCGTCAGAAGCCTACCGTTCGAATACCTCACCCTGTTATCGCTTTCGTGCTACGTCCGGTGGTCAACAGCCCCATGAGTGGTAATAGCAACACATGGTCCATCAGACTCCCGCTAATCCGCACATCTAGGCATGTGACCTGTCTTCGTTTGATATTTCTGAAGGACCCTGACGGCAAGCGCTTCCAAGGATTGGTGCAGGTAGATCCGCTCGACGACGCAATAGCCGATGGCTTGAAAACACTCATGACGAGAGACGAAGACATACCTCCTGGCGATGCGGAAGAGTATGCAGGCCTCGGCCAGATCCTTTCCGAAACCATTTATATAGTTACCTATACGTGGGCAGCATTCCTTACCGAGGCTGAGGCCCACCTGCAAGTACTGGTAGGTTATAAACTAAAGCTTTGTATCGTTAGCGTGTTACTCACCGTTATAGAGCAAGAAGTGTGTTGACGATGATCTCACTCAAACCGAGCAACTTCAATACACGCGCGAGCTACATCAACTATCCCCGTTGTGGGTACAAGTGCGCCGACGACTGATAACCGCCAAAGATTTGACAGAACAGATGATTGAGCACCCTTTCTTTGCTTCCATAGGCGGCTACGATGGCCGCATTGCAATCAAAGGCTATCTCAGCAAACAGACCAAGATTCTGGACGACCACATCAGCCGGTGTAATGAGTTAGCAGAGCAAACCAACGTACTCATCAGCCTGATCTTCAATATCGCCACGCTACAGGATACAAGAGCGGCAGTTGAGGAGAGCAAAGCTGACAATGCATTCGCTGCTAGTATCCGACGTGTCACAATGCTGACATTCGTTTACCTGCCTTTGACACTTGCTTCGGTAGGAGCCGTATTTCCCTCCTTCGTTTTCGGGAGCCTAACGAGTACAGAGCATTTTCGGTATGAACATGACCCAAATCACAGGAGATCATGTTCAGTCTCCGCTGTGGGCGTATTTCGTGCTCGCCGTCGCACTGATGGTGGCAACTTTCGGTGGTTGGTTTGTCTGGTCTCGGATACTGTCTACGATGGAACGAATGGCGAAGTGGAGAACGTCTTTGCCGAATGCTTAATAGTAAAATCTTGTAATGAGTATAACAGTCGAAACACCACGCAAGATACGTTCCAGGCTCGTAACACTGTAAAGCTCATCTGCTGGCGTTAGTCTACACATCCGTTACCTCCATAATTAATACGCTTGCAGCTTTCACAACGACTTGCACCTCGACAAGACTCTTTGGCAATAACCTCGAGGCTTCCAAGACACTCTTGCGCTGCCATGGCTGGCCAAGAGTCGTCTTATCTTAGCCTCACCATCGATAACAAAATTCCGCATCCCCGCACTCCTCACTAGCATCAGCTCCCAGCCACTACATCATCCCACTGTTGACCGGTGCCGGAGGATAAGTCTCTTGGCAAAGATATTCCCGCTTGACGTTCGTAACCCGCTATTGGGTGGTACCAGGACGACTACTATCACGCAAGACGAGCCACAGAAGCACAATCCCCGAATGTTACTCCGAGTTCGTCGATCACGAGCGCCAAACCAGTCAGAATGTAGGCAAATAGAGAGAAATGGGCCAAGCTCGACTAGAGTAGGAGGTGCATAGCCTGTCATAGTCAACGCCCATGACGTAAGCCAATATTTGAGGATCTGTATCTTGCATAGGATCAGGAGTTATTCGCGAAGACCATGCATATCGGTATATATTCACCCGCAACGTGGGAGAACAGGTACAGGGGGCTAGCTTTTGTTCCGTTTGTATAAATAGGCCCAAGTGGCGCCAAAGCAGACACCTGTCTCAAGGTTTAGGTGCACAATGGCTGTTATCGCGTCTCTGTTAGGCTGTCTTCTCCTCTCTGTAGCTACTGCTGCTCCACAGGCTGCTTCACTCTCCTCATCTGTGAGCTCGGTAGCTGTCAGCCCATCAGCCACAGATACATCTCTTACCACGGCAGAGCGAGCCGAACTTTTCAGCCTTCACGAAGAGCTAGTCAACATCCCTTCCATTTCAAATGATGAAGTCAAATGCGCAGACTTCGTGTCCAAGTACCTGGAAGAGCTAGGATATTACGTTGATAAAGTACCCGTGGGAAACACCAGTACTTATAATGTATTTGCGTATCCGCAAGGACTGAAGGATGAGGGTGTCCTGCCCGAGGTCCTTATCACAAGCCATATTGATACCGTAAATATCTCATATTGGTCTAATCTAAAGACTGAGATAGCTAACCATGGCCATAGGTTCCTCCATTCTACCCCTTCGAGCGACGAGAGAAGAATGGTACAGTCTACCACTACGGTCGGGGCACAGTCGATGCAAAAGGCCCCGTAGCAACAATGATTATTGCGTCACATAAGTTCTTCCAATCCCGATCCGACACTCCCCGCCTCGGTATGCTCTTTGTCGTTGGCGAAGAAATAGGTGGTACGGGTATGAAAGCCTTTGCGTCGTACGCGAAGAACACGACTTTCCGAGCAGCCATCTTCGGCGAGCCAACAGAAGGTAAACTCGCCAGTGGCCACAAAGGCAGCCTCAGTCTCACACTGGACGTCAAGGGCAAAGCGGCACATTCTGCATATCCCTGGCTTGGTGTCAGTGCGATCAACTACCTCGCTGAAGCTATTGTGGCCTTGAACAGTCTTCAACCCGCGCTGCCATCAAGCAAGCTCCTCGGCCCCACGACCCTCAACGCTGGTCTCATCCGAGGTGGTGTAGCCGGAAACGTAGTCCCCGAAATCGCTAACGCCAGTGTCTCCATCCGTATATCCCGATCTGAAGACGACGCCGTCACTGTTGTCCGCGACATGATCACTGGCATGCTGTCTCCAATCGTCACGGCTGCCAAAGCCGCAAATGCTACTTTCAACCTCATCTTCGCAAATTCGTCGTACCCAGCACCGATTCTCGATACGGATGTAGAAGGATTGGAGGTCGCACCGGTCTTCTATGGTACCGATATACCGAGCTTGCCGCAGGTGAAAAAGAGGTATCTTTTTGGAACGGGGACGATTGAGGTCGCACATACCCCTAACGAACAGCTGAGCCAGGACGAGTTGGTACAGGCTGCAGAAGCGTACGGATTGATTTTGAAGAGTTTGTTTCCTGAGTCTTAGGTCGGCTTTGTAGTGGCGGCATCACAGGCGCATGCTCCGCAAATATAGAGCTCCGGCTATTCGGCATGTATGTAGGATATTCTTTTTTTCGTAACCAAACTTCTATAACGCGGTGCTAGCGGAATTTCGGCTCATGGGTGAAAGTGAACAGTGATCTTTTACTGCCTCAGATCGCCCCTGTGGCGCTCCGTCCTTTCTCCATTGCACTAACACAATCACAAAAACACCACACACTTTGACTACCGCTCGTCTGGCAGTTCTGTGCAGCGATACAAAAAGCGAAGGTGCCGTCCAACGATATGATGAACACATCAGGAGATGTGTAACAAGTGTAAATGGTGAGTGCCATAATAACGTGTTGCGCATTTTATTGTTCTAACACGGTTCAACAGGAGGAGGTATTAGTGCTTGGACATGTCATTGACTTCATGGATGCATTGAAAACCCTTAGTCAAGACCGCGACGCAACCATCGAGCGATTAACATGAGCGAATCTTGACGAGTTGGAAGAGTTGGAGCGAGAGCACGTTAAGGCCATTGAAGAGTTGGAGGGACGCCATGAGGCTGAGATCAAAATACTGAAGGAAGAGCATGATATCAGATTGAAAGAGAAGGATGACCGCATCGCGGCATTGGAAAGGAAGAACAATAGCTATGTCTCGACTGCATCTGAGTTCGTTGATGATAGTTCCGCTTCGATAAGCGGTTTGGTTACTCTTAGGTCGTGTCGAAAGGAGATCGCAGAGCCTAGCCCGTCGCATCTTACCATACCAAAGGTCTCTCTGAGTTTGATCGTGCTATGAGGATCTTGGAGAAATCTGGGAATCCGTACGTGTGGCAGAAGGATCCTGCTAATCCTGATATCCACTACAAACTGGCCTGAGTGCTACCGAAACTTTCGACGGTGCACGTCCACATGGAGAGGTGGGGGCTCAATGAGTGCTATGAGGGGGAAAATTGTGTGAAGTTCGAAGGCGAGGAGAACGAGAAGGAGCATCTTGGGAACTGCATATGACAAAAGTAATCTGTTAAGCGTGTGGTTAGCAATAGCTGGTTGAGCCTGCATGCCAGTCTTGATAGAATCTTGCATCAAGGTCGCTCTGATCCGAAGGGTTGTGCACCACGATCTGATACAGTGAATGTACTATGCTTCTTTAGAGCGAACCATCTTCATTGCAAACTAGCTAGTAGAAAAGGATGAAACCTCCCTACTCACCTTCCTGTAGATATTCCTCAGTTTCCGTAAAACCTAGCAAATCATCCAAAATCTCATCGGCATCTCTGGAAATGAAACTAACATGCCCCTCTCCCTCCTTCAAGTGCAGTAAACTTCCGGCTATCAATTCGTTAGCCTTCTTCGCCATGCTTACTGGAACGTTCATGTCTGTGGTTCCATGCCACAGCGTCAGCGCTATGCCATTTTCGCTAACGTCAAGCTGCTCCAGCTCAAAACCCCAGTCACTGCCGTATAGTCTAGCTTCCCAGCTCGCTCCTTCACTGCCTTGATGGAAGCTCTCCCTTGTCATGTCCACGAAAACAGGCCAGTATGCTGGGGCTTCGATCGCCTTCCGATCACCAAGATGCGCATTATCAGTTGTGCCTTTCGACATCAACTTTTCGAGAACCTTCGGATCTTTGTTCCGGCTAGCTTTCCCTATCAGGGTGTCGATCAACGTAGCTGTTAAGCCCGTCAGCCATGGTGCAACCCACATCAAAATCCTTGTCGACACCAACATTCCCGCCGTTCCAAACTTTAAAGGGTATAGACCACTGATTATCGTCACGCCTAATAGCCTGTCTTTCCCGATCTCTTTCATACATGCTAAAGCGGGGGGCGAGCCTCCTGACACGCCTAGTATGTAGAACTCATTGATTTTCAGATGATCGACTAGAGCGAGGACATCAGCTGGCCAGTCGAGGATGCGGCGGTTTGGCTGGAATGTCGATAGGCCGCTGCCAGGTCGGTCCGGTGATATCAAGCGGACATTGTGCCTGGTGCAGGTTGTGTGCCATTGTCGCCCTTCAAATCGCGATGAAGGGAAGCCATGCATGTATACGATCGTCGTGATAGGTATAGGACTCCCATACAACGAGTAAGAGAGTGTGCGTCCATCTTCCAACATCATACTCTCATTCTCGAACATGGTGGCCATCGACGTTAGGTGTTCTCGCAAAGGCAGTTGTTGGTCGTCGGGTACGATCGCGAGGTTTGCGGGGTGATGTGATGATTAGGGAGGCACAAAAGCGCCGGTAGACACGTGGATTGAGACATTTTTAAAGAGCTGGATGCCTTGCGGGATATACTAGGATCGCTGATACGGCTGTGCGGTGTGTTGCGCAGCGGGGGAGAGGTGAGGTTGTCGCGCCAAGTGCGCTAGAGCTGTGACTGGTATGGTCCGGTCAGCACCCACACCCTCATCTCCAACCTCACATGCATCTTAGTCGATCACCCCTCACGCTACTCTCCACCAGCATGTCCTATTGATATCGTCTTTTATTTTAATGAGCCTTTACTGTCAACATCCTCACTATTGGATCACGTCTGACCAAAAGCTACCCAGGTTTGCTAGTTATTAAGGTTCATGTATCCTATCGGCCCTATTGCATTATGGTAACAAGGACTAAAAATATCTAGAAGACATATACCTGCATTAACCTCATTAGAAAACCCATTCTCTATTTCCTACCTACATGGTCCTCTCAATTTGAAAGCCTGAAATGTATTGCTGGCTCACCGGCTATGGATCGAGGAAAGTGGCATTCGACTAATGGCTTGTTAGCTGTATTCGGGATTATCCTTGTGATTAGCATTCACTCTCACAGCCTTTTCAATAGCTTTATCGTTATCTATTGTCAGACTACGATCATTTCCTCTATGGCATTGTATGGAAAGACAGTTGTGTCTCATAGGCAATGCAAGAACTGCATGTGCTTTCAGAATCGCGAAGATCGGCAAGACTAGACCTGACATTGATTGGGGACAGCACATAACAACGAACCCCGCTTATAGACGTCCATGTGACCCCATTTCGTGCTTTCTGGCCTTTCAAGCCCTGGGTTCATCTTACACCTCATCACATGAGACACCTTGTCTCATGACTGCCCACGAGCCTAGCTCGCATTCACAACTGCCTTAGCAAGACTTTGATGAAGCCCTCCTCCTTCGCCTCCTCACGCGGAAACTTCCGACCACTGTTCGTATAAGCCAAGAACTCATTGTAATTCTTGAATCGGATGACCGGCACGCCAATGAGGCGATGATCGATCAGATTGACGAGGTTGACAAGGACCTTTCGGCTTCCCAAAATCTACAGCAACTGGTCAACACCTTCCTCTGTACCATATCGCCTCAGCCAAAGTCAACTAACCTTCTTGCACTGCGTAATAGAATCCGGCGGATTGTGGATATGTACATCACGACACAGAGCCTGCCACTTCTCCAACTTGCCCACATGCGCATTTGTCGCGTACAGCGCAGTGAAGGCCATTTTCTGGCATTGGATCCAGCGATTTCCCTTGAGTTTTGGGCCCCATTGGCGTTGATAGGCGAGCCGATTGAAGTTGCTTTGGATGCCGCTGGTATAGTCGTATGTGAACGGTGGAAATTCGGAGAACCAAGGGACGATGAGCAGCTCTGCGACCGTGATCTGGTTTGTAGAAGCGGAGGTATTACCGGTAGCAGCTGTTTAGACCCAAGGTTAAAGTTGCCGATTAGATTTGCATGAGGGTACTTACGAGCCGCAGTGTTGGTACGATGAGACAAATCGTCCGTGAGCTTCTCTGATCCTGTAACTTGATCAGAATGTGCTTTTCAGCAGAGTGAAGAACTCTGGCAGAAGTTCTGGATATATGCTTTGCATAGGGAGCAAACACTTCTTGAGATCAATTTCTCGATGTTTGTCGAATGTCTTTGCTTACAGCACTACTGCCGCACTGCTTTGGACTTGCAAGCAACGATACGGGAAGTTCAAAGGACAAAAAGCAACAAAGTAGTTGGTAGGAGGAACCATCCCTCATGTCTTAGGTCGATGTTTGAGACATTTCCGTTTTCCGTTTTCAATTCACAAGCCCAACATAGTGGATAAGAAGGATGAAAGACAGCTTCAGCTCAAGGAGACATTGAGTTTGAGCTACATACTGACATAAAGTTGGTTATTTAGGACACAAACGTCAAACGCCTCTCGGGTGACCAATCTTCTCAACCACACTTGCCAAGCAGCCAAAAAAGACGAGTAAACACGACGTGAAAGCTCCAAGTAGGCATTTCCACGAAGTCTGCTCGATCGCAAGCCATCTCATCTATCAGTGATGACGGGATTTCAGCTCCTTGAGGAAGATCGGCAGAAACGTGTCTTCCTTCGCTTCTTCGATGGGGTACACATGGCCGTTGAGCGTGTAACAGCGGAACTCTGCGAAGTTCTTGAACGGCTCAATGGGTGCGCCGGTTCGATGGTGATCGAGGAGGTCATAGATGTTTACCAGAACATTATCAAGTGCCTAAGAATATAGGTAAGTATCGACTCACGAGACTGGGTGGGCACTTACCTCCATGCAACCCGGAATGTCATTCGGGATTGGGGCGATGCTACAAAGACGACACAACATCTTCCAATGATCCAGGTTGAAGATTTCGCTGCCGATATGAGCCGCGAAGTCGGCATCAAAGAGCTCTACACGGAAGTGACGACGCTCCTCCTTGCCCCACCCTTGGTGCTTAGCCAATCGATGGAACTCCCGGTTGAAGCTAGCTCGGTGGTCAGGAACGAAGCCTTCGAATCGTGACCAGACGTTGGTGCAGGAGACAGAGCCGTCGGTATCGATCGGAACAGGCGTAGCACTATCATCTGGCGGCGCGGCGTTATCGATGTCAACGTGCGGAATCGCAGCTGTGGGTAGCTCGACAATCACTACTATTATTAGTGGTATGACCATCAGATGAGATTCTCCACTTACCAGGAGCACGCCAGATATAGACTTGGTCGAAGAGCTTGAGCCAATGCGTGTTCCACGTCTCCTCGCCACCATTCCACTTGTGGAGTTTGGCAAGAATGTTGAATTGGCGTTTGGGGCTGTCGTGCACGTCGAGAACAAAGTCAGTGCCTTCGGCCAACTTTCGAAAGAGCTCCTGCTGTGCTTTGGAGGGCTTCACTTCGGCTGCCATATTGTCTGTAAGATTGTGTTTTCTTGACAAATGGCACAGAAATCAAGCAGACTTTGGGGCACTTGGGTGCCAAGAACAAGCTCATAGCGGGAGTTCACGGTGAAGTAGTGGATTACCCTGTTTAGAGTCGGTGTTGCGGTGAGGCATGATAATCTGACGTGAATCTTCTTAGTACCTCCTCCCAAAAGCTTATAACGTACCCACATGAACTAGTGTAGAGAAGACAGCATGTCAATGACTTGATTCATAAGGCTGAGCATGAGAATTTCCAGCACAAAATATCAGCCAAGGCTCCATAGTGTCTGAAGCAATCCAAACATACCCATATCCGCAGGAGGACTCTGATTGCCCAACTCTTTAACGCCACATTTGAGACATTGATATGCAGAAAAGCATTCAAATAGCCCTATCGATTATTCGTAGAGCAGAAACCTGACCAAAATCAGCCTCCTACAACTTCTTCAGCAAGACCTTGATGAATCCATCTTGCTTCGCGCACTCCCTGGGAAACTGGTTGCCGTTGCGGATATTTCGTGAGAACGCGCCATACGACTTGAAGTGCACAATCTGGACCTCAGGATTGCGCCTATGGTCGATGAGATTGAAGAGGTTCACGAAGATAGACTTCAGGGCCTACACGAAATTAGCTGTATACGATGAGACAAGTTTCCCGGAATCATACGCACCTTCTTGCACTGCGTAATGGAGGTCGGGACTTTCTCGATACCAACCTCTTTGCACAGGTCCTGCCAGCGATCTAACTTTTCCATACACGTTCCATAATGGAACGCAGATTCTTGCGTGAGGGCCTCAATCTGATGCTTACGTTTCACCTTGGCACCCCAGGACTGGTGCTTTGCAAGGCGAGCAAATTCGTCCTTGAAATTAGCACTCGCTATGGGCACGAAACCGGGGAACTGATACCAGAATGGGCTAGCCTTTGGCGTAGAGGGCGTAGGCTTAGCGGTGGCAGGCTTAGTTCTAGCCTTCCTAGTGTTGGCCTTGGAGTCTTTGCCTGAAACTGGAGCAGAAGCAGTGGATGCATTGACCTGTCGATCGCCGCGGTCGGAGTTCGCGAGTCCCAGGACAGCTACACCGCCAATAATCGACCCAACAGAATCGAGAGACTGCACGCTTGAGGGCGAAGAGATGACCGAGAAGGACGACGCGCTTGAGTCGATGGATAGGCGACGCATACAGTCAATTAGGTCCGGAGCGACGGCAGGAGTAGGCAGCCTGACAGATGTTGTCTTAGCCGTAGTTGTGGTCGTATCTAAACACATGGTGAGTACACTTATCTCGCTTGGCACATTCCAGAAATGTTGACTTGACACGTACGACGAGCGCCATAATTGTAGATCTCCCCGAAACACGCGTTCCAGTGCAAACACCACGTCGCGTCGCCGCCAACCCATCCCTTCACCTTCGCTAGGCGAGCGAACTCGACCTTGGGTTGATTTCCGGCATCGAAGCTGAGATTGGTGTCAGTAGCCCAAAGCTTGAGAAGCGCCATCTGTCCTTCTGGGGTGTTCATGGCTGTAGATCAATCTACGCTGGTCTGCTGTTCTCGGGTGTTGAGCTGTCGAGCGGGGTGTTGAAGTCAAGGTTAACTTATGAGTGGAGCGAGCCTGGGCTAAAGATTAGGGTGAGCGGGAACCTAGGTACTACTACTAGGGGTTTCCATACAGCTGGTAGCGTTACACATGCTCGAGCGCTCAAAGAGGTTAGCGTGAGTGAGAGTGAGAGTGGATCTGTGGCCCGTGGATACATAGATTCACTTAACGATTCTCGCGTTACTACGGTGGAAAGCTAAGGTAGCTATGGTGAATTTGCGAACACGCATATCAGATGCTTGATACTTGAAGTTCAGGCTAAGAGAGATCCAGGTAGAGAGCGCTACAACATTCCCCGGTTTCGCCTTGAACGTCCCAATCATGTTCCCATGCTCATGCTACACTCGAATGGTTCTTCCAAACGCTTAGTAGATAGTCTTTGCCTTTTCAGATTATCGACGGCTTCGCACCACTACGCTTCGACCTCTTGTTGTTCTTAGCTTTGGCTACGGAAGTGGGCTTCGCTGCGTCGGTGGAAGTGTACATCCTTCGCGCCGCGCGAGTACGACCATACCTGTCGGCGACCCGAGCCTCGGTCTGCTTGAGTGTCCGAGGAGCCTTGACTAGAGCGCTTGCGGCTAGCGATACATCTGATCCAGCTGGATCATTGTCGCCATCTCTGGCCCTTGCTAACGTACTTGCAAGGGGAACGATAGGAAAGCCTTTTAGTCGCTTGACGGGGGTGCTCAGACCCTCGATATGCTCCTGGCTTCGACGTGTTCTTGATGATTCCGCCCTTGCTAAAGTACTGGCAAGAGGAACGATAGGAAAACATGTCGGTTGCTTGGCCGGGGTACTCAGATCCTCGATACGCTCCAGGCTTAGATGTAGCGTTGGTGATTCGGCGAGTTCGGAGGCGGGGAAATCCCAGTTCGTATCGGCGAAGGGGACAGTTTTGATTTCGCTATACTGTGATCAGTTCCAATTGATCACAAATGTGGTACAGTGTCAGACTTACAGGCCATGGACCGGTGGTGACGAATCAATCGGGACGATATGTAGTATTGTAGATGGCTCTTCAAGCACGTCCGAGATGTAGCCTGAGTCAATGTGAAGACTCTTATGAGTAGCATTCGTAGTTGCGTGTGGAGCTCTTGCAATCTGTGAAGACCGGTTGGAGTTGAGCATTGTGGCACCGAGTTGGGTGTTGCCCCCTGTTGTTGTTGTTGATAAATTTGCAGCTCGTACGGTGAAGTATATCTAAATGAGGGTGAGGGGCGCTTGGTGCATCTGAAAACACGGTGAATGTCGAAAACTTCGTTGCTAGGTAAGCGATATTTTGGAACCGTCGCGCGCGCGTCAGAACGCGTCGAGCGTTAGTGAAATAGGGAACGTCATAAAATTGAGAATTGGGGCTTCCTACCTATCCGACAAGTCATTTCCATCGTTGGCAACAACCCTTCAGCAACTGCGGTCCTGTCACTTACCGTGGGCCGACATTGCCCATTTCACATCCAGATTCTGCAACGATGCCCTTCCGCATAGCAGTTACGCAGGGATAGATTCAGATATTCAAAAAAAAATCTTTCGAACGCACCACGTTGCCACTGTGAGATTCCCAGAAGTGGTCAATGAAGTGTATTCCGTCTTTCGTGCCGTCGTGGTATAACAACGTCGCCGGGAAACTGGCATTGCGGACCTCCAGAGACCAGTGAAACATCGAGAGGAATTGAGAACAAAGCAACATGGAAATAAAAGGCCGGTATCTTGTAGATGAGTCGCGATGATGACAATGTCACAAGGCTTCGCGTCTTAATTGTCGTTGTAAGCCTTTATGCTTCGATCTAGCTTTCCTAGTATATTTTGTCCATGATTGGCTCTCCTGGTGGGAATTACTCGGAATATACTTCATATGCATCCTAGATTCGAGCTCTCGAGTCCAATGTAAGATGATGATATTGCTTTGTCCCGCAGGCCAACGGCGATGCAATGCTTTGCGTGATCCTCCAATTGGGTATTTCAGTGATATATGCTATGATATACTCTTATATCTCTTACTACGCACACCTGTGGATGGCATAGTGACGGCCGGATGAGTTTGTCAAGGAGAGAGAGGAGAAGCGGCGAGGGAGATCAGCCAGGAGTATGCTAAGTCAGCGAACTTCATACTCCGAAGGTCTCACCATGTCTCCGACGCTGCCCCATCTAAAGATGCCTTTTGAACTCAACACCAGTTTGGACCGGCAAGCTCTTTCATAGTTCAATATTTAGGTTGGTTTTGACTTTGCCATCAGCGTCCCTCGATCCCCAACCTCCTGTGCTACCGCAAAGATGGAACAATGTAAAGACCTTTCAAAGACGTGTATAATTCATTTAATAGCGCACTGCAGTCTTGTTCCAATTTCCTATCAGCTTCACAGCGCGTCAGTAGTTGTAACTACTGTCATGCCTAACTCTCCCACCTACACCCCGCCAGCCTTCCCCCAGACTGCTCTGACAAACTCCCCCATTAACTCACTATTCAGCCCCAGGCCAGGTGGAAACATACTCCCCCCATAAAACGCCGCAACACCCTTCTCCCTGTTCACAAACCACAAAGAACCGAAGCCCCCACCCCACACCATCGTACCTTTAATTTTGCCCAGAATCTCACTATCCTCTGTAATCAACAAGCCACCCAACGCATGATTAATCGCCTCGTCAGAGACAGAAGATGTCAACGGGCCCGTCATGCCTGCGAACAAGGGAACTTGCCGACGCAGCGATGCAAGTGCGTTAGGGCTCGAGCTGAGCTGAGCAGCGAAGAGGACGTCCAGCATCTCAGAACTCAAGAGCTTCGGCTCCGGCGCGATGAGGTCTGCAAGTATCTTTGTGAAGTTCTCCGCGCTGGACCAAAGGCCTCCTCCGCCCCGCTCGCTCGTCTGCTCAGGCACAGTATGCTCAGACAGATCTCCATCCGGGCCGCGTGTTGCAACCTGCACGATGGTTCCGCCTGCTTTCTCGATTTCTTGTCGGCGGAATCCGATCTGGTGATTGCAGCCTACGATGTCGAAGATCTCTTTGCGCATATACTCGCCCAGGGTTACGCCGGATATGAGAGATACAAGGACGCCGACCCAGTCCATTCCGCTTCCATACGTCCAGCCCTCGCCGGGCTGGAAGAGGGAGGGTAGAGCCAGAGCGTCTGGTATAATTCCAGTCAAGTGCTGCGGTCCTTCGCCTCTCTGCTTCCTCCACTGAAGCAGCCGCGGGTCGAGGAAATCGTACCCTGAGCCGGAGGTGTGCGTGAGAAGGTGGCGAGCTGTAAGAGGTTTGGTGCGGTTTTCGTACGTGAGAGGCTGGCCTGGTAAGGAGGTGATGATGTCTAGTTGCCATAGTCCAGGGAGGTGTTTCTCGATGATCGATGGGTCATCGAGGTTCAGTTTTCCCTGCTCAACGAGACGCAGAGCAGCGATAGCGGTGATTAGCTTGGTGCAGCTGGCTAGACCGAGGACGGAGTCTTTGTCGATGGAGGTAGACTTGACAGGGTCGATGTCAGTCTTGCCGGCAGCCTGGGAGAGTATGGCTTTCCCTAAAGAGAATCAACAAGCATTCTCACAAGTATGATAGAACGGTGTCATGAGGAGTTTACGTACCATCTCGATCAATCGCAAGGGCAATAACGCCCAAAATCCCCGGCTTCTCGCCTGCCGTAGCTTCCTTGAGCTTCGTTTCGAAATTTGCCATCTCTTTCCTTGTTTCTTGGTTGTAAAACTTGTTCAGAAAGTAACTATGTGCTCCGATGCTAGATTTTAAGAGTTGGCCCTCGCGACAGTGCGCCCTTTATGCGATCAACTCCAGATCATTGTATGATCTTCGATGGTAGAGTCACGAGAGACCTAGTGAGCGCTTAGTCCTCTAGCTTGAATGCGAGAAGTACGAGCCGGCATGTCGGCTGCCGAAGCTACCGATGTATTCCGATTACACAAGTGAGTGAGGCTTGGTTACGACTAAGTTCGAAACTCGGCGCCCTGTGGGCCTCATTACCTGAGCATCGCGGTCTCTAGAAGCTTCACTTTCACAATCGCTGGAACGAGGGCCTTGGTGTAAAATAGGGAATCCATTTTTGCGGGTGCACGTCTCATGCAGCAGCGCTTTTGCACGGACTGAGAAATTAAATAGTATACATAGCACCGTAATCGTCCTAACCAAAGAAAATATGTCCTTTAGTATGCCAGGACGACTTTTGATCTGGTAGAAGTCCTCCATGCTTAGCTAATGTGGCATAAACGATGACATAATTTGTTCACATCCCAAGGATAGACGGATCTCCTTTTGGAATGGGGCAAACCAGAGCCACGCTAGAACAGGGAATGATACACGCGAGATCCAAACAAGTCCAGTCAAACATCCATCCGAGGCAGAACGGAAAACACATAAAATAGTCTCAATGATTCATCATCTTTGGGCCCTTGCATGCCTGCAGCCTCCACTCTAGCCATGCACCTCCATTGAGGCAGGCATATCCTAGGAAAGGTGGTTCTGGCCGTATAAGCGCTGTTCAGAATGCAGACGGAGCTGCTGACGGATGGGTGTATTCACTAGTAGCGGCCACGAGGCGGGTAATCTGCCGCCGCTGCGTCATAGGGTGGGCGACCTCCCGGGCTGCGGGGGCGAGCACCACGCGGCGAAGGTGGGCGTCCTCCTTCGTAGGGGCGGCCATGACCGTTCATGTAGGGGTCATCGTAGCGACGGGGTGGAGGTCCGGCCCTGGCATCGTAAGGATCGTCAGGGTAGCGCGGACGCGGTGGGCCATACTCATCGGGCGCCATGCGGCCACGAGGCGGCGAACGTCCATATCCTCCCTCACGTCTATCATAGAACTCGCGCGGCGGTGTGCGGCGGCGGTAGTCGTCGCGGCGAGGGCTATAGCCTCGAGGAGGGCCGCGGCGATCGTAGTAATCATCATACGGAGCGGGAGGGTAGCCGCCGCCGCCGCCGCCACCACCGCGACGGCCGACAGGCGAGCGAGATCGGTACCTATCACGACCCCTATCATCTGGTCCGCCAGGGCCTCCGTAGGGAGCCCTAGGCTTGAATGGAGGAGGTGGGGGTGGATCAGAGACGTCCTGGGTGCAGCCGACTTCCTGACCCTTGAACTCACGGCGGTCCAGCTTCTCAACTGCGGTCTTCAAGTCGACGGCCGTTTCATATTCGACGAATCTATGCAAAGGTCAGTATGATCAGGTGCTCAACAACAGGTGGTGTGTACTAACCCAGTGCCGTCGCGCTCACGACCAACTTCGGAATAGACCACGTCCAATCCAGACTGGCGGGCAAAGTCTTTAAGATCCTATACACTCGAGTTTAAGCCGAGTCCAAATCCAGGAACGTAGAAACGGGAAACACGCGACAAAACAGCCATTGATGGTCCAGTGCTGGTATGCTGGCCTAACAGGAAACTGGGGAAATCCAAGCATCGGGGAGTCTAACCTGCCAACTGGTCTCTACCGGAAGATTCGTAATCCTCATCCGGTATGGGGTGCGTCTAGGACGCGGAGGAACACGCTCGTTGGGAGTGAAGTTCTCGTTGCGGGCGCGGGAACCGCGCGCGAACTGGACAATGAGTCGCTCGCCCATGAAGTCGGAGCCATCTAAGACTCGGTTAGGCGCATGTCCACGGGGCACAAGATAATATACTACGTACGGAAGGCTGCAAGCGGGTTAGCAATGTGATAGCGACCAGTGGGTGTTGGAGCCTTACCAGGAACAACGTCACGAGCATCCATAGCGTCCTTGTACTCGATAAAGCCAAAGCCGTTCATGAGCTTGATCTCGGTGATTTCGCCGGTGCCATGAGTCTGGAAGTGGGCCTCGACGTCTGCCTTGGTGGCATTGCGGGGGAGGTTGCCCAAGTAAAGGCGGGTAGACGATACCTCGGTCATGGTGGTTTGTGTGGAGTTGTATCCTAAGAAGACCTAGCCTGGTGAGGAGAGTGAGCGCATGTCGACGAACAGATAAGTAGCCAGGAAAGGACTGCGCATGATATATGCCAGGTGGGAGAGGGCGGACAAGGAAACCAATGGCCTAGGCAACGCGCAACAACAGGAACCAGAGGTGCGCAAAGAATGGCCAACGGCGCAATACAACAGGCGGCTGGTCGTACCTTGGGAGAGATGGTCGGGGTATTGGGAGTCCTACTGGAAGAAGGCGGCTGTCGCAAGAAACTAAGTGCTTGAGAACCTGGGGAGAATCGAGTGCGTGCAGTCACTGCGCACTCCAAGTCGAAGGGATATCACCACACGCAACAATAGCGGCAATGAAATGAATAGAGATGTGCGGGGAGCTGGAACCTGATGTGTTGGGCCCCGGGGAAGGTTGGTGAATGATGGGGTGGGTGAATGGGCGGAGGTGAAATTAGCTCAACAGCGCCTCATTTGCCCTAGACGAGCTCGGACCTCTTAGCTACTGTCACGTGCGGAGTCCTCCACTCACCCATGGCACGCCTCTACAAGGCCATATCCCCTTTGGAGGGTTAAAAATCATGTCGATTGATGCGAATGAACTATATTACACAGCAAGAGCATAGAACCCTATGAGGGTATAGGCTAAGCGTGTAGATAATGCCTCACTGTCGTACTCCTCAATCCTGGGCTTTTTCGCATTGGGCAGCAACGCCATTCGGGCAACTGGATTTGTGTATATACATTTGCAACCCTTGCTATTATACAGGTCTCTGATTACCTAACACGTAGCTCTAATGCACTCCTGAGGGACCGCTTGGTGACCTTGCCAGATCTAGCTTAGGTGAGAACGTACTTTGGTCCCTCGCCACCCTGGGGCGTTTGCCAATTGATGTCCTGATCAGGTACTTTGATGTCACATGTCTTGCAGTGGACGCAGCTATTCTCCCATCAGCTTCTTCTTGGATATGAGTGGGAAGATTGATGTACTTACTTTTGGGCATTAATTTGAAACCTGACGCCCAGTTCTTTGCTGTCGTCTTCCACGTACTCGTACACACCGGCAGGGCAGAATCGATTCTCCACGCCCTTGTACTTTGGCCACTCTTTTTGCGCATGTGCGTCCCAGTCCTTGACCTGGAGATGGCAGGGTTGATCTTCTTCGTGGTTGGTGCCACTTCGACTCACGCTGGTTAAGATATCGAAGCTAATCTTGCCGTCGGGCTTGGGATATTCAATCTTCGTGCACTCGTCTGCGCTTTTCGTATTTGCATGATCAGCCTTGCCGTGCTTTAGCGTCCAGGGGCCTTTGCCGCGGAGGAGGTATGCTTCGAGTCCCGAGTACATGACGCCTCCATAGATGCCTAGTGGAGTGTGGAAAGAGGGTCGCATATTTCGAACCGACTTGAGCTCTGACCAAATTGAAGACTTGCGCATCTTGTCTTCATAGTCGAATAGGAACACGGTGCCGCCGTCTGTGTTACCCTGCAATGCGTCCCAGGTCGCCTCAGCCGCTAGCATGCCTGATCTCATCGCAGTGTGCGTACCCTTGACTTTCGGTACGTTGACCAGCCCAGCCGAGTCTCCAAGAAGGGCACCGCCAGGGAACGCGAGCTTCGGTATTGACTGGAAGCCGCCTTCGATTAGTGTTCTCGCACCGTACGAGATGCATTTGCCACCTTCTAGGACGTCCTTGTACAAGGCATGGTGCTTCATCTTCTGGAACTCGCCATATGGTGCCAGCCATGGATTGGGGTAGTCTAAGCCGACAACGAGGCCGATGCTCACGAGGTTGTCGCCAAAATGGTACATCCACCCACCACCATAGGTATCCTTTGGCAGTGGATAGCCCATTGAGTGAACCACGAGGCCTGACTGGAACTTCTCTGGCTGCACCTCCCAGACTTCTTTGATGCCCAGGCCATATGTTTGATGCTGGCTGTCTCGTCTTAGGTCGTACTTTTTGATGACTTGCTTCGACAAGCTTCCGTGACAGCCTTCACCCAATAGTGTGACGCGCGCATGGAACTCCATGCCTCGCTCGAACGAGTCCTTGGCCTTGCCCTCTCGGGAGATGCCCAGGTCATTTGTAGCGACACCCTTGACAACGCCCTCATGGTTGTATATTATCTCCGAAGCAGCGAAACCGGGATAGACCTCGACGCCGACTTCCTCCGCGCGCTCGCCGAGCCATTTGACCATCTGGTTCAGGCTTATTATGTAGTTGCCGTGATTGTTCATCTGTGGAGGCTTCGGGAGGGGAATGGCGTAGTTTTTCGTTAGGAAGCGCATGCGGTCTTCTTTGGCGGGCGTTATGTGTTCGAAGCGGTCCGGGTTGTCCTCTGATCTCCAGTCTGGGAGCAAATCATCGAGGGCAGAGGGGTCGATGACATTGCCAGACACGATGTGGTCGCCCAGTTCCCCAGACTTCTCCAGCAGTAGCACCCTAAAGTCTTCGTTGCCGGCCTCGTTCGCAATCTGCTTCAGCCGAATGGCGGCCGACAGACCCGCTGGCCCCCCTCCCACAATAAGCACATCGACCTCGTCGACTTCGCGCTCTACTGACGTGGGGTCGAAGGTGTCGTCTGCAGTCGCGAGTCGGGTGCGTGGCGTTGAGGCAAAAGCTCGTCGCTGGCCGGCAATTCGCAGTGCTGGACGGTATGACTCCCACAAGTTTCGTGCCCGCGACGGTGCACATACAAAGGAGCGCGTGGGTATGCGGGCAGAACGCGGCGCCGAGAGCAATCGTCGAGTCAGCGACGCTGGCAGCGATCTGGAGGCCATTATGTTTGCGCGTGTATGGGGCAAAAAGCGTGTATACTCCGTATAGCACGAATTTGCGGGGCGTCTTGTGAGGAGAATCAATTCGTGTACACTCGAGACTTGCGCACGCCGTGCAACCACTCTGGAGTCGCTCAATCACCGAGATTGCGATAGAGACGAAGCTTCGAAATTCCCCATTCTTGACCAAACCTCAATTATGACGCGGTTCTGTAAAGTTCCAACCGAGGCTAGGCGGGCTAGGTGCGGACATCAAACACCGGGCCTCTCATTGGCTAACCGGTCCCATGAGTGCTCTTTCCTTCCAAGAGCAGCCATCTTGAGCATGAGGCAAGTGCATCCGATCGTCCTGCACGAGAGGATATTCAGCCATGAAAATTTGTTTACTATAACTCTAGTATGATATAATAATGAACATTGCTCACATCATAGTGTTTCGTTGCTAACGTCGGCATTGCCTCCTGTGGCTGGCATTCCCGAGGTCTAGTCTCTTCGTCTCCGCAACATCTCCAGCTTCCCAGGGTGCCATCACCTGCAGCCGCTACTCTCCATCCTACTACTACATACGTACATCCACACACATTTAGATATCGAAGAACAACCGCAAATGCAATGAGGAATCATGGCGAATACGCTACCAAACTGTCCGGCGCTGCCAACAGGCGTACCTGTTCTTCAGTCGGCCTACGCACCCTCTGGTCCCCGCCTCCGTCGGCGAGCGTAGATTGAAACTGCCAGATCAACGATGGCAGCATGTTCTAACAATCACGACATCGCAATCGCTCCAATGTGGTATGACATGTATCCACCCTCTGCGCGTCCTGAGCTCGAAGTTGGTGCTTCGGGGCGCCTGAAACCGGCAAAGCTTCAACCCCATGCGACCGTCAGGCCTCAGGACACGCCAAGTTTATGCGTTTAGGGCAAGGCGCTTTCTGCATACATCTGCCCTGCCCTGTCTGCAACATGTTCTCAAACCACGCACGTTCGGCCTCCAGCCTGGATCTTTTCCTTAAAATTACCTCATGGGCATGAATCCTGCTTCACCCCACCCACCCGCAATCGAACTCATCACTTCATGCGTTTGATTTGCCCGTTTCTAGTCCAGCCCACCGGTTTGATGCTCTACCGATGCTGATCTACACCAGTCAAGCGAGGTGAGCAACCTTGCGTCTGTGAGAGAATTGTGGGGATATCTATATATTCTCTTTCGGCCTGGTCGCCTCAGGGTATCCTCCAACGGCGCGTGTATGAGATGCACGGGACTGACAAACGCCCCCTCCAGCACGCGGGCCTTGTCCTTTTTGGGACACTTTAACCAAAATACTCCGAAGGGACCATGGGAGTCGTCCGTATATAAGTCGTCCTCTCCACGAGGATAGAACAGTACGCCCAGCTTCCAATCTTTCAGGCTCATTCTTCGGTGCAGGGCACTATCCGTTTATCTTCTCTTCTTCCAAGAGCTGCGCTCGCTACTATTTTCAGTACACCTCGATTCGTTCTTTCAATCATCAAGTCAAAACTTTCATCATGAGGAACATCTCCCTTCTCACGCTCCTTTCTGCCACGTTGGTGGCAGCAGCTCCAGCACCCTTTGTCAGCTCTGGTCCAGCGCTCGCTGCACGCGCCGAGAATAATGTACTCCCCGCCACACACTTCGGCCGCCGAGAGGAGGACATTGTGCAGGACTTCAACCCTGATGTCGAGGTCGCCTCTGTCCTCGATCCCCAGGATGACGAAGACTCCGAAGAAGGTAAAGACGCATGATGACTTCCATCAGCTACTGCTTGCTAACAATTATCTATAGATGCTATTGCTGCTAGGAATGTGAACCAAGCCCAAGCTCAGGGCAACGACGCAGAGAAGGCTGCGGCCGCTCAGAACAAAGACGCAGAAAAGGCTGCGGCAGCTCAAAACAACGAGGCCGAGAAGGCCCCAGCAGCTCAGAATAACGAGGCCGAGAAGGCTCCAGCAGCTAAGAACAACGAGGCCGAGAAGGCCCCAGCAGCTCAAAACGAAGCCGAAAAGGCTCCAGCAGCTCAGAACAACAACGCCGAGAAGGCTCCAGCGGCTCAGGACAACGCGTCCGAAAAGGCTGCAGCAGCTCGGCAGCAGGAGCTCGAGAAGGCCGCAGCTGAACAGGAGGTAAGCAAGATAGATGATAACACATCCACGACGCTCGTGTGCTAACGTTCAAAGGCCGCACAAGGGAAAGCCGACCAACAACAAGCTCAAGCAGAGAACAAGCAGAACCAGCAAGCAGCCGAACAAGCCAAACAGGGAGCTGCTCAAAGTACGTGACTTTCCCTCTCGAGTTTCATTTTCAAGGCTGACCAACTTAGACACCCCTGGAGCCGTCAACAACGGTGCTGTTGCAAACTTGACTGCCGGCAATGCTACACAGGGCGCTGCAGGCAACGGAACCCAAAATGGCGGCAAGGGCAAGAAGGGCAAGGGAAAGAAGGGTAAGGGCAAGAAGGGCAAGGGTAAGAAGGGTAAAGGAAAGGGCAAGAAGGGCAAGGGCAAGCACGCAAAGGGCAAGAACGCTGACGGCAAGGGCAAGAACGCTGACGGCAAAGGCAAGAACGCTGAAGGCAAGGGCAAGAACGCAGAGGGCAAGGGCAAGAACGCAGAGGGCAAGGGAAAGCACGCTGATGGCAAGGGCAAGAACGCCGACGGCAAGGGCAAGAATGCTGATGGCAAGGGCAAGAACGCTGATGGCAAGGGCAAGAACAACGACGGCAAAGGCAAGAACAACGACGGAAAGGGCAAGGGCAAGAACGCCACACTCGACAACTTGACCCTCCTCGAAGATGCCAAAGCTGGTCTCCAGGCCGGCCAGCAGCAACAGCAGCAGCAAACACAGCAGGGTGGCGCTGGTAACCTCATCGGCAACCTCCTCAACCTCCTCCAAGGAAATGCTGCCGCTGGAGGTCAACAGGGTGGCGCTGCAGGTGCCGGTGCCGGCATTGCTCAGCTCGACTTGAGCAAGCTTGGTATCAAGGCCAACAAGAAGAAGAGGACCACCGCCTTCCGAGCCTAGACGCGGCGCGACAACACAAATTCGGTGCCGGCTGATTCGCTGCCGACCCGGGCCTTTTGCAGCATTCGGCATACTTTAGAGTTGATCTTTACGAGATGCTTCGGTCTGCTAGGCTCCTAATCGAGTGAGAAGGGGATGTTTTATGTATTGAGTATTATAGAGGATTGATATAGGCGACTAGGTAGTTAACCAGTTACCACCAAACTATTAGCTCGCTGGCTATTTAATATGCATACACACGTGTTTTCACCTTGTTGAAAATCTTATAACACCAGTTTCTCCACTCTCTCAGAGTATACCTTTAAAAAAAAACTGGCAATAGCTTAATGCGCAGTTACTATGCCGTGGGCGCTTCCTGCCCCTTTTCACCCCTTGAAACATTGCGTAGCGATTCATGTCTCACTTTCACACGCCACTTTTTTCTTTTAGATCTGCATGCTAGACCTAAATTGGCCATTTTCAATCAGCAATAGTTTTACTCAAGTCGCATCAACCTGAGGATACTTGCAAGGCATCTATTCTCCTAACAAGGGCGTCGCCAGATTTACAGAGTAAAAACCATGCCCATCTACATGACTCAAGTAGCCTCATATAACATGTAAAATCAACGAGATGTGGAAAAAGATAACAATGTGACATACTTTAAACATCATCAAGACAATGCCATCTTTTCTTCAAAACCCACTCGCAAAAGAACTGTCTTAAGAGGTTTTCCAAAGCGCCTACGCCCTAGTTGAGCTATCGCTGATTCTGTGAAAGTACTTTGAGTGCGGAGATGTTTGTGATTACATTGATTCCATCAGAATAGGTCGAGACGGTAGCCAACCATGGTTCCAAACCTCACCATCGTTCTCCCATGGCAAAAGAACTGTCTGCCCTTCTGCCTTGACATAATCGCAACCACGCCTTCACCCCTTCTCCATCCACAACAAAACACCCTTTTGTATCTCACTCAGTGAAAGTCGCGTCCAACACTCTTCGCAACGCACATCATCCCACCCTCTCATGTTAACAGCTTGCAGAATGATATTGTGCAGACAGTACGAGCACGTCGTATTCGGATGCTGACATCGTGCTGTCGGGGTCGATGATGGGAATTCGAACGTCTCCCGATCGCTGTGGCAGTGCGTGCATTTCTTGACCACAGTAGGTGAGGACATGCGATGTGGTGGGGGTTGGTGTGTATCGGGCACGGAAGTGGAGCATTTAGATTGTAACTGGCATTCTGGAGGAGTTTGTCGCAGTAGGTGGTTGTTGTGGATGTCGTTCTTGATGCAGTCTGAGGAGTTTTGCATGTCTTCTTGGCTTGCGTTTATTGCTGAACGGAGGCTAGGGGTGGATGGTGTGCGAAGATGGCTGATATTTGCGTTTCCAGCCTCTGAGATGTGTTTCCGTGTATGTTGGGCTGCATTTGAAGTGGCGTTGGCTGGCGTTGGCGCAGATGAGTGGCCTTGTGGCTGCGTGAGGATATTTGCAGGTGAGGGGTGCTGGACTATCAGGCGGTCGCGCGGGTTCAGGATAGAGTAGGGGGGTGGACGGCAACGAAGCTGCAGAGGTGTGGCGTGCGGGGCTTGACAGGAGGTGGTTGCGCCAACAACCGGGGTGCGGAGTGAAGGTAGCTTCATTATATATGTAGGGTTATCTAAAAGATGAGATAGAAGCTGAGGAGCAGCTTTTATATATCTTGCTGGCGACTTCATGGGGATAAATTACTATTATACTTAAACTGCAAATTATCAGTTAAAGTAGTTATCAAGAACGAAAGGCTAATGATTAGAATTAATCAAGATAACGATACTCATGAATGCTACCATGGTTAGTTGGTGTCCTTCTCTGATACCATGGTTGAGGCCGTTGTCGTAATTACCAAAAAAGAAAACGTTTTTAGTGCCTATGCCCCAGCATTACCTCTCAAGCTCTCCCTGGTTCCGTAGATAATTCTACAGGTGACAGGCAATCCTGGGACGTAGACGCATGTAAAATTCTTTGGTATGGTCAGACATGACACGTGTTATATGGTCTTCACGGGCCATGACTTCCTACAAGTAGATGTAATGGGCCTATTATGCGCAAAAAGATTGGATTACTTTTATATCGTGTGCTCCGTCTATGCAGAAAAGACTGGTGTATCATGCCATAGTGAACGCTATTACGTTCGTTACTCGTTCCGTCAGTCGTGAAATCGCAAATATGCCACCCAGCTGTCCTTGTATAGCGCCGTAAAAACAATCATAAAAGCCCCCAAGAAAACCAACAGGGTAGATGAATCCCATGTGTAGGTCCACCAGCATTTTCCTAATGTCGAAGGGTTTCAACGACCTCTGCAAAACCAAATTGTCGTTTGTGCCTGTACGCAACCTAAACCATATCCCACTCGTCGTCGCTAGGATAGTCGCTGCCGGTCGCCGCTAGGATGTCGACTGGGGTGAAGGGGATCAACTTGGGACTCGACATTGGCTCGTCGGGTGTAGGTTGAGCAAGCGGCTTGGGTCGATGGACCAAGGCGAATCCGTCCTCGTCGCTTGATGAATTAGACTCTGAATCTGAAACATCGACCACCCGTAAATTCTTAGGCCGGTGAACAAGTGTAGTGGCGGCGGATCCACTTGTGCTGTCTGAGTCCATCGATTCGTCTGCCCCCATAGCTTCATTTATGATGTCGCTAATGCTCCTGCAGTCTTCATCTTTGACAATCGCCATAGCACCGAGAATGACAGGGTTCGACGACGCAGGAGGAGAATTAGGTGGGATTTCGAACAGCATCTCCTGCGGTAGGTCTCTCGAGGCAAGCAGTGTTGGGTAGATGCCAGAGTGGACTTGAGGGGTATCAAGCGCGAGTCGGATGATCTCAAAGGCACCTTCGCAAGGTCAGCCGGGCTGCATCCCAACTCATCGCATAGTGGGAACACTTACAGTCATCCTGGAAGTTCCTTTCTATGTTGGTTCGGCAAAGATCCTGACGAAATGCCGGAATTTCAGAAACGACCTGCGCAAAATCTGCATTCGCTCCAAGTTTATGATAAAAGAAATTCGAGATACAGTAGTTGGTAAGGTTGTTTACCAGACCATGCTCATGGCGCGATGGGTAGTCGGCGTAGTTCTGGTAAATGAACCGAATCGTCTCGAGCAAATCCGAAGGAGGGGTCGGGAGAGCACAAGCGCAATCGATTTGGCAAGAGAAGTTGCCATGCGCAAGAAGCTGGAGCTCGGGAACATCGAAATCTTCTGCCATCTTGTATATTTCGGCATGTAGAAGAAGGTGGATAGGTAGATATTCGGCGTCCACGGTAAGATAGCTGCCCGTATAGCAGTACCGTAGGAGTGAGATGATGGCTGTTCTTGAAGGGGCGTCGATGCTGGCCTGGGGGCGAGCCTGAAAGCCATACTCGAAAGCATGGTACAGCAACGGACAGGTGTCGAGAAATTTGTAAGGGCAGATGCGGTCCGAGATGTGGTATACATGACCGTTGGAGAGTACGGCTTTCAGGGTAGCATCGCTGGCGCCGTGGTCGCCGAGCGTGTCAAGGAAGGAGAGGTCGTCCATGGTAGGTGTTCTCAATTCCGTGGTAGGCACGCGTCAGGTCGGAGACCCTCAGCTACCTTTTTGAATGTTGAGCAGCTTTAGCAACGAAGTTAGGGGTCCTACTGGCTGGCTTTGGGCGTGGGGAACCAGGTGAGGGTCAGGTCGTCAACGCACGCAAAATGAAGCCTGCGCAGTTTCGAGAGGTAAGTTTGACAGTAGATGAGGAGAGTAGAAAGGTCTTCAGCTCGAGATAAACTAGGTACGCCTGAAGTCTGACAAGGCTCGACTGACCGATCCTGAGACTAGGCTGCCGTGTGCGTGCACGTGAATGGGGCCAAGGGCCAGTAGCAGGAATGGGACGTGGTCAATAGCGTGAGGCTTTCACGCTTCACTCAAGTGCTCTGTCGAATTTGGATCTGATTGTCAGAAAGCCATGGAAAGCGACTGTTCAGTATAAGTAGTGGTCTCACAACGGAGGGGTAGTCGAGGCTCAAGCTGCCCTACGAGTGAGGGGACGTCGTGTAGCAACACGGCTGCCTGGTCATTGGCCTCAGGCAAAGTTGCCAAACCAATCAGTCGAGCGCGCATTCTTCAGCCTCTCACAGATGGTTGAGGGGTCAGCTGCAGCTGGTGCTTGGTGGTTGATTGATGGAGGACGGCTCTCGGTAGTCGAGCCTAGGTGGTACTCGTGAGCTTCAGCCACGGGCGACCCACATCGGACGGCGCCACCATGACGACCCGCCGTGGCCCACCCCTCAACATTCGCACTCCTTGAGGCGGCATACTCAGTCTAGCATCCGTCGCTATCTGTACTGCAGGCCCCAATCCGTTTGCCTGCCCAAAAACCACAGCCGTTCGTGCCAGTCATCGTCTCCGCGTCGTGGTGCCAGAGTCCGTTCCCTTGCAATGGGCCTGCTCTCCATCCTCCCAGAAAGCTTCGCAGTGGTGGAAACATGGATCACGCGACTTTTTGTCAGTAGCAATTCATGCTGATTGTTCAATGCATTTGACTTACGCAGCTGTTAGCTATTTCTAGGCCTCATAGCCATTGGACCATGGGCGGCCCTGCTCATGTACGATCTTCTCCTCTACATCTTCCGCGCTGCCGCATACGAGATACCCTTTGTCGGCGGACGCGCTCGAGGAAAGGCACGACCACGCGCCCCAAGCCTCACCGAACGGCCAAGTGGGCATCGACGGCGATTTAGTCTCGCCCGCCGCCCGGATGAGACCGCACAAAGTACAGGAGGTCCCAACAAGGCGGGAACGACGGATGCTCGATTCAGACATATCACCGAGGAGGAAAGTGAAGATTCCTCTACTACATGATGTTGTGGCTGTCTGGAGGATAGGTGCATCACACGTCTGGCTGAGGGGCCTATCATGAGATGTGGGACACGTCCGCTCTCACTGTGGTCAAGAGTCTGATCCCTTTCCTACGGGAGCTTGCAGTGCGCGTACCGATCCACAACATCTGCAGAAAGACTGCAGTGTCTCCCCGGGTTGCTCCGGGACCTATGCCTACGCATTTCCACAGCACGAAAGCATACCTCCCGCTCAGCGTTGTCGACGACGTTTCCAATGCTGTGAAGATTCGTTATATGACGGACAGGAAGTGTGATCAATCTAATAGCACAATGTACACACAGGCATCAGTCATGGCAACGCGAATCTTCAGATCGCCATGCGACGACCCGGTCATAGGCGCATCGAACATCTAGGGCCACTCGGGCTAGGCCGTCCGCACAAGGGTTGATGGGACGTCATTCAGGGCATTCATAGCTATTCGCAAAACTAAGTGTGAACCAGGTTCTTTCCTTCGAGATTAGCATGAGCTGTGCTCTCGTAGGGTCGTCAAACCGCGCTTGTAGGATTATGTGCATAGATTAGCTGCTGTTTCAGGCGAGCACGGGCACCAATCACATCTGACTTCTAAATCTATGTTGCACCAAGCAAGGCTTCTAGTTCCGAAGCGATCAATTGTATTAACTACGTTGTGGTATGCTGAAGCGGGTTTAGCGTGGATTTGGGGCGTGCTTTCCTCGACGGCTCATGTCAATAAACTCTCACCTTCGCGTCTCGTCTCTCATCTTCCACACTACAACAACATCTCTTCCCGCCCGATTTCTTTCTCAACATCAACTCCCATCTCCCAATTTTCACCAACGTACCATTACCGTCCAACTTCAAATATTCACAATGGCACCTACCACGACTAAGACTGCCACCCCCAAGGCGGCCACAACTGGCGCGGGTGTCAAGAAGGCCGGACGACCGAAAGGTACTGGCAAGAACACAAAGGCCAAGACTGCTATGATCAAGATGCAAGCCTACTGTAAGTTGTCATGTTTGACGCGTAAAACACGCGTTATTGAACGCGTTTACCGCAAAGCGGACTAGTCGCTGATGATCAACAACAGTCAAGGAGAATCGCTCAAAGTTCAAGCACCTCGGCTTCAAGGACCAGCAGAAGGAGCTGGGCAAAGAGGTACGCTTGATGTTTAAACGGCGCTCGCAATCCATTCCTGCATTCCCCGTCTCAATATTGCAACTATCTTTGCGCCTGATGATCAACGCTGACCTTGCGTAGTGGAAGACATCGTCCGAGAATCCCAAGAACCAGGCCTAAATGACTCACTGGCTTGGTCGCTCATAGGCATTCGATTACTACCTGTGTGTTCTCGATGAACGCAGCTGCGCACAACTTCGCAGCACTGTACGACTATGGATCCTTTGCGACTTATGAACGATAGTTCGAACTCAGCGAACTCTTTATTTCTCATTTCATGATTCATCCCTTCTCAATGTTTTACTATGGATTTGCTATGTACGAGAAGGCGTGGGGTGTCAGCCAAAGGACGGAAAGGATGGACGATGTGGACTGAGGGCGCATAGCACAGATTCGCGATCCGGCTCACGGCAATATGGATGATCTCGTTAAAATTCATTACAGATGCTAGCGCTTGTATTACCTGCGTTGTTCCTGCGTCTCTGTGATGCAACTACTTCAGGCTAATTGCACAACAGATGCATGTCTTGTGACCCACAGCCACACGGTCTTCTAGAAGACAGCTCGCCAGTCCACTGGACGCGTTGGTGCACCCGGCCGGGTGTAAGTCTCTTACACGCCAAGTTTGACTGCACATACTCACTGACTGTACCTCGCACACTATTAGTCGCTCCTCTTATCCACACGCGATGTGGAACGGAGTATTCGAGTTACGCTCCTCTATACTGTCGGCACGAACACCATAAGAGGAACTGCTATCATTCTCTGACTAGGCCAGGAAAGCCACGAGAGCTATTTTTTCGCCTTTGTCCACAGCAAAACCTAATCAGCTCATTGAGTATGAGGTAACAGCAGTCAACAATGCAGGTACCCTACTATTGCCTCGAACCATGGCGCCCTTTTACTGAATTGACTTCCATCGAACGATTTACCCAATCAATCTCTGCAGCATATTAATCGTATATCTAGTGCGGCTTTAAACAGCGATAAGTACCGTGTCAGGATTTCCATCCTTTATTGTCGATGGTGCGCGTGGCTCATACTATGCCGTCTTGGACGACAGATTCTAGCTCTTCCTTGCGCGCTGGAGGGCTGAGGCTGGAAATTCAGGGCTCCAAAAACCGAATGTCCGACTCGCGGGAAGTCTCTGGACCGTAAATATTTGATACAGCTGGCATTATAGCAACCTAATCCACATCCGGAACCGGCAATCCATTAATGATCATCATCCCCTCTCGGCCCAGCGCGTGCATAGCCTTGACCGCTTCATCATGCCGTAGCTTCTTTGTCTCTTCATCCGTTACAAGCACAAAGTCATACTTCAACAACTTGGTCCCCTCCTTGACATTATATTGCTTCGCCAGCTTGGACGAAACAGTGTCGAGGCCAACGATGAGCGATTCTTTGACCCCGAAGACAGCGTCGGATGTCTCGTAGTCGGAGCCGCGTATGTATAGTGCCCTGGGTTAAACATCAGCCCGAAAACTCCTCTATACGACGAGCCGGGAACGCGATGCAAATGGCGAGGAGAGGGAGGGAAGGAATCCAAGACGTACGTAACCAAATGATCAAACCCGCTCTTCTCAAACATGAAATGCATATGACTCGGTCTCCAACAATGCCGTCCCAACCTCTCCAGTAACTTCCCCACAGGCCCATCATTCGGAATCGGGTACGGCACGGGCACAATCGCATTGAACCAAAAGACACCCTCTTCATCAGTATGTATGACGGCGCGACCGTCAGCCTTGTCTCCTCGGTCATCATACTGCACGTCGTACTTTCCATGGGAATCAGTTTCCCAGACGTCGACTTTGACGCCTGCCACTGGGTCGCCCGACATTGTCTTGACGGAGCAGAGGACGAGGAGCGGGTCGCCGTTAGGATCCGCGGAGATTGGTGTGCCGTTGGGGAGCGTAGAGGCGTCGTGCGTGTGGAATGGGCCCAGGACTGTACCTTCAGTGCTGGAGGGGGGTTTGGGGTGGTCGATTGAATCGACGAGAAGCGAGAGGCCTACAATGTCGGAGAGGAGTATGAACTCCTATATACCGCGTGGGACTGTCGTCAGCGATTGCGCTCGTCCTCGTCCAATAATACCTCAGTTTCACGTGATGTGGGGACCAGAGAGTGCCTGCCATACCTGCCGTACATCTGTACATATCTGCCCAACCTCGGTCAGAAACTTGATTGCCGCCATCCACTCCTCAAAACTCAATCGCGTCTCTCGCGCAAAGTCGTGGAGGTGTGATACCAAGCGTTCCATGACGTACTTGAAGCGTGGGTCGGCGCATTGCGAGTTTATACGGTGCACGTTCTCGGTGATGTTTTCGATTGTCAAATCTTTGAGGACGGGGACAGAGGCGGCTTCTGGACCGCTTGTAGATGCCATCATGTTAGATGAGGGTGGGTGGAGAGGTAGTAGGGATTGCTGGTGATTAGGAATAGAGATTGAGATTGAGACAGATTAGGAAATCTCACTGCGATGAAGTGGTAAAGGACTAGAAGAGGAAAGCATATGAGTTATAGGAAGTGCTACACAAGACGAGCTGGACGTTGGCAATCAGAAACGGAAGCTTCCCGCTTGATACGTGGGGCATTTTTGCGGAGTCTCCCCGAGACAGCTCTGATGACCATTTCGAGCAGCTCATAGGTTCAAACCATCGTCATGCAGGCCTAAGGCCCCGGGTAAGAGTTCAAGAGAGCATGAGGGATGGGTGAGGGGCACTCGGTACCTGAACGCGGGGTATATCCTTAGCTCTTATTTTAGCGGTTAAGTAGAACAAGTAGTTGAAGCTCCAGCATACAAGGAACTTACTTGACTGTCTTAAGATAACAGCATACGACTTTCGTTTCGTTGAAAGCATAACCCGAGGAAGAGACGTGCTTAGGCAGTAATCTCCCCTCTCAGAAATGCTTTTACCTTCTCTCCCCACACGACTTGACGCTTGTATACCTTCATCCCGGGCACACTGCCCAGCCCCAACCCATCAATGGCATCCGCGAGTACCTCCCCGCTACCTTCATCTCTAAGCTCTTGGATCGGATATAGGTATGTTTTCTATGGCAAAGTCAGTTCGATCCAACACATCCTCAACCAAGCGCGCGGCCGGGATATGCTTACAAAAGCAAATACCAAAGCCCTACTTTCCGGCAAGCGATGCAGTGTCTGCCTCTCACACCTCAACACGGTCTTTGTCAAGTCAATCTCCTCCATACCCCCCTCTTCTTTCTCCTTAGCCGCGAGTTCCGCTTCAGACATGTGATTCCCCTTGAGACAGAACAACTGTCCATTCGTGCTGATACTCCAATTGCACCGCTTGACTATCCTGCCAACCGGCAGCGCAGCGAAGAATCGATCCATGCTCTTCTCCAGCTTCTGCGCATACCCCGGCACGGGTGTGTGTATGTCAGCAAGGAGGAGACCGAGTTTAGCCCGCGTGTTGAAGCCCGATGGGAAGCAGTTTACAAAGGCTTCGAGGCGGTACTTGCGCTTGTCTTCTAGCGCGTCGGATGGTAAGAGAAAGAGAAATTCGTCGTCGATGTTCTCGCCTAGGAGCTGAAGTGCAGCATCTGCATTGGACATGTGCAGTGGTAGAAGGGCGCCGGTGATGTTGTTCTGTAGATGGGGACCCGTGGGCGTGAAGAGTAAGGGGAAGCGTGTGGGTAGGTATGTGCAGGTGAGCCAGGTGTAAAGTTCTAGTACGGCAGGCACGGCTCTGGGGTTACAGGCGAGGACTTCATGGCGCTCCTGTTGGATTAGTTCTGAGCGAATCTTGAGTCTGTCTCGATATGTCTTGTCCATTGCGACTAGGTCGGAGAGCGTCGTGTTTTCGATAGCTAGTCAGAAGCATTAGCAATTGATTTGTTGCGTTTGGATGGGAAAGAGACGTCGCACCCATCGTCATGTGAAACTTTGGCTTGAAAGGGCGAATCTTGAGTGGCTCTTCCTTATCGACGTCGAAGTTGTGGAGGGGTTCAATGCTGTAGTATGCATCTTCTGAGTATTCGGGCGCAGCTTTCTCGGGTTGGCACGTTGTGATTCTTGAACGGAAAATAGGCTGCTTTCCATATTTGTGAGCGCTCTTACAAAGTTTAATGCTCGATGGATTGTACAAACCTTGAGACTCTTCCGTATCCGATCTCGATTGAAGGCACAAAAAAGGATCCCAAGAAGCACCAAACCCCACGATAAAGGTGTTCGAATAAGGTCGAGTGGATCCATGAGTCCGCCACTCGCGTCACGCTCGTGTATGTGCTCGCGAGATCTATTGCTATGGTACACCTCTAGATAGCAGACTCGTCTGAAAGCACAGACTATCGGAGCGTAACGTCTGTCAATCTTGGGAGGTGGACGGAGGGACTAGTTGACGCCATAAACGCTGATACCCGTGTTGCCACAAGTAGTAGATATGCGGGAAGTTGTTTCCCTTTGTAGATTAACCCCGCTTTGTTACGGGTTCCGCTAGTAGATTGCATCAAGGTGTTTGGAAAGTGATCAACATCATCATTGTCTAGCCTTACGATACGTCTAAGATGTGAAGTGTCATCATTTGAACCCCCCGACGTAGATTGCCAATTCTCAATGGTGACTATGCTGCCCAGTGTATGATTTCGAGCAATGTATCAAACGTCTACGACATCCATGCAGCGCAAGATCGTGCTTGCTATAATCCTATTACCTGTTTAGCAAAGACACCAAGCTCCGTGAAAGATGGATATAGGTCCGTTCTCAACTTGATTGCCGCAACAATAACTCAAGTACGCTCAATTCGAAGTGCTCTCATTTAGTCAGAGAGACTCATCTACAGTCGTCCCTAAGTCTGCACGAGTATATCTTGCTCTTCGATGCTTGTAATACCTCTGGTATCCACACCACTTCCCACCGAACTTGCTATGCTTCGAGATTTGAAGTTGATTTTGTCCCCTTCACTTTGTCGGCCCAGGTGTACCAATTCTTCTCAGGCTCCTCCGTCTTCTATGCCTTAATCATTCTTCCAACTATTCCAATTCTGCGTCCGGACTTCCAACAGCCACCAGCTTGCCCACCACCAAGTACTTTTCCTCGAACCTCTCTTCCCACCCCCTCATCGCCTCTTTCTGCTCATCCTCCAGATCCTCCAAAGTATCCAGCGGCCCATCCAGATCCTTGGTCAACATGTCCTCGTCAAAGCTGCCACAGGCAAGACCGCGACTCGCATCGCGCCCCGCGAAGTTCGCATAAGGACCTCCCGGGCCATAAAAGTTACGACCAGAGGTTACATCGAAGACGCGGCCGCGCACGGCTAGATATACGGGCATGCCATTCAGGCCGTTGTAGGGAAATAGAGAGGGGGGCGTGAAAGTGCGGAAGACGGTGGGCGGTGGGGCGCGGGGGAGTGTTGCGGGAGTGGAGGGCTTGAGGCGGAGGTAGACGAGGAAGGCGAAGAGCGAGAAGAGGATGAGGTTGATGGGTGTTACTGGCGAGGCGCTATAAAGTGTGTCAGGAGAGTGTATCGTCGTACATGTAGGTGCTTGATTGCTTACGCATATGCTGCCGGCGGCGGAGTTGACGCTGTTGCTGTTGCTGTTAGCTTGGGCTTGTTGATCATGGTGATTTGCGTACCATCTGCCATTCTGAATTATGAAATAAGAGACACAGTCCTTGAAGGTATGAGGGGTGAGGCGCTGTGGTGTCGTAGAGGTGAGCCTCATGGCGGGCACCCCATTTTCAAGCACCTCGGGCGATGATGCAACTCCGAAAGCTGACAGCCTACTGGCCAATAGTCCCCGACGCGTACAACCCCGAGCAGCAACTCTCTTCTACGGATAATTACAGATCTCACATCAAACATCATCTACACAGTGCAGTTCGCATGTGCACCCCTGGCAGTTCTAGAAGCGCGTTACTGGCTGTGAAAGGGGGCTCAGCTGGGCAGCTTCACGCGCGATGGTCACCTAAACACGCCTGACCTCAGCTTCACCGCGATGCTGCCTTTGCGCCAGATCTCTCAGCTAATAACCCACAACTGTTTGCTTCGACTTGTATTATTTATACAAGCACGCGCCCGTGCTACAGCGCGCAAATAGAAGCAGTTCCCCAGCACGCTCCACTCCCCGCGGCGCGGCTTACTCTGAAACGCCGCCAGCTACCTGAAACCCAAGCCCGCGATTCATTTGCACTCATTCGCCACCACGGCTTGAACCTCTGGACTATCGAAACGAAAGCTGTGGGCTTACTGTCAACGCGTCGCGTGCGGCAACAAAGAGCAAGAGCTGCGGGACCTTGGCTTTGCAACTTGCGTCGAGTTTGGGAGGCGCAGTTCGATGCTTCCGCCTTGTTGTCCCTTAAGCTGACCTGTCATTCGACTTTGACCTTAATCTTCCTCCTTCATTTCCGAGTGCCTTTCTTCCGCAGCTCGTGCTTCTTGAACGTCTTCAGACTTCTGTCTTGTACACAAACACCATCAGCAACAACACGCGACACTTAGTCGTGACGTATATTGTTTAATCGGTATGTATTTTATCGCATTGCATTTCATCAATCGGTTCTTTCGGTTCGCTTTGGTCGCCCAGACACCTAACACAAGGTATTCGTAAGAGCATCCTGGCCATTTTCCATGGATTCCCGATGAGTACCCCTAGCGTTCACTAGGCGTGTAAAACCATTTCAGCAAACATGATGGACCTCGAAGACATTCAGCCCATGCAATGCTAAGCTAGCATGCAACATATGATCCTCTGTCTCAGTTACAAGTCGCCTACCCGACCTGCGACCGTACTGTAGTATGAACAGCCAACTACCGTTACCAACCCGATAGCGGTTGTAGTCCCGGAAAAAGAGAAATGCGACTATACCAAGAAATCATATGCAACAGAAGAACAGGCAATGTCCATGATACAACCGTACCAAATTTTCGCGTACCCTTTGTTGGTGGTACCTTTGGATTACTCAAATCTGGGTGGTGCTAACAATTGTTTCATGCAGGCAACCCAGTAATGTGGAAACGACTTCAGGGCCATGGGCGAGAAAAGGAGAGACATGCGCAAATAGGCAACCCCGTACTCCTTGAAACAACCTACGACGAGGACCAACTCAGGCGAAATCCAAATGTGACCGACGTTCAAAATGCCAATTTCCAGCGCAATGCGCCCGCTCGACCGCAGCCGCAGTAGTAGGTTACCGAGTTCCTTCAGCCCTCATGTCATTGACGATCTCCAGTACACTCTCTACCTTGCCCCCTCCGGACTATAGAGCCTCGGAAGTACCTTCCGCTTCGTCGGTCTACTCTCGACCTTCACATGATCTGGCATACTACAACGATAATCCCGAAGAAACTTCCGCTTCCGCTTACGAGGACATTTCACCGCCCAGCTCTCCAGAACCTGACCAGTATCTTTCATCCTCTTCTGGCCAACCTCGTCGATTCCGTTCGATGCGTGACGTATCGCCCATGGATGAAAATCGCAAGAAGCTCGAAGGCAGCAACATCCCTGTCCTGCGCAGAGCACCTCCAGCTCTCCAAACCGGCGACCTGCAGTCAGAGCCAAAGCAGAAGTTCTGGGGAGGTAAGGTTGTGCCAAACAGCAAAGTAAGATGGGACGACTACTCGGGCGAGCCGACTTCAAGCAATGGGGGTAAAGCCGCATCGGTGACCCCGGGCTCTTACGCCAATGGCACTACATCTTCAGATCCTCGACCGATGGGCTATCAAGTTTCAATTTCAGGACCCGGGAAAAGGAATGTGAGCCTTCCAGAACGCATGAGTCGTTTTGGTACGAGACCAACACCAGGCCCCGTTGAGAGAGCAAGACCAAGTGAGCCCTGGAGTCGCGTCACAGGTCGATCCGAGATTGCACCACCACTGAAAGATGATTCTTCAAAGAAACCGCTGCAATTACCACGAAAGCAGATGTCGACAACAATGGAGAGATCGGGCCGGGATGCCTCGGGTGCGCTTGCGGCTGACACCGCACCTGTCACAGACGAAACGCGCGACTTGGATATGCATAACGATCTTATCAAGCCGGTTGTACCGCTCAAAGTGGGAAAGAACTCCCCTCCCCGCAGTGGGCTCACTTCTCCCACTTCACCGACTAACCTGGGTCTTGGAATTCATACGACCTCGTATCCTAGTCCTATAACGCCTACAAACCAGAATCACGATCACCTACGGGGGCCAGCTACGGCAGTCGATAGACAAACAGCGGCGAATCTACACCCAACCCAGCGAAGTGCCACACCACCGTACAACGCAGTAAAGAGCAAGTCCCCGGAAGAAACGCCAGAAAAAGACAGTCAAGCAACGGCAAGCCGCTTCTCGTGGACTACTTATAACAGCGCAACAACATATCAACACTCGCCTCCCCCCTCGCCTCCGCCCCCACTACCCTCAACATTGTCAACGCCGGTACCGAAGCAGCGGGTCGTAACAGAACCCATATCAGCCGCGCCCTCCATCCTCAACCGCCGCCGCCCTGTCCCCGCCTCAGACCGTTTCCCTGAACCCATCACTAGCCGTAAACCTGTACCCAGCACGACAGAATCACCCGGTACAGCCAAAATTCACACGATGCAGTCTAACTCTGGTTCGCCAGATCCACCCTCACCAAGTGCAGCATCTACATTCAGCACTGCAACGACAGGCACGTTCAAGGCGCTGCCCCAGCCCCCCACCACACTCAGTGCATCCGACCACGTCTCCCTCCTCGAATCGCAGATCGAAGACCTCCGCATCCGGCGCTCAAACGTGTACCGCCTCCTCAATGACCTCAACAACGCCGCGCCGGCCAATCCGCTCATCACGGATTTCAAGCGTGCGAGGTTGGTGGAGCAGAGAAAGAGGGGGTTTGAAGATGAGCTGAGCGAGATCAAGCGCGAGGAACATGATGTTGGGCTGAAGTTGCATAGGGCGTGGAAGAAGAGGGAGAGGGAGGATCCCAACACGGGGAGTGCGCTGTGGGTTAGGCGGGTTACTAGCTGATCTTACGATAAAGAAGGTTGGCTGATAGCTGCATGGCCTACGAAGCGCTGTAGGCGGTTAAGAGTAATTCCTCGAAGCCAATCTCATGGACAGATATCGAGATCAAGGCTTGAAGAGATCACCATTGAAAGTTGCTTTGCATTAGCATAGTACCCATTTGAAACTCGAGTCCACATTTGCAGTTTGAGACGTTCATCATTGTAGTTTGATTATGTACATAATGGTATGTATCACCATTTATGTAAGGTAGGCATGGACCTCTGGTATGTCCAGTCAAGTATTATACATGCGAATATACATCGTTCCAGTGATTCCACACAGAGCCACTTCCAATCCAATTACAGCATCGAGCCCATCAAATATCCCCAATGCGCCCATGAGCCCGACTGAAAGATGCATGTTGCATGGCTCAGACATGCCGCATATCAAAAAGGATTGTTGGGTACTGTGAGCTCCAAGTTGACGTGGATACGAAAATGCATTGATAAAGCTCCGAGTCCAGTCATGTCGATGAAAGCCGGTTGTCGTCGTAGTAGGTCGATCTTATGCGTTACAGTGATGCAGGGACTGTAAGGTAAGTGTTCGTAGGACTTGAGTGTGGCCAGCAAACAAGCCCTACGGTAAGATCAACATTTCCAGTACTCACTTTTTCGTAATCTCTTCCGAACTTTCGCTTTGCCCCATAACGGGCTTCGTGTTGTACCAGTCCCATAATTTGATGGGTAGACTTCTATTGCCGATGGTGTCAATTGGCAATTCTGTGAATCCATGATATGGCAACGCCACACCTAGTGGATCCCGTCCCCGTTCCTCATGGCAGAAGGCAGTGCAGAAAATCGAAAACAAGCAGTACAAAAATTCAATTATACTCTGCTTACCGACGGATACCAGGCGTGCCACGCTTTAGCAAAGGCGGCTTGACAACAGCGGCCGTGGACGCGATCTTGGGCGCAAGGCTCTTGTTCGCAAAGAACTTGTGAACGAGCGCTTCTTTGGGTGACAGGCGCTTTTCAACGTTCATGTGGAGACAGGCGCTCAGCATGTCCGCCAAGTCGTTCAACTCGCCAACTGTTGGTCCCTGTGTGGTAATGCCTCGAGCAGCCTCGTGAACGCGGGTCTTCATGTCGCGGGTAATCTTCTTCTTCTGCTCGATCTTGCGGACAGAAAGCTGTCGAGTGTTAGCGGATTTTATCGAGAGTAAATGGAAAGATGTACCTGGTTGTACTGATCCACTTCGCGGCTGATGAATTTGAGCGGTGGTCCGAGCTCGAAGTTGTCGAGGATATTGTTCACGAGACCCTTCTTCAGTAACTTCTCACTTGGCCATCCGAGACAATCCATGAAGGCCTTGACCATCTGGTTGTTGGATCGCCCTGTGAAGAGAATCTTGCCCGTCCACAGCTCGTACACGGTGCAGCCAACAGCCCACATGTCAACAGGATAGCCAATCTCCATACCAAGTATAATTTCCGGTGCGCGGTAGAATCGACTGACTAGGTATTCTGTACGTTCGACCTGATCTCGCTTGTCAACCGCAGTTCCGAAATCGGCAAGCTTGATCGTCTTCTTGTCTGGTGAGACGAGTACGTTGTCGGGCTTGAGGTCGAGATGGATGACTTGACAGTTCTGCAGGTGCTGAAGGCCGAGGAACATTTGGCGGGCGTATATGCGGACAGCTGGAAGGGTCAATCCGTGACCGTTGGTCTCTTCTTTGAGCAAATCTCGCAAGTTCTTGGACATGTGTTCGAAAACGATGCACAGATGGCCCTTGTGGTCAAATGAACCCAGCAAGCGAACGATATGGCGCTTGTCTTGTGGATCTGCCTCGTTGACCTTTCGTAAGAAATCCATCTCCTTTTGACTGGCCTTTCTCATTAGCTCGTTTCTACGAATCATCTTGATGGCGACCAGCCTGCGGTTCTGGTCGTTACCATCTGCCGTAACTTCTTCAGCTTGGGCAACGTTGGCGAAGACACCGCGACCAAGATTTTTGACCATTCTATAGCGGCCGCTGTCAACTAGCTCGTTGTTGATGAGCTTGTAATAACCCTCAGGATCATCCCAGTTATCGAGCAACTTCTCGTGAAGAACAGTCCCTTTCGCGGTGGTATTTTCTTCGGCTTCGACTGCTACGTCCTCAGTCTCCTCATCCGACTCAGCAAACATATCGAACTCCTTCTTCTGCTTCTTCACTGGAACTGCCTTTTCAGCCGGGAGGGTAGAGAGTACTTTCGGGTCGGTTTCGCGATACGCATCAGAAGGCAGCTCAGGATTCTGGGTCTTCTTGGCCGCTCGATCGCGATCGTCCAACATGTCCTGCATAGGGTCGTAGTCGGCTGCGGACGGACTGTCGGCTGAAGGAGAATTTCCTTCACTCATGGGCCCCTGCTTGTCGATAATCATAACATCTGGAGAAGCGGGAACAGAGTCCAGGTCGCCATTACGAGGGGATGCGACAGGCGATATAGGGCTGTCTGCATATGGTGCTGGGGACGCGATAGTTGGCGTTGTGGCCTCCGACGCATTCGTGAGAATTGCCCGTTGGAGAAGATTCTCCTTTGGCTTCTGCTGTTCGGCTGCGGCGCGTATAGCAGCCCAGCGACGGCGCTTCTCTTCGCGCGACTCTTGTGTGGGGACCTTCTCTTCTGCAGGTGCCGGGGTGTAGTCAGGGACGCCTTCCGCGGACGACCTATTCCGTTGAATTAGTCTATAGCAATATAACTAGATAAGTTTTGATACTAACATTTCAACATCCTCACTGGCGCTGGACTGTGCGATTTGCGCTCTAGACCCATTGGTCGATGTCTGGCGCTCCTGTGGAGGCGCCTGACGAGACCTATCGCGCCGTTGATCACCGTTGCTTAGCTTCTGAGGCCGATTGTCGATCTTCAGACCGTGGCGAAAGTCGGGCACCGGGTTGGGGTTCTCAACCTCCGCGTATGAAATGGGCACTGCATAAGGTCGGTCTGCCACATTACTACGCTCCTTCACGAAGCCTGGTTGAGGCTGCCTAGCTCTCGAATCGTCCGCATGTGACCTATATCGAGGGTCGCTGTGTCTGTCACGATCAGTGTGGTGTCGCTTGTCGGGTCGGTTACCGCGCGGCGGAGAAGTCTTCCGTTTATGAAAGGAGTGCGAAGCATTACCATCGTAGCTGTTCTCAGCTCGACTGCGACGATACGGTGAAGGCGAGCGGTCGATTGCGCGTTTCTGTCGGTATGGCGACGGAGATCGGGTGCGCTTACGTCGGTATGGTGAGGGGGAGCGACTCCGAGCGCGATGGTTGTATCCTGGCTGGGTCAATTTGCGTCCAGAGAGCGCAGTTCTGGCGGAGGAGGCGCTACCATAGTTATCAGAAGCACCGTCCAGCCCAAAGACCCTGTCCGAGTCGTTAATTGGAGGTTCGCTGTGCTGATTGGCGGTGTTTGCCTTGTGTTGGGGCTCGACGACTTCGCCTTCCGAAGCTGAGCTCGCGCGCGACATGATGAGGTCGACTACTTGCTTCTGAGCTCCTGTTGCAGACGAAACGGGTTCTGGGCGTCAGCTTGCTTCTTATTGTGGAGAAGATTGAGTGTCTCTGTCACTGACTATGTCCCAGAGCGTAGCGCTCGACCAACTTGCCCGGCAGAAGCTGGGTCTGGGTAGGCAAGGGAGCACGCAGGAAGAAGAGACAGGTGCGAGGGCACCGAGGGATATGGAGAGGTTGTGCAGGAGGAAGAAGCGCACGGCGTCGTCGTGTCGCGATTGAGGCCGGCGATACGCGGGGAAAGTGCAAACGGTAAAGTTAAAGCTTGGCATTGAACTATCTAAGTCACGTGTCCATGCACTGGCTGTGAGCTCGACAACCTCAGGAGTCGACGATTAGGCTATCAAATGAAATCATGTACAGGGTTCCAACTTAGCTGTTTTTAGTACTTCGAGGAAATCGGCCAAATTGAACTTACCAGACGCCCTCTCCCAACTGCCATTGAGAGACCATTCCTCGTGTGGTCATCATAGCCTAATATACCTATCAGCTAAGAGGAATTGCAAAGCACCTACGCCCTAGTTGAGCTGTCGCTGGTTTTGTGAGGATACTTTGAGTTTCCTATCAGCCAGAGAAGAATGGGGGATATGGAAACATAAACGGACCTTTTCGTATGCCCTTTGTTATAGACACGTGGTGCACGACAACAGAGCCATCTTCGATGCACAGAAATTAATCACAAACAACTCCGCGCTTAAAAGTATCTCCACAGAACCGGCGATAGACCCATGGGGCGTACGCGCTTTTAAAATCCTTCTCAGTACACGGAAATAATAACACGGGAAAGATACGCGAGTAGGTTAGCTGTAGACCAAATGCCATGAATCATGACATCTACGATTGACGACTTGGGAAATGCACAAGGGTTTAGATTTCATTCTTGCCGTCAGGCAACGAAGCATCGTGACCCAAACCCCCTTTCGATGCCCAGAGCAAATGGTGCCAGGGTATACTGAAGCGAATACGATATCGCTCAAGATTGACTTAATTCTTTGTGCAGATGACTATTCAGCGGACTTTTGTAGGCTATATTTCTATGTTGCGGCAAGCTCGAGTTCTGATGAAGCTGACTTGGGCCAGAACGACATCCCCAGAACAACCTTTCCGTTCAGATTCTATCGTGGTCATGCTCAGACGAAGAACGATTTGTTGGACATGAAACGTGAATCGCGTGCTCGCGCAAATTCAATCCCGCTCTCAAGCTCATTGCCTGTTTCAGTTTAGCCATTACCCGAAGAGCATTAGCTCTTACCCGATTAGTCCTTTCAGAGTGAGAGAACCTGTTTCCCTGGCCACGCAATTAATTCTAAGTGGTATGCCTTGGCCCTCGATCTCCTGCAGAAATGCTCGATCCCGGCATCATATGCAAAGACACGGAGTTTGTGTAAGCGCATTAGGCCCCTCCAGACCAACTAGTTTCGGTGATGGTGTCGTATGCCAAGCTAGCAGACGTACCTACCCCACAACCACCTCGGGTAATCGGCGCGTTCTTTAGACCTCATCTCTACACCTCAGTGAGCCAGACTAAGTCACTTGAAGCAAATCTTGGAGAGAAGGCTGGTGATAGGGTGAAGAAACAGGCGGGGGGGCACTACAGTGGAAAGAAGGCATTAGGAGGGAACAAAGCAGTAACATGCTAAGCAAAAGAGCCGGAAGAATGATATGTTTCATAGGTCAGGTCCACAGCCTCAATGATCTTTGCCGTGCCACATAGAAAGAGGGCGGAGTACACTAGCCGCTTGTTACACGCAACAATGCCTGAGTCCCATCGTCACGCCTGATCATGGTCTTGGTACTCTTGGCAGAAGCCTCCCACGATGCCACTGGACAGTCCACGATGGCATCAACTACGTTCAGCATGTCCGTGCAACGTCTGTAGGCCCCATTGGTCAATGATGCCGCTGTAAGTCCTTGCGAAGGGCAGCGGACCGGTGGCGTTCGTTGTTGTATATGCTTGGAAAAGTATGGCAAATGGGGCTAGATCAACGAAAGCAGCTGGAGGACCATTGGCAGGCAAGATCAAATTGGTACTTATACCTTAACCTCCCTCTTCATCTCTAGATCAACTTCCACGCCAGCTCACTTTCTTTACCTCAACAGCCAGCAATTAGCCCGAGTAACACTAGCTTCAAGCTTGACAAACATGTCTCTCAAATACCTCTCCATCCTCGCCCTTGCAGGCTATGCATCGGCTCAGCAGAACGATACTGTTCCTACTCTCGCTCAGGCTTTGAGCTCGACGAGCGAGCTGTCCCAGCTACAAAGCGTTCTCAACCTAAATCCCGAACTCGTCCAGACTTTAAGCGGTGCAAATGATATCACTATCCTTGCACCGTCAAATGAAGCCTTCGGCCTGGTCGATAATGCGACTCTTACCGGTCTTACCTCGAACACAGGATTGCTCACTGCTCTCCTGCAGTACCACGTCCTGAACGGCACATTCCTCGCCAAGGCGATCACGAACACTAGTGCATTTGTTCCAACCCTATTAACCAACCCTCTCTTTACAAATGTGACTGGAGGCCAAGTCGTCGAAGCCATCGCCCAAGATGGCAAGGTCACCTTCTACAGCGGTCTGCTGTCCAACTCGTCTGTCTCCAAAGCGGTATGTGTCTAACACCCTCTCAAAGCATCTGCTCCATGTCTGATCATTGCAGGACGTGAATTTCACTGGTGGTGTTATTCATATTATCGACCGACTCCTTGTCCTCCCCGAGAATGCCGTCGACACACTGTCCGCCGCCAACCTCACGTCGCTGCGTGGTGCCATCAACGCGACCGGTCTCGTTGACACTGTCAACAATACACCCAACATCACAATCTTCGCGCCGTCCAACGAAGCGATCCAGAACATCGGTTCCGCATTCGCCAATCTTACGACGGAGCAGATTACCGACATCTTGACCTACCACGTCGTCACTGGGGATATCGGCTACTCCTCCAGCCTAGAGAATGGAACAAGCCTTACAACTGCAAATGGCGGCAACTTGACAATCATCGTCGGGACTGGTGGAATTTTTGTTAACAACGCTCGTGTCATCACCTCCGACGTTTTGATCGCCAACGGTGTCGTCCATGTCATCGACGAGGTCCTCAACCCCACCAACAAGACCCTCGCTGACCCTGCATCCAAGGAGGGTAAGCCTGCCTTTGAGGGTGCCACCCCTGCGTCAGACGTTCCATACACTTCCGGCCAACCTACGCCTACCAACACCATCAACGCAGAAGCTACTAAAGCTGCCGATCCTACTCGGTCTGGTGCCATGAGCGCAAGCACTGCAGGTGCTCCTCAAGCCATGAAGACTGGTGCTGTTGGTATGGGTGCTTTGTTCGGCGCTGCTGCCGTCTACATGATGTAATCTTGGACAGTATCTGAGCATATAGATTCGTTGGGTTATATGTGAGATAGCAGAATCCAGAAGGTAGTGGTGCGAGACTGTTGGGATTGTAAATAATGCAAAGCTGTCATTGTTTATGAGAGCAAATGAGGGGGTATTGAGGTTGTTATGGCTTACTTTAATATAAATCATTAATACTGAACGTACTCAATGCATTCATTCCTTCCATTATATGCATGGATGCGATCCCCCAAGTTTATGCTTATGAATCATGATTTTCGGCGACTGGTGTGCAATCGGAAGATATTTGGCTAGTGTACAGGGAACGTGTCAAAGCAAACGCAGAAGGTGGCATTTCACTGCACAGTATCTGCACAATGTGGGCTCGGTTAGTTGCCAAAGCTGATAGAGCACGAATACGGAATCTCGTGTATCCTTGATCGTGAACTTCAGCTGTACGCGCAGAGCTCGCTAGACCATGTTGATGACATGACATGGTTTGACAGAACCAATTTGGGCAAATGTGTTGAAAATCTCGAAGGACTTTTTATTCACCAGTAACAGTGCCAGTCAAAGTGACCGTCCAAACAGAGAAAACGGCTGGTTATCATTCAGCTCTCCACAGTAGCGGAATCATGCATCCGGTGGACGGGAGGCTTTGCCAGGGGTCGTGTCCAAGCTTTCGATTGGCGAGCGGAAGTGGAGATCATTGAAACTGGAGCACCGACCAGGGCTTATTGCGCTGCCTCATTCGACCAATCCGAAGATCGTTTGCCTCCGACATCATAATGTTTGTCAGGGCTTGCGATCGTCACTAGGAGAAGTTGGCACACATCACTCACGTAACCTATCCACAGCGTATCGTACAACCGCGATACGACATCTCCCTCTTTGAGGAACACCATTCTAGCGTTTGTTTCACGTCTGCCGTTATCCGTCCCACATTTGTTTACACCTCCACGCGTTGGCATTGCTAAACCGCGGATCCGACAGCTCGATGATAATCTATACCGTTCTGGGACAGCTTTCGACTCGTGGACCTCTCACCTGGGCAGAATCCCCAAGCTAGTATATTGTTACTGCAATAATTTGTCTATGGCTTTTAGAGTCTTCCGTGATTGATTCGCGGATTCTTCTCTGTAGATTTTCAGCTCTCCAGCATGCGCCACTCGATATCCTGTCAGCACGACCAGTGGATGGTAAACCGTGCGCGACTATATTGAGATCGACCCAGCATTCTGGATAATCTACCCGTCCGAGGGGATGTCCTCCCAAGGTCCAAAAACTGAGCATCCCGCGTGTATCACCACTCCGCCTAACGCTGTTGCACTTGGCTTATCTCGCTTCTATGTCACCGTAACCTGAGTACAACACCAGAGCTTGGTCATCTCCGTTTCGCGGAGCTCTCTTTTGAGCTCTTCTGTTCAGTCGTCGCGATATTAGTCCGTCTTTTTCAAGTATGTTACGCCTACTAACCCGTCGCAAAGACGATTCTGAACGCTACTTGGTCAACTTGTAAGTCAGTTGAATAAAACCTCACTTGTTCCTTAAACTATCACTAGCATTGGGTATGTTACTTAAGGGACGTTGAGGAAACGACACCACGAAGACGTAGCGTCGTAAGTAGCAGTTGGATTGTTCATTGACCATGTTATGTAGACCTGAACAATCGCGACCGCACACCGCAGATGAGATCAAGGCACGAAATTCGACCAGACCAAGGTCGGCCACGATTTTAGAAGCCGCTGCGCAAAACACAAGACCTGCCCAAACGAACAGGCCTCCTTTACCAAGCTGGTCTTACAACATGCCGCATCTAGACTGGGATGTGCCTCATCTGACGAAGACGCCATGGGAACTTGAGCGGCACAGAAAGACTTCCACATGGAGGCGATCAAGGCCTCACTATCAATTTCCCGCGCATATTTTTAAGAGACTACCCCGAGAAGTGTACGACTGCATTGTTGCACAATTGGAGCAGATCCATCTTGATCACGATCGGGCATGTTCATCGTGCTACTTGAAAGACCTCTACAGTCTGTCGCTCACCAGTCGCATGTGGGACAAAGCCGCGACTGCGCAAATGTGAGTGACATGTCTTCACTCTGGAGTTGCCTTCGTCTATCTCAGTTACACTAGCCATGCATGTCATGGGCTCCGTGAAGCATGATACGCAAGTCGAACTACCAATCTTTCGTTTGGCATGTAATTTACCTGTGTTACTGGCAAATTCCCAAATCTCACCCAAGTTATACTATCTGTTGGTTAGCACGAGCATTAAATAACACATCTGGCAGGTATAGCAAGGTCGTAGTTCCTACCAACGAAGAGCATGCTAGACTGCCCAAACTCAAGATTGAAGGCACCGGTAGACTCAAACTCCTGCGAAGAACGCTCCGTGAGCGCCTTGCACTCGCACGATGTGTGCGCGAATTGCATCTGTCGGACTTTCAAACACTATACCAAAGTGCTAGCATCGAGCGCGAGGAGATTGTGAACTTAGTAGCGTCTCTAATCATGGCGTGTCCGTATTTAGAACGCGTAGTTGGTTTCCACGTACCGTTCGCCCACTCGTTCGATCGACTATCACATGCGCTCTCGACGAGATCGATGCTGAAAGAGCGGGTATGGTTGCTAGAGGAAAAAGTCGCCGAGTCCAGTGAAGAGGAAGACGAAAAGTTGGGTGAATACTATCATGCTGCCTGTGACCCGACCGAACGCTTTCTCGAACTTAATGTTAGACAGCCGTTGCTGTCCACGTTGGTCCTACACCAGGATCAGGGTCAGGCTTATGCTTCTTTAAACTATCGTGCGATTATTGGGACGTTTCGACAGCTCCCGCTATTGCGCCATCTTTCGATATCGGGACTTGTTTCATTCTCTAATTTGGCCTTGTACGCCTTGCCGCTAAACTTGGAGACCTTGCGGCTTGAGAACCTTCCTGGAATCAACGACAAAGGCCTCCAACGATTCGCTTCTTCTCAGCTAACCGTATCTATCAAGAAGCTAACACTCGTTGATCTAAAAGTACGCAGTTTGGTCACGGTATCATATGTCTTATCTACTGACCTCGAAAACCTGGAGCATTTCTCCTTGGTTCAGCACCAAGCGCCTGGCCTCCCGTCACAGATCCCGGTGCCCGGTTTTAAATCAAGGTCATTACAATGCCTCCACTGGGAAATCCGCTCCCAGGCTTGTCCCGTCCCAGCTATATTATCACCATCCTCACCAGATTCGACAGTTTTGCCGTCCTTTCCCTTCACCAATTCAGACCCAATATCCTGTCTTGCTACCTTCCTTCTAGCAGGAAGTATCAAAGACGGTGCATTCCCCTCCCTCCGTCGGATCCGCATCCCTCATGACCCGCAAGGTCTGATTCAATCCCTGTGCAAACCGCTCGCCACGGCCTTACTCCCCACGGATACCGCCCTGCTCCAAAAACCACAGCGGATCTCGAGCTCGAATGGCTTCTCGACCGTGCTCGACAACAGCAGTTCACTTTCGCCAAAGATGCATGGTTTCTCCACGTACATTACTCCATCGAATGCACGCGCAGACTCCGCGATTGACTCTCCGACGTCGGTGGGTACTTTCGCGCAGGAAGCGTTTATCCCAATGCGATCGCGCCTTGCTGCCCAGTCGCGTATTATCGCTGCAAGGAAGAACACATATATGACTGTGCGCGTGTATGATCCCGAGGGCATTCTTCGACTTGAGAAAGATATTGGCGGATTTATGGGTCAAATTGGGAGCAAGATCACGTATCACTTGAAGGCTGATAAATCACGATCAGGCCATGGACTTGTCGGGATTAACGGTCCGGAGCGGAGCGAATGGATTATTAAGATTGAAGATCTAGTGGGCGAAAGTGAGGCTGCGGATGTGGAGTGTGAGGATTCTCGGAGAGATTGCGGGCATCTCGTAGGCAGTAGAGTAGGGGATAGTTTTGTGAGAGCTGAGGCCATATTCTGAGTTCGCGGGAAAAGACGCAGGGCTGGAATTGCTTTTCACGATGGCCGACTCTTTCACGACCTTTCTTTTCAAGTAGAGGACTTGTGAAGACTGTTCGCCGATCCGTCTGCTTTCGGCCCTTCTTTACAACCGTGTCGCAGAGGTGGAGACTTTGGGTCCTTTCGCATACGGCGCCTATCATAGAAGGCCGCCATTCGGCGTTAGAAGTGGGCTCCGCACTTTGCAGCAGTACCCCCTGTTAGTATTTTGGTATTCTGGTATTCTGGTAAAACTAAAATCTGATGAATGTCATACCGAAGTTTCAGTGTCTATACGACACCTTAGAAGTCAATGACGCCATGTTGAACATGTCAAATCCTCATCAAAGCTAGGTTGTGTGCGTGGGCCTTTACCAGTCAATAGTATCGCCCTGGCGCGTTCCGAGCCGTTTAGCCGAGGAGATCTCGAGGACGATCTCGAGTATGACGCAGGTTCAACAAGTTTCATGCAACCTACGTGAAGCCCTCGAAACTAGTTCGGTAAGTGTTCCGAAGCGTTCGCGCTCGCGGGGTAATACCATACGAAGGATTCGGGAAGATTGATCCACTAGTCAATACCTGTACATGGGTACCAAGTACCTTTCGAGCATATAGAAGCTAATATTGGCAGGACTACCGACCGGACACCCGGAGAAAATAACCCCTTGCGCAACGTACAGCCGCAGAACGGGGACAAGGTTCAGCCAACATGCGTCAAGTGGCCTGTTGTATAATGACTCAACCTCGTATTTCCGGGATTCGTTAACCAGATGTAGTCCAACAAACAGTAACCCTACCTCGCGTACTAAGATAACGACTCCTAGAAGCAGGGTAGCCTCAAAGAAGGTTCAATGCGAAGTCCGCCCGAGTAACGAGAATTCTCCACAGCTATGGTAAGACCGCAGACCTCAGACCCGCTACTCTAATAAAAGAAAATTTTCGCGAAGCCATTTCATTCATGAGCTTCACTGCTTTATAAAGAAAAGGGCAACATCTTACCTAGGTAATACTTGCTATCAATGAACACTTAGTACTGGAGATTCTCTTCGCGCGAAAGTTGACGAATGTGTCGTTTTTGGACAAGAAGCTGCCCACGTCCTTCTATAGATTGAACTGTCTAGAAGGCGAGGTAGTACCATAGGGTTTCAACAGTTCGGAATCGGTGATTAGATCCAACATTCCGGATTCGCTGATGGCATCCATGGTCTGGGCTGAAGTCAGCAGAAAACCATATGAGAGATACAGATTGGTCAAAATTTGCTCATCATAGCTGCACAAGCATGGGGTGCATGCTGTGGTCGGATGGTGGCTGGGGCCTGGGGGATTAGGTTTAGGATGTGTATAGGACGGGAGTGGAAGGATGCTAAGTCCGAAGAAGTCAATGCTGGTCTTCGTGTTTCATTCCGCGGACTCGATAGCATGCTCGCAAAACCATTATCTCATTCCAACGCATGTTTCAGTGACTGGGATACCCATGAATCACTGCTCTCATATCGATTCTACGTTTAAACACGACCTTTGCAGATCCTTCCTGATCACCAAACCACGATATTCTACACAGCTTGCCAAGTGAATCCTTAGGACAAGCCAATTCACAAGGCTGAGTTTTTCCGCCAGAGCACGTTGCCTGATTCAGGAGATGACCGACACCACCCACGCGCAAACTTATTTCATCCTTCGCTCCCCTTTGCAACCCTGAATACCATGCAGCTGGCAGCTTGTGCTCAGAGCATACCCGGCATGCGACAGCTAGGCGCTACAGCCGCGCTCAAGTTCTCTATTCAATTACGAGATTAGCTGTTTTCATCGTGCGGCTCGCCCATTTTGGTCCAGGATGCAGGGTGGTTGACGCTTCAATATCAATGTCGCCCAGGAAAGTTGACCGATCGCCGGTCCGGAACGCTCCTTCCGACACAGAAGCTTGGCACCACGATAACCTCGACATGTGGGTACAGAGGAGCTACACGAGCCACAGGTGTGACCGCCGAAGTGGAGTGCAGGAACCAGCCTATTCCCGCGGAACCCAATAACCCACGTAGTATATACAGCCTGATCGCTCTTAGCTGGCGCGCCTTTTCTTTGGTCGTCTTCTCAGAAGCTCGATCTCGAATAAGTTTTATTCCTCCCATTTTTCGTCTCCATCTAATCTCCTATGCCCAGCGCACAACTAGCCGTCGCTCGCACTTTGAGCGCCATCAGAAATGCGGCACAAAAGCCCCCGTACCATTTTCTCGCGGCCACCAAAGCCCGTGTAAAATTAGATACCTTATATAGGGAAACATGCAGGATACCAGGAGCTCAGTAAAGAGATGCGACAAGCCATTTTGATCCAAACTCCGCAAAGAAAACGCAAACCGGAATTGCCAGAATTCTTCATACCACTGGCTTGACTGGAATATGGCCTTCAAGTTGAGGCATCAGATCAAGAATCTTCGGGTCGATGGTCCAGTTATTCAGGTCGGCCACGGTGCTCTCAAACAGAGGCGTCAAGCGCGTATGTCCTGCCTCGATATCCCAATAATGGCACGCATCATCCGCATATGGCCATGTTATTCCAATGAGACCCACTAGTCCTCCGACTGGATATTCCTGGGGATTTTGGTAAAGCAACCGACGTACTTGAGGCCTAGGCGTTGTTAGCAGCATAATTCAAGAGAAATATACGGAACATACCAAGGAATGAGATGAATGAGTATGTCGAATGGCAAAGATTCCGGCTTGCCGACCGGCGGCATTAGCCACTCTGGATTCGCATTCAAGTTCTCTACACTGGGCCAAACAAGGTACTAGGGGAATGTCAGTCACCGCAAACCTAGTCGCCGACCTTTTCAACTTACCCGCACCATCTTGGTCAGCAGCCAGGTGGACGCAAGTCTGACTGCAAGAGGTGACGCCGGAAGGAGCTTGTTTACTGTCCTTGAACACCATGTCGAGACCGGTTGTGTGTCCTGAGGATCTAAAAACCCTAGCAGCAGTGTATCCACATCTATCTCAGATCTTCCGAATATTTGCGCCTGATCCCAGCCACTTGAAAGCAACTCCTGTTTTGTCCGCCGATAATACGCGCAATCGAAACCGAACTTGTGCAGAGCATTTGTCGTGGCATCGAGAGCCAAGGGTGTTGGGTTTATTGGTGCGATACCGTCGACTGCGTTTTCGGGCGGGTAACTCAATGCGGATTGGCTCTGTTCTCGACTTGAATGCTAGTCAGCCAATTGTCCTCACGTCGCGTTACATTCGACTTGCCTCTCGCCGCGCGAAGATCCGTCATAGGAAGAGGCGCCCATATTTTGTGCTGAGCCTGCAAAATGCTCGCTGCTCGGAGTACCAAAGGATTCGCCATCTGGCAGGGCGGATAATGCCTCTGACGGATCCTGAGCTTTGTCAGAGGGTGTTTACAGTAGGGTTTGGAGAGTCCCCACCGAAAGTGCTTTCCTGATATCTTCGGCGGAGTGGTGTGCGAGCCCATTCTTCTCAACCTCGCTTGCCCAGATGACTGCGGAAGCCCGGTCGGGTGTCTTGACGAACAACGGTATGAGCGACCTCGTCTCCTCCAATTCCTTCACCAACCGCCGGACATGAGCCCGCAACTGCGTGGTTGTCTTTCCATCCTCGGCGACATCGTAGACACATGTGAGGTTTTTGGACTGACAAGTGTTACATTTTGGCCTAACACCGTCACACTGGACCTGATATCAGTCGAATTCACATACGGCCTTTGGACAACTGCGAACCTTGGATTTACGTTTCCTGCAGCTCTCACACGCTATGGATGTGATTTTACCACGAGGAGTCCGAAGAGCATAGGTGCCGGAGATAGGAGATTGATGCTGCCCTCGTGCGTTCGCCAGGGCCCCCCCTAGTCCTTGCTTGGGTGCCAGCGGAGCTTTGTGAAGTGCAGATGCAGAGCCTGGCTGTGGGCGAATCACGAGAGTCGCTTGCGAGGTGTCGATATGGAGTTGACCTCCTTGGCTCCCGTCCCATTCAGAGGACTCCTCCTGGCTGATGAAACGTCAGCAAAGATTCCGACCAGATCGTCATAAAGTTCAACAAAAGAGGTCCTGCGCTTTTGGCCTGGCGCCTTCCGCTTGGTTCTGAATGATGTTCGTTGATCGGTGAGATCGCGCCGAAATGTGCGACATGGGTGTTGTTTTGGACCCCGCGCATCAGCCAGCCCTCAAAAGGCCGCCCCGAAGATGATCGGCATTCCGAGGATCTAAGAATGAATTGGCCATTTTGACCAAACCCCCCGTGGTGTTGCGACAAATCATCGACAGGACAAAGGGATTTGTTTTCGACGGATTGTAGTTTGTCCATTCCAGATCACGAGCTCGTCTCGAGGTACTCCCAATGATGGTTGATGCAGATCCTTTCCTAAAAGGGTGTCATTCATTCAAAGATTTCCGTTCATTCCTTGGCAGTCATCCGATCGTTCTTGCGGTGGAGAGACTCGTATCGTCGTGTGCAAGCGATATTGTAGACTGCGGGGGCAAAAGTCCCCATGTTTGTGCAAGGGCTAAGGCTCTTGACACGAGTCAGGAGTGTCGTGGTGTGGCAGTGACCGCGGCGGACAAGCGGTACCAGTGGGATCCATACGGGCTTTCGACAAAGACTTCTAGCCAGGCAGGAGCCACGGAGCTCAGGTACGCCTTGATGACGTCCTCATGATACTCTCAAGGGGAAATTTACGTACCTTTGAAAACCGGCCGCTTGTACCACAGCTTCCGAAGCACGACGCATCATGCGTGGATTCGAGCTATCCTGTGGTAAACCCTCCAACGCGTCTGGCAGGCTGTTACTGCCATACCAATAGTTCGGCCCTGCGAAGAAGTCAATCAGTGGCTGGACTCTGATGCTGGTGCCGATTTACCAGGAGACGAATTTGTTGATTGTGGAGGCATGAATACGATCATCTCTCACCGCAGAATATTCGTCGAAGGGAGCTATCTCGAATACGGGTGGACGTGGGATTTTGTTCCGCAAGGACCGTATGGATGATCAGCCATGCATGTCGGGGATATCCTCTGTATATCGTCTGCTAAAGCTGCTAAAGCAGTGAGCGTGAGGAACCGTTAGTGCTCGGCCATCTCCTATGCGGAACTGCTGACAAGCACTTGCAGCTGAACGAAGTTTCAAATGTGTTGCCCACCTAAACACCAACAGCTGGCTGATGCAGGTCGATCTAGCGTTTAGCGCACCACAGCTAAACACCGCGGGGAAATCGGCTTAGCTGACGGCGGTCTCGGACTAGGCCTCAATGGCCGCTTTCCACAAATATCAACAAAGGCATACGCATCCCAGTGCAACTTCAGCACGACTCCATAGTTGGCTGTCATAGAATTTCCTTCTGCCGGTTGTCTCCACGTCGGAAGCTTGTCTCAATCGTCAGCCAGTGCGCCACCGACTCGATCAGTATGATTATATGCACACACACGCTTCTTTGTTGTGTGTACATGGGTTTTTCGGAGGCTTGCTTGTTGATCGTCACTTTGCGTCCATGTTTGCGCTGTGACGAGCGGCAGATCTCCTTGTTCCGTCACCATCAACGATGGTCGAGGCCCTCAGGACCCTCATGCCGCATGCCCCCACTAGAATTATGGACACTGGGCTGCATGGCTACCCAGGAATGTCTGCTAAACGAAGGCGCATGTCTTTGGCCGAAGCTGGCAGGACGATAATATTGATTCGGTCCGATGCTTGAAGGCAAAGCCTGTTGGTCGTACTGCCGCGTTGCAGTGGATTTCCGCCATGCCAACGGTGCATTCTTCAAGCTCAAACGCATGGGTGTGGTGACGTATGGCCTAGTGTGCCAGTGTCTTCTACACGGATTTTGGCCACCGCTATCGTCCTAAACGGATGATGCCTGAGCACTGGGCAGGAACATGTTCTCCCGCACTCACGCCAGCGAACGCCCCACCAGCAGGCGCACACGCATGCCAACGTGGTATTCTAGAGTACTTTCGGCGAATTCATGGAACAGGAACGGGCTTTACGTGGTAATCTTAGCCGCCCTATAATCTCTACTATCGACTAAACTTTCCTTCACGGCCGATACGCAAGGAGAAAGTTGTCTTCGCGCCAATGCCTGACTTTCATCACGAGATGTAGTCTGTATTAATTATAGGACCGCTTGCTCAACAGCGAAACCGGTGACTCAGACTTCTCAGAAAGTCATACATTCTTCAAATCAGCATCTGTTACAACTTCATCAGATTGAGAGGTTTACACTTGGCCTGAAAGAGCAGATCTATCCTTCAAACTTTAATGAAACCAATCATCTCACTGGTCAGGCGGCCACGAACCTTGTCTTGAAAAATCTTCACGAGAACTCCTATCAAAACAAGTTCTCGCGCCTGAGCTTGTGGCTGCGGTGCTTTCGCTAAGCAATGAAGTGCATTTTGGAGGCGCATGATTTTGATGGTTACTTTTCCTGCGAGAAGTCCTTCAACGAGACATACATAGCTTCATTCCCCGAAACTAGTCTCCATTCGTTCCTGGATGCCATGCACGGCTGTTGTCCCGAACATTATGCCGCAGTTGCCGCAGTTCGCCTGTGCCCTGCTGCATTGGTAAGGCTTCATAACATTCTCGTGTGCGGGGATCCCAGACTCTAGTCTCTGCTTCTCAATATTCATCAGCTACAGCCACCAGCACTAAGGCTTTTGTAACAATCTGGTATACTAATCCGCTATATACAATGCCTGGGTAGCATCCGCACGTTTCACGAATTCGTAAGTAAAGCCGGGTACTTTTTGGGGTTGCAAGATTCAACTCTACAAGATCTACAACTTTACTTTCTGAGTCTAGATACGCTATGCAGGGAGTACGAGGCGGTAAAAACGGTAGCTATACGCCGCTCTCGAGAAGGCGGGTAATCATCGGCCTCTCATGCTCCCCTCGCCGACCAGTAGGATTTGCAAACTGCCAATCAGACATCAACCCGTAGCAGAGGCGCCTGAGTTCGACTAGATTGTACGACATCGACATCAGCAATCCCATGGTGATGTCACACGCAGCCAGCCTTGAACTTGAAATTGGGGTTCGATAACAGGCGAGATCTAGACCTCGATAGATGTAGCTGATTTGTGCAGCGATGACATCTCACGGCGTAAAACGTACTGTGGCTTCAGTATCGGGTTCGGAAACATCCAGGGAGTCCGGTAGCTTCTCGTTCCTGCCTTTTTCCATGGTAATCACGGCAACTCAGGACATGAGATTAACGTGAGATTAACGTGATAGAGCGCTCATTTTTCGCCTTGGAATTACCTATTAGTTGCAGCGGTTCACTATCGTAACCCAGCCGTTTGGCACCTGGCGCAGCAGGGTCATAACGCCCAAGCCACTTTTCCGAAATGACTGGGCTATAACTCAGGATCTCGTTCCGGCATTTTTGATTGGCGGCATTCATACCCGTTAGTTACACAACTTTAAGGTCAAATCTCACTATGAAGACCGCAAAGGAGTGAATACGGTGCAAGGAGGCATCGTTATTCCTCAAGTAGCTTTTGCTTTTCTTGCGGAACGTTCGACTTTAGTGTTCCGCCCCATGGGTTACATGAAATGTCTTACTTGCAAATAAGGCTTATCGCGTAAAACTTGTGACTATGTAATCTGGAGCCTGCTCTCAATTCAACATCATCTCCTAGCCGGATGATATCATTCCGTGCCCTTCGTCTACGTGTGCCGATTGCCGACTCTGGACGAATATAGTTCAAACCCGTGATCCGTGCCAAGGAATAAACAATAATGGCTATCTTTGCTGCTGCATCTGAACCGGTTTCTCCGGCCGGCACCATCCGCTACAAGTTCTCTGAGGCAGGTAGATTCCAGTACCATGGACTGCAGGTGAAGCCGCAACGCTAAAGCACGCTATAGACACCAGTAAACACTAACCAACGGCGCCTCGTATGCACGCGGCCCATGTACCCAGCGTTAGAAGGATTATCCGAAGTTTGTGCTTGTCGTGCATTAGTCTGCCAGGCTTCGCACCAGGTGTCTTCGACTCTTGCCGCGGGAACCGATACGATCTGCTCTGACTCGAAGTTGCAGTAACATAGTATCCATCCGCCAGCTGTTATCCGAACCGTTGTGGAGTTACACGAGTATCCACCCAACGAAGTCTAATTCCGACCCGTTGTGGAGCTATACATGGACCCACCCAACAAACTCTAATTCCGACCCATTGTGTAGTCACATGCCATCCTTTGCCCAACGAACTCTGAATCCGAACTTTGCGGAGTTTCTCCGCGTTCATTCTTTGCCCCTCTTTCACGGGCACCTTGCCACAGAAAAATGGGCGCATATTAATAGTTCAATGTGAGCGTGACAGAAAATTGGGGAGACTAACACACTTCACCGTAGGCGTTTCTCTATATACCAAACCTTGTGTCACCTGGGCAATTAGCTAGAATTAATGCAGCCAGAATGGGCATTCTCAATGCCCATAATAGGATAGGGGTAGTGTATTGTGACGACATGCGGTCGCGTTCACCAAAGGCTGAATGAGGTAAAAAAACTGCGGTTGCTAAAGTACGGCAAACTTGGCATTGTGAAGGATAACAAAGAGAGCTCTTTTATTCTTGGAATAGCAATTGCCGTTTCAGCGGCATTGCTGCTGGTGTATTCGGCGATGTTGTGGTTGTCGATTCTAAATAACTGCGGTGATCTTCTCCTTCAATCTGGCAGCGCGGCAAGCCACTCAGTCTTCTTTTCTGTATCATGACATCAATGTCGTATCGTTTTGTGATTCGTATAATGCACTTCTTTTCTAGACACACATCATATGGTCTATACTGCGTGCCGCGTGCCGCGTGCCGCATGAACCTCGAATTTGGTCTACGCGTGAAAATATTCTAGCAAACTACACTTGGAAGAACTGAGAACCTTTAACACAGCCTTGTAGCGGCATCTGTATCCCCGCCTATCATAGGAACATTGACAAACATCGACGCCAGCCACGCATTCGTCACCGAGTCTTTCACAAGTCTCCTGTGCGTCATGACCTCTGCATAACGATCTCTGAGCGATCTATTCCTGCAGGTACCCTGATCGTGCTCTCGAGCTACTTTGCGACGGCCCGAGAAAAAGTTGATCACTGATCAGGTCTCCATGTCTAGCGCGCCGCGTAAGCACAAGACGCCCATGGTATATTCGGTGAGACCAGGCATCCTGCATAAGGAACGATTCAAGTCCTTAGTGACTGGTTGCTCAGCAGCACTATCCAAACTTGAACCGAAATCGAGGCCTGCTGTACGCAATTGAAGATGTCGTTGTCGAACCCTCGACCAGCGACACCGGGAAACCTGCTCATCAACGGCCGGTCGGGGCCCGATACTTGCAGGCATCAGGATGCTACCTCCACAATCCAAGTACACTCGGTATAGACTACGCCTGCGCAGTCTTCCTCCCTCATTCTATCTCGCTCTCTTTGACCATCGCTTCGTTCATACCTTCTGCCTCATCAATTTGTGCAGCGAAGAGCTCAACTGCTGTGCTTCTTTGTCCCTGACTCTCCTGGACGATGGACTCGCATGCCGCGACGAGGCTTTTGACCCAGCCGAAGAAGCAGGTGAAGCTTCGCGACGTCGCCTCTCCAGCTTCCTATGCTCTGTGCTGCCGGTCGAGGTCACGGTGTCACTCCTCTTCCTCAGACGCCGCGTCGGCGTTGGCACCTGAGCCTGAGCGTGGGCCGATGTCGCTGGGTTGTGCTGCGACGCCGACGATTGTGCTCGTCTCCTTCGCGCCTCGTTGACTAATGTTTTCTCCGACTCTGGAGTCACTGCGGGACTCGAGGTTCGTCGTCTGCACACCCGTGGTGGTGTCTGTGGATGCTTCGCCAACTCTTCGATGTCTACTTTGTTCGTGTCTTCTCTCTGACTGTACTCGCTTCGTGACTGGGTATACGAGTCCAACATCTTTTCCACCTCCCGCTTATTCGCATCCGTATATACTAGCCTTAGAACCTCTAAGGCGAGCAGCGATGCGGCTGTGTAGGAAATGAGGAAGCCTAATCTGCTGTAGAACTCATATGTGATGAGAAAGCTAAAGAAGCTAAAGAAACTGAGGAACATCTTGTCGTTGTTTCGTCTTGAAGATAGACTGGCCCAGAGAATATGAATTTCGGTAGAGGATGTCAAGACTGTCAAAATCCTAGGAATGAGAGAGAGGTATTTTCCTTTCCTGCTCCAATGTGCGGCGGTGCTAATAAGAGATTCGGTAGACGTTGTGCCGCTGCAGCGCTTTCGTGTCTCACAGCAGGTGTTGGTGGAGTTGTGCCACGATAACAAAATACATCAGAACGACCTTGCGTCTGGGGCACAGTCACTTTTCAACTCTCTCTCACAGCGGCACAGTGAGACATTTGGACCCATTGCACGCGATTCGACCCCATGTTTCGCGCCTTGAAAGTTATTAATGGTTGGATCCTAGGGTTCGCGACGGCCTTTGAAACCAATCAGAGCGTTTCAGATGAGCCCCCAAGGATGCGACATGTTTGAAGTCCGCCACACCAGGCCCGAACGGGCAAATAGCGGGCTCTCTCACCACTGGAACATGCCGAAACGCCTACTGAGTGGCCTTGGGCATTGCGTCCATACCGGCAGGACTGGTAGAATAACGCCATTTCCGAGTCTTTAATTTAATGCTTTGAGAACGATCTCGTGTCCGAGGATCGCGCGCGCACAATGTCTCACCAACCTACCCTTCTACTGGTCACACGGCGCATAGCGGGGTATATCGCGAGATAGGATGAATGCAAATGCTCACCAGACTGGAGGATTGTATAGAGCCCCAAGTAAGATCCTGTCACGGTGCTATAAAAGGGGAGAGGAAGGAAAGTCACAAGCGAACTCTTCGAGCTAGAGAAAAGCCACTTCATTTCGCGGTTCGTAGCCCATTGGGTAGCGTTTAATAGCATGTGAAAGCCCTCCACGATCTCAAGACTGGGAGAGATTGCTACGATAAGGAATTGTATTATCCCCAGGATCGATTCTATTGGGTCCCATACCCTTAGAGCATTGAGAACATGATCGTACTTCCAGGGCATGTGAACGAATGTGTACATGGGCGCACCCATGTTCGACCAATATCTGCCGATGCAGTCAGACTATCCCATGGCGAAAGGGGTTGGCTTACAGCACAAAATGAACGCGAGAGGGTTGGTAGAGTGAAACATGTCCATTCGCGTCCCCATGCCCGCCTATTCACCTACTGGGATAACCAAATCATACTATACACCTACTGCTTATCCAAATATCCAACGCGCACAGCCATAACAATGCAATCATCCCTATATCCAACTCCAACCCAAACCGTGACCGAATAAACACCGCGCTGAATCGACCCAAGAAAGCAATAAGTAACCTAACCATTTTGCGACGAGAAAATCTTCATGTATGCGAATCGGCTCATATCCTCCCATGGTTCGGTATGATTTGATCATCATTCATGCTCAAATCCCAATCGATATCCTCAGTGGCCTGCGCAACGTGGCTACTCACACGCCAGATATTTTGCCCTGTCGTGCTACTTACTGCCCTACGCGCTCCCTGTAGCACTGTTTGCGTTGAGATCTCACCGAACCCAAATACACTTGTCCATATCCAAGAGAAGAATGAGTACAACGGTAGCCACCAAGCTTTGACGAAGTTCCGATAGACAAGTGTTGGTATGACAAATGGATATTGCGGTGCGTCCATGTTAACAGAGAAGGGGTGGCGTGAGTATTGTGCGTATTTGGGGTGACAATACATCTCACTGTCGACTGCGTTAGCAACGAGTGGATAGTACAGGGGGTAAGCAACATACCAAGCAATCTCCTCAGTGACCCACCAAGTGAAGAAGAGCACCAAAAAGATCCCCAAGCCTGTGAGACCCCCCCAGATCTTCCACCAACTGTTCCTTGTCTGCCGCTCAGACTTCAAGCGGTCCTGCCAAAAGAAGGACTTACACCATGTCCATGGCGAGAGTGGATGACCGCCATTCGCGGCGCAGGGACACTCGCCATACACAGCCTTGGTTTTATCACCATTTTCTACTTCCTCAACGTGCTCAACACGGTCTTCCACGCGCTTCATTCCCCGACTGGCATCGCGGATACTCGTCCGTACTGTCCGTAAGCGGTCATTCATGCGATGCAGATGCAAGAGTTCTTGCTGACGCTGGCGCTCGGCTTCGTTGCGGGGTGTGCTGGTAGGTAGCTGGAGGCCTTGGAGGGTATCCTCATCCAATTCACCTTCAGCGCTTTCCGATAGTGGGATGATCAAATCTTCCAGGGAGTTGATAGTTGAATCGCCGTAATCAGCGGATTGCTGGTGGCCGTCCGCTTTGGCTTCTTGAACGAGAGCTTGGAGTGCAGAGCTCGGCAACTGAGGACGTGTGATTTTGGATGCTACAACCTCTACCGATTCTTCTGCCTTCGGTACAGCTGGTTCCTCAAACAATTTAGCCTTTCGAGAACTGTTCTTCTTGGGTGATCGTGAGGTGCTGAGAGGTCTTGGTGCGATGCGCGGGCCAGGTGTGTCTATCCAAGCGCCAGTCACGACTGGTGTTTTCGGGTTTAGTATAGATCGTGCAACCGGCATCGGTGTTGCATCTATATCTTCAATCTCTGGCTGTGGTCCTGGGTTTGGTATTGGTATACTCTCGGTGTCTCGTGGGTTATCTCTCGGTCCTTCCTGCTGTGACTGCACTTTAGGAACTATTACAGGAGGCTCATCATGGTTATTGGGTACAGGGACTTCATCAACTACATTGTCTTCCCTTCCCAGTTGTGTAGGCGGTGTCTCAGTGGTCAGTATCTGAGACGAGTTATTTGGCTGCTTTGCGGGGCTGGTCTGAGGCCGTGATGCTGCTATTCGTCCTGGGCTTGGTGTGTTCGACACTCTCGCTAATCGGCGAAGTAGATCCTGTGAGTCTTCTCTTCGAGATCTTATAGGCCTTGGAGGATTTTTCTGTACGTTGGCAAGCCCATTGTGTTCCACTGTGCGTACAGTCTCAGCGCTCTTGTATAAAGCAATCGGTGAATTATCATTGCCAATGCCCGTTACCGGCTGCGACTTCCCGATCGATTGCCACGAATTCGTCCGTGTTCGTAATCGCTTCTGCGGTGAAGCGGCTAACTGCGCTGCTTGTTCTGTGTTGATTGCGCCCTCGGCTACGTTGTTGATCGACGATGAAGGCGGCCGGCGCATCTCCTCTGGTGAGCCCTTCCGTACTCTATCTGGTCGGGGTGCTGTGGAAGCTTGCTCTCTCAAACTCTCCGCCTCCCTCTGTCGTATATCGTCGAGTGCAGTGTTTCGCGGTATGTATGGCGTCGAAGCGATCATGGAAGCTTCATTGAGCTCGAAGGTGAGGTCCCAATCTGCCGATCGATCGTTTCGCGGTGTGCCGTGTCTAGAGCTCTTGTGTGATAGCGGACTATCCTCGACGGATCGGCGTGGTACATTCGCGTCGTGGGCGTCGTCTGCGCGTTGCTGGTATGGGTCGTTGTATTGTCTATTGATCGTATTATCGGCTAGAACCGGTGTCTGCGGTTGTTGTTGTTGTTGCTGCTGCTCCTCCTCCTCGTACGTAATAGTTCTCATCCAGTTTCTGTTCGACCTGCTCTTCCTCCCCCATCCTGGTGGCGCGTGTATCGCAGGATCTGACTTCGCTGAGCCGCTGCTGCTGGGTGGACTCTCAAACTTGACGTGCGCGCTTGCTCCTAGTGGTACACCATTACGCGCATCGTTCCTCTCGAGGTTTTCTATAGTCAAGCCGACGCGTGGATGTGTGCGCGCCTTGCGGAACGCCTGGACTCTGCCGTGTCGCGCTTCGTTCAACCGCCGCTCGTCGCGGGCGTTCTGGATCATAAGTTTCTCGAAATCGTCCGCGTCATTTTCGAGAGAACTGAGGCCTGATACGACTGAGGCTACATCCGCATCATCCTGTATCTGTTCCTCCATGGTGACGATGCCATTGGCGCTCTTGGTGGCGATGCGTGCGTAGCGTGTATTGATGATGTTCGCTGACGGTGGGGGAAGTGGTTGGAGGGGCCGGCGCGTAGTCATTGGTGCACGCTTAGTTGGTTACAATGATGCATAGTAATTGGAGATGAGGGTAGAGTTGAGCGTATGCGTAGATGTTCTATGTTTTCGCAATCGTCACAAAGGTAGTCGCATAGGCATGGTCATTGTTGTCGCTTGGTGAACGCGTCGTGACTTTCAAAGGGGGACGTGCACTAATTGATCATCGCAGGGCTGCACAATAGGCGACATTTCTAGAAACAGTGGATAGTGAAAGGACGAGATATTGCTAAGAGAGTTACCTCAAGTATATCCCCGTTTTCCCGATGCACGCAGTATTACGGTTCTTGGTCATCAATAGCTTGCAGCCTCCTCTGAACCATCTCTAGATCAGCATTGCCCTGTTCATCCCTCCATGCACGCAACACTTCTTCTCGCATAACTCGCCGCGGTGCTCGCTTTCCTGTAAATAGCTCGAATTGAGCAAAAGCCTGCTCTGGCAAGAAATCCAAGCCGTCCATGTAAGTCCACAGTCGAGAACCCTCGTCCCGCACTTGCTGCATCAACGGTGTGTTCAGCGTCTTATACGCAATCTCCATGACAACGCCGCCTGTCGGGCTCCTCACCCATTGCGCTGGAAGTGTGAACTGTGCCGCAGGACTGTCATCTATTGGATCGGCAGGGATGCATGAGAGAATAATGGTAGGTAGACGGATAGTATCCGGCCACGGGTCTTCCCGCGTCTTTAGTATGTGGAAAGTAGGAGGAGTATCCTGGCGGGTGGCCGATAGTGCAACTGTCGTCGCCTTCAGCGATAAGACAATACGGTTGAAGTGAGCAATAAGCTTTTCAGCCTTCTCAAGCGTCCTGTTAAAGATTGCAATGTTCTTGACTCCTAGCTGTAACAAGGCGTAAACCGCTGCTCTAGCCATGCCGCCTGCGCCAATGATCAAGCCCGTCGTCTTTGGCCTCACCGCATTAGCTGGAGACAGTCCTCTTCGCACACACGAGCGAATACCAATCCACTCGGTGTTGTCCCCATAAAGAGCCTGTATCGGGCCTGCCTGGTTGCGTTCCTGGAAGAGTTCCAGATCGCTGGGAATGCTACCATCGCCCTTGAGATGACGGACGGGTATAAGTGTATTCACTGCACCGATAGCTCGAGCGTGTTGGCTCAATGAATCTGCAAGAGAGATCACCTCTAACTTGAATGGCTGAATGACAATGGAGCCGCCAAAGTTGGGTTTGCGCACCAGTTCTTTAAGGCTGTTGAGGGAGGAACTCTGAACACGAACGAATTCATGCGGCATACCACATGAGTTGTACGCAGCATTATGCATAGCTGGTGAAACGCTGTACTCTAGACTTGCTCCAATAATATAGACGGACATAGGATCCAAAGTGAATGAGGTGTACAAAGCCTGTGTGACTTCTCGTGCAGTGAGCCAGGAAGTCTGGTGATTCTGCTCTATTGTCGTTGCAATGTTAGGCTTTTCTCTCGACGAAGTTGGGATAACTGGCGTTAGGTGCTGGTTAAAGCATACTGAGCGACGACCAGAGCGCCCTGAATTGTAACAAACCAGGGGAATCTGGGAATCGTTTGTGCTAATTCTAGAGCGTAGGCTCTGAATGAGTATATCGTCGTCAGTAGATCTCGCGGGCCGCGTGAACCGAACCACGGCGCAGCCAAGGCGCATAGCATAATCATATTTTATATCCCAAAAAGGATCATCCCATGATTTGTCGGTCTGTAGGTGCCCGATTATCTTGGTTATGCCTCTAGACGCAACTAATTTGGTAAGCGTTGCATGGTCGAGAGATAAGTCAATAGTTGCGAACTCTGGCGCCGTTCTCAAACCATGATGTACGTGTTCGAGGTATGAAGCTCGGCTTCCGTCTGTGGGGAGCACGTGATAGATAATCGGAACCACCGTACTCCTTCGTACTTTTGATACGCAGCTACTCGTGTCATCCACGAGGTCTGTCGCAGGTCCGGGTCGATGAGGGTCAACCAGAATTTCGAAGGCATCGCATCCAAGCTCTAAACCTTGGACGTTGATATCTTCGGCCAATAAATCTACCAGTGGTACCTGGACGGCACACGTATACTTTCGTAGTTCGGTAGCCACGTCAGAAAGTGGGTATCCTGGCTCCAGCGGAGGAATTGAAGGCCCAATAGGACCATCCGAATCTCCGCGCGATGTGATGAGTGACAAAAACTTAAGAAAAGTTCGTTGTGCTCGCTTGAGCGTAAGGAACGCTGGCGCCGCGGGTTCGTCGGTCACCGCGTCAAAATTAACAACTGTCGTCTCTGAGATGTTGTAGAACTCGTGGTTGGAACAAGCTCTTAAAATTGGTGCAGTAAAGGCTAGCATATCTTTGAGTCTTGAGAGCTCAACTCCCTTCAGGTACTCGTGCACGCTGTGCAGATCTCGCACAATATGGATAACTAGATGTGTTTTGGCAAAGTCTTGCATCACAGCCTGTCCATTTCTTTCTAAAGAGCCCCCATTGCAGACAATGATGGCGTCCTTGGTGTGTGTCTGTAGTGCAGAGCGTAGCAGCTCCTCCTGTCGTAGGTTGTGGTTGGCAGCGCCGAACTGCTTCCGGTATTTGGCGGTAGAGAAACCTGTCGCTTCTTGGAAGAGATCATCGATATCTACGACACGTCTGCGGCATGCTATGGAGGCAATGACAGCCAAGGTAGATTTTCCAGTCCCGCGCATGCCAATGAGCACGATGGAGGCATCCGGTTCGAATATGCGGCGGCATTCGTTCGGTACGGAAGTCAGTGCAGACGTATCTTGAGCACATGAGCCTGCTGAAGCTATTGCTCATCAGTAACCAGATATCGAGAGAATAGATTACCGTCATGAACGTACGTGTACCCTCCGTACTGACTCTGTGGCCCTCATACGAGCTTGGAGTTCCAGACCGAGTGACGTCGATTGAGCGAGGCGACTTGCTCGTATGGGAGAAGCTATTGGTTGCTGTCGTGTCCTGGCTCATAGCTGCATAGGACCGCTTCGTTCCAATTGCAGAGGATGCCATTCCATCGGCATTTAATTTAAGCATATCCAACTCCAGTGCTTCCACAACTTTCAAGGATGTGATACACTCTTATATCAGAGCACTGAGTGCGGTGGAGTGGCCTCGGTGCACGTTGCGCAGGGCGTTATCGACTGATGACATGCAAACATCAGAATACGAGTGCTCAGCCGGGTGAGTAGGGGAAGGAATTGCAATATGCGGCAAATATAAGGTGAAGTAATGCCATGGCACAAATCACGCTGGGATGCTACAGCTGATGCGAAAGGTGTGGAGAGAATGGCGAGGGTCGCGTTCCAAGCCGGAAGAGACATTACCCCGCCTCGCGTCTCTCTAAGAACACTAGCGCATCCACGGCTTCTCTTTACATCACGCATGAGGTTAATTCATCTCAAGATATCACAACTGCCGTCTCTCGATCAACAAGCCGACCCAGGCTATCTATAATATCCAATGTGCTGATGGACAGCGTATGTTGTGAGCCAACACCATACTTTCCCAAGGTGGCCAATGCTAACTGGTCATGGAATAGGGAGTACACATGTACAGCAGGGCAGAGATACCTTCACGCAACGGCCCGTCGGTTGATGGCTAGTTCTTTTGGAAATCTTACTACAGGGCTGTACTATTCAGTTGGTTATCTGGCTCATGCCTGCGCAAGGTCAGGCAAAGCGCCGATCAGCCGTCCAGCCGCCGGACAAACCTATTAAACGCACCAGAGTCTCAAGAGCGTGCGATCAATGCCGCATTGCACGAGAAAAGTGTGATGGTTTGCAGCCCGCATGCTCAACCTGCGCAACCTCAAAGAGAAGGTGTACTTACACGGCAAACCCCAAGAAGAGAGGCATTCAACCAGGCTATATCCGCACCCTTGAGTTAGCACTTGCTTGGCTATTCCAGGAGAATCCCAAGAACGAGACTTCACTAAATGAAAAGCTAGCCCAAGAAGGCGCCTCATCTCTGTTTCTGAGCCGTGATTCTAAGGAATCGAACAGATTGCATAAACGATGGCGCAAGGCCAAGTTCTACACGGATGTAGACAAATTACTCTCGGGAGGGGAGCCTTCAAGACACGAGCAGTCCGATCCACTATCGCCCCAAAGCGAAGAAGATGACTCGGACGCAGAGGAACTCATTACTCCTGACATCGGTCTCGGTCTGGGATCAAGTGAGGTTTCGCAAGCCAAAGTCAAGCTCGCCCAACCGTCATTTCAGCAACCAATACCACCATCACAGCAACTGTCGGAAGATGATACAACTATCTTGATGCCACCCGATAGCTGGAGACTACTTGAATCCTACTTTACCTACACGCAGTGTTGGCTCCCGATATGCGAAAAGCATGATATCTTGAAGTTGTCATATGCTTACCCCGTTGATGGTCTTGCTTCATTTATTATTCAGGCAAACTCTGGTGCACATGCGGAGCTGTGGAGTGTCCTAGCCGTGGCTTCGTTGCATGACCCCGATAACATGGTCTCGACCAATCAAAACCACCCTTCCTTCAAGACTTCGGACCAACTGTACGACATTGCAAGGTCCTTGTTGCCTAGCGAGTTGGGTAGTTTCGAGATTAGTCATACTAAAGCACTTTTAAACCTGGCAATATTCAACATGACTCGATCCCTACCCGATGCAGCCTGGGTGCTTGTCGGCTGCGCTTCAAGGATTCTAGATATAATAGGTCAGACGAAGCTTATGGCGAACCCTAGACAAAAACACGTGTTATCTGGCTGTTTTCTACTCGATAGCATGCTTGCGCTACAGCTTGGTCGGCGCCCATACCTTCAGAAATATGACTTGGAAGTTCTTGGGAAGATCGACGAGGACGGCCTCGAGGAGTGGTACGTATTCCTTGAGTCCGAACTAAATCTAGAAATTACACTAACCTTATGACTTCCCTTAGGCAACCCTGGAACGGTCATTCTCAATTATCTTTGCGAGAGCAACCAAGGGCACCGATCCTGGCACTTAGCACCTTCAGCAATCTTTTAGACATCATTGATATACTCGTCGACAGCGAACAATCGTCAGTCTCATCAACTCATGACCACGAAATCTATAGTCGTCTTCAGAGCTGGGGAGCTTCGTTACCATCGAAACTGAACTACATATGTTCCGAAACTGCGTCCACGCCCCTCACTCCACCGGCTGTTCTACTCCAAACCACATATTATTGTGCTGCTTTGGTTGCAAGGCCATCCGAGTTATGGCTTTGCCGGCTATTGGAGGTCATAGAGCAATTTCAGGGACGAATGGGACACACAAGCTTGCCACCAGGGATCCAATGTCTCATGACAGTCATCAACAAACACATTGCTCATCTAACATTGGACGAGACAACTCGAGTTCGTCTACAACGGCTACAGATTGGCATAAGAAGTACATGGCCTTCACGTCCTAAAGATAAAGTCCATGCGAACGCTTCTCTAACCGTTCACACGAACCTTCCGATCGCTGCTATACAGTTGCCACTTCCTGACTCTGTAAATATATCCATCGCAAGTACACAGTCAACCGACCAGCCAGTGAGAGAGGATAATGCATACACCGCATCAACTCAACCCGACGCCCTCCCACCTAGACGAAACACAAGCATAGCTTCAGATCAGCCGTTCAATTCACTTTTTATCCCACCCAGCTTGGCGCTATCATCAGATCCTCGCCATCCGGGTCCCACAGGTGATCTAGAGAGCTTCTTCGATGAGCTCGCGTCCTTGGATAGTGCACCACAACTGGAGAATCAACCGCAGTTCATGCAGAATCTGGGATTTGCACCAGATGCGAACATGGCCGATTTGTTCAGCGAGTACATTCCGATGCAGTCGACGGCTTTTCTCTCACAGGAAGAGACTGGGGCCCCTACCTTTGATCAGTACAATTTCTACAACGCGAGCTAGGGTCGCACAGCCCCGCATCACAGACATAGTAATCGAACCTGATGATAGTGATGATATAGGAGTCAGTAGCAATCTCCACGCTCTGAAAGGTATGCAGATGCAGGAAGTATCTGTAGCATCTTGGAGTACAGACTAGGGTCAAGGGAATTACCTGTAGAAACCCATGGTGGATCACGCAACATGATGAGAGCGGCCACCAGACGACCGTATCTTCTACGTCAGAGCACATTAATTGTAAGCGTTCGGCCAACTCAAAAAGCTTCTGACGGTCCGAAATATCGACGTCTGAATCGTTCGAGCAATCTCTGATCGTCGCATATTTGTGGCGTCGCGGGTATACATCGGCTTGCTACCCGAGCATACTTGATATGGAGATCAACTCGTAATGCCCCTGGGTAGTGTAGGTCCGAGTACTCATATCGCGAGATATCCGCGAATGAAAGAGTTCTATATATAGGGACCAGGAGAAGAATGATTGGGAGAAGCTAAATATGTTATATGTCAGGCGACACGGTATGGGTCTGTACAGTATTGGGTATCATAGTCATAATGATCTGCTGGAACGCCAATGCCAGCCTTATTCACAAGCCAGGCATACCGTCAAGGCCACCTATTTCTCTGCTGAACGTCTCCCAATCGACGCCTTGCTCCTCAAACAGCTTCTTTGCTTTCTCCGCAGCCGCCATTTGTCTGTCCTGTGTAAAACCGCCAGGGGCGTTGCTCTCGTACTGGATGAGCTCAACCCACTTGAAGAACAGGTTCTCCTTGCCCATCGCTGTCAATCGGTCCTTGAACTCTATAACCTTGTTCCGAGCTTCGGTTTCAGACCCTTCGTCCAGTTTTGAGCACTCCCAGACTGCCCACTGCCCATGCTCCTCGTCACCAACGAAGACGACTACGAGTTTCTTGACCTGTTCCAAGGTAAAGACCTTTTTGTCCAGCAATTGCGTCGCAGCAATCATGCCGTAGAAATCGAGATCAAAATCCCCGTCCATGAGCAGATAGCCCGTCTTCTCTCTCAACCGCTGCCCATCCACCGCCGGCAGAATCCGTGTCTTGAAGAAGGGACTCTCTTCCCCAGCTTTGCCCGAACCGCCCTCCGCCGCACCGAGCAGGTCTTTAGCACCCCACCCCCGGCTCACCCTCACATACACCTCCTCATCCCTGAACCCGACGTTCCACCGCCAGCTCACAGGATTGCCCGGCTGTTCAGCGAAGAAGCTCCACGGCCAGGGTCCCACGATGCGGAATAATATCCAATCCAGCGTGAGTCCCGTCATGCGCTTTAAGAGCTTCCATATCAGCGCGCTCCATGTCTCCTTCGCATAGAATATTGTCGTCTCATTGCTGTTTCCGAGGATGGAGAGGACGATAGCCCAGTAGTGTGGGACGCTGTAGTAGGCGCGCCATAAGAGGATGAGGGTTATGGAGAGATTGAGTAGGACGGGAACGAGAAATATGCGCTTTTTGAACCACGCGGGGTGGGGATCGGTGTGGATTATGTAGACGTTGGAGGTGTCGAAGGTGGATAGTAACTCAGTGAGCTCGGGGGGCGCGGGGCCAAAAGGTGCTGGGATGGGATTCGTGGAGGGTTTTCGGGCGATTTGTTTGCCCTTTTTTGGTGGCATCGCGCAGGCTGTGAGATGGTTCAACGACTTGGTGGTAATGGAGACATTGGCTTCGATACTGAGGTTTGTAGTTTCATGGTAGCGGACTAAATTGTTTCATCCCAGGTCGTTGTCCGTGCGCACGCGAGCAGCTATGACGCACTGCTGGACATCTCCTCTACCGGCTCACCTTCAGCTCGATCAACTGACCCGTATTGTATGATTGGTGATACCCCGAGAAGCTCGAGCAATGTCTTTCATGTTATTTCGACGAATGATCTCGCCCTGTCCCTGCCTCAGCCCTGCCTCAGCAGGCTGCACTCTGGACTTTCTTTTGCCTGCTTGTGGCAGTGCAATCTGCATATAGCTGAAAAGATTCCGCGATAATGAAACTGCGTTTTCAAACCTTGCGATTTTCTTATAGTCATGAGCTTACCAAACAACGCCTTAAACGGTCATGTCACTGTGACCAAGGAGTTGGCTGAATATTACGACAGATCGATGGATGACTTCACGGATATAAAGGATGTAACCTACATCGAAATAACATCACACAATGTCAGTCTGGACTGAGAGCCCCAATGCTCGCTCCCTGATTAAGAGCTGTATAGAATACCAATGCTGTTTTAAACGAAGTGCCACCGCCTGTCGACATTGGGGACTGGTTCAACTCTGGTAATCAAACGGTGCGTACGATCAAGCTGGACAAGATAGCCTCTAATTCAACCAGGGAGCCCATCGGCCCGATCAAACTCATCCCAAATCGCTCAGAATGCTCCGACTGTTGTACGAATACTTGTCCATGGCGTCCTCGCAAGTCTAACAAGCACAGAATATGTCCAATGAATAGCGACATCGTCCCATCCCACCCCTTTCAAAGTACAGCTTTTCGGTCTCTAGCTGCAGTGCTAAGACTGGAAGAGGACTATCTTCAATCTGAAACGCTTCAGACGCCTCCAATAGCATTCGAAGTGCCACTAGAGGACTCTCACTTTGGTATGATCCAACCCGACCCTGATACCTAAACTCATTTTCAATAGGCTTCGTAATGAAAGCACCAAAATGGGATGATGATGCAACTGACTTTAGTTTATCATGCGTTTTCGACTCAGATACTATGTGCAGCGGCTGCATTCTACGGATATTGACCAAAGAAGACCTACATGTATTCAAGAGACGGCTCAGTGAAATGGTGGAATTTGCGTGGTACCCGTACTTTCTCCCAATGATCCTCACTGAGATGCGGCTCCAACACCTGCCTGGTCGCATGCGAAGGATTCGTCGTTTTCTCTACCGAGTTGAAAAGACAACTGGCACCCATCAAAACTATCGGCAGCGGCTGGGCTTGACTACTGTAAAGGGAAAAAGTGTTTCTGAGACGTGGAATGATCCCGACTTCGAAGCTGCTCCTGGAGAGTTGACATCCATCGCCTCGGACTGCGCATATTACGAGTCCCACTGTCGGACCCGCCAAAACTTTCTCGCATTCATTAACTCAATGCACGAAAAGCTAGTAAGTGCGAGGGCTGTTCCGTCGCAAGAGTTGGCGATCAGGATGTTTGGGCAGAAGATGCAGTTTATGAAAATGTGGGCGACGGCAGTCGAGAATAGGAGTGCATACCTAGGGAAGCGGGCAGAGATTCAACTACAAATGGTACGTATTCTGAATCGCGCACTAGTTCAGCATTGCATTTTACTAATGAGATTTGACGTAGTGCAACAGCCTCATGTCCCAACGTGACAATGCTCTGAACAAGAAAACAGCAGAGACATCTCTCACTATCAGCCGCTTTAGTCAGATGGACAGCACCAATATGCGCACAATAGCAGCTGTAACTCTTGCTTTCCTGCCAGGTACCTTTATAGCTGTAGGTCGTCTTGAGCTCCAACATAGAACTTGGCGCTGACTTCTGTAGACACTTTTTAGCACAGGCTTCTTCAGCTTCAGTGGAGAAGGCCAAGTTGTGTCGCACTGGTTCTGGTTATATTGGGTATGTACTATCGTGCTAACACTCGCTGTCTATGTTAGTTGGTATATAAGCACACGGCGGAAGCGTCGGGAAAGATCTACGCGAGTTGGGATAATGGACTAGTTTTATGCGATCTTGCAAGAAGAATCTTGACTTCCTCTGCTGGAGATAACGCACGCCATGTCAAGGTGGACCTAGACCGAAAAAACCTTCAATTTATGGCGGCGCTGCAAGGGAGTATTGGAAGTATTCAACCGAGCCAAACTTGAGAAACCCGGGCTTTCAATGATGTCTCGACTTACCGCAAACGTGATTCGTTCGTTTCTCCTTTTTCGTTCTGTCAAAATAGATGTAGTTTCTGCATCTCATGAAACCGTAAGCTCCTAACATTCACCGTCTACTCTAAATCGGGCAGTCAGGACGATCGGAGTTTCTACGGTGATACGCCGATGCACGTCATTGGTCGGAGGGCCCTATCGTTTCCACCGATGACCCTTCTTCCAGTCAACATCAAGCAGCGGACGCCATGTAGATCTCCGGTAACACTGAGGAGAGCCGATCAAGCCATCTGCCTTCGACAACGTCAAGACATGGGTGTCCTTGAGCGCGCAGCTGACAGCATTAGCACGATGCATTGCGCTTGGAAATGATCAAGATACCACTTGAATTCCATGATCTAGGAGTAAGAAGAAAATTGAAGTCGATGGAGAGGTAATTCGAGCATCAAAATCTCCCTGATAGTAAGGCTCGATCTCTTGTTATTCCACTGCGAACCAGACGCGTAGCACAATTCATAATGCCCGCCGGGACCCCAACCCAGTAAGGCATTTGTGGTCAAAGTTGCGCACGGCTGAGGTTCATCCGACCGCCTACCCGGGAGCACCAGTACCCCCCAGTTGAATCTTACTATGAATAACTAATGACACAGTCGTGATCGGGTTGCTTATCTAGGCTACACTACCCAAGCCCTGCATGTCTTGTTTGGGGCTTAGACAATGTATGATCTCAGTCCATCATATACGCTATGCAGTCCCCGCCCCATGGTCGAGCTGTTTGGCCTCCTTCCTACTGTCGCGAACGACGTTTTGTATGCCATACCACTGAGAGATGTCAGGTACTCAACGTCAGTCGCAGGTGAGAAGCTTTAGACCCCAATCTTAGAATGCACGCAAGTAACAGAACCCAGGTCACGGGTGGAGGTCCACCCTACCGTTCAAACACTGCAGGCTTAGGCGGAAAACCCGAACTGATCCCTGATGTGCCGATCAGCGCGGTCTTTCTCGCTCTCTATCTCATCTTCGGTGTGATCCATATCAAGATCTTCAAGAACAACAAGGGTCGTGGGCACAAGTTCGTCTTCAATGGCGCCATTCTTGGTATGCATCTTCCCTTCCACCCAATACAAGTATCATTTCTGGCTTACAAGATGCAGGTCTTTGCAAAATCCGAATCATCACCATGTCCTTGCGGATAGCATGGGCCTGTCATCCAAAGAACATTGGCCTAGCCATAACAGCCAACGTCTTCGTCTATGTCGGCACTATAATCCTGTACATGGTTGACTGGTTTTTCGTTCAACGAATTGTTCGCGGGCAACACGCGCGGATCGGATGGTCGACACCATATCGCATTTTCCATCGAGGAGCCCTTGCATGTCTAGTAATCATGCTATTCATGCTGATGACTGCATCAATCTGGCAATCCTTTACCCTTAACTCTGAAAAGCTGCGAATCTTTCACGCCATTTTCGTCACTGCTCAGACGTACTTCACGGTCTTTTGTCTTGCACCGGCAGTCCTAGTCCTTCTTTCGTTCACCATTCCGCGGACGGAAGTGGAGAAGTTTGGGGCCGGTCGCCTGGGGATCAACATCATTATCCTTCTTATTGCCGTCGCGGTACTATCTGTTGGTCAGATTTTCCGCTGTGTCTTGGCTTGGCTTCCGTCCACTCCTTTGCGGAATGCTCAAGGTCAGCCCGTCGACACGCCTTGGTATCTGCATAAGGCTTGCTTCTATGTGTTCAATTTCGTCACGGAGATCATCGTCATCATCATGTTCGCTCTGGTCCGCGTCGATCTACGCTTCTACATTCCAAATGGATCGAGGATAGCAGGCGATTACTCCGGGCGTAACAGCCGTTACACTGTCAATACCATCGACAGCGAGAAGGATCTTACCCAGGCGGGTGGTGTGTCAATGACGCATCAGAACAACTCCAGTCAGACTCTGCACCAATACCAGACATCCGTGTTCGAAGACACCCACACACTAGCCGACTCGCTGAAGTACGGCTCATCAACTTTGGAAGTGGATAAAAAGACAGGCAACTGGAAGGTCAAACGCGTGTCAACCGAGTCGACAAGCGCGCGGAACAGCCTCCACTCCTCCAGGGGGTCAGCAGTATCCCATCACGATCGGAAATCTCTCGTCAACGGCGACATTCCACCCGTCCCAGATATTCCTACACAGTGGCCTCTTCCGGACTCTGCGCCACCACACAGCTCAAAGCCCGTCTTGGAACACCCCAACCCGCAGTCAAGAAGAGGCACCCCAAAGCGAACTTTCGAGATCGAAGGCCACCACCTCAATGACTTCGACATAGGCGACGCCGTCACAGACGCCTTGACGAAACTAGAGCAAAACAGCGACAAGAATAAACTGCACCCACCAACGCCGCCACCTCACTACAACTGCTGTACAGCGCCTATCGAAGTCTACAAACCTACCTTACCAGGCAAAAACGAGAAACAACCCGCAACATGCCCAACGTGCCGCAACCACTCAACAGACCCGTCAAACTCCACCCTCAGCTCCACCCAGCAAAACAACGACCCGCAAAGCTCCTCCAGCTCCGACACAACAAATGCATCCACCCAACCCGACGCACCGAAACGCCCTCAGACTCCGACGCAGATGCCACAACAAGCCACAGCGGCATTGACCTCGCATCCAACAAGGCAGCAGCAGCAGCAGCAGCAGTCCAGTAGTAGCGGTACACGCTCTGTTTCCGATTCTGCCGCCGTCACACATGCGTCTTCGTCGTGGTATCGTAGTAGTGGTAGTACGTCGAGCTCAGCAGACGCAAGGGACTACGCGTCAGCGCATGAGGAGGAGGTTAAGCGCGTGAGTTTTGACTCGGCGCCCGCGCTTGTTTCGCCGATTCGGGAGATGAAGCCTCAGCGCGGGAGTTTGATGAGGTCATGACTCTTTTTGTCTTTTTCGTATATGGAAGGGTGTACAAACTGGGATTTGTGAGAGGTGTTTTGTTTCGGCGTTTTCTTTGTCGGGAGAGGAGTGGAGAGGTGAGGGCATGAATGAGATAGCGTGTTTTCCTGTATATACGAGGCTTTACGGTCGTTATAGTGTTGGATTTATTCATCTTGTAGTCTGAAATAACGAAATCATTCTACACACAGTTTGTGCCTGGAGAAATAAGAGTTAGAACAAGGAACAAAGGCCCCAAAAGAGTTTCATAGATCTAACTAAATATGCCGACCAAGCGGACCTATCCTATCCCAAACCATCCCATCCCATCCGGTGCACTGGCGCCATATGTATGTAAAATTATCCAGATTCCGCTCGCATTACAACGCCATTAATTTCCGAGAACAGCAAGAGAGGTAGCTAAAGGAGAGGGAGAGGGAGAGGGAAAGAGGTTATGCACAAAAGCGGGGCGCGGCTATGCATGTATGCAGAGTTGTGTGTGTAAACCCCGTCGAACGAAAAATGATATAAGCCCTCTCAAGAGAGATAGCAATAGAAAACGCCGCTGTGGGTAGGTTCCAAATGAACGTCCCAGATGCAATTCGTAGTAGTAGTGATGAAATATGGTGTTATTGGAGAAAAGATGATGATGATGTGGTATCGAACCTGCCGACAGTGACAACAGGGCAAGGTCCTACATGCAAAAGCATGCATGTAAAGTGGGGGGGTATCGAAGAAATATTATCGTCGGGGGCCCAGCTCATCCAGGCCTCCTAAACGCCTCAACAGCGAGCGTAGGTGTCTCGACCTGTCGGTTGGTAGGCACTCCCTCGTTCTTCCTCCGCTCGAAGAAATTCTGGCATTCGTGGCTCACAAACGTCCATTCAGCGAGAGCACGACCTGCGTAGGTACTTGACGTTGCTGCTGTGCCAGTTGGCTGCGTAGGAGTAACAGCGTCGATGTTGATGCTTCTTTGCTGGAGGAGGAGTTGTGCTGGAAGTGGGAGGCGCGGGGGCTGTAGACGCATGTTTTGATATGCGCCGAAGCGCTTATCAACCCATTCCAGAGAGAAGCGGAAGTTGTAGGTGCGATGGGTAACAGGTGCTGGCGCCGGAGTCTCGACAACCGCAGGCTTGTCGCTCGAGGATGTTTCATTCGGCTTTTCACCGTTGGCATGCGCTGTTTTGCTGGCATTCTCCTTGTCGTGAGTCGATGGTGCAGGACTCTTCGACTTGGCCGTCTGCTTCGAGCCCACTCCCATGAGGCTCCGCAGAATGTTCCACTTGCCCTTGCCAGGATCCTCATCCGGAAAGTCCAATGAATCTATCGACATCGCTGACGTGGGTCGAGCCTCGGGTGCTTCCGGAGGTGTTTCAGTGGTGGGCGAGAATTTCCGTTGATGCGTGTTTTGCACTACTCCATCGAATGAAAGATAAGGCCCACTGTTTGCCACAATAGGACTATCATTACGTATGATAAGGAATCGGCGGCCTGGTGCGGGGTTGCATGCTTGCGTGGACGGAAGCATGATTTGTTTGCGATCGGCATTTTCGTGTAGCCAGAGGTAGTGCGACCATACGGTGCGGAGGCGATCACTAAGCGCCTGCTTGATCACGCTATTGGAACATTAGTTAGGACAGATGCGATATCGCGATAGAACATACACTTCGGCGTCAGTCTCTACCCCATCGAACCGTGCAACCCTCCAACACAACAGCCGCATGAAGTATGATCGAACCATTGGACACCAATGGTTGAATCTGCTCTCGAAAAACTCGGGTTCTAAGAGAAAGTTGAGGCACAAGCTTGTCTTTCTTTGCGCGTCCAGACAAAGGATGGACCAGATGCTGTACAGAAAAGCGTACAACTTGATCTCGGTAGCTGTGTTCTGACTGGCAGCCATCGACTTGCACACCGAGAGCCAAAAAGTCCAGTCCATGATGGAATGCTGATCCGTGTCGTTTTGTTCGTAACGAACCATGATGGCGAAAGCTTCTTCCAAAAAATCACACAATGTGTAACAAGCGTTGCTGTCGTAAATGGAGATTTTTCGTGCCTGCGCTTGCAGCAGGCGGGCGAAGCTGTCTGCAAAAATTCGTCTGGCAGTGTGGAGGTGTGCGTTCCTTTCGGAAAGAAAATCACGTATGAGCATAATGAGACGGTTTTCCTGCATCTGGCGTGTTGCGTTTGCATGCGGAATAGCTACTGCAGATGCTGAAGCATCTGTATCACCCAAAACATCATCAAAAGTGATGGGAGCCACTGTTGAGCCTTGGTCGTCGGTCTGTGGAGGCGCAGCGTGTCTGTTGATGGTCGCGTCCAGATTGACCAGGAGCTGCGCGTGCACCGCAACTAATCCAGGCACGCAGACACGCTCTGCATTGCTTGGCTCGACGGGTAAGAAGTCAGTAACGATGATGTGGTAGTGTTTGACGAAGACGTAGAATAGATCGCTCTCTGCGCCTGACCAGCGCTTGTTCCAGGTCCCGTACCAGTCGAGGTTGGCCACAGCAAGGGGCGGTGATGCCGGCTTGCGTAGTTGGCGTACAAGTTTTGTCAGAGAGTGAAACTTGAGCGAATGAAGCATGGGAGGAAACGAAGCCACGATGCGATCAGACACAGCATCCAATGTATCCAGCTTGGAGACGCCGGATTCTTCCATAACACGCTTCATCATATCAAGGGAGGGATTCCATAGGCGGACCAGAATATCAGCAATTCCAGGGCAGAAACAAAAAACGTAGGCACACGTCTTGCCGCAAAAGGTGACCAGGCTGGCTGCTGCGTTTCGAAGAGACATCTTATCGACGGCAAATGACATTTGCGAAAGCAGGTTTTGGGTGAAGATGTTGCGGACATTGTGGTAGACGGACTCGGCGAGGAAATCTGAGGAGCTCGAGGAGCTGGAGGCAACGGTCGCTGTAGAGAAGGTCTCTGCACGTTCTGCGAGGGCACAAAAACCGGACGGCGGTTGTCTCCACTCGGGTCTTTCCATGATTCCCGCTATACCGTCCAAAATGGCTGGACGATCTGTGCCTGATATGGACTGATTATTCCGCCCTGCTATGAGTTCCAACAAGCCTGTCCACCACCCGTTGAGGATGTTTGCGCGCCGATCCAAGTCTTCCGCTCTAAGCTTGTAGTTGGAGGGATGGGAGGCATACTGGCGTAGGAACGGGAGGAGGGTCGTGCGTACCACGTTGGCTTTGAGCGCAGTGGATTTGGATTGGTATCTGCGTTTTGTTAGCTAATGGCGAAGGGAATGATGGAGGGAGAGTCGTGCTTGCGCAGATCCGCATCGAGCGTCCGGAACACGGTCCAGAGCTCGTCTTTCTTGCGAGGCTCCGTCTTTACGCCTTTGAGCTTCTCGGTGGATATGTTGCGCGGCAGAGGTGGGACGTGGTGGGTCGGACTTAACGGGGTATGCGTTTGTGGGTAGATGTTGAGTTTCTCGGTCGAGAAGGACTTGGGCACGGCGGGCACGGCGGGGGCGTTGGCTGTTGCATTGAACAGCCCGCTGAGGCGCTTGTTCTTCTTGCTGTGGGGAATAGGCGGCCGCTCGTGCGAGATGGTGTCCCTTGCCTCGGACTCGTCAGGAATGCTGGCAGTACCCGCTGGCGTCTTCCGCTTGTTCGCGTCAGTAGTGGCTTGCTTCTTCACGTCGTCGTCCTTTTTTTTACGGCTCTTCTCCCTCGTTGGTGAGGACTCTGGTTTCTGCTGCTGCTGCGAGGACACGATCCACGACTTTCTCCGCAGCTTGGTCAGCGAGCGTGCTGGCGAGTTTGCTAGCGAGTCTGACTGTTTCAGCGTCTCGTTGCGGCCTCCGTCAGGCTTGCGGTCGGGCTTGGGCTCAGCAGACGGCTCTCTACTCCTGCTGGCAAAGGACAAGAATCTCGAGGAGCGGCGGCGCGAGGCGCTGGGTCTCAGTTGCGGCATTTGTACAGCTTCCTCGGGTGCATCCTCCGACGCGGGACTCGAGCCACCCGACGAGGTGTCAGACAAGCCTTCTCCATTCTTGCTGGTCTTGACGTCTTGGCCAGACACGAGACCGTTTAGGGCCACGACGGGCGACGCGTGGTCCAGGTCCTTCACTCGTGGGAAGTAGGTGTAGGAAGCAGCCTTGGGTAGCTGTACACGCTCTGGTTCTCGCGGCGGGGGCGGGCCAACTTCTGAGACGGCGCGATGCCTGCCTCGAAAGGCGTTTGCGAGGGAGTGGTGTGAGCGAGGAGCCGAAGCGACGGCAGCGGGCATGGCGAGGGCGGAAGGCGGGAGCGGTGAAGAGGATGGTGGTGGTGGTGGTGGTGGTGGGATCTCTCGATGTTCGACTGGGCTTCCCTTCACAGCCTCATGGCGCGTATATGGCACGGGAGCGGCGTCGTCGTATCAGGCGGGCCGTTTTAGTAGTGCAGGGTGTGAATAGCTCAATCTCGGGGTTTCGATGCTAGGTAAGACGTCACAATCGAGGCTGTGGGGCCGGAACGAACGGAGAAGGACTTTTTTCGAGTTTGGAGATGGGGAGACTGGCAGCGAGTGTGGGAATGAGGGCAGAGGTTCAGTAGCGACCGACAGAGGATTCGAGGTTTGAGACTCTACCACGCAACGCAGGCTGAGGGGACGGACGACGCTGGGGGCAAGTGGCTACGAATTACTTTGACGCCTGCAGAGGCGGATGAATTGAGGCTAGCAAGGATGAGGAGCAGGTTGGCACTAGACATGCCGCTTGTGCAGATCGTGCCGGCGGGATTTTTATAGATTTGAAATGGGGCTATCTTTTGTTTTATTGCTTCTTTGTCGAGGGCCGGCAGCAGGGCGTCGTAAGTGTGTGTGTATGTGTGCTGCGTCGTGCAGAGAGAGGGCGGCCACATGAGCGACTTGTTGTAGCATGGTATAGCATAAAGTCGAGTAGGATGCCAATGCTTATGCTGTGTGGGCTACGGCGGACCCCCGGACGAACGAGCCTTCAATCTCATTTATTCCATGGTCAATCTCCTGTTCGCTACCCTGGTCCTTATCCAGCACAGCACGACTTATCATTGTAATTGTTATTATTATTATTATCATTATCATTATCATTGTCATGACGTTCCCAGCCTGAATCTCCGCTCCGAAGTCTCTGGCCCACGATACACCCAAACCCTGCCGGTATGGCTCCGACGCTCCTCAACAACATGTACACTGGAATAGAGTAGAGCTCCATACCGGCACCGACAAGCGCTAGGGATTCGGGACATGCACTACAAACAGGCGTCTCCGCTTTTCAGCCTTGCTTGTCTTGCGGCTGTGCGTCCTAGGTTGCAGACGAGACCCACGCTGCGCTGCGCTGCGGTGAGCTGTCGCCCGGATGCCGGAATTTGCGCCATCCACAGTCTCCTTTGTGCAAGACGACAGCACTGGGCACAGACAGTGGCTTATCTGAAAACTTTGTGGTTCGCTGCTCATGGCGTCAAGATATTGGTGGCAAACTTAAATGCGAACAAAGTGCATATGCAGCGCTGCATAATCCGTGCCTGTCCTGTCCTGTCCTGTCCTGGGCAATACTCGTCTATCAGCACCATGGTGGGGAGCTGAACTGCTGTGCGTGATATTGCTGTCGTTCAGCTTTCCCAATGCAGATCTGACATGCTTGCTTCACAAACTATATAGAGTCTAGTCCATCTATAGTACTCGAAGAGTTACCTACACCATATCGTCGTGTCCTTTAGTAATGTCCAAAGGACTGACAAGGCGACCAAAACTACTAAAGGCCAACAGGCTTGCATTTCTGAGATGAGACGAAGGAGCTGTCCAAAGGAACGGGCAACAGAGACTATTATGCACTTGAAAAGGGATCGCTCATGATGCTCATCAACCAAGTCACTTTGCACGTGTTTGCTGTCACGTTTCACCAACGGGAGGAGTGGGCTGCACGCGTCACGTGATACGATCGTGGCATAACAGTTATCCACAGGCGCGGCTATCTATTGCCCGTTGGTATTGACACATGCGCTAGTATTTTGATACAGATGATTCTTCCTGTTGCCAACGCAGCTTAATGGGCAGGAGTCGCGGCGCTCTCGTCCTCCTCCTCGAACCAGTCCTCCTCGGGCAGCGCGGTGCCATCCTCGCTCACAGCACCCTCGACATCGACCGCCTGTGTCTCGTACGACTTCAGCTCGTTCGCAATGTCGCTCTCCTCGGGAGATGCGGGGGCCTTGGGAACGGAGAACTTCTGGACGTGGCCCTCGGCATCGGCGGCCTTGACTTGCGGCACCTTGTAGTTCTTGAGCTCGCGGAGGTAGAGGTCCTGCACTAGATCGGCTATGGCACCAATTGGGTCAGTACGAGCCGTGGGCGAGCGACGGGGATGAATCACCTGAGCGAACCGCCGTGGGAGTGATGAAGGTGCGGCGGGCGAGGTACGCAGGTTGCTGGCGGGCGACGCGTGCGAGCGCCTGGCGCTATGGCGGGTCAGCAGGCATCTACGTGAGAGGGTCCAGGATAGCGCACCGAAGCCCTGATGGATTGCGCGAGCATTGTGTTGATGTGGAGAGGGTGGGAGCTGTCGATAAATGGGAGCTTCGGGGTGAAGGTCGGCTTGCTGGGAAAAACCGCAGCTCGAGCCGCATCCCGAAGCGGCTTAGCGCACCATGGCGCTTGGCAACCTTCGCTGCCTACGACACCGTGCTTTCAACAAGCCGTCAGACCTCTGCTTGCCACCACCAAACCGTCCCTCCAACACCACCCTGCGTCCGTCCCAAACGCAGCTCCTCGATCGCTCCCGGGTGCCAGACGCGCGCGCACAAGAGCTGGAGTCCACGATACAAAGCGTGCCCGCCCTACCACGGATAGCCCGCTCCCTCCACGGACATCTCACTCGCTATGTCGTACGCTCCAGACGGCCGCCTACTCTCGCCCGGAGAGGTCTACGAGGACATAATTACAGCTCCAGTCAAAGAGGAGTGGCAGGAGGATCTGTACGTCTACACACTGACAAAAGGCATGTGAGACAGGCTGACTTAGTACCTCAACATAGGAATGTCCTCTTGATTTGGTAAGATGATTATAGCTAGATGTTTCATCAAGTCCAACTAATAGCAAATCATAGCCCAGATTGCAGAGAAAACCCACCCGTAATCATCGAGGAGTTCAGCAACGGCGATACCATATGCGGCTCCTGCGGTCGCGTCCTCGCTGACAGGATCATCGACACTCGCTCAGAGTGGCGTACCTTCTCTAATGATGACCAAGGCAACGATGATCCGTCTCGTGTACGTAACGTCCATGTGCGAACTGCATATGAGACATACACTGACTTGATTTAAAAGATCGGAGACGCCGCTAACCCCTTACTCCATGGCTCTCAACTTCAGACAGAGATAGGATTTGGTGACGGCGGACTTCGTGTTCGTGAGCTGAGTCGTGCCCATAATAAATCCAATCATGACAAGGCGAACAAATCCCTCCAGGCGGCCTTTGGTCAGATCACCACGCTGTGTGACTCGGCCAACATCAGTAGGCCTACCGCCGAAACAGCCAAACACCTTTACCGCCAGGCCGATGATGCGAAGCTGTTCAAGGGCAAGTCGCAGGACGCCATCATCGCCGGCTGCATCTTCATCGCCTGCCGCCAGATGAAGCAGCAGCGTAGCTTCCGTGAGATATTCAAAATGACAAACGTGTCCAAAAAGGAGGTGGGTCGCACATTCAAAGCCCTCGAGGCCTTTTTGCAGAGAATGCAGAAAGAAAAGGGCGGTCCCATGGTTGCTGGCAACGGAGCCGTGCTGGACGCGAACAACTACCTCACAGGTACCGCTACCAGCGCCGAAAACCTCATGCCTCGCGCTTGTGCAAAGCTCGGCCTTCCACCGCACGTTCAGATCGTCGCAGAAAACTGTGCCAAGGTCGTCACCGAACAGGGCGTTGCTGCTGGTCGATCTCCGCTTTCTATTGCTGGTGCCTGTCTCTACCTAGTCTCGCACCTCATGGGCCACCCAAAGACACCCAAGGAAATTGGTGCCGCGGTCGAGGTTAGCGACGGCACCATCCGCACAGCCTACAAACTCATGCACGCCGCGCAGGATAAGATCATCCAAGATGAATGGATCAAAAAGGGCGGCGACCGCTCAAGGATCCCTGCAGCTTAGAAAGGTCGCGGACAATCACAGGCGGCGGGAAGGCGACTAGTGTGCTTAGTAGGTGCGGAAATTTTCCATTTTTCAAATTGAGTACCCCTGAACATTTTTGGGGGCGTTCTGGGACTCTCAATTGTGCTTTGACTTCTTTTTTTAGCGCGCATGGTCGGCGTTCACTGTCTGGTTATTCGACAGCTGGTCAGTCTCATGGCTTAAATACCCCGATAGAAAGGCAGATATCAATTGAAAATGGCGTTTGGGATTTTACTGCCACAATCATCGTGAGTGATGCGTTGTTTGGTGCAGACTATACTACTAATGCGCTTCAACAAACCGAACTTCGAACTCTAGAGTACACGAAATCACCTTCAAGACCCTAGACAGACGCTGAGGCCTTGGAGGTAGACGTGTAGATTGGGCCCCTAGCTTTGCCTGTGGGTCGTGCCTTCAGGGTCGTCTCGCTGTGTCCACTTTGATACCCATGGAGTGGGTCCCTCGAGACGTGCTCTTGAAATTCATTGCAATCAGCTTCCGACACTACAAGAGCGTATCGGTAGACGATCTTTTCGGCCAACGTGGGCCTTTTCTCATCAGCTTCACACCGCACCATATGTCCTTTAGTTCAAGCGAATCTCCCCGCAGCTGGAATCGTCCTGACACTAGTACTAGCCTCGGTGAGGGTGTCAATACTTCAATTACTGGGTGAGATCCATATCGACCAGTTCATTGGAGAGTCTCGACCACACCATTTGACTTCTGATGGAAGAGACGATCGAGAGTAAGCTGCGAAAGAGGCTTTAGCGGCCCAGGTAAGTTGTCGTTCATACAACTATATAGTTATCATATTTCCCTCGGATCTTCCTGTTTGTCAATTTCCTGTGGTTGTCGACGTCCTTCACCCAAAGGTACAGGCGTACAGACCCCTGAAGACCATTCGCTAGGCATTCATTTCATTCTCCCTCTCTCTACCCGTCATTCTCATCAATATGAATCCCATTCTCCTCCTCATTGTTGGCCTCCTGAAATATGCAACCGTTGCCGCCGCCGCCAATACCATTAGATTTATCAACCACTGCCCATACGACATCTGGTACTGGACAGTCGGTCCCGCAGGATCAAGACTGGACGGCCTAGATAAATCCCGCATCAAAATCCCCGGCAATCATGGCTCCGTCACTCACGGCATGGTCAACACTGAACTCCTCCAGGGCGGGATAACTCTCAAGATTCGTGATTATCCCAAGTATCGAGTTGCGCCTGCTGGTATCGTGCAGGTTGAATACCATTTCGAACCCACCAGAAATGCGATATGGTACGATCTCTCCGTCATCGACTGTGATCCCCATCTCGGGCCTAACCACCCTTCGTTCTGCCCTCTCATCGGCGGAGGCGTCGAGATATATATCCCCGGTGCTAAGAAAGGCTCTTGTCCCCCGGCCTGGTGCTCGAATGGTAGGTGTGAGAACACGTACGATCGAACTGGCAGCTGGCTCGGCGAACCGACCTTCAAGTGCAAAATCGGTGTCGATATTCTCGTCGAGACGTGCACCGAGCGTGTTGGTTATCGGACGTTCCAGGACAAGCCGACTCCTTATCATCATGTCTCTGCTCCTGAATCAGTGCCTCACGACTCGCCCAAGGTCTCACCAGATGGCATTTGCGGTGGCATGACCGGGTACACATGTGTAAGTATCGTCCAGATATGACCTGATAGAGCGACATATACTAAATACCTATATGTGTCTGTAGACTGGTAGCGGCTTTGGAGACTGTTGCTCTGCGTACGGATACTGTGGGATGAAGCCAGCATACTGCAATGCTGGCTGCCAGAGTACCTTTGGTGTCTGCCTAGGTTGAACTCGAACAGCCTGCATCAAGTTACGCTCCGTCGATCTTGGGCCGGGTCTAGACCTCCGAATGCGACCTCACTCCCAGACAGTACCGGCTTCCTGCAAGTTACTGCACGGAGACTGAGACCGAGACATGACCAAGACCACTGCGCTCGCAACCGAGACCGTTAGACACACAAGGACTACAACGCAGGCTGTGCTGGTTAAACGAAAGACATTCGCGCTGCTGCGCCCGACGGTTGTTTTACGCAAGGCGAGGGGAGATACGCATGACCTAACATCTCCCACCCTCCAATGTCAGCATGTTTCCGTCTTTTTTCACCTCTTTTCTGGATCATGATACTATGTATGATAGCCAGCCCCTTCCGGCGAGCGACAATGTTATTCATCTTTCCTCCGTGTATATCTTTCACGATCACTGATACTACTAATAAGCGCCTATTATAGGGAGACAACAAATAAAGGCTAATAGATGATGCCCAATAAATAAAGCGAGTGGCTGGACACCATGCCTGAGTAATTACCAGATAATTAATTAGTATGAAACTTCGTAAAGAAAGCCCAGGAAGTCAAAAGGAAATGTTGCAACATATTGCTACATTACACCAACTTCCTTCCTCGTAAATCAACCCCTATCCCCGAGATGGTAGCATGACCCCCTTAATCCACTCCCCAAACGCCCCCTCATCCACGCTCTTGCTAAACGCAACCCAGAATGCCTGCTCCTTGCTCACAGGCGGCGCACAGTGCTCTACCAGCGCTTTAACATGTAATTCCTCCAACCCCCTGATGGCGATTAATTGTTCTACCCACACAAGATCCCCACCCCTTAAATCACTCCGCATAGTCATCATAGCAGAGAAATCCGTAGGCGTAAGCGAGGTAACAGAGAACCAGCCCAGATCAGGTTTGCCCGCTATGATATTGAGGCGAAGCGTGCGCAGGCGAAGCGTAAAAGGGGCCGTACAAGCCGAGGGTTCTTGATTTCCAACAAGATATGCACACAGGGCACTCCATTCCGCACGATCATACTCCTTGGTAGATGGAAGTGCTTTTTTCGTCAGGCTGAGATGGCGCACGTGGCTGCGCGCCCGTGGAGACAAGTCGCTGAGAAACGGCACTGCCGCTTCGATGGACGTGTGGAAGGAGAACGTGTACGTCGCGTACAGGACTTTACTTGCTTCGGCGTGGATTTGCCGATTCAACGCCAGGAGCGAAGGGACGTTTTGGCGTAGATGTGCCGTGTAGGGCGAGAGTAAGACGCGGTAGGTTGTTGGCGTTGTGCTGGTTAGGAACGGGCCTTTGGTATATTAGCAGGGAGCCTAGCATGTGTCTTGTGAGGTTCTCTTCTTCTGTATCTATCTTGAGCCCCAGAGTCCCCTTCTTGACATGTATGTCTTTTTCCGATCGTGATGGTTTAGAAGTCCGGGGTAGAGCTTACCAGTTCTCATATGATATGTGCTCCTTCGTCTCCATGTCCTCGAGCCCTGCGCACCCAGCCACGGATCAATTGTGCGCACACTCAGCGTGAAAGGAGTGCTGTTCGTATCTTCGGAGTAGTAGGTGTGAAAGTCCGGTACTATGTTTGCGACCGAGGTGCTGTTGCTGGTCGAAGGGCGCGTGGACGGGAAGAGTAGGTACTCATAGATCATGAGTCTGATCTCGAACGGCAGACGGAGTAATGGTGAGGCTGGGAGCGTATCTATCTTGGGCTCGGTTGTGAACATGGTGGATGTATTTGCTGGTATTGACAAGTTTGGCGCCCGAAGAAAGTGTCGATGAAGCTGCTGGAAGCGCCGAAGTGTTCTTATTCGTACCAAATCCCCTTTACCCTTTTAAAAGCACTGCTTACGGAGTGTTTCGTCTGGATGTCTCGAACGGGCAAAACCTCTGCAATTGACTGATTGTGTCTCAAACCCTTCTCCACGCTCGGTACTGATGATACGCAAGGGAATGCAACAACACAGCAATGTCTTGAGGGCGAAGTGGGCACAATGCGCTTTTACAGCTCAAGCTCCAGTCACTTAGGTCATCAACACGGCCATCAGGGTAGGCGCTACCGCTTATCAACAACATATATACTCATCAATAAAATATACGACCACACCAACCAGACCCCCAAGAGCCATCTGGCAGGCATTGCCGGCGCTACTGCAGCTGTCAACGTCCATGCCGACCTTCAATAGGTATAAAGGAGGATCATGGGCTGCAGTAGCGTGCCTTTAGCCTTCAAAATAGCTACAACGAATTAAGAAATCTTTCGATGGGCGTGGAAGGCGCGTGTGTGTTGATGGGATGAGATGGGCGGTGAGAAAATCGGTGGGACGGTGGTACGTTTCTTGTTGCCACTATTCTTTTGGGTAAGTTGAACGAGGCAAGATGCCTGTCTCGGGTTGAGATTGCATTGTTCAACAAGGGTTTCTCTGGAGGATGGCGAAGAATTTGTGGCTTGCTGATGCCCAGCATTGTGTATACCTCATGCGTCTGATTACATGATCGTCATTTCGCCCTGTGAGAGGTTGGCAGCGTACCTTCGACAGCGAGCGAGATGCTGACCACGTTTGCAGCTCCCGACTGCGTGCTGACAGAACTCGCGATTGTTGTGCATGTTTCTATCGGTCCTTTGAACATGAACCGAGCGACCCGGTAGGTGGAAGCTTGTCTCAACAAACAATTCAAATATCGCAAGCAAGCTCTTCTAGCGGTAAGAAACTTAAGCTCTACCCGCTTTATATAAGACGCATGATGGCGTGCGCATGGCGTGTACATGTCCGAGATGACGAAATATGAAGACGGATCCATAGATGAGACTAACGTTTTGATAGGCGAAGGTGAGTACCTGCAGCTGCGATTAGCCGCTATCTCGGCTGCGATTTTCCAATGGACTTCGACTCCTACTTCGCTATTCTACTTCGTTAAGTACTAGATGGATTTGATACGTTCGTGGTGAGCACTTCCATCGAAGGGAAATCTGTTCTGTCATCGTATAGAGGTGCAGCAGACAGAAGACGAAGGCTACAGAGCAGCTTTATACATGCCTTAAGAGCGAGTGACTCCTCGCAGATATAACCACAACTCGCATCAGACTTATCAGTAGTTATTAAGAGCAGAAAATTGATATTTAGTACCATGGGAGAACAATAATAAGGTTTGGAACCATGGTTGGCAACCGTTTTAAAGCCTATTTTAGAAGAATTAATGTAATTACAAATATTTCCGCACTTAAAGTACTTTCACAGAACCAGCGATAGCTCAACTAGGGCGTAGGCGCTTTGAAAATCCTCTTCCATCGAAGGGAAGAGCAACGCAAGTTGCCCAACGCCACAATGTTCAACATACTTTATGCAGCAACTTCTGATGGCTTCATCTCGTCCCACTCCTTCTCGCCAACGCTCCTACCCATCCGGCCCTTACTATAGAGCAGCTTGTTCCCACTCACCCGAACAAGAGGATTAACCCAAGACTTTTGCCCCGTCTCGCTGGTCACCTCCTTTGCCGTCGTGCCGAGACCTACAACGTCACAAACGCAAATATTAGCCACCCATCTCCCAAAAAGCAACCGACGGGGACGCCCACTCACCAGTAGGTTGATAGTTTATATAAATGCCCTCCCAAGACTTCTTGGGGCAAGAAAACACCTCATGCATGATCCCAAGATGCCCGTGTTCTTTCTCCGTCGCACGCCACCACCGCAACGCCTCGCTGTGCAGCGGCCCATGCGCAAACGCATGTAGATAACCCTCGTTTTCAAAATACACAATACTCATGTACTCGTTCGATGTGGTGCGCTCCGAGGCACCGAGCCACGCCGAAGTACCGAGAAACCCATGCTTCGTCGCATCTCGACTCAGCTCCTCAATCATTGCGTCAAAACGGTCGCCCACTCCTTTGAAGCCTGGGCCAAACATGCCGAGGGGATGGTTGCTAACGACACCTAATATGATGGCGCAGACGGTGCTGCCGCCTATGCTGTTTGGGATCCTTTTTTCGTCGGGCAGGACGATAGAGGTGCGTTTTGGTATTACGGATTCCATGCGAGGGTTGGAGAGGATGCCGGATAGGGTCAAGAGAGTGGTGGTGAACTTGTAGCTGAGGATGAGGAGGATGGGTAGGACTAGGACGATGTTACGGTAGGGTAGGAAGGCTGATGCTAGGGCTTGGATGGAAGCACCGAGCAGGAGCCATGTTAGGATGGAGAATTGGTCCCGGATGAGCTTTAGATGGTTTTGTTAGTTGGTGAGCTATACAGCTAGGGATTGGAATGGAAACTACGAATACTCACTGCATGAAACGTTGCACTTGGGTTTTTGAGAGTCGCAGTTTTCGGCCTGGTCGCGAAGTTATCAAAGACTGGTTGGAAAGACATGGTGCCTTGGTTAATTCCCAGAAAAACCTTCTATTGCCTCCTGAGTCTTATACATAGTCTTCCCCGCTACATGAAGACACGTCAGACCGTGGGTAAGCCATCATCGTTCCATCAGCTTAGCTCATAGCGAAGTTGGAAAGACAGCTAACCAATGACATCTTCCGGAAAGTAGTGCGCCACGCTCCTCGACCTGCATAAGCTGAACCATTTGGCGAATAGGCGCATTTCCTCGCTCAATAAAAGACCATCAATCAAGTGTAGGGGTGGTCAGAATGTGATGGGCAATGGCGTCAGCAATATGGTAGGGGTCTGGCTTGTATGCAGTCTATACGGATGCCTGCTTGCGTAGGTGAGACTGGCGTTTTTGATCCGCAAGTGAGCGTCACAAAGCGGGAAGAGCTGTGGGCTAGAGTTGTGATTGTCTCACCTGTCGTATAGCATGACCAAGCCGAGCTCCTTCGTATGCAGTTCTCAGAGGGACGAACTCACACAATGCGATCCTCGGCCTAAACACACCCACTTATTCACCGCAAACCAAAGACGACATTCCTTCCAATTCCCAATCATTGCATTGCATTAGAGCTATAGCAGCTCTGACTGAGCCAGCCACGTTCAATTGAGCCCGAAAAGGCCATACTCGACTATTCTTATCGCTTGTTTCCTTCCATATCCCATCCATAACCTAGTACAGTCCGTCCCGGACAAGAAGCTAAACAATGAAACTAACAAGAAAAGCAGATTGATCTTTTTGGATTTGACACCCCCCCTTGCAGGTATGAACGCCTTCCGCATACTTTGCGACTGGACCGAATAACCAAAATTGACTTTGACAAGAGTGAGAGGATGCAAGAGGAGAGAAAGAAGGAGATTTCATAGTACAAGGCAGCCCTGTCAAAGCGGATCAAGAAAGATGCTTTTCGTGCCAATTCAGAAAACATAGAGAAAAGGTAATGCCCCTCGCCGTTACGCATCCATCTTTTATTATGCATAAGACTTGGCTTCCTCCTCAATCGTCATCGTAAAGTCCCTAAGTTGTATGGTGGAACAAGGGCGAGGCTTAGTGCTGCCCATAGTTCCCGCCCCACCCACCGCGGTTGTAGCTGCCACCGCCATAGCCTCCAAAGCCACCATAGTTGCCATAGCCACTCTGCTGCTGCTGTTGCTGCTGCTGGTGGCCTGCAGAGTTCTGGTGACCTAGTCCACCGAGTCCTCCGTACTGGTTGTTGCCGCTGAGGTGACCTGGATAGCCGCCAAAGCCTTGCTGCTGCGAATGCTGGGGAAGACCGCCTTGTCCGCTCTGGCCAGGAGTATTCTGTGTGGCAGAACCAGGGCGGCCGGGCTGAGCTCCGAGAGCAGACGGGCTGGGCCCACCAGTCTTTGAATCGGCAAAAGGCTTCAAGGAGTCTTCGTTCAGTCCCTGTTGACCACCTTGCTGCTGTCCGTACGAGCTTTGGCTCGAATAGCCTTGGGGCCGACTGAATGTATCAGGTAGGCCGCCAAATCCACCAGAAGCGGCTGTCGCGCTAGGATTCTGGGATGTTCCCGATGCAGATCGACCGTAGTCGCCGAATCCTCCACCCATGCCACTGCCGCGCTCATGCAAGGACGATGCGCCGAAGCCTCCCGCGTTAGCGGGGGAGGCTGAGTGCTGCTCGAAAGAAGCTTGCGGCGACATTCCGTAGTGCTGAGGCTGTCCGTACATACCCTTGCCGAACGAGCCATAGCCTCCTCCCTGGCCATAACCACCGAATTGATTCATGTAGTTGGCATAATAGGGGCTACCATAGTACGGGTGATTGTAAGGGTAGCCTCCAGCATGTCCCTGCTGGCCTTGCTGCTGCTGCTGCTGCATATGCTGGTTTTGCGAAGGAGGTCCCTGTTGTCCGCCCAATGCAGGGTTGGGTGTGTTGTGTCCGCTGTTTTGAGCGTCGTTGTATCGGCTCTGAGACTACATGCACAGATTAGCTATTTTTCTTCCGAAGGATGGAATCCTAGCTCGACCATGGCTCCTGCTCTGTGCGCTTCACCTGACCACTTCTCTGAAGGTACCTGTTGAGACAGTCCAGATTGATTGGCATTAGGCCCGCGCAAACGAGTTTTGAGTACATGTTCGAGGGACCAATTAGTAGCGGGACGTGATCTTACCTGTTGTTGTTGCTGACTCTGGGAGTAAGTCGAGTCATTAGGACCGGAGCCAAAAGCGCTGCCGGTACGCTGCTGAGCCGAACCAGCTTCCTGCTGGGTTTGAGCATTTTGCTGGCCATAGCTCCCATAGTAGTTCTGGTACTGCGAGCGCTGTTCAGCTGTGAGATACTGGGAGGCGTAGTTATCGGGTGCAGAGGAGAAGGCGCCAGGCTGTGACGGTGCCTGACTCTGTTGTCCAGGGTAGTCGTATTGGTTCGACTGTGGGATCTGCTGGCCGAAGGGATCGTACGGCTTCTGGGGAGGCGCAGACGCTTCTGATTGGATACCTGTTTGGCCGTAACGGCCGAACTGGTTGTAAGGCTGGTTGGACTGAGATCCTTGGTTTTGCATAGCCTGAGAAGCAAGCGGGTTGGAAGGCGATTGCTGCGAGAGCGGTTGCTGCTGTGGTGCAGGAGGCAATCCAGGGGCTTGCTTCGGTGTGGAATGCGACTCTGGTTGCTGAGACTCTGACTGAGGAGCCTGGCGAGGAGCAGGGGGTAAAGACGCCCTGGGCTGCGCAACGGGGGAGTGTTGAGGGGGTTGGGTCCTAGTCTCGGCCTGCTCCCTGTCCTCGTCCACATCCAGATCGGACGTATCGCCCAAGCCCAAGCTGCCAAATTGGACTGCAGCCCTGTCCACGGCATGGTTTCCAGGCATGACCACTGCCTCATGCTGTTCGGCAATTCTCCTCTGGAAGCTTGCGCTGCGGTGTGGGGTTCCAGAAGTCGCCTTCAGTGCCGACGTTGCGTATCCTCCAATGCCGGGACGGCCAATGGGCGCCTGCGCTGGGCCGTTCAATGGGGTCACAACAGTACTTCCAATATCCTTTGAGCTGGCCACGGTGCTGAACATGGTCTCTGTCGGTGGCGGGTGCGATTCGTCGGGCAGGTGCTCGACATTCTCCTTTGTAAGTTCGTCTTTCGAGGGCGTCAGAGTAACTTCAGGGCCAAGTCCGCCGTCCGTCTTATCTGGCGGCAATTGGGACGTGTTCTCGATTGCGATGGGCGGCTCCCCGACCTCTGCGTCTGCAGTGGGTGGTATGGGCAATCCTTCGCTATGCACTGCAGGCTCCTGAGCAACGTCGTGTGCGGGTGTCTCGCCGTGCACGGGCGTGGGCTCTTCATGAGATGGAGCAGCCTTTGCGGCAGCTTTAGGCACGACGGGCGGGGGCTTCGGCGCAGCAAACATGCTGGCCCACGTCTTCTTCGCGGCGGCTGCCACTGCGGCCACAGGCTCTGTGACCTTTTCAGCAATCGTGGTCGGCTCTGCAGCTTGTCCGTTCTCTTTGGGCTCCTCCGCAACTGGAGGCACATCCCATGCAGGTGACTCGGTCGTTGGAACCGAGCCGGTAACAGCACGCGGTCCACTGGTGGCTCCTCCACGGCCACCTCGAAGCCCACCGCGGCCGCGATCAGTGCCACGTCCACGTCCGCCTCGAACGCTATCACCGCCACGGCGGGGTCCGTCGCCGCGGCTACCACGCAGACTAGACACACCCTCTGGAGGAGCAGTATTCTCCTTTGCCTTGGAACGGGACCGGTCCTTTGCTTTCTTTGGGACTTCAGCGAATTGGGAGACGGCACCTGTGGAGCGTCATGTCAGTAAAGGTTTCGTGATGGTGCGCGGCTTCCGACGTGGAATTGGTGCGCGACAGTGATTCACTTACCCTCACTGATCTTATCAATGGTGGTTTCCAGGTCGCCGTTGGAGTCTTCGATTGCGAGCACCAGCTCCGCGTCGGTCCAATCAGGGAAAAGCTCTTTGAGTGTCGAGAGTTGTGACTGGTAACGCTTCTTCAGCTCGCCAAGTTCACCTTGGTCGGCCGATGTGTCAATGGGGGACGACGCGCTGTCGCCATTTGGCTTTCTTGGGCCTCGGGCAGCGTGTGAGCCTCTGGCGCCGCCGCGGACGGCGCTCCTGCCTCGCGCAGGCCGAGACGGTACTTCAGACATGTGTGCTGTGTGGGGGTGTGGTCAAGCCGCCGTCGACTTTTGTGTGTATGTGTGGGTAAGGCGGGCGTAGGGAGGACGTGCGTGGTGATGATGTAGGGGAGGGAAAGTAAGGTTGGGGGGAGCGAAAAGAGTAGGCGATCAAGTCGGCTTGGCGCTAGAGGAGCTCCAATGGCGCAAAAGGCAGCAGAGTCGTCTTGGTCGCGGCTGTCGTCGGCCGTGTTGTATATGCAGAGCTGAGGAGAGGGCTGGGGACATGCAAAGACTACGGGCCCCCCATTACACTTTGTCGTGTCGCGAGCTGCAAGGCCTCGCTGGCCTGTCACGTGCGCCTGGGGCCAACGCTGCTGAGGGCTCCACCGCGTCTCGTCATACCCCAACCCTCCCCAATTCACTTCCCTCCCCACGATACGTCAAGAAGAAGAAAAACATCATGCAATCGCAAGCAAGCAAGCGATTGCTGGGCACCCTCGCCGCAAAGCTCCACCCACAGCTGCCGCTGTCGCCACGAGAGAGCCAGCAATTACTCACCCTTCTCACCACCTCGTTCCGCGCCCACCTCGACCGCGAGCACCCCCTCGCCCTCCCCGAGAGCAGCAAAAGCAAACACACACAGAAGCCTGCAGACAGCCATGCCCTGCGCAGCCCCTCCCCGCCTCACGCCACTTCGTCGTACGCCTCCGCCTCGCGCCACATCGACTCCATCCTGACCAACCCTCTGTTCGCTGTGAAGCCCCACCGGCGAGGATCAGAGCCTGCAGCAGTCGATGTGCTCAGAGACCCTATGAGCTGGTTCTTGCGCGAGATCGCAACAGGAGCCGCCAACCTCCCCAAAGCCGCCATGTGCTTGGAGGTGCTGGAGAATACCGCAGGCAACCCCTCTTCAGGACTACGGGGCGGAGCAACACCAGCTTCCATTCTGGCCGAGTGGTTGCGGACTAGCGGCTTAGACTCGTCCAAGCAGTTCCTCGAGCTTTGCACATCGAAGCAGGGTTACGGCAGCAGATTCCTGGACAGACTGATCACGCTGCTTCTCGCAGAGGGCGAAGTTGCCGTCCCATGGCGCTGGTTCATTCGCTCCAACGAGCAGCGTTCCAAAGAGACGGGGCTCGACTCGTGGAAAGTAGAGGCCTTTAGGCGACAACTGCTGGCCAAAATGGTGTCCATTGAAGCAACCACAGGACTGGATAAAGGTCTGGCTGTCTTCCTGCAAGCTTTCCGAATGGCTGAGGTCAGTGGACACGACTCGGCGTATAGTATCTTAAGGCCCGCTGGAGCCCACCTGGTGAACCGCATCAGCTCAAGCCCAGATCTATCTATCCAACCCGCACTATACCAACCCTTCTTACAATCATCTCGCCTTTGGCTTGGAGAATGGGGCCAGGCAGTCGAATCGATGCTGTGGCTGCATCACCCCACCCAGCCCAGCGCGCTGCCTGGCCTTCGTTTCATCCAGGATCCCACAGGAGCCACCAAATTTGCACAAGCTTCACGTAGCCGAAGGCATTTCCTCGTCCAGCTCTGCCTAGGCGTTGCACGTCAACTGATGGAGCAAGAGAAGTATGCGGAGGCACAGATTGCGATGCAATTCACCAAAGAGCATTTTGCAGACATTGTGCTCTCGAAAGTACCAGCTGTAGCTCAGCAAGCAACGCCACGGTGGAAAGAGCGCAGAGAGAGAGAGAATCTGGAACTGTTGGATCGCCTTGTTCCGACTTGATGACAATCTGGTTTTCTGATAGGCCAATAATATTCAGTACCAACAACAAGTACTCGTCTCTCCCACGCACGAAGAGCTACAAAATATCTCTGTGTTACGCAACATATCGCGAGTACACAAGCATGCGACCTTATCGCTCCGACCCCTCGCAAGAACGGGTGGCACACGTATGGAACATAGCTGGTGTCGCTGGCAGACGACAGGCAATGGCGAGTGCCACTATTATACCCAATAAAGACGTCACGAGACTTTTTTTTGACGATGTAAATGCGGGGTTATGATGTATGATAAGATAGTAAATAATATATTCGTTGCTCATCGAGCGAGTCTATGCAAGCCTGTTAAAAGGCCTTCTTGGTATCAATGAGTCTAACCAGCCTCTGGAAAACGCCTTTCATCATGCATCCAAGCACTACAGCTAGACTATGCCTTCAGCTCGCCATCTGCCTCCTGCGGCCAGGCGTCATACCCAAAGGTATCCTTCATGTTCACAAAACGCGTATGCCTGCCCCTGGCCACCTCCTCGACAGCATCAAAGTCCTCCTTGCTCAACACGGGAATCTCAAAGTTGCTCACGATGCGCTTGGGCGTCGAGCTCTTGGGCAAAACAACATAGCCCCTCTGCAGGCCCCACGCCAACAGGACCTGGGCGAGATCATGCCCGCTGCGCTGAGCGACTTCGTTGAGCTTGGGGTTCGTGCGCACCTGCTCGCCTGTGCTGGGGACTTGGTTCTGCGAGCCGAGAGGGGAGTAGGCGGCAGGCAGGATGTCGTTCTTCTGGCAGAACTGGACGAGCTCTGCGTTGGGCAGGAAAGGGTGGATTTCGATCTGGTTCAAGGCGGGCTTTACTTTGGCGAAGCTGAGCAGCTTCTCGAGGCCGGCGATGGTCCAGTTTGATACGCCGATTGCGCGGGCGCGGCCTGAGGCGTAGATGGCTTCCATTGCGCGCCATGTTGGCTCGGGGTTCTCGGTCAGGTCTTTCTTGATGATGTATTTGCCGTCTGGGCCGAGGGCGGGCATGTGGTCTTTGTTCGACTGTGCGGCTATGGGCCAATGGACGAGGAACAGGTCGATGTAGTCCAACTTCAGCTTCGAGAGCGAGCTGTTGATGGACCATTCGACTTCCTCCGGCTCGTGCAGGTGGTTCCACACTTTGGTGCAGATGAAGAGGTCTTTGCGGGTGACGCTGGGGTTCTGGGCGAGGAAATCCCGAACCGCATCGCCTACTTCTTCCTCATTCTGGTAGAACCACGCACAGTCGAGGTGGCGGTAGCCTGTCTTCAGGGCGTGTGTGACGGCGGTGTAGGTTTCGCCTTTGGAGCCTTCGTTCGCAAAGGTACCAAAGCCTACAGCGGGGATGGAGACACCATTGGAAAGGGTGTAGGTCTTCGCGTTTGCGAGTTGTGTGGTGGAGCCCATGTTGGTGGTGGGGTGTGTTTGGACAGTTGTAGATAGATAAAAAGTTTGATATGAGAAACCGAGTTCCTGCTCAGGTTGCAATTGATGTGATAGATGATAAAGATTGGAGGATTCTTGCACGAAAATTCGAGTCGCGAGTCAAGGTTGCAAAGCTACATAAGTCGTACCGTCTTTGCCTGATCCGAAAACTCTTCTCTTCGCTTCCATCATCGCATCCAGTCAAGACCACCGTGTTGTGACCTCACTTCCAAGGTTGGCCCTTAACCCTGTTCCGGCACCTCTTCGTGCCAGCCCACGCCAGCGAGAAATTCCCCATAAAAGGCCCATCCAACAGTTTCAAGAAGACCCTTGGTGTTGTCGGCCGTCAGCAATATGACGTCGTGGTGGACCCTGAACCGCCAAGCGGGCCGACCGTAAAGCTCAACAACTACAAAGGATAATTCTGCTTTTAAGCTGAAAACGTACGAGCAGCCTTGCAATACATCCAATGAGGCCGAGTCGATCACCAGGCAGACGGTGTCCATCTCGGCGAGTTGCGCTACACGGCTCCACAGAATTCACGTCACTGGCCGAATATGATGGATAGTCCGCAGCCTTACCTGCAGCTACTATGACCGTCAGTCTTGACCCTCCCCTTTCGTTCTTTTGCACATGCAGATAACTCTCCGCAAGCGGTATGCGTCGGCACATCTTCCGGCCGCGCAGAGTGGTATCCTGAGATGAGGCTCGGTACCAAGCTTTATCGGCTACACGCTAAGGCGCATGCACGCAAGGCCTTGGTGTCGTGGCAAACCACCTTCTCGCGTTGTCGTCTTGTCTCCAGTTTTATGCAAAAACTGCGCGGGGACTGTATCCAGTTTAGATTCTCTGGTCTGGCAGAGTTCTCCATTCATATTACCCTGATAAGCTATTCTGAGTAGTGATGATGTCGCACTGTGGGTACAGAGGTACTTGTTGGATGCACCACACACCGCACGGTGGTAATGAGGTGGAGGGTTTCGGCCACGCTCGGGTCAGGAGCCTGATTTTGAGAAGTTTTCCAGAAACTTACGCGGTATAAGCGAATTATGATGGCACCTGGGGGGTTTGAGGAGTGGCTGCTTGCGGATCGAGCAATCATATATATGGGCTCCCCCCTAGACCCCGAAAGGAGCTTTTCATTCATCAGCAACCTTTCCTTCCTCGAACATACTATCTCAGGCTTCTGTGAAGCTTCATATCATTCATCTTAACCAAATTCCCTACCAACCTCATCCATCAAGATGCCTACATTCGAGGACTCTGACTTTGGTGTCCAAACACCCCTCTCCCCCACCAAGAAGACCTCCAACAACCTGAACGTTGCCATTCCCACTAATGGCGATGCCAGTGGTACCGTCAACTCCGTCGAAGTCCCAGCGACGAGGAGTTCCATCTCCGATGCCTCGGCCTACATGCACAACCTCTCCCTCTCCCCGTCCATGAGGGACAGGCGAGGATCAAGGAACTCCTTTGGTACCTCATTGCCTATTCCGCGATCAAAGAGGCAGTCGAGGCTGTCCTCCGTACACTATCCCGAAGGCCAACCCCAGCGCCCGGGCATGCCCCCTATTCAGGCGTCTCGTGACATCCTAGCCAGTCAGATGCAGGATCTATCGAGTGAGAAGGTCCACGCAGCAAAGGATATGGCTTTCGTCTTCGACATCGACGGTGTCCTCGTCCATGGCGACAGGTTGATTCCCGAGGGCAAGCGTGTCCTTGAGATCTTGAACGGTGACAACGAGCTCGGAATCAAGATCCCTCACATCTTCCTCACCAACGGCTCCGGCAAGCCCGAAGAGGCCCGCGTTGCTCAACTCTCCTCGATCCTCAAGAACCCCATCTCAACCGAGCAATTCATCCAGTCCCACACACCCATGCGCGCTCTGGCAGACTACTACAAGACCGTCCTCGTCGTCGGTGGAGAGGGCTACAAGTGCCGCGAAGTTGCCGAAGCATACGGCTTCCAGGACATCGTTGTGCCTAACGACATCATTGCTTGGGACCCCACCATCGCGCCATACCGCGTCTTCACTGACGAGGAGCGCGCTACCTCGCGTCCTCGTGACTTCTCCAAGATCAACATCGAGGCCATCATGGTCTTCTCTGACAGCCGCGACTACGCCACCGATATGCAAATCATCATTGATCTTCTCCGCAGCGAGAACGGTCGTTTTGGCACCATGGCCAAGGACCCCGTATCTCAGCGTGTCCCCATCTACTTCTCCCAGGGAGACATGCTCTGCCCCACCGAGCACCCCTTCCCCCGCATGTCCCAGGGTACCTTCCGCATCGGTCTCGAGGCCATGTACAGGGCGCTGACGGGCGTTGACCTGGAGCGTGTCGTATACGGCAAGCCCGAACTCGCCACGTACAAGTACGCCGACGAGGTCATCTCAAGCTGGATGGAGACAATCCACAACGACGAGAAGCTGCCCAAGAACATCTACATGATCGGCGACAACCCGGCTTCCGACATCGTCGGTGGAAACCAGTACGGCTGGAACACGTGCCTTGTCCGCACCGGTGTCTTCCAAGGCGGCGACAATGACGAGGAGAACCCTGCTTCCTTTGGCGTTTTCCCCAACGTCCTCGACGCTGTCAAGACGGCTATCAGGAAGGAGATTGGCAAGGACTTCAAGTTTGAGTTCAACGACCAGATCAACCCTGTCCTTCATGGCAACGGTGCCTCGGCCATTGAGTAGTGCACTCTCTTGGTACTGAGCTGGTATCCTCTTCAACGGGAACCCATTATCTTCTCTTTGCTTTTTTTTCTTGGGGGAAGGGCGTTTGGAAACTTAGAATTATATCCTGCATAGCGCATTGCTTGCATATAGATTGACGACATTTGGGAAGTCTATGAACTTGATGATAGAAATATCAAACCTTTTTTACTGTTCATACCTACCTTATCATGCACACTTTTGTGATGTCCTGTAATGAGACAGCTAGTTTGACATTTCATAAAGAGTTTGTAGGACATACTTGCTTGCCAAAGGATAAGTTGCCAAGAACGCTGGGCTTGCTATTAGTGCCAAAAGTCACTTGAAGTTGGTTAGGGCAAAACGACGATGGTAGGCTAGAAACTAATCTATCTGAGCATATGTGGACAGAGCATGTACAGATTCCTATCGACCCTCCTAATAATGAGAGGTATATCTCTACAACAACCAGAACGGGTATGAAAATCGGCTTAGAGCAAAGGATGAACGACGCTATCCTTCTCTCACGAACTCGTGTCCCGGAGTTTACCAAGACTTCAACGATGCATATGCTTTATTTCAGGATAATTGGGATAGGAGCGTTTGTGGACCCGCAAATATAGAACAGGGTGTTCTGGAAGTGGGAAGCGCAAGTTTCACCACAATATCTTTTGAAAGTTATAGCCGCTACCTTTAAGCTTGTCAGTCTATGCAAGAAACTCCGAGGTTTTCAAACCTCGTTGTTCGCCATGCGGGAAGATGAATGACGTACTACCGGCTTTGACGATTCTAATCGCCATTGTATCATGTCGTTCAACAACAGCATGATACTTCCCCTGGAAGCGACCCTGCTCTTTGCCAGTCCACGAATCAATAACAGTATACTCAGTCTTTGCATCTAGTCCTGGCACTTCGGCAAAGTCAACTGTCTTGTTCTGCGTAGTGTCCAATGTATTAAGAACAAACACATGGGTGCCCTTAGAAGACTCCCCACTCCAGTACTCCGCGGGATGTGATTGATTCCACGAAAAGTCCGGATTGACGCCCCATTTGTACGGCTTAGCGGATTCTCCGTGGATTGGGTCCTGGTTGAAGGCAATGAGCTCCTTATTGGCCAGGATTGCTAAGATTTCTGGCTTGATACCGTCAAGCGGTGTACCGATGATAAGGGGTGATTTCAAGGCTGCCCACATCGCAAAATGCGAGCGGTTCTCCTCGATAGTCAAGTCGCCATTGCCAACTTCGAGCATGTCATAATCAGCGTGGCCCCAGAAATTACTACTGTTGTAGAAGAACGCTGCATGATTGAGGATTGTCGTGACAACTGGCCATACAGGATGGATGTCGCCCCACATTCGCCAGCTGTGACCAGTGCTGTTGCCCCACTCATCGATGTGAGCGTGACCCCATGCGCATTGTGAGTACTCGATTGTTCGGTTGGTAGCCAGAAGAGCATCACGCATGGTTTTGTAGCGATCGAAGGTTTTTGATGTTGTCCAGTCATAACCTGGTGGTGCCACGGCTTGATTAGAATCGCCAACTCCGCCAGCAGTCTGGTCCTCGTTGGGAGGTCCTCCTCGCCAGTTATCCGGCCACCATCGATACTCATCATCCCATTCGTGTGGGACATTACAGTTGTCATACTTTAGATCTGGAAGGTATCAGCGTCATTATGAGAGCGAGCTGATGTTTACTTACAGTCAATACCCCATTCAGCAAATGTCTGGGCATCAAGCTCTTCGTGGCCTAGAGAACCAGCATACAAAGCGCACGTCAGAGTGCCCGCATCACCATAGATGCCCAGCTTGAGTCCGAGCTTGTGGATCTCATCTGCGGTATGCTTGATGCCTTGAGGGAACTTCTTGTAATCTGGATTAATCTTTCCCGTGACATTGTCTCGCTGTATTTCTTTGTCGCTCCAACAATCATCAATGTTGACGTGCGTATAGCCGAGGTCTTTTAAGCCGAGGGATACGAGCAGCTCGCCAACTGTAAGAAAAACAGTCTCGTTAATGGCGCACTCGTATTCGTTCCAGGAGTTCCAGCCCATTGCTGGTAGTCGGCCAGTGACTCCATCCTTCGACACCAAGGCGGAGCCGAGACCAAACAATGCTAATTCGATAAATGCGAAGCGCAGAGCCATAGTTTGAGGTTTATGGAGGTGCGCGATGTAGGTGTATTCAAATGGAGGCACCGGCTATAACCATATTCGGCACGGGCCATCTTGGCAGATGTGACACATGGACCGTACGCATGATGGGGGTTGATCCTTCGGTCGGGGTAGATGAGTGACCACGGGGTATCTTTTTCACCTGGTGACTAGATTTCATCTATCTATCGCCGCAACCTGCAAAATCAGGACATTGAGAGCAGGCTCGCTTCACCAAGGAGCAGGTTACTACTGCTAGTTATCACTCACAGTAGAATCTAAAAGGGGTGTTAATTAAATTATAATGTACGAAATGGGTTAGTTTTCGATACAAAAAACCGGTTCTAGGGATAGCTTGTTGCGAAGTATGCATAGGAGGTACTGTCTCAACTCTTATTTGAATCAAATGACCTGATTTACAGCTTCGTATATCGCGACTTCAGAGAGGATTCCCAAAGCACCTACGCCCTAGTTGAGCTATCGCTGGTTTCTGTGAATGTACTTTGAGTGCGGAGATGTATGTGATTACGTTGAGTCGCGAATTCAGCGAATAACCTAGATCCTGCACTAGCCTTGCTTCGTTCTGTCTTTACTCCAATCTAGTTTTTCTATACTCGACTAACAATCTACCAGGTGTATCTCCTAGTTAAATTCTCGTGGCTCGCCTTGTAGCTCACCATCCAACAAGATCGTTAGCGGTATTTTTCAGTCTTTCCATGGTTGGAAGATTTCGAATGGCAGCGATGGGGAGCATCCTGAATTACGTACGAAAGGATACTCATAGTACTATGATACTATTGGAATACCGATGCTCGGTTTCTATGTGTCAAAATTTCTGGTAGCTCAACATAGGAACCTCCAGTAGATACTATTAGCTTTGGTCATCGCGAAGTTACGTTGGCGATACGAGCTGAGCAAGAGCTCGATTCCAGTTCAGGTCTTCTTGGAGCCTAAAGCACACAAGGTCAGCTGGGGAGACCAAGGTACAAACGCAAACAATGCCTCGTCTGACAGTGAAGGCGAGCAAGCAACGCATGGGCCAGAAAACGCATGACAACCCTGAGGTAATACAAGTAGAGAGGAGCTAGTAACTCAACCTTATCTCTCAACACTCATTCCCACTCAGACCCTCCATCACCATTATCATTACCAACATCTTTACAACCGAAATCCCTCGTATCCAACAGATCTCTCAAGTAAGAGTTGATGAGTGAAACCCTTACTGCCGCGCGCGGCCTGAGCCCATTCAAGGGCAACATCTGGGACCCGGACGACTCTGAATGGGCCGAAGTCGACGCGAACAAAGTAGTAGAAACTTTCAAAGCTACCTGTAAAGGTCCCGCACAGCAAAGTCTCCGGAAGAACGCACTCTCTCGCCTCGGAAGCTCCATTCAAAACACGTTCAGCTCGCTTGTGCCACTTTCACCGACGAAGAAGAAGACTGTAGACAGAACGCTAAGAGAAGAGGAGAATAAGAGGGATCAGTTGGAACTGTTGTAGAATACGTATTACTGTGATCCTCAAGGCGATTTGGTGGACGAGGTTATTAAGCAAGTTTTCCTTGCTGAATCGAGGGTTTTCCCGGGTCAGATGATGAGTTCGCCGCGCCATATGCATGTCGTGGATCTCGAAGCATACTTTGGAACTGAAGATGTTCTCCTACAAGAAGCGAAGCCTCGGCTGTGTGATGCTGTTGCTACGATACTGTCGCACACGAGTCATCAGTGTCTAGAAGCATTCTTAGACCCGACTATCAAAGAGTTTGCGTACCGACGCGAACTAGATCGCAACAAGGCTGGTCTTATCCTCATTATCCGCCGAAAAGGTAATGAGGTGTTCGCTGGTGCATATCGCAACTTTGGGTTCACCCTACAATGGTCACTCTACGTCAAGTCGCTCATCAACGCCATCGGCCAATGGCACGAAGTGTACGCCGCTCTGAAGCCCGGCATGACTCCTATTGTGAACGGTGTGCCACAGTGGGATGCATTCGAACTAGATGATGTCCATTCTGAGACGGAGAGGCTAAACGACGGATCGCCGAGGAAGATCGAGCTGTCGAGTCCGAAGAAGAAATCTGCGCATGACAACCTCAGCCCCACAGATCCAAAGTTCATGCTCTATCAAAGCCGACTTCTGGCAAAGTATCTGCTCTGGGATATTTGGGTCAGATTTGATGGCTTATGTGAGTGCAGGGCGACCTGGGAGGCGGATGGAGAGGTAAGGGATGTCAGGGTGAAGAGAGCGCTTGTAGGTTTTGGGGATATAGAGCTAGAGGAGTCCACGGCGGATATGATCTGATATCCTCGGTCGAATTGTGCTGCGGCCCGAACTGATATTCGCTTCTCAGTCATGGAATTTCAAGTCTGAACGGTTAAGAAATTGTAAGAATACGACATCGGTTCCTAGATTTCATATTTGTCAGTGTCACTTGCACATTTATGCCAGTATCCAAGCGACGTGACCTAGGACATCAAAGATAGCTTGTAGGCGAAGTGGCGCAGAGTAGGAGGTCGAATGGTATTGATTCATTCCGGGACGAGCCCCGACTCTCGATATCGTGATGCCCTTCCCTAATCGCATTCGCTTCCCTAGGTGCAGCGCTCAGAAGCACGGCACCCTCATCATCCCGCCATCATGAAGTCCGTATAGATGCCCATAGCTTTCGCAAAGAACTCCGAAACCGAATGAAATGCCGTTTCCTTTTCTCCCCCAAGTCGTGCGTTTATCGCAGGCGGCGGGCCTCACGTTCGGACTCGAGCAGGCAGAGGATGTCGTTCTCGCGAACTGTGTACAGGTCAATTTCCATACATTCTCGCTCATGTAAAACGTGGATCTGCGTACCTGGGCCCTTGACGTTGCGGATGATGGAGCGGGTCTGGTCGTCCATGACTTTTATTTCTGTTAGCATACCGCTACTTTCGAAGGTAGATATAAGAAGCATTTACATTCGACACGGCACTGAGTGACACCTCCACGGGAGCCTGTTGATTCCGTCAGCTTCTGCAAAGTACATTTCTCCTCTACGTCGTCTAATCGCCGCTTCCTGTCGTGGGGCATGCATTTTCCTGCGGCGATTGGGCGGACGATGAGGTCGCGGGGACGTTCGTACCGGTTCGGCCAAGGACACGGGTGACCTTGACGAGCTTGACGGGTGCCTTAGCGGTATCCATTGTGTGTGATTGTTGATTTCGACGAGGATCGGTCGTGCGGTGTGCGGATTAGCTGGTCGTCGGAATCGAGGTGTCGCTGTCGAGGAGGTGCGCGGTAGGAAAATGCGGATCGTGGGCGCCCGAAATTGCTAAGCGAAAAGTTGTGCCCGCGCCACCGCTTTATGCAGGGGTGTTGGCGCTTGGGCCACTTTCGCCTTTCACCCTTCATCGCGCTAGTTGCGCTTCCCATAACGACGAGATCATCACTTTCTCGGCTACCTATCTGCAAAATGCCATTATTCAGTTCTGCACGTTTCACACTAGACAATAGGCCAGCCTTTAGCAGCCGCCATAACATGAGAACCGCCACACGAACCAACTGAGAGCTCACATACGCCAATTAGTGCAAGTCGTTCACCCCAGCCGTGAGCTGATGAGCGTACATCAAGCACAGCAATCAAAATGCGACGACAAACACACATGGTCAAATGCACAGAATTTCATCGTTTCGTTCGTGTCAAGTCAAAGTCAAAGTGATACTAAGTTTCTTCATTACTGATTACGAATAGGTCCTGTCATAAGACTGTCTTCCCTCTACAACTTCGCTGTGCTATTGCCCTTCCAGAACTCTCCCAGCCATGGGTATGGGTCAGCTGGGGTGTACTGGTTCAGAACCTCTCCCTTGAACTCTGTGATGTGGTCACGAGTCAAGTTGTACAGCGCGTACTTCTCATCTGGACCAGTTCCGACAGTGTATGGGACAGTCTGGACGTTGTTGCCAATCTCCTTGTCAACATAACGCGTGACATCCACGATCTGGGAGTCCTTGATCCGGTACTCGTCGCCGTAGTTGGGGTTGATCTACGATCGCATTAGGACGTCTGTCGACAGAAGAATGGACGTGAGGAGACTTACTATACCCATCCTGGTACCATTGATGGCAATAACGTTCTCAATGGTGACGTTACGCTTTGCCTGGTTCAGGCAGTTGCCACACGACTGGTAAAAAGTACCGAAGGTCTCTGCGTAGAAGCCTGTGATATTTACCTTGCCGCCAAGGGAATTGTCCTGGAAGATCTTGTCCGTGGCGTTTCGAGCACCACCGCCGATAACGCGAAGCTGTGTGTTCAGACCCTTCGATGTCAGGGCATCCTCGCAGACGTCTTCCCACCAAACTATCCCGGCACATATCAGCACCTACTCCATATCACAAACTCAGGAAGATGTCTTACCATTCTCAACCCAAGCATCACCAAGCGCATGGATGCCCTCGGCCTGATGCTTCCCAATAATCACATTGCGGATGGTTGATCCAGGCAAAAGGTTAAAGACGGTATCAGCATCCGTGCCTTCAGCCTGTTCATTGCAACTGCCTTCCTGTCGCTCATATCGCTTCATGCCTCCATCGAAGACTTCTCCCGGCTGGATGTACCTTGTCTCATTGAAGACAATGGTCTCCTTTGCGACTGGGAACTCAATCACGGGGAAAGGGAAGCGTGGTGGTGGGCGGGCACCGAGGTCGCCTTGAGTAGCATCTCCAGAGCCTTGAGGACCATCGCCGTTTTGGCGGCGGACTGCTGCTGAGGAGGAGAGTGCGGGAAGGAGAGGGAGGAGAACGGAAGTGGTGAGCTTCATGATGAAGGTCAATTGAGATTTTGACTTCGACGCGATTTTTGGACCAATTCTCAGATCAATTGGAGCTTGCAGCAGTGCAGAGAGGTACCCTACAGCTCCTGCAGCTTCCCTGGTATTTATACATTCTCTTATGATAGCTGCTCGCCCAGCTTCCATTCGCGTGGAATCCTACTCTTACTCATTTTCGCCTCGCGCTCCCATACACGATGCTGTCAACCGCGTTCAGCACGCGCAATTGGTCATAGCTCCAAGAGCTTTAGGATTCCAAGCAGCGGAAGATCTCTTGTTCAAGAGTTTCCGTGAATCAAGATGCATTATGATGGAGTGGAAGACTTGGCAAAAGCATAACCGATGTATGCCAAGTGAACGCCCATCGGAACCTCGTCGGTGGCATTTTCTCCACGAATCCCCCAGCTTCCACCCCTTGTCTTCCCTCCAGCCCCCATCGTCTCCCCGCATGAAAGTCATTCTTGCGGGGGTGCCTTCTTCCGCTTCTCTGGGCGCTGCACGCTGTGTCACAGGGATCATATCACATTCTAGAGGTGTTCCACGAGGCCGCGGCCGGTTGTACTGCCTCAGTAACGTCCGCTCTCCATATATGTTCCAGGTTAAGCTCGCACGTCGATTGGCGTGTATGTTTCTACGTCAGTTCTATCAATCTCATACCTCAATACTATTGCTTATCGAATGCGCCCTGCTCAGTGCTGTTCTACTTTCCTCTGTCTTGTGCCTTTCTTGGCCTGTCACGAGATCATCGTCAGCGCTGCCTACTCGGGCACACATACAACATTTTCTCATCTTATTTCTATTTATCCAGTGCTATTCTGACGCCTACATTATCAAGGGCCCTGACTTTCATCGTCTTCATAGTGGTTTGTGTAAGCATTTAACACTCTATGCTACAACTTTGGTTATCTAATCAATGGCCCATGGAGGCATACAACGCATTACACCGTCAGCTCGTTTCGAGTACCCAAAACAAACACGCCCCTACGCAACTTCAAGACTGCGGCACCGCCAGCTCATCCACAACTGAAAGTTCCTCCATATACACTTCCATGGAGCGATGACCTTTGCTCTAGCGTTACGCGATTGATTAGTCAGATAAAGTATATTGTTTCGAAACTCCGCGTGGTCGTCCCAGATGATCTCCCAATTATTACGCATGTCAGCGCCGTCTTGATGACATCATTGTCATACCAGTATGTAACCAGAACATGCTTGAAGAAACGAGCAAGCAGAGAGTGGATGGCTCGTTGGCGTAGCATCACTCTATCGCCTTGGGACTGACACTAGAGCGCAGGGCCGCATGTTTGGGCGGGAAATGTATATTGTATAAATCCTTCATGGTGAAGTTGTTGAGCTCGACAGCGTCCAGGTAATCAGCCAGTACCCAGGCATTGGCGCTATCGCGAGCCTTGAAGCCATCGGGTAGATCGTTGCGGTAGTTGTACCACCCATAGTCCAGGAATTTGACGAAATACTTGAACGTGTCCGGTTCAAAGTCATCGAGGATAACTCTACCCTCTTTTGAAAGTACCCGAAGTGATTGTAATTTCCATCACGGGGCCACTTAGCATTCCAACACCTCGGCGTTCTGACAAGCAAATCGAGCTTCCTATTTCGCATAACAGTAGACGAGCCTTCTACACACCAAAGAACCTACTGGCTCACCCAATTCGCGCTCATTTGAGTCAAGCTCTCCTCCAGCCCATCCCAAGCCGCGCCTTTCACCCAACCTAGCACTTCCTCGGCCCTCTGGTTTGGCACGCTCATCCTATCAGTACCCAAGCCATCCACATCCTCCGGGAACGTTTTCTGCGGGTACAACTTTCGAAACACGGCTAGCAGTTGATTGAAGTTCCAAGGCTCCGCAAAGCCGTAAAGCCGCTCGGAGTTGACTTCGCTGTATATCAACGCAGAAACGTGCAGGAGCGCCGTATCTACAGGCGAGATGAACCACTGAGGGTCAATGACCTGGGTATATTCTTTCAAGTATTCGCCTGACCAGGCTGCGTGGGCCCAGTCGATGGTCGACGGGTAGCCTTGATGTGCTGGGACGAGAACGCGGCCGAAATTTGCGTTAGGGAGCTACATGTTTGTCAATCGCGTTGATCTCGAGTGCGCAGGAATTGAGTAGGCATACAATCGTGTTGAGCACGAAGTCTGGCTTGTTGTCATTCATCCACTTCCAGATTGCCTTCTCAGTCTCCATCTTCATTGCAGCATAGATGAACAATCCTTTCTTCGACGGCTCCTTCCTCACAACCTCGACTGCTTCCTCATTGTAGCTATTCTTATTGATTGAGAATTGGACGTCTGGTTTCGGGAAAGTCGCAGCGAGAGAGGACGAGGTGAAGAGGATTTTCAAAGCGCCTACGCCCTAGTTGAGCTATCGCTGGTTCTGTGAAAGTACTTTGAGTGCGGAGATGTTTGTGATTACATTGATTCTTCCAGGATGACGAGGTGAAGACGAAGCGCTTTATTGAAGCTGTCTTTGCACAGGCCTTGAGAGCGTTCAAGCCGCCACCCACACCAATTGCGATGGCAGCGTCGGCGTCGGAGAAGCCGCCAAGAGGTGATGCTACATGAATGAAGCCGTCAATACCTGTGTCATGTATTGTTAGTGATCTCTCATAAAAGCGTGATACCCAAATCTGGAGGAGGCCGTCTAACCTTGAAGGACATCATCATAGCACCCCTCGAGTGTCATGTCCGGCACTTCAACCAAATCAAGTTTCACTGCGTCATACCGTCCTTTGAAGTAGTCCGCCAACCACTTGTTCTTCTCCACATTTCTCACCGCGCCACGCACATGATACCCTCTTTTGAGTAGCTGATCAACGATATGACTGCCAATCAGCCCATTGACGCCTGTCACAAACACTGTAGTACCAGGATGAATGATGACTGTAGGCATTGTAGTGTGTGAGTAAAGCGAGAAGAACGCGGCGGGGATGATGAAGTAAGCAAAAAGGGGCAAAGAGTATGTTGTCGTGGAACTGTGGTAAGAGGATTTTCAAAGCGCCTGCGCCCTAGTTAAGCTATTGCTAGTTTCTATAAAAGTACTTTAAGTGCAAAAGTATTTATAATTATATTAATTTTTTTAGAATAGGCTTTTTAAAACAGTTACTAACTATAATTTTAAACTTTATTATTATTTTTTTATAGTACTATATATTAATTTTCTGCTCTTTATAACTACTAATAAGTCTAATGCGAGTTTTAGTTATATCTAATAATTTAAGTATAAAAAGAGTTACTTGCTTTTAAAGCCTGTATAAAGCTGCTTTGCTTTATAATTTCTATTTTCTATTTTTTGCACTATATAATAGCATAATGTACTTTTATAACAAGTAATTAGTTAGAACAAATAATTAGTTTCTGCTAAGCTTCTACTAAAATTTACTATTGCTTATAGTATATTGCAATTATAGTATATTATACTATAGCTAATAGTATATAGTATTAATTTATAATATTTTTTATATTATTTTTATATATGCTTGCATTATGCTTTATTTTATTATAATATTTATAGCGCTTTTAAAAAAGCTTACTTGCTTTAGCACACACTTTTTTTTTTATTTTTTTTTATTATTACGCGCCCTAAATTTTTTTAAAATTATTAATTAAAAATTATTTTTTATTATAAAAGTTTTTTTTTTAATACTTATTTTTTTTTATACAATTTACGTTATATAGCAGCTTTATTAGTAGTTTAAAATTTAAAATTTTATTTTTATATTAATACTATTAAATATGCTATTATTTTTGTATTTTTAGTAAATTTTATAAAAATATTTACTATTAAAATAAAAAAGCTATTTAAGTGCTTCTAAATTTTTTTTTTAAAAGTATTAATTATAATTTAAATTTTAAAGTATTATTAAGTATTTTTAATTTTTAAGCACTATTTTTAATAATAAATAATAGTAAAATATATAATTAAATATTAAGCTTTAATATTATAGCTTTTAAGTTAAGTAGTACTAAGCTAGCACTTTAAAAAATTTTTAAAATATTGCTTTTTATAATAACGTACTTCTATAACGAGTAGTTAATTAGAATAAGTAGTTAGTTTCTGCCAAGCCCCTATTAAAACCTACTATTGCCTATAGTATATTGCGATAAATTAATATAATAACACATTACTAGTTTAAAAAAAAATATTAAATATAGAATGTAATTTAAACTATTAAATAAAATATAAATTTTTTAATTTATTGTGCTATAAAATACTATAATATATTTAAATTAATATTTAAAAAATAATTTACTAAAACTACTTTTTAACGCAACTATACACCTAATTTAATAAAGCTTACTATAGTAAAAAAAAAAGTAATTATTAATTATATACTTAATTTTACTATAAAAAAATATTTGCCTAAGCTTGCTAAAATTAAAAATATAGCTAATTTTTTGCTTATTAAATATTACTAAAATTTAATTAATTTAAAGTAGGCTAATATATTTATTAAACGCTAGCTTAAGCTTAAAGTAAAATTTAATTAAAAGTATAATTATAAAAAAACTTTTTGCAAAAATTCTAATATTATATAAAACTAGTTTTAGCTAGTGCAGAATATAAAAGCAAAGTATAGTATTATAAATAAAAATATTTATAATTTTAATAAAATAAGCTTTATAATAAGTATAATATTAATTAAAACTATTATTACAAGCTCTAACTATTAAAAATAAGTAATAATAATATAGTAGAATAATTAAAAATAAATAATAGTAATTTAAAGTATTGGCGCAGCTAATTAAGTAATTTTATTTTTTATTATTTTTATAAGCAAGCACTACTTTTCTGCCTAGTATAAAAAAAATAGCCTATTTTAAAATTAGGCTATTACTATTTTTATAAATAGCTAAATAACTAATAAGTATAGCTTTAAATAAATAAAGTACTTTAATAAATATATAAAAAAGTATACTATTAGCGCGCATTATTTTTTAATTATAAATAGCTATAAAAGCTATAACTTAGTTAAGTTTTACTAGTACTATAAAAAAAAAATATTATTACTTTTTATATGCTTTTGCATTTATCGCACTTATTATAACTATTTAATATAAACTATTTTGCTTTTTTAAAAAAAGTATATAAGTACTAAGCTAAAATTCTAATACGCAACTATATTAATTATATTACTAAAATTAAATTTTTACTATACTTTAAAGCTATTTTTAATACTATTATTATAAAAAGTAATATTTTAAAAAACTTTTAAAGTGCTGGCTTAATACTACTTAACTTAAAAGCTGTAATATTAAAACTTAATATTTAGTTATATACTTTATTATTATTTACTATTAAAAATAGTGCTTAAAAATTAAAAATATTTAATAATATTTTAAAATTTAAGTTGCAATTAATGCTTTTAAAAGAAAAAATTCAAAAGTACTTAAATAGCTTTTTTATTTTAATAGTAAATATTTTTATAAAGTTTACTAAAAGTACAAAAATAATAGTATATTTAATAGTATTAATATAAAAATAAAATTTTAAGCTTTAAACTACTAATAAAGCTATTATATAATATAAATTGTACAAAAAAAAGTAAGTATAAAAAAAAAAAATTTTATAATAAAAAATAGTTTTTAATTAATAATTTTAAAAGAGTTTAAGGCGTATAATAATAAAAAAAAAAATAAAAAAAAAAGTGCATATTAAAATAGGTAAGCTTTTTTAAAAGTACTATAAATATTATAATAAAATAAAGCATAACGCGCGCATATATAAAAATAATATAAAAAATATTATAAATTAATATTATATACTATTAATTATAGTACAATATACTATAGTTGCAATATACTATAAGCAATAGTAGGTTTTAGTAAAAGCTTAGTAAAGACTAACTACTTATTTTAATTAACTACTTGTTATAAAAGTATATTAATAGTATTAAAAGCAGCTTTAAAGCACAATAAAAACTTAATTTTAATAATATAGTTAATATAATTATATATTAGGATTTTAGCTTAATATTTATATATTTTTTTTAAAAAAGTAAAATAATTTATATTAAGTAGCTATAGTAAATGCAATAAATATAAAAGTATATAAAAAATAATAATACTATTTTTTTTACAGTACTAGTAGAACTTAACTAAATTATAGCTTTTATAACTATTTATAATTAAAAAATAATATATACTAATAGTACGCTTTTTTATATATTTATTAAAATATTTTATTTACTTAAAACTATGCTTATTAGTTATCTAGCTATTTATAAAAATAATAATAGTTTAATTTTAAAATAGGCTATTTTTTTTATACTAGGCAGAAAAATAGTACTTGCTTATAAAAATAATAAAAAATAAAATTACTTAATTAGCCGCGCTAATATTTTAGATTATTATTATTTACTTTTAATTATTCTACTATACTATTATTGCCTGTTTTTAATAGTTAAAGCTTGTAATAATAACTTTAATTAATATTATACTTATTATAAAGCCTATTTTATTAAAGTTATAAATATTTTTATTTATAATACTATATTTTGTTTTTATATTTTGCACTAGCCAGAACTAGTTTTATATAATATTAAAATTTTTATAAAAAGTTTTTTTATAATTATATTTTTAATTAAATTTTATTTTAAATTTAGGCTAGTATTTAATAAACGCGTTAGCTTACTTTAGGCTAATTAAATTTTAGTAATACTTAATAAGCAAAAAATTAGCTATATTTTTAATTTTAGCAAGTTTAGGCAGGTATTTTTTTGCAGCAAAATTAAATATATAATTAATAATTTTTTTTTTATTATAGTAAGCTTTATTAAATTAAGTATATAGTTGCATTAAAAAGTAGTTCTAGCAAGTTATTTTTTAAATATTAATTTAAATATATTATAGTATTTTGCAGTGCAATAAATTAAAAAATTTATATTTTATTTAATAGCTTAAATTATATTTTATATTTAATATTTTTTTTAAGCTAATAATATATTATTATATTAATCTATTGCAATATACTATAAATAATAATAGGTTTTAGTAGGGGCTTAGCAGAGACTAACTACTTGTCCTAACTAACTATTTGTTATAGAAGTATATTAATAAATTTTTTTCTTTTTTGCCTACTCTAGTATTAATTTTTTAAATTTACTTTAGCTAGAACTACAAAAACTTTTTTTTAATAATTTTATTATAAAAAAGACTTAGCAATTTATAAAAATAAAAAAAAATATAGCTATAGTATAATTTGCCTTTTTTTATTAAAATTATATAATAAGTAAAAAGCTTTTATTTTTTTATACTTATTTATTAATAATAAAAGCTACGCTAAGTATTAAGCTTACTAAAGTAGCTAAAATAAAAGTTTTTAACTAGTTATTTAAAAAATTAATTAGCTAAACTAAGTTTATAGCTAATTAAATATATATAGCCTTTTTTAAATAATTTAAAAATATAATAAAAGAACAACTAGTTAGGCTGTACAGACTATAGGCGCTAAAACAATAGTAAAAGTTTTTAAAAAAATAAAAAAATTTTAAAATTAGTATTTAGTTAAATGCAAAAGCAGAAATTAAGTAACTAAAGTATTATTTTTATTAAAATAGGCTAGTTAGGAAACTATAGTTAAAAGCTATAAACTACTTTAGGCGGAAGAAATTGAACGCGTACATTGAGGAAACTTTAAAAACTTTAAAAATAGAACTATAGTAAAATTTAGCAACAAAGGTTGCAAGGCGTAATAAGTTAGCTAATAAATAGAAATAAATTAACAATAAAGAGGTAAGTAAAAACAAAACTAAATAGTTGCTAGTAAGTAAATATAAGTATAAAGAAGCTAACTATGTTTGGGAAAGTAGGGTTACTGTAAGCTACCTATACAGCCTAAAAGAAGAAATGTGCTGCTACTAATAAGTATAGAAATTACTCTTTATTCCTAGCTTACAGAGGGGTAATTGTCTTAAAATAATTGTACTTTAGGTTTGGGTACCCTTTAAAGTTAGCTCAATTTTTGCTCTACTTTAGGAAATCTAATACAATAAAGCTAGAAGTTAGGCATTGTAAGTAAAAAGAAAATAGGAAAGAGGAGACTTTTCTAGATATCCAAGTAACTTGCTATTTCTGTGTTTTAGAACTTGATCTAACATTGCTTGATATCTTAGACTTGGACTAGTTCTTAAAACAGGCTAAATATGTAAATTTAGCAGAATGGGCTTTTTAATAAAGAACTTCTTAGGAATAAATAAAAAAGTTAAATGTGATCTTTGCAACTTAGACTTTTATAGCTTATACTTTAAGATAGCTTTGACTTTGCAAGAAACAACTCCGCGTATAGTAGGGCTAATTATTTTGTATTTATATACAAAGGCGTACGGTAGATACTTTGCGACAGCGTAAAAGCCTACTGACCTAGCTAAGGAGGCAATTCGTATACAAAAGTGTTCTTTTGGCAGAGAACTTTAAGGCATGGAGTATTAATGCATATCTCCTCTTGAAAGAACACAATATCCCAATGAAGTAAAATGAAAAGAAAGCAAGGCTGAATTCACGTAGCAACAAGAAAGCAAATCATGCCATGTCATCATAAAGTTGTTAATACTAACAATTGACACTACTACAACTTCCTTGTACTCTTCGCCGTTTCCTCGCCAAGAACCAACCCAATCGGTCCCCCACGACTCCCATCACCCTTCCACAACTCCTCCGCCACCCGCTCAGCCGGCCACGCCCACCTCTCCTTGAACTCCTCGGGCGTCCGCCCCTGAATGCACTGCACGATGCTCTCACCAATCACAGGCAGGAACTTGAACCCGTGTCCCGAGCCGCCCGTCGCGACAAACAAGCCCTTGTACGTGGGGTGGTAGGAAATGAGAAAGTCGCCGTTTCGCGTATCCGTGTACCAGCAAATCTTGGATTGGGTGAAGGGGCGCGAAGGCACGGAGAGGGAAGGGTGGATGGCGGTGAGGAAGGCGCGGCAATCGCGTTGGCCCTCGAGGGGCACGGATTGCGAGGGGTCGTCTACGCAGGTGTAGGGGAGGGAGGTCGTGATTGTGTCGTTTGGGTCTTCGGATTCGGGGTGGGGGATCGTGGTGGGGTTTAGGTAGCCGTGGCCGTGTCGCGCGACTTTGAGGAGGCGGTTTGAAGGCGGTATCATGAAGAGGCCGTGCGAGAGGTTGAGGAGTGTGGGTCGGTTTGAAAGGGCTGCTTCTTCGTCTGCGGAGATGGGCATGTAACACACTGCCTGGCCTGTGGCTTTGCATATGCCGCGAAGATCGATGAGCGCGGCTGTCCATGCGCCTGCTGCCAGTATCGTCAAATCTGCCTTCAGCTCGCTTGCATCGCTCATCCGCACGCCAGACACGGAGTTCGTCTTGTGGTCAATGATGACCTTGTTCACACACCCAGTCACGAAGTTCACCCTTTTGAGCTTCTCTACCCTTTCCCGAAACCAGCACATGGCTCCTTCTGCATTTGCCCATCCTGAACTCCAGTTCACGTATCCTACGCTGCCACTGCCCCACTCGTCTTTCCCTTCCAGGCCACATGCTCTCCTGATCTTCTCGGCGGAGTCCAAGACTTCGGTCTTGTCGGCGCCAATTGCGTTGACGTTTGCGAGAGAGGATGAGACGTATTTCTGCTCAGGGCCCCAGGCGGTCACGGCGAGCCCAACCTCGTGGTAGTGTTCTGGTGCGAAGTCGGTGCGCCAACGATTTTGCGCGATGGTGGCGAGCCGTGTGTAGGGTGCTGCAGCGTAATCGGGGCGGATGATACGGGATATGTCGTTCTATGTGATATTTTGAGCATTCCATTGTAGCAGGGAGAGCGTGGTTTGGGTGGAGAACAAGACGTCGTCAATGACTACTAGAGGCACAGGGCATAGCTACTTACACTCGAGCAATCCGGGGAAGGAAAAGGCTGCCGGTCTACAACAGTAATCGAAGTGTCCTTGTATTGAGGGTTCTGGGATAGTGCCCAAGCAGTGGAGAGGCCAAAGGCACCGCTTCCGACGATCAGAATGGACGAGGGTATCTCTACGGATGCTGAAGATGAAGACGCCATTGCGCAGGAAGACGAGAAGAAATTGAGCAAAAGGAAGGAAAGACGCAAGTCCAAGGACTTTGAAGAAATTCAGCCCTACATTTTTCCTCAACTTGTTGTCTAGACGGTGCCAATCTCGGTCGGCCGATATCGTTGACTGATGACATGGCGCGTCGGCTGGACTCGGTTTAGACCTCGTGGGCTGCAGGCGCTTTGACGTTCCCGAGCGGTCGGGACGCGCAGAAAGATGATTGAAGCTTCCAAACCAACGTCAGCAACATCACCAATTGAACGTCAACGTCGCGCGCTGCACATTGCCTGACTGTTCAATTGCGTCGCCATGGCTAAGCTACCTAAGCCCCCGAAGTCATTCCCCGTAAAACCCGCGATACCTACGAGGCGTGCTCTTCCACTTCACAAGCAAACACCGCGAGCGCAACCACATGCTGAGCCCTCATTACGAAGACCCGACCAGACGCCCAAGGAAGCATGGCAAAAGGTCTGGTCTGCGAGACCCAAGATCTCGGATCTACAGAGACTGTCGGATGCGGAATTGAAGTCAGCACAACACCAGGCGAAGCTACGCAGATGGAGGCAATGGCCCATGTTTGGTATCGGGCTGGTCGCGTTCGGACTGGGCATGTACGGGGTAATGCTCTGGGCATCGCTGTCAAGCGATGTGGACTTCAAAGACTTACCAGAAGATCTGTCGGATCGATTCGACAGGGAAGCGGAAGGCTACGACGAGAAGGTCGACATGTCTGAGATGCTGCTGTTCCTCACGTCGAAGCGCAAGAAGCTTGCAGAGAAGGCGAAGGGGCATGTGTTGGAAGTGGCAGTAGGTACGGGCAGGAACATCCCATACTACAAGACGAAGCAATGCGCGACGGTAACGTTACTCGATTCAAGCGGGCCGATGCTGGCAGTTGCGAAACGGAAGTGGAACGACACGCATAAGGAGTACTTCAGCCGGGTCTTCTTCAAGCAGCAGTCCGCCGTGGACCCCATCGTCCCTCCCTATGGTGCGCAAGATGGATACGATACGGTGATACAGACCATGGGCCTCTGCTCGACGCCGGAGCCCGTCAAGCTGCTGCAGAACATCGAGAGATCAACAAAGGAAGATGGGCAGATCTTGCTGCTCGAACACGGCAAGTCGCATTACGAGTGGCTCAACGATATGCTAGATAAGACAGCGCCCGCACACGCGGATGAACATGGATGCTGGTGGAACAAGGACATTGGGAAGATTGTCGAAAAGAGCGGGCTGGAGGTGGTAGATATCAAGCGATACAACTTCGGCACGACATGGTGGCTGGAATTGAAGCCGAGAAAGGGCACTCGGCAGAGCGTCACCGAGATCGTCGCTGATGTGCAGCCCTCTCCTTCTATCGTGCGGTCCGAATCCCCGGCTACAGAGAAGCCGTGGTGGTCGCTCTGGAGATGAGACATAGGTCTGTGTTACGTCTTCCGCATCCCGCAACCGCTAGCTAGCGGATAGGTGCAGCGTGCCGCGACCAGACATGGCACTTTGTGCTATCTCGGGGCAAATGGGGTTCAGCAATAGAGTTCCAGTCCACCTGGCTGTTTGCATAAGAGTGAGCAGAAGACGACGTCAACCTTAGTCGTGGAGTGGCGTGGATTGGCCGTGGAGGGGAAAATGGCCCGATTCGGCAATTTCCACCTCCACGGTTGGGCAGAACAACAGCAGGTGAAGCGAGAGATCTGCAGTAAGTCATGGTTACGAACAATAAACCTTCGTAAACGGGTTTGAAACGACGAGGTGGCGCGCCCAAAGTTTGGAATGCTGCTCTCTTATCTGGGCAGACGGCCATTGTGCTTGCGTGGTCTCAGACTGTTGAATTGATGCCCAGCTGCTAATGACGACTTGCACTGCTGACATGCATCCATGCCTGACTCGGTGTGTTGAACAGGGTGGGTGGTATAGCAAACAATTACTCGCAGTCAGCTTTTCAGCTTCCTCATTCAAGTCAAGTCAAACGCTTCGTCTGGGGAACCGCGGAGTGCATCCGCCCGACAATAGTATTTGCCAACCAAGAGCTCAAGTTCGGCGCCATGTCTTCCTGTTCCCCACAAAAAGTGACGCTCGCCGCGCATGCAGACCGGACCCAGCGACCTGCGTCTGCCCCCATCGGGCGTGGGCAGCTGTGCTTCCCCTGCCAATCATTGGGAATAGTGACACGTCGCGTGCTGTAGTAGTGCTGGTGGAGGAGCAGAAAGAAGCGACGCGGAGTAGAAAGTAGATCCCTGTGGAACAATTGATTCCAGAAGGGAAGGACGTTTGTTTGCTTGCTTTGTATTATCGCAGCGTCCATTGCCTCTGCCTCGTCCATCCATGTCGCTCATCTTTTTGCGCGCACCATTAGACTGGGCGACGTCTGCCGATTCATCCAGCATGCCCATGTGCAATCTGACGATGCCGAGGCCTGGCCGCATGGCAAACTTGTTCTCAGAAGAGAGAAAGGAAAAAAAAAGAAAAATGAGTACTCACCGCCTGGGAACTCCCCTGTACGGTCGTTGAGGCTAAATCCACTTTTGGTGCTAGACGAGGCAGGGGGTTGCCTGTACATTGGAGCAAGATGGTATGCACGCAGCTTCAGATGCTGCTACAAGCGTGCGACCACTTGCATTGCGGCGGTTTGACTGCTTGCGGAACGGAAGAAGGACAGGCAGGCAGGCAGTTCATGGGCAGTCGAGGCGGTCAGCCTGGAGGACAGCTGGTCAATGGCCACCGCCAACATGCAGCTGGGGGGAGGGCGGCGCGACGTTTGATTGAGCAGCGCAAGCATGAGGTCACTCGGACGGACAAAGGCGAATTTTTGCACTGGGTGCAGCTTTTTTTTTTTTTTTGGGTGGTGGCCAGGGCCTGTCGTTCTTGATGGCGACCGACTAGCTACTACAAGGTTTGATGAACTGACTATTCTGGTACCGTTCTCTCCCGCAAAAATGTTGTCGCGAAAGTCTGGTACAGGCCAACGAGGGCGTCCACTACCAACTATCTTCCTTCCTCCCGGGTGGGGCACAGGCAGTTGAATTGCCCCAAGCGCAGACATGGAGTGGTAGAGATACGAGAGCGATGCAAGCTGCTTAGGGTCCAGGCAGACGGGATTGGCCGGAAAGGCGAAGCGTGTTGTTGCGAGACGTTTGACGGGAGGCATGCTTTTGTCTTGGTTTGCTTGCTTTGCTTTTCAATGTGCTACATAGTTAGACAGTACATGCAGGCAGCCACAGCGTCTGGATAGGACCCAACCCCTGGCCAGCACACCCAACCACGGCTACTCTAAAGTTAGATGCTGTCGTCTTGGGGAAGAGAGACGAGAGACGAAATACACACATTCACCTTTGCACTCGGCCGCACGGTCACCTAGCCAGAGCCCTAGTCGCCGCTTTCTTCACCCAGTGCTCCACTCTCTCCTCCGTTCCTTCCCTCGTCGCAGTCGCATCCCCTCCTCCCATCGCCCCCCTCCAACTCGCCTTGGGACCATCAACCATTCCCATTCCCATTCTCAGTCCTGTTCTCTGTCTTGCACTGCATTCCGTTGCTGTGCGCTGATTATTGTCTGTGTGGTGCTGCAGCAGCTCTTTGATTGTCCAAGTGTTTGGTGTATTTGGCTGGAGCTAGAGGCAGCCAGTCGCCAGCGCCCGGTTACGTATTCGGTCTCAGGAGGCGCTCCAAGTACAAGCACCAGAGAGAGAGAGACGGACAGACAGACAGACAGACAGATCGTCATCTGCTTCCATCACCAAGCAAAGCATCCGTCCATCTCAGATATCTTCTTCTTCTTCTTCCTACGCCCTCAAGTGTGCCGCAGGCAGCAACGTCGCACGCTACCTTGCATCCATAGTCAGCGGCAACGCTGTGTGGTGCAGCCTGCATCGACTTGCATTCCATCCCGGCTCCAATCACCAACCCTGGCATCCTCACAGCAACCATACTTTTGGCTGCATCCCCTCGGCCAGCCTCAATAATTATTTCTCTCCCTTCCACGCCGCCTCCTTTTCCTCCCACACACACACACCTTGCGCGCCCAACTGCGACTGCGTCGCCGCGACAAGATGCCCTACAACACGCGCCGGAAGTCGCTCTCGCTGCCCTCACTCGGCATACACCTCCCTGGAGCACCGCGATCTGCGCGCTCACCGCCTTCGACAAGCGACACGCAGCACGTCGCGAAGAAGCAGAAACGCTCACATTCCGGCTCCAGCGCATCCTCGCTCGCATCACTACCACCACCTCCCCCACGCCCATCGACACTACGCTTCGATGAGCAGCGGCCAAAGAGCTCAGGCCGAGTGGCAGACACCCCGCCACCTTCGCCAGGCGGCGAGTCTGGGTCAACAAAGGTCGACACCCAGGGCATCGATGATGACATCGTCGTCGGCGTCATTGAGCAGCTCGAGAAGACGGGCAACCGACCGCATCTGCTAAAGGAGCTTGCGACGGTTCTGTCGCCCACCATTCCCATAGTCGAAAGGTACGCTTCTGAGCTCAAGCTCCAAACCCTATTCAACCCCCCCTTGGTTACTCATGCTGACGTATCATAGCTCGGCGAATCCTGCCGCCATTATTTCGTCACGCCTGGCAACTTACCTCAAGCGCAACTGGACCGCCCTGTCGAGATGCCCGCTCGACAAGAAGCTCGTCGGCACCCACCCCAAGCGTGTATACTACTTCCTCTCCACGTGCCCCCACCAGCCGATCCCTGCCGATGCAGGCACTGTCCCAGCTGCAGCCCGTATCATTTCGCCCTCGCTATCGTCCGCCACATCCGAGGAAGAGGACATGGATGCGCGGTCACGAGACCGCATGTCGCCTTCGCCCGAGTTGGACCTGTCCGACTACGATAGCAACAGCAGCGACCCCTTCTCAAATCAGAGCCACCCGCAAACCACGGCCAACATTGCCCACAATCGACGGGCTCAATCGCCGCCATTAGAAAAGGACGAGCGAGAGTTCACCCAGACCGCCTCGTCCCTGCAGCAACGGCGGAGAAGCCAGGAGGCTGAGCGCGAGCGATCCGCCAGTGCTTCCGCTGAGCCAGCACGCACCAGCGATGTCACCATGGACGAAGTTTCCCAGTCTGTCGAAGAGACAGAGGAGAGCGCAGCCCGGAAGAACTCGGAAGCAGCGGCAGCACTGTTTGGCCACATGGACCACCTCTCAAACTTCCAAGTGACCCAAGCCCCGAGCAGCCCTGTTGTGAAACCAATGCTTCACATCGACATGCCACCACCGTCGTTCAAACCTCGCGAGGTAAAACTCGAGGTGTATGACGAAGACGACTGGCACATGAAGAGCCCCGAGACGATTGAGCTTGATGAGCTCGATGTTCTCTTTGACGAATACTAGACCATCATCACCACCCCCAAATGCGGTGTCTACATCGGTACACGACACTTACGAATCTATTTTACGCACATGTTTTGTCATCTATATCATTTCGTCATCTCCTCTTTTTTCCTCTTTCTCCTTTTTCCTTATTGTAGGCGCAATGTCCTAGATGGATTCCATTCTGCCGCTCGCGCTGCATCACACACTCAGGGATGTAGGATTACGGAGTTCTAGAGATTTGCTATCTAGGACGGAACTTTGTACGATACTGTAGCGTGTATTTCTGTCTGGGAGTAAGGGATCTGGGCTGAGGCCACTGGTTGTTACTCTGCGCGTCTGGGTCCCATGGATCTGGGACTGGTTTTGGACAGGTATTATTATTGCAGCACGGAACAGCGACTTAAGATTGATCTCCACGGACTGGACTGCTAGATAAAAGTCATCTTGGAATTGAAAAACAATTGATACTTACTTACTTGACTCGCCATGCATTTGCTCTTGTGCTTGACATGTACAACCCGCAGCTGCTCCGCAGTATCCACAATGATCTCGACCCTCGCGCTGTCCCCCATCAGGTTCAAAGCGCCAGGTGGTCCCTTACCTACACGTACTTGTCTACACCGCACGACCTGTACATGCACCTTTTCTGCAAGGTGTCTGCAACCAAGTCCCCCCAAACACATGCACCTAACGCACAACAAGACAGAAAATTGGGTCTTCACCGGCGGAACAACTGGCGCCCAATGCTGGCAGCTCCATCCGACCAAGCGATCTTAGGCCAGGAACGCAGTAAAGCTGCTTGGCAGAGTCGCCTGAGGAAGTTGCGGTCGCGGAAATAGCCGCCTCACTTTCTGTAGTGGGACGGGCCATGGGGCAGGCCAGGAAGAAAGCTGAGCCAAAAGGTTAATAATAAAAGAGTAGAAAAAAGCTCTGCTCGTGCAAGCTCCCGTTCGCAGAGGAGGCTGGGTGGTGGTGATCAGATCGCAAGCGAGCCACTCAGTGCATCGGGCCCCAGCCGCATCACCAGCAAATCTCGAGAAACGACGCCCAACCACGCGAGTAAAAGTGTGCCATTGCGCCCGCTGCGCGACACGTTCACTCGGCCCATTTGATAAACCACTCACATTCCAGGGAACTTTATGCCCTGCGTCTCGACATCGCTGCAGGTTCCTTCCCGAGGGTGACGAAAGACGGTTCGCTTACTCCCGCAGCCTGGTTGGATTGAAGAAAGGTTCACAGCGAAAAGAGCTAGGGGCTTCGACTGGATAGGACTTTGACGGAGCCTTGAGGAGATTGGGTTATTACCTATTTGGCTGCATGTTTTGTTAGCTGGAAGACCCGGGACGACGCACAACCTACTATCCTCGGGACAAATCGTGGAGGATCCAGATCCCAGCAACGACCACATCGTCGACATCTAGCGAAAGGCTTCCTAGTGATCGACGCTTGATCTATTGATACTAGGAATCAGCTATAGTGTCTGACAACGAACTTGGCCGCGTCCATACGTGGCTCGACCACGTAGACGTAGCCCACTCTGACTCTGACTCCGACTCGGGCTCGGGCTACGTCCCTTCTTCACCGTCTACCGCGTCCTCTAATAGCACGCCCAGACGACGTAATCAAAGGCATAGCAGAATGTCTTTAGCACCATCACGCGTCCCCTCACGGGCGCAGAGCAGGAGCCGGGCGCAAAGTAGGAGTCGACCTCATCTCACACCAGCACCTATCGTGGTAGACGTTCCGCGGAGTGGCGCCAAATCACCCCTCATCATCGACGTGCCAGTAAGAGCAAGGAGTAGAAGCGTAGGAAGAAATGGGCCTCTGATCGCCGCCCCGGGATTAAGTGGGGGAAGAGGCATGTTCAAGAGGCTGATTGTGGCATGTGACGGAACCTGGAACAACTCAGACGACGGCATGAAAAACGGCGGTCTCGCAATCCCAAGCAATATCACCCGGATATCAAGAGCTATCAAGGCGGTCAGTCAGGACGGGGTCCCGCAAATAGTGAATTATCACCAAGGCCTGGGGACAGAAGGAGGCCCACTATCTCGCATCATTGGGGGAACGACGGGCAAGGGCCTTGCGGAGGATGTAAGAGAAGCGTATTCATTCCTGGCAAACAACTACCACCCCGGAGACGAGATCTTCCTCCTTGGCTTTTCAAGGGGGGCATTTACCGCGCGTTCCATCGGCGGCTTGATAGGAGAAATAGGCCTCCTCACAAAGAAGGGCCTGAACACGCTCCCAGAAGTCTACGAGGACATTCAGAACCGCAGAAATCCAGACTACCGACCCAAACACGAAGACGTACCTTTTCCACGGAAGCCACCCGCCGACGACCCGCGCTACGCAGAAGAACTTGAGCGTAGGGGCCTAACTAGACTCGATATACCCATCAAAGCCATCGGCGTCTGGGACACTGTCGGCTCCCTTGGCATCCCTCGCGTCGGCATTCTCCAGCGCGCGGGGCTGCAGATGAAGCAATCCCGCGCTACCTCCTTCTACGACACCAAGCTCTCCAACTGCGTTGAAAACGCGTTCCAAGCGCTTGCCCTGGACGAAGCCCGATCCTCCTTCTCCCCAGCCGTATGGGAGAAGCCCGAGGGCAACAAGACGACGCTGAGGCAGGTGTGGTTTCCCGGTGCGCATGCGAATGTGGGTGGCGGGTATGATGACATGCAGATTGCGAACATCACTTTGGCGTGGATGATGAGCCAGCTGGAGCCCTTTCTGGACATGAGAGATGAGTATCTGTTTGAGCAGGATGAGCTTAACGAGAAGTATTATAAGAAAGAGGAGGGGGCTGTGAGGCCGTGGAGTTTTGGGAAGGTGTATAGTGAGATTAAGGGCGCTTTTGCGCTGGGTGGCAGTACGGTAAGTTACCCCATTGTTTGTGTTTCTCGTGCTTTTAATATGCCCAAAGTGCCGACATTCCTTTCAAGCACAATATCTAACAGACCCAACAGATCCGTAAACCAGGCCACTACACAGCCGTAGACCCCTTCAACGGCCGCTCAAGCGACCGGCCCCTCCGCCAAACAAACGAATACATCCACCCCAGCGTACGCACACGATACCGCCTCCAAGGACCCGGTGTGCTCGACAAAGGCGTGTACGAATGCCGCGCCCTAACCGATGCTTACAAGCTCGTCGTCGACTACGGCCCCCACAGCCACAAAGTAGGCGACCCAGAAATCTTCTGGAAAGTCCGGCACTCCGAGGGCCTCGCCGTGCGCGAACTCCCCGAAGCGCCCCTCTGGCGGCTCGAGCGCGAACTCGCACGCCGCGATCCGCAAATGTACGACTCGATCAAGCGGCCGCCTGCCACGGGCGAGAAGAAGAAACGCCGCAGTCAGCAGCAGCGCCCGCTTAGTGCGGACATGGCTGGTGGTGCGACGGGGAGTCGCGTGCCCAGCCGTGTGCCCAGTGGCGTGGGCAGTCCGCTCAGCCAGAGCCATGTTAGTCGCAGGCGGCGCGACACGTTTTCTCCCCGCCAGACGTTCCCCGTCGACGAGAGGGGTGCGAGGCGCAGTAGCGCCATGGTCGATGGGAAGCGGGAGCGCGTGCGGAGTCGGTCGCGCGCGAGAAGTGTGGAATTCGATCGCGAGACGGAGATTCGAGAGGAGATGCCGCATCGCAAGGAAAAGGATAAGGCCTGGTGGGAGGGACGGAGGTAAGAGGAAAATTGTAATACGTGTGGGAACAGAATGTAATTGGCATGGGTTGACGAGGAGAGAAGGTATAATCTAAAAAAGGGACTGAGGGGATTTTGCGGCTTTTGATTTTTATAGGGCGGATCTTTTTTTGTTGTTTTTATTTACCTTTCGATTGGTTTGTTTTACGGTACTTTGCGGATACCCTTTGGATAATCAGAATAGTTTGATAGCGTTTGTTGGGAGAGATAAGGGAAGTAGTCGTAGTAGTAGTGGTGATAGTGGTGACAGTGGTAGAGTGGAGGTTCTCTTCATCCGATCAGCGCCATTGGAATTGAACGTGTGTCGTATTTAGCAAAAGGCGCCGCATTTAAAATGTATTTACATAGTTGATATTTATAGGTTTTCCCTTGTTAGAAAGTTGTTCTCCTCATCCAATCAACGGAATTGGAACTGATCATGTAGTTGGTTACTCTTCTTCATATGCGAAATTGTTCTCTCCATCTAATCAACAGAATTGGGACAGGTCACATAGTTGGCTACTCTTTTTCATAGCGAAAACTGTTCTATCCATATAATTAACGCCTTTGGAATTGATTACATAGTTGGCGATTATTCTCCATGTGTGAGCTGTCATGGTGACGGTGTTTGGCTATGTTTGGCAAGGCTGATAAGTGGGGCATCGTTGACACTTGGAGACTAGCGTCACCAAGCCACAAGCCGCTATTGGCACAGCCTCCGATGGTTCCAAAGTTAGAAAGCAGCACTAAAGTCGTGAAAGCCTTTCCCGTCGTAAAGTTCTAGTGGCCCCTTTATACGATATGACCCATCGCCTTTACGAGATCTGCCATAAACTGCTACGGCCAAAATAAATCCAACATGAACGAGGCAAAATTGCGTCAGCTTGAGAAACGTCTCAAGTTACGAGTCAAGACAGGCTGCGAGACTTGCAGGTACGCGCCTCTCCAACATCTTAATAAAGACCTAAACGCGCTCTCGAAACCCCGTGATATTGACTTGCTTCGAGGGTTCGGCGAATCAAATGCGACGAGACAAAACCAGCATGCACACGCTGCACTTCGACGGGTAGAACATGCGAGGGCTACAAGCATGTCGACAAGTGGAAAGACGGCTCCCCGGCTGCTGCCGCTTCGTATCGGAATTCTTCTTTTCTCGTAGTTCCCCAAAAGGCCATGCAATTTGTCATCTCCAGGAGTCCTTCCCAGAGCTTCAGTCCAGATTCAAGGGAAACCCGCTCTTTCCAGTTCTTCCAGACACGCACTCTCCCCGGATGGATTGAATTCTTCGACTCGGAGCTTTGGAGTCGGACGGTGTTACAAATGAGCCATTCCGAGCCAGCCATTAAACACGGGCTCCTGGCACTGAGTACTATGCACGAACGATTTGAGACTACAGCACCGGCTATCAGCGCGAGCACGAACGACTTCGCCTTTCTTCAATATATGCAAGCCGTCAAGCATTCCAATAAGCTGTTGGCTGCCCAAGCGGGTAATGTAAACATTGAAAAGATCCTCATCGCGTGCATCATCTTTACATGCTACGAGAACCTTTCGGGTAATTATCTGGCAGCCAACATGCATCTACGCAATGGCATGCGCATATTAAATCAGCACAAGAACGACTTGAGCCTGCAGCAGAATGCATCTCAGGAGTGGATCGGACATGTACTGTACCGGTTTGACCTCCAGGCCATGACCTTCTCCGAAACCCATTCACCATACCACTACTCATTAACAAGCCCACCGGATTGTCCGCAGATACACAAGACTTACACAAGAAATTCGCTGGCGCGTGATGATATGGTGGGACTCATGCGATGCGTCTTGTGGCTCTCGGGAGTAGTGGACGTGGATCCACAAGCGGCGAAACACCCTATATGGCTGCAGGCCTACTCCCAGCTGAGGAAGTCCATCGAAGAATGGGATGACGCGTTTGCCAACTACCAGCAGAATCTCTCCGAGCACGAGCAGCGTGACCCCAAGGTCTTCACGGGAGACACCCTCTTGAAGATGTACTCCATCATGACGAGCGTCATGGCAACAGCCGGAGCGGGACTCGAGACGGAGATGGCTTGGGATGCATTCGTAGACTCGTTCAAGACCATCGTCGACCTAGCTGAAAACCTTCCCATTCTGCGACCGGATTCTTCGCCGTCTTCTTTTTCTTCTTCTCCGTCATCTCCATCGCCAGACCCACGACCCTCTCAATCGGCCGAAAGCCATCCAATAGCTCCTAAACCGAGGAGAATTCCATCTTCCGCGCCTCCAGGAGCATCGACGATAGTGTTTCGTGCAGATCCTGGCCCTCCAGTCGGCGTATCCCACCAAGCTCAATCCAGCACGAATGTAAACTCGGTATCGCAGCGGACCCATACCTCGTTCTCGCCGTCGTTCGAGCTATCGCCCATCGTACCCCTATTTGTAACGGCGTGTCGGTGTCGAGACCCCGTGGTGCGCCGCCGAGCAATTGCCCTGCTGCTAACGTGCCGGCGCCGGGAGGGCGTCTGGGACTCGCTCGGCGCCGGTATAATAGCCTTGAACTGGGCGAAGAGGGAAGAGGGTCTAGAGGACGTCGAGATGCCTCCGGATAATTGGCTGCCCCTTAGTCCAGACTATCACGAGAGCAAAGATATCCCCGAGTGGCGCAGAGTGCGCGATGTTCATGTCGGGGTGAACCTAGCCTCTGGGCAGATCGATCTCAGGTATGAAAAGAAGGACAGTAACTGGAAAGTGCGGAGGGATCTGTCTGCCGTGGGCATTATTATCGGCAGCGTTAGTCTACTCAAACCCTCATTGATGCTTAGAGAAGCCAGCTAACTCATCATTAATTGCCAGTCTGTCCGTAACTCATAGTAATCCTTTGGACTACGACACGCTCACTGAGCTACATTTACTACGACAGTCAACCTCTTCGTGCACTGCACTTTATCCTAACTTTATGCAAAAGGTCGCCTCCTTCCTCGGCGTGCACCACGCGGAGTCCAACTCCTCTGGGACACGGTCGATATCACGAGATATAAGATGAGGGCACTCGTGCCTTGCATGTAGCGTCATGCGTTGCGAGGTATAAGCTCCGCATCACGCAATCCCAATCTCACGTCCTAGACCCATGGCGCTGGGACGACTTGTCCAACGTGGAAATGACAAGCCAAATATGCCAAAAACGGTGCAGTTTCGGTCTTGCTGCATAAGGCCGGTTCCCGCCAAGTGTAGGGGTGGTGGCTGGTGCGACATAGTTGAGGTTTCAAGAACCAGGTCTGGGCCCTGCGTGTGATTGGGCAGTCGCGAACAAGAGTTGAAACGGCGGCACTTTGTCCGTTAGCACGTCTCATGTTTATTGACGCCTAGCCGTTCTACTCTGAGTATGGATAGTGAGAGGGATTGGTGGTAATGCATTTGTTGCTGCATGTCAATCGGATGAGACGGAGAGATATGCAGCCGTTCCAGGTACACACAAGTATAGTGTAATAACTAGTGGCATTTTGCTTGTACAGTAGGACGAAGATCAGATAGATATTGATAGCGACCGAAATAATGTGAGATGGTAATGTTTGACGGGGAGATGATGAGGGAGTGGCTCGGATTTAGTTGTCCCGGGGTGTACTTCCTATACCAAGGCTTATCAGCCGATGAGCCACTCCACCCGATAAGCTACCTTAATATTAAAATAAACTAAACACAACTTTTTTAAACTGCAATATATTTACTACTAATAATTTAATTTTAAATATAATTGCAGCAATTAATTTATAAAATTTTAAAAAATAACTTTTGTACTGTATAGCTGTAAAAATATTTAGTATTAATTAAATTACTTTAGCATGCCAATACTAAAAAAAAATATAATTAAATGTAAAAAAAGCTTAATAATAAATATATTTTAACTTATAATAAAAATTAAAATTTATATAATATATATAAAGTTTATTTAAATACAAATTTATATTTATAAAAATTATAATAAAAAATTTTGCTTTTAAAATTTTAAAATAAAAAGTTTCTAATATATAAATTTTGCAATTTTTAAAAAAATATTATAATACTTTTACTTTTAAATATACTACTAAAATTAATTATAAATAGCTTTTTGCTAATACTAAGTATAGCTATAAATTATATTTTAATTTTTTCTATTTAAAAATCTAAAAGTATAACATTAACACACGCTATATTTATAATATAAATAAAAAAATTTTTTTTATTAATATTATTTTATACTTTAAATAAGTCTTTTTAAAGTAATTTTAAAAGTAAAAATAAATTATAGCAGCTTTACAAGATAGTAACTAAAAGTAAATAATAATTTTAGTATATATTTATACAAATAAAAGCGTAGTAAATTTAAATATAATTTTTAAAAAAAAAAAAAAACTTTATAACGCTTAATTATATAATATAAAAGCTAAAAAATACTAAATTTTTTTTATAATAAATTTTTCTAAATAGTTTAATAATAATATTAGTTTAGCCTAGTTTAAATAAATTTTTAATTAGCGTATAAAAAGTAAAGCGCAGGCAAATTATAAAATTTTTATTTTTAATAATTATAGTAGCTACTTTACTATTAATTTTATAAACTTTTGCAACGCTAATAAAAATTTTTTAATAATATTTTTTTTTTATTTAATTTACAGCTTATAACTTTTAAATATAGTACTTTTTTTACTTTTTTTAACTATTTATTTAATTAAATTTGCGCACTACTTTTATTACAGCTAAAATTTTATTTTTATAAATAAAAGCAATTTTTTTTTATTATTTTAAACTACTTATAATACTATATTTATTTTTACAAATATACAAAAAATATTTAAAGCTATAAGCATTAAGCTACTTAATACTAATATTATACTATAATAATTTAAAATATAACTACAATAGGAAAATTAAAAGTTAATAAATAAAAAAAATAATAATAAAAATACTTAGAACTAGCTCTGCAATTTATTTAAAATTATTATAAAAAATAAAATAAAAGTTAAAGCTAAATAATTAGGCTTTGCACTATATTCTTTTTAAGTATAAAATAAGTTTTTTTATTATAAAAATAAAAGTTTCTACAATATGCTTTTAATTAAAAAAAGGCATAAAAGCAAAAGCAAATTTTTAAATTTTTAATAGTATAAAAAGTTTTATAGTGCTATAGTATTTTAAAATTTAAAAACTATTTAAAAAGCTTGCGCGCACAATATAGTAAAATAATATAAAAATAAAGCTAAATAATTTTAAAAAAAAAAAATAAAAAAGCTAAAAGCAGCAGCAATATTATATAAAAAAAAAATTATAAAAAAAATAAAAGTAGTATAGTTACTTATTAAAGAGCGCGCTATAAAAAAGCATATAATAATAATTTAAAAATAAGCTACTACGCGCATATAAAAGTAATAAAAAAAAAAAACTATAATTTTATAAAAATTTTATAATAAAGCAAATAAATATAAGCAAATAACTTTACATTTTATAAATTTAAATGCAATAAAGCATTATTATATTATAAATACTAAAAATAGTAATTTAAATATATTATAATTATTGCTACTTTTGTTTAAAACTACCGCGCGCAGCTATTAAATTAATTTTTTATAAAAATTTAAATAGTATAAATTAATTGCAAGCTTTTATTTACTAATACTTTAAAAAATTTTATAATAATAACTTTTATTAATAGCTCTACAACCTTATTTTTGCGGATAGCTGACTTTAGTTAAGGTAGCTTATTGGGTGGAGTGGCTTATTGGCTAATAAGCCTTGGTAGTAGCGTCGCGAACCGTTCGGACGACCCCTTTAGTCACTAACATCATCACTACTTCAGCCAGATTATATCTTCTAGCTCTGAATTCATGCGCCAACGATGCGATTCATGATGCGCCAGTCCAGATGATCAGTCTTTTCCCAGCTCGGTCCTTGTTATCCCGTCTCTTTTCCAGGATGTTTCTAGGATGTTTCGGGAAGAAGCACGTCCCATTGTCACGTTGCGGTTATAGCGCCGGCTTCTAGAAGCGAGGCCCAGCCTACGGGAGTTTTCCCGCGTCTAGGACAATATAACTTGGGGTACTTAATTTGTTTCATGCGACTTCATTTCTCCACGCCACGTGGGAGGCGGAAAAATCTCAATGCTAGCCGCGTTTTCCATTCATCCATAGGGGAAGCGAAGATGAGCTTAATTGATATAGAGTCGAGTGCGGCCCTGTTGTTGGACATATTACACTTCAACCTTCACTTCTCCCCTTATTTGATCGACTAAGAGCCAGGACGTTCAAGTCATCAAGATGCTATCCCCTTCTTCCGTTCTGTCATTGCTGGCACTTGCTGCTACAGCGCTGAGCGCTCCTAGTGGACATGTTGAGAAGCGTGCACCAACCCTCTACCTCGCTGGAGACTCGACTATGGCGAGGGGCAACGGCGTTCTTACAGGTACAGCATTCTCTCATCGCCTACTATAAATAAACCCATCTGACATGTTAATAGGATGGGGCGTGTATCTTCCATTCTCGCTCTCCATCCCCGTAGTCAACAAGGCCATTGGCGGCCGCAGTTCGCGCTCCTACACCGTTGAAGGACGCTTCGACGAGATCATCAAGCTTGTCAAAGCCAACGACATCGTCATCATCGAGTTCGGCCACAACGACGGCGGCTCGCTCAGCAAGGACAACGGACGTTCCGTCTGCCCTGGTACCGGAGCCGAGATCTGCAAGTCGACATACAATGGCCAAGCAGTCAACGTCCGCACGTACCCGTACTATCTCACCGAAGCCGGCAAGGCCATCATCGCAAAGGGCGCCAAGGTCATTATCAGCAGCCAAACGCCCAACAACCCGTGGGAGAGCGGCAGCTTCGTCTACGGCGGAGGTCGCTTCGTTACGTATGCGAAGGATGTGGCCAAGGCACTTGGTGCTAACGCCTTTTACGTTGACCACGGTGCTTACACCGCAGCCATCTTCAAGTCTCTCGGCAAGGCGAAGACCGATGCGCTTTTCATCTCGGGCGACCATACGCATACTAACGCAGCTGGAGCCGACGTTGTCGCCAAGGCGTACGTAAAGGGTCTGCAGTGTGCTGGAGGCAGCTTCTTGAAGGGCTCTGTCAAGAACGCCACGGCAACTATTCCGGGAGCTTGCATTTAAGCTTGCAAACCTCAAGAGAGATCTCACACTGGTTGGCCTACTGTTAATGCCGCAGTGAGCTGGGATCAGGAATAGGCGGAACTTTATTCGTTGTATATATCATTCATTGGCACTATGCCTACTTAACAAATGGCATCGTTCCATTCTTCATTGCCCTACCTACAACCATGTCTTATTTCCAAAGTGGGAAACATACGACCCTCCATCGCCATTCGCAACGCTCGCTTTCTTAGCAACACTCAACACATCCTTGACAGCATCGTCGGGCGCAACTGGACCAGTGAAGTGCGGTGCCTACTTGATGAATTTTCCTACCATCTCCATTTGCACCTTTCCCTCCTCCGTTACTGTTGCCTGGTTAGCTTCTTCGGTCCACAGATTGACTGGTTAGGGTAGCCTACCGTTAGCATATCGACTCGTATCCACCAGACCGGGACAGATGCCAATGAAAAGCACGCCATCTTTGGAATACTCAGCGCTAAACTTGGCAACAGCCATGTTCAACGCGGCCTTGCTGATTGCATAGGGTCCATTCTCGTGGATGTTGTAGGCCCTAGCTATTTCGATGTCGGCCATACCAGTAGATAGCGTGATGACTTTCTTTACGTTGCCTTTTAGTACCAGCGGCAGGAAGAGGTTGAAAAGGTGGACGTTTCCGACAACGTTTGTCCGGAACATCTCAACCAGGGCTCCACCTGTAATCTCAGCAGTGGCCTCAACCGCGCGCTTTTAGAAATTGATGTTAGCGCTTGGTTATTTTCGAGGTCAAGTCAGGCGTATTACCTCCAGCGAGTCGTAATCATTGAGATCTCCTTGAACGAAGTGGATGTTGGTCCTGTTCCACGCAGCGATCTTGGACTCAACGCCCGCCTTATTGCGGACAAGTCCGATGACTATATTAGCCGAATTGCTTGAGAGATTCTGTAGAAAGGCAAACTATTGATTGGGTGAGCAATGGTTTCCCTGTAAGAAGCTCGAAGGAAAACTAACTCCTATACCTCGCGAGGCGCCAGTAACGATGTACGCGGCCATGTTGATTCGGGTTGAGTCGACTTGGATAGACTATGTCTTTGAGCGCTGTAGAGCCAAAGCGAAGTAGATGTGGTGATAAGATTGAAGAGAGAACTAACCAAGGAGCTTTTACGCCTCTTTATATCAATGAAGTTTTTACTTCATGGGTCGCAGCGTATGTCATTCTTGGTCTTATCTGCTGACACTAGACTGATCAAAAGTTGACATCCTAGTCGGAGAGTATTTAGCCAATTGTACGTCGGAGGAATTCATATTGCCGTCTGCTACAAAGAGGGGAGATACTACCGTGGGCATGATGCTTACGCTGGCATTGCATTGAACGATTTTCTAAGCAGCTATTGTAGACCTCGGAGTCAAGTTTACTGCAAAAGGACTGAAATCCATCCGATACTGTGAAAACGCACGAAAGTTCCAAAGAGACAGAGCGGTTGATTCGTTTAGGCAGACTGTACGACCTCGGAGATAGTTGCTTCACATCCACAACAAGCCTAGCATGGCGCTAGGATCGATACTAACCGTCCGGTAGGGTAGCGTGCTCCTCTTGTCATCATCGCTCCACCTCATCTCATAACATCTCCTTCGTCATTAACGTCGTTTAAATTCCTAAACATGCTTCTGAATTACACGAACGTGCTGTAGGGAAATCACGGCCCACTATATCCACCCCGCGGGCTTTAGAAAGGTCCAGTATGACATCTTCGAAGAGGGGCTGCTGGACGTGTAAGGTTGGTTTTCAAAATCATAGTACCAGTATATGGCCTACCCTAACGAATCTGCAGATCGAAAGGTGTCATGCGATCGTACTGTCCCGGTATGCATCGAATGCTCGAAATCAAAGCGACCATGCGGCGGATACGGGATTCGACTCTCATGGCCGCATCAACGTGATCAAAAACGAACAGTCGTCGAGACCCCGTCCACCCAGAACAACTATGGCACAAGGAAGCAACAATCTGTTTAATGGGTTAACGTGTGCTTGACCGATGTCCGCCTACATCTTTTTGCCACTACTAGCGATGGTAGAGGTATTGTGTCCTCAATGATACTGAAATCTACAAGCTAATGATTTGTATCAAGCAAGGGGTCGCATCAGAAGAGAGCAACTTGCTATACCTAACATTACTAGGTCTCTACCGGCGATACGGAAACTGACTTCTGCTGGAAATAAGGAGCTTTTGCTTTACTGCAAGTCCTCAAAGGCTGTCTAGGTCATGAATGACTTACTGATCTATCATAGTTGAATCCGTGGTCAGTAAAGTACTACCTATTTTAGGCTCTGATAGAGCGAGGATCTGTCAAATCTTGGTGCGAATGGCGCTATCGAGCAGCACGCAGGCATCGAGAGCTGTACTTTACTCCCTTCTCGCGCTGGCTTCATATCACCGTGGCGATGATCTAGCCTTCGCATCTCGAATGCATCAAGTAGCCCTTGAAACGCTTTTACATGCCACCGGCCCAGAGATGGATGCCGATGTAATCATTGAGCACATCGCCACAGGGTTGATTCTCTGTGTAGTCGAGGTAAGCATCCCGAACGGCTTTAGGGGTTATGTTATCTCTAAACTTCCTCAGATGCAGCGGATACCGGAAAGAGATTCTGGATGGGTAGGTCACATATGTGGCGCGAAAGAAGTCATTCACGCTGTCTAGCAAATGAAACCTACCCTTGGAGATGATGCCTCTATCATCCTTGGCTGGGTCTACTACTTCGACGTCCTGACTCGCTTCAGCATTCGCCATTGGCGTACAGAGTCGATACAGTCAACTGCAGTGGAGCTCGGCTTGAACACGAGTGGTTCGTCAGCCTGCGCCATGCAGTACCTCATCGCTCGTAAATCATTCGCAAGGGAGATCCCGACGATGTGGAGAATGGCTAATACTTGCGCCGGGGACCACAGTAGCTAAGCTGTTGTGTTGGTTCACGGCGACTCCGAGAATTGCACGCACGGACACGGTATCTGGTCTGTTCGAAGGACTTGATTTGTTTGTGCCAACTCTGGGGCACTGGCGTAATACTACGGGCTACAAGACTCCCGGGGCCTACTCCAGAGCTGACAAGGACTGGAAACAAAGTATTCAAACAGCGCTCACGCCCCAGGAAGACCTGTTGAGCTATCGCTTGTCTGGAAGTTGAGATCATTTCACTTTATCGCAAGGCCAACTACTTCGAGCGAGATCTCTAATGATCTGGACTGGCGAAGGCGACTATCACTCTCGAACACCATAATCTCGACTCGCGTTTCAAGCAGCTGGTCCAGGTACGGTGATTTATGGGGGCGAAAAGAAACCCAAGTACACAGTCAGGCCGCCTATGAGACCCGCAATGGTGCATGGCACGTTCTCGAGCACACATACCTCTGAGGTTATCCTTCTTCCATTAGAGTGGGACAAGGGCTGTAACAACTTCACCGAGTCTAGCCCATGGTACATCTTGACGTGGACCTACCTACATCGTAGCATTTGGCAAATCATGTCCCTCGGAATACATCGCCTATAATTCTGGTGCCGAAGACGCTCCTTCCGCGGTCTCAAGCTACGTAATGCTCCCCACACGAATACGACATTTCTAATGACCTTACTTTAGAGATCAATCTAAATTCAAGAAGGGCATTCGGGTTTTGCTGACGTAGTACTGCAGATCAAGCCAAGACTGTATGCACTTTCGACGTATCATGGATAGTGCTCAGTGCAAGTGTGCCTACCTGTAAGTAAAGTCTGCCTTATAGTACATTACTAGTTTAGCACATGTAAGGATGCCCAGTGTCTAGTGAGGTGTCTTTGCGGTTCGGAGCGCGCGATGCGGAGTCGCGATGTTTCAGCCTTCCTCTATCTATTCCCTATTAGGCATGTCAACCTCCAGCTTTAGTCCGATGCAACCTCTAGAGAGCAACACCATGATGGCTTGCAGTCACGAAAAGCTATATGAGGCATTCAGTCACTCTCTATATTCTGCCTACTAAACAAGTCTTTTGGATTCTCCAACACCATGAAGTTTTCTACCTTCTTTACTGGAGTGCTTTTCAGCTTTGCGTCTCTTAGCACCACGTACGCTGCGAAATCATTCTCGGCTTCTAACCTGTATTATGCTGCTGGTTTGAAAGAGGCACAGCAGACCACTCTCCTTCAGGGGCTGCAGAGTGCTGGTGTTAAAGTCTTGCGCGTATGGCTTGATGGTAGGTTCAAAGTAACGTCTCAGAGAGTGCAATGCTAAAAAATCAAGGCCAGTCCGAAACCACCAAAGGTACTCCTATCGACTCTTTCAACAGCCTTCAGGGAGATTCACCCACATCTTGGGACGATACAGTTCTCAATCGTCTTGACGGTTTAATGGTCAAAGCACATGGCTATGGCATCAAACTCCTTATTTCTATCCATAGCTACAACGCGCTCGAAGGCAAGAAGGACTTCTACGGGAAGTGGTACGGAACTGGTAACTTCTACACCAACACCGATGCCATCGCCCAATTCAAGGACCGCATTGCGCATGTTCTTGCCCACGTTAACCCCAGCAACGGTAAAACATGGGCTCAGAGCCCGGAATACATCTTCGCGTTTGAGGCTCAGAACGAAGCTATGCATCCCCAGGTGATTCATCCCTGCCCACTTTCACTTAACCCACATGACTAACTACTTCTCAGGGTAACCCCACCGCCCTCGCCTCATGGCAATGCACCATGGCCCAATCCATCAAATCCGCTCTCAAGAACAGCCAGGATATCCTTGTCTCCACCGGCGGCGGTGCCTACCTCAGTAACTCACTCCTCGATCCCTATTTCTCCTGCGCTGCCCTCGACGTGCTTGCCATCCACGCCTACGGGACCGATGACTTCGGAACAGCGAAGTTGAAACCATATGTGGACCGCGCAAAGTCTAGTGGAAAGAAGTTGATCATGCAGGAATGGGGTGCGTGCTACACCGACGCTAGCAACAACAATTGTAATGGCGGTAGTCCTATCAGCGCCAGCACGCGAGACGCGAACATTAAGAAGTGGGCTGCCCAGATCGACGCTGCCGGCATCCCCTGGTTCTACTGGCAGATTTTGCCCAACCCAGATCCACACCATGGTTGGGACTACGAAGTCGGCATCAACGACGTGAACTGGGGTTCGCTGAAGGAGGCTGGACTAGCTGCTAGCAAGGCGGAAGCTGCTTTTGACTTTGGCAAGTGGCTGTTGTAGAGGGGGATCTTTGAGTGTGAGACGTGAGAGAGAATTGGGGTGATCACAGCACTGGTACGCACGAGGTCGGGGTATGTTGACTTATCAGTGGTGGTGATCAGTCGATGTTGGAGTTATTTTGTTCAATCACATGGAAGCGGAAGCGCGGTACGCAGAGATGATTCAACATCATCATGCGAAAGATGAGTGATGGGCACCTCTTATGCTATGATAAATAAAGTATCAGGTCCACGAGTTTCGAACTCGTATCTCTCACATAATTTCCATGCTGTCCTGGATCGATTGCGTCTAGACTGTGCTACTACTGGGACAACTGAATTATGCAGGTGACTGAGACTCAGCTGCGACTTTGATGCAGTTCTAGGCCGTGCTTGATTGGCGGAGTGTCTTTCCACTGGACTATAGGCTCTATTGTAGTTTCCAATGAGAGTTCTGAGGGGCTTATCGGACTAGCTACGGAAAATGTGCGTGAATTTGTTCGAGAATATTGAAGTATCAAAGGGACGAAGAAAGATAGGGTGGAGAGCGGGGAGCAGTCTGCGTGCGACAATAAGAGGTATTCGTCTTTCTCAAGATTGGAGAGATAGGTAAGCGTGTTCAGCACTTTCTAATGCACGTTGACTTCGAAATTTGCATGATAACTCTATAACGGTACGTTTTGAATCGCGAGAATCTTGCTAGTACGAGCACACTGATGCTCATTGTCGTCAGTTGCCTACTAGATGACTGCGGCAATCAGATGTAGATTGAACCACTCTCCGGTGGATCATTTAGCTAGGCCCCTCATTGACTTTGCAAACGCCAAACGCTCGATAAATGGCACTATATTCCCTCCAACCAAATTCCAAATGAAACTTCCACACCACATTGCGCCGGGCGTCCTTCGTTCAGATATGTCTTGACATCTTTCAAGCGGCCTTGATATCAGCCTTTAGCTCCCAGTATCTGTTGTTGAGAATTGACTCAGCCAGCATCGACGATCGCTTTGCCATATCAAGTTCTTCAAACTCAACGGCCATCCTTGCAACCCCGCCGAAGCACTCAAACCTTCCAGCCCAGACGTCAGCCCACTTGGAGTTGGAGTATGCATTGCTAGCCGTAACCTTGAACTGCCAGGATCCGTCGTAGCCAATGAGGAAGCCTGCAACTTGCTCAAAGCGGTACTTCTTCATAGATTTATGGTGCTCGAACGTTCCGATCTTTTGTATTATTAGCGACTATAACGTGTGCCAGGAATAATGACTTACAAAGACTTCTAAGCCCTTGCGCCAGACTACAAGCTGTGTATCGCCTTTTCCGAAGATAGCCTTAAAGGTGTTCACCGTTGGGCTGAGGAAGGACATGAGTGTATCTGGTGACACATTGAAGAGCGTGGTGACGACCGCATCTTGAAGCTTAATAGCTCCTTCCTCTTTAATGCAGCTAGTATACTCGCCAATATTGATGATGTGCGCATGGCTGACTGGACCACTCGCGGGCAGGCTCTCGCAGTCGTTCGTGAACGAGACGTGGCTCGTGTCGCTCTTGACAGATGGTGATTCGTCTCGATCAATATCCATGGCAGTAGGCTCAAACTGCATGAGACTTGTCATTCTGGGTAAGGTGAGGTCGTACGAGAAGTAGCGAGAGATAACTGGGGTCTCAACCGAGGGCGTAGGTAGAATACGGTTGATATATACATGCAACGCAAAGCCCCATAGACCTTCAGTGAGTGGTGAAGTGTGAGCCCCGATTGTGAATGTGAAGACTAGATATTGAAGTGAACAAAACGTGAAGAGGAGTATAGTCTCATTGCTTATTCGACTGATCGAGATAGCGTGGCGTGTAAGGACTGAAGGTTGGTGCGACGGTGACGGCAAAAGCTTTTTGACTGTACTGTACAGTCTGATGTGTAGCTTTCTTTGCAGATGTGGACGAGAGTGGTAGCGACTGGCTTATGGTCCAATTTGAGTGGTAATATTAAAAACTAGGTAAAGGTGAGACACCAATTAAGCATTTACGCAGAGAAAACCACAATTCGTCTGAACACTAATGTATGATTGTGAGATTGATCACTCAGTTGTAGACGTAAAGGTTGCTACTGGACAGGAAAAAATTGGTCAAAACTTGTACTAAAGTTGGCCTTGTGCTCTACACCCATGCATGACCCTTAATGAAAGCAAGATCGTCTCCATTAGATTCGTGGCTGGTATTTGTTCTCCTACCAAGTCGTCTTAATCGTCCACTTGAAGCCCTCTTCTGCATTCCAGCACTTGCACATGAGGATATAGTTAGCGGAACTAGTCGCAAGCTTTGCCATATCTTTGTCGTTAGAAGCCGTGATCTCTCTGTTGAGGATGGGTTGCACAAAAGCCCCAATCCAGGCGTCAATGAGTTTGCTTCGAGTGTATTTTCCGAAAGAGGCTTCAGTAATATCCCAGGTACCGTCAAAGTTGATGACATAACGGATGAGGTTGTCCCACTCGACGAGATTGCTATCCGGGTACTCAATGTACTGCCCGACCTAATGGAGACAGGTTTATCAGTATACAAACAGTACACTTGTAGTATAAATATGAATACGTACAAGAACTTGATTTCCCCGCCTCCAGATGATGAGCTTCATGTTCGATGGCCCCAGTTGAAGTTGGTGAACCATCTTGAAGGTTTTGATGCTAGCGCTCAGGAATCGCTTGAGGAGACCCTTCGAGATGTTGAAAATCAGGGTAACAACCGCGTCTTGAAGCTTCAGATCATACTGCCCGCCAATTTCTGCCGGCTTGTACGAGGACAAGTCAATGATGTGAGCGTGGTTCGAAGGTGTATTGACCGGGAGGCGGTCGAAGCAGTCCGCGAACCGAACAGGATTCGGCCTTGAATTTCCCCACTCGAGATCGCCGAAGTCGTCGAAGGTACTCATGTTGAGACCGTGATAGAGAGAGCGCCGGAGTGTGTAAGCCGTGAGTATATGAGAACTGAAGGATCCAACAATTCCCATTACAGTTATGTCTTAGATCAAAAGAGTGAAAGTGATTGACGTCTGTAATAGGCAAGATAGAACGGCGGTGAAAATGAATCGCGTAGCTCGAAGGTGAACGTGGGATCTGCTTCTAGAAAAACATAATCAAACCAAACTACCGTGGAGGAAGAAGAGCTCTGAGTAAACCATGTTTATGTATCTCCCATTATACGTCGCAGCATCAAGACCTCATGCTTAGTGACGAAGACGCTGTTGAGAGCTGTAGTGGCACCGGAAGGCTGCTCCAACCCTAGATTATCGAGTGCGTCGACTAGGTCGCGAACCTTGGCGCCCTCCCAATCGCCGGACTCCGTAGTCCAAAAAGCTCGCTTGATACCAACAGATGCCATGTACGATATACATCTGTAGCAGGGTCGTGATGCAAGAACAGAAGGGTGCCTTTCAGGAGGAACGGAGGGAGCAACTACAAGATTCGTCTCCACTTGAGAACTGATAAGCTCATCGTACAGCGAGCCAGTCGAGGGAAGTTTCGTAATGCTAGTCTCTACTTTCGGGTTGGGCTCCGCACAGCAGTCAACTAAGTTGCTAACAGAAGAGCTAGCTTTCCAACCTTGCCTGACCACGTACAGATCTGCTCCATTCAGTCGTGGATGTTTCGTTCTCTCTTTGGTTTTACGAGAGCCTTCGCCTGTTTGTCCTTTTGGAATCAGCATCGGCTGGGCTTTCGATGATTTGGCCGACTGATTCTTAGTCTCATAAGAGGGACGTAGTTTGTATGTAGACGCCATGCTGGCGCAGCTGTCGTCGGATTTCAGCTCCTGAACATCGCGCTTATCAGAAAATCGAGGATTGGAAGCCGCAGAATGGCAAGGTGCTACGATGGTGTGTTTTGTTGACGTTTTATGAGCACACTGTCGGTGCTTGTGTTTTTGTTGTCCGCTGTTGGACTTGTTGCCAACCCTGTGTTGATTCTTCTTCTCGTTCTTCGGCCGGTGTTTCACCGCACTGTTCTTTGTCGACAACGCCACGTCCTTGGTTTGATGCGCGAGGTTCAGTGTCGTTCGATCGAGGTGCAGAGCCTTCAAAGCGCCACTCTTGAACCTGAGACTGGCCATAGTGTTGCTCTGTGGTGGACTGGGCAAGGGCAGCTTTGCAGACTGCCTCAACGTACGATTTGACGGCGTCCCTTCGTAGTCGAGCTTTTCGTTTAGAATCACCTGATAGTTTGAAGCACGGTTTTTGAGAGGACAGAATACTGGATGTCATCGTGCTAGAAGCAGAGAGGGCGGAGTGGATAGCCATCATCTCAGAGTGCATGGAGAGGGGCGTATTAGCGAGCTTTCCTCCGCTGTTCATTGTCTCGAATGGCGTAAACGTCTTAGCAGTCTCCTCCCCCAGAACCCCTAACTCTCGCTTGAGCTTCTGCTTACCCTTCAATGCAACGATAGCAGGACCGTTCATAGAGCGCAGTGGGAGACGACCCGTCTTCAGGGCACCACCGTCGAAGCCAGAGCGATGGTCATTGAAGCCCTGTCCGATGACTTTTCCGCCGCGCACTATGATGGCCCCATGGCGATATCGAAGGGGGGACTTGGCAGCCTGCTCGAGGCAAAGATTCAGATAGTTGTCACTCTTCATTTTATTGATCTTAGTGTGATGAAGATTTAAGAAAATGGGGTTTAGGACTTTAGAGAGTGGCTATTGCTTGCAGAAGTTGCGTCGGTGATCGTAGTGATGGCAGTAGCTGAGAATCTGGAAGCTGTAGGATTGCAGATGTGTCGAGTGAAGTTGTGAGTCTTGACACGTGAATAAGGAAGCTACGCATGCCGCTAGCGCGTCTTGGCACTCCCAGCAAGAGTCCTACGGTCAGCGTTCGCTCCTATTTGTTCAATACACTTGATGCCACCAACACGAAGTATGGCCAAGATCAGTCTGACCTTACCAAAATATCCGTAGCTCTCCAACCCCAATGACGGCAACGGTAACGATGCACCGCCTACTCGGCCCACACGACCGCACTGATGCCATCTTCATTCCCTGGAGTACCAACGGCGCCAACCCTCACATCAGCCACACGTTCGCCCAGTTTACCAGTTACCGGATCCCGTGATACAATGGCAACGTTCGCGGTTGTCTGATCACCAATAGCGACAAAATCGCCGGCCTTGTTGATATCAAAGGTGCGAGGATAAGTACCATACGAGGACGTATTATCTGTCCACGCAAGTGTTCCGTCTGAAGAGATCGTGTATTGCGTAAGAGAATCGTTGGGCGCAAATTTCTTGTCGTTTCGGTTTGTGATGTACAGGAAGTTGCCCTTGACCTTGATCTCGCCTACTTTGGCACTAGCCGCAGCAGAGCTATTGCCTTGGTACGGAGTCACGTTTTGCTTCAATGTCAAGGCCAAGCAGCCCCCTGATGGGTATGACACGCTCCACCCGTGCACCGAGTTGGTGAGCTCGTTGGCAACGAAGAGTATGGTACCCTCTGCTCCTCGTCGCACTCGCGAATTAGTCCCTGCTGGGTTCCAGAAAACACCGTGCCTTGGACCACTCCCTGGAACAGGCTTAGCGGAAGGACATTCAGTGAGCTGGCCAGAAGTCTTGTCAATCTTGTTGATACGGATCAAGTCAGCACCCAGGTCAGGCACCAGCAAGAAGTTTCCTGTAGGATCCACGAATGCATGGTGCGGATGTGGCACATCCTGGCGGTTCGGGTCCACGCCTTTGCCGCTCATCGTATACTTCAGCGTCTGTAGTGGTTGTCCACCATTGAGAGGCAACTTGAAGGTTGTCAGTTGCGAAGACTGGCTGTTCGTTGGTCAGTAATGGTAGCTGTGAGAAAGGTGTAATGACTCACTAGTGAGCATTTGCAATGAACCCTCTACCATCCGCTCCGCCATACAGAGTTGTTGCAACTGCACCAAGAGGAGTTGGCGCCTTGCCGGCTGCGGTCAGAGTGCCATTATTGCCGATCGAGAACGAAACCAAGTTTCCCCCTGGTGCGCCGTAGAAGACCTCATCGGGTATGTACAACGCCTTCCCTGGACCATCGTATGTTATCCAGCTCGGCAATCTGTTGCCTGTTGGCGTTGAGCTACCGAGCTTCAGGGTGCCTTCGCTGAAGGTCAGATGGTTGACGGTGCCTGAATAGTGAGTCGCCCATAGATCCGCTGCACTGGCGACGCTGCCGAAAAGCGATAGAAGAATGGGGTGTGTGGACAACATAGCGAACCTCGGTGGAGCAACTGCCCCTACTGCACGGCAATAGCATAGATGTATGTAAGTTTTCTTTCTTTTCTTTCATGTTCGCGATTCATCATCCTGGGTCATGCGTGCGCGATCTGCGGTTTAGAGCTACTCTAATGGAACACGTCTTGACAAAGCCTTCGGCTAGAAACACGACCTCATCTTGCATTTCATCAGTTTCAAGGATCTTTCTTTGCGTCGGCATGTCTGATCGGCTCCCGGATAAAAGGGTTATACATCGGAGTAATATACTTGCAATATGCACGCTTGTTTTGTTCCAGGATCGCCCTATTGCAACTGGGCGCCGACCCCGGATAATCAACGCAGGGAAATTACTTAGCCCTGTTTCACGGTCACACATCGCCTTAATATACCATCATGAAGATCACTGGGTGTCACTAGTCATCTCTGCTACCGGGATCGCGGCCACCACGCCGCAAACTTGCGCCGGCATACAAACATGTGCCGGCATGAATTACGCACATCCGCGGCTGCAAATATGGGGACACCGCCATTTTGCCTTTGGCGAACAATCTGCGTAAACACAAACGAAAATTCCAATGCCAAATTTACTTCGAGCCGTAGTTTCAGGACAGCTTCAATGCAGCCTGGGCGGAACCAGGGACCCGATAGACGCCTACCACCACGCTCGTAATCCACAATGTTTATCGGAAAATGCTCTCCGAATCCTTCAAATCACCAGCTTTCTCTTATCATTTCAACTCCGTATCAATCAATACAACCATCGGATCGCTAGTCGATACGGTCTCTTTCTATACATTAAATATGCGGACATGAACCTTACGAAAGACAAGAGCGCAGTCACTACTGTAAATTGCATCACTATAGACTGGTCAAATCAAGGGGAGATATGGCCGTGGGAAGGTATCTGAAGCGATACTAGCTCAACAAGCGTTCATTCCCATCCCTTACTTGGAGTTCTCAGTTTCCTGTTGTTTGATCCTAGCCCTCAATAAGGTGCCTTAGTAACAGCATGCACATACGTCTTCTCGCATGTCGTCCCATTCCCTTTCCAACTCAAGACATCATTACTCAACGCGCCCTCACAAATCGTCCACCCTTCTCTCGAGCCGTTCACGGTCAACAAATACCCCTCGTCCAACGCCAGGTTCCCTGCCGGTTGCTCCGAAGCTAGGAACTGTAGCTCTTTCCCGGCCGCCACTACGGTACTGTTGTAGCGATATTTAGCACCGCCGAAAGGCGCTGAGGCTATAGTCGAAAGCGTCCCCGAAGTCAAGGTGAAGTTTGGAAGTGAACCGTAGCCCGGCCCTGTTAAGCGAAGGAGGAGAGCTGGTTGATTGAAGGGATCCTAACATGGTGTTAACATCTGCTAAGATAATATCGAATAATTTAGGCAAGACGGAAAAGGTGAGGCGGGAGTTGAAGAAATGTAAACGTACGAATAGCGAAGTCGCGGAGACAGCCTTCAATTCTGAAGAATTTGCGCTCGGGTTAAGCTGTGAGGTTGTGACGAGGAGGAAGTTCGTGAGCTCTGTCGGCAGAGCTGCGCACAACGAAGCACCAGCCACCGCAAATACGCTCAATGTCGAGATCCACATTCTGGGTATTGGCGATTAATCTGTTTACTAGGTGTCGAAAAGCTGGGGGGTGGGTTGTTCCTCTGTAAACTAGACGTTTCGTTTTGAACGTGTTTGATGTGAGCGAAATGTGAGAAACACGAGCGAGTAGATCGCGCATCTATATACCCGTCACAAACCGTGGGACCAAAGAGCAAACTATGTTTCATGGTTCCACAGATGCCATCATACGTACCTGCCATCCCTATTCAACATCTTCAGCCACCCAATTGCGGCTCAAATAGCCCTTGCAGATCCTCCGATCCCTGGACACGTCAACGGCCAACAGCAGCGTGCAAAGGCACAAATTATCAAACGCGCCTAAAGTCAACAGGTGGCAGGCCTGACTACTTTAAGGGAGCTATGCCTCGTTATTAGAGACTTGGTTTTATTGCAAGAGATTCCGACAATGGTCTACGAGTTTGTAGGGATGAGCGTGACGTTGAAAGTGGATAGATATGTGGATAGTCGGATGCTCGCTGCATCATCGCCATACCAGAGCTAGCCTAGTCTGGTCGGCTCCACAGCCGGATGAAGTACGAAGGACAACAAAGCAGGATGTCAGTATTGAAGGAGGCTGGAAGGTGGAAGACTTGATGAGTCTCGTTGTCGAGCTCGCCAATGGACTCGACATGATGTATTCGTGACCTGATTTAGAATTGTGTGAGAATCTGGTATACCTCCAATGTGTTTGTATTAAAGCATATGTTGAGTATCACAACCTATGGTTCGATCTGATCGTCTCCTAAAATGGGGTATGTCCAGCGCCCAACGCCTCAATGAATCCCGTCTGGCTGTTTGCCTCTCGATACGTATATCATGAATTACAAGTGCACCACCATGTCGCTGATCGAACGCGCAGCTAAGTGGACATTGACACAGCGCCATCGCCCAGCACCCTCGCGACCAATATGTACATCATCATCGCTCCGAGGACCATCTTCCACTTGTTGCGGCTCAGCCAGCCTTGTCCCGCATCGCGTGCTATTTGCGCCGCATCGTGAACCACCGTTGCACTCGCACCAGGTCTACGCCTCAAGCCAGCAACCTCAGGCGAACAATGTAGTTGTGATGAGCTCTGTACTGGCCGCGGCAGTCCCGTTGCAGAGTCAATGCGCTTCTCCTTCATCCACTGGAGGTTCTCCTCGTCCGTCTCCGGCCACTCAAGCCTGAACTTCGCACCCCCGTCGCCAGCCTTGATGCCTCCTATGCCCCTTGAGTTCGACGACTGTGTACTCATCTGCTTTGATCCACCGCCAGTGCTATTCCACCACCTCGTCCTCTGTGCAAACAGTTTCCTCTCCTGCTCACTCGCCCTAACAGATCCCGTCGTCATCTCCTCACTTGTCATGAAGCTTAGCAAGCCCGTCAGTATTGTGCTGACCTCCCACGCCGGGTTGAAACTCTTCGGATGGAAATCGCTTATGCTCAAGCAGAGTCGTGTGGAAGGCTGGAAGCGGCCGGATGGAGTGTGCATGCGTATTGCGGGCGGCGCGAAAGGGTAGTCCGGCGGGAACATGAGGGTACCCCAGTACTGGCCACCGTCATAGGGCGTGTCGGGTGGCCCGGTGAGAATGTAGTGCCACTCAAGGATGTTCTTTTCGGAGGGGTGGGCGACGATGTAGGGTGGTGGGGATTTGGTGATAGAAGCGTATTCTTTTGTAAGGCGCTTGGTTGCTGCAGGTGTTGCCATCGTGATTATGTGTGGGAGGGCGAGAGGGGGTGTTGTAGAAGGGTTGGCAGATGTGGTTGCCTTTGTGATTACGTAGAGTTTGGTGGAGTTCGCGGCGGGTGATGTAGGTTGTTTGGGCAGATAAGGGTGTAGGTCAAGTAGTAATACGAGTATGCCGCGATTACCGTATGTGAAAGAAGACAAATTCACAGCAGAAGTGACGAGGTGGAATAGGTGGTGAATGAAGGCACAGTGACCGGCATAGCCGCAACCGTGGATTGATTGATGCACGCACGTGACATTGCGGTCCAGATCTCGGAGGTCGGAAGTGCACCCCATCATCCAAGGTTTCTATCGACCGCCAAGCTTTGAGCTCGAAGACATCAACAGCCTCAATGGCGTCGCCGAACGAAGATGATGCAAGTAGAAATTATAATGGACGATTGCGGGAATGCAGCTAATCGGCTTCTAGGTCTTCGAAAGGCTGAAGAATAAGACGGACATCAACGAGCAGAAGCGGCAGCAGGATGAGCTCAACACGCGGTTAAACGCACAGCATCACAAGTCACAAGAGAGGCTGGTAGAGCTGGTATGTACTCTGCAAGCTTAGGTGGCCTCATCGAAGCGTGTGCTAATTGTGGAATAGATTGGCGACAATACCTCCCTCCCAGTGACGATATCATCGGTCCGCATCCTTCACGCCAACCGGACAAGGCGATCATTCCTCGAGCGAGTAGTCGAACCTTTGCTGAGCGCGAATCGCGATGAGTCATACACGCTTGAAGAGGCTTTGAAGGAGGTGGGCAATGCTACGGACAAGCTAAATCGCTTTGGTAGGACAACATGCGACTGAAGCCTTCGCACATGTCTAACGCTATATAGGTATCTTCAAGTCGCCAATATCGGTATATCTCGACAGACCGGATCAGACAAATGCCTCCAGCTCACCGACCGATGTCGATGTCTACATCTCTGCCTTCGAGCGCGGCAACTACACCATCAAGACAGGCACAGAGGCTGGCGCTTCAGAGGCGGATGCCTACGTTCACGCTGAGCTGCGGAATGTGCTGGGTGGAGCCGAGACTCTCAATGCACATGGATCGTTAGGAACGCGAACACGCTCAGCCTACTCTCTCGCTTTCGATTCCCCAATACTGAGCAACCCAGACCTAAAAATCCAAGTCAATGGCTTCGCAAGCTCAACGCTGAAGAGCTGGGCAAGTCACGAAGAAGTACTAAAAGGTGGAAACTCAAAGCTTTTGTGGAGATCAAAGACAGGACATCAGCATGAATTTGGCTACTCTGGCATCTGGCGACAGGTCACCAGTCTCGCAGAAAACGCATCCCCAACTGTCCGCGTCGACGCAGGCGACTCCTTCAAATCAAGCATCACGCATACCTGGATCAACGACAAGCGCGACTATCCCCTACTGCCTAGCAGTGGTTACCTTATGAAGACTGTGTCTGAGCTCGCAGGTTTCGGTCCGCTAAAAGGCGACGTAGCATTCTTCAAGTCGGAAGCTGAGTCGCAAGTCGCGCTTCCGTTCGGTGACACTGGCATCACCTTGACCGCGGGTCTACGTGGAGGACTCCTGTACCCTTTGACTTTGGGTGGTGGCAATAGCCCGCAAGCATCACGCATCAACGACCGCTTCCAGCTCGGTGGTCCAAATACCGTCCGTGGTTTCCGCCTTGCTGGCCTCGGTCCTCACGACGGCCCTGACGCTGTAGGCGGCGACGTGTATGCTGCTGGTGGCGCTTCCCTCCTCCTCCCAGTCCCGCGTGTCGGAAAAGAAACCCCGTTACGACTTCAAGCGTTCATCAACGGCGGGCGCCTGCTCTCGCTCAAGTCCCAGTCTTCAAAGAAGGAAGAAGGGTCATTCGGAAGCGGGAACGAGGTGCAGAGTAGCTTGCAGAAGACGGTGCAAAGTTTGACACAGGAGCTGCCGAGTGCGGCGGCGGGTGTGGGACTGGTGTATGCGCATCCGGTTGCGCGATTTGAGATTAATTTTAGCTTGCCGCTTGTGATGAGGGCGAAGGAGGAGGGAAGGAAGGGTTTGAGCTTTGGGGTGGGGATTGAGTTCTTGTAAACGGTGTGGAGGTGAAGTGGAAGAGACTAGGAATGAGCTGGAATGGGGTGTAGATATGTACTAGTAAGCTCTAGATTCTCTGACAAGCATGGCATTTTCCTCCCTTGATGCCTTTGTGGTTCTCAATGTTGATGTGAACTACATATTGGATGTCATACTGCCAAAGATGGAGCCTATGAAGCAACGATCATATGTCCACGAGCATTTCAACTTAGATCGAGTTGATGCATGTGAATTTTAAGTTTCAAATTCTAGCATCGACGTCTTGGTGGGCATATGCGCTTGCTTATCGACCACGTCCCCGCCATACCTCATCCTTCACCCCATGGACTAGCTAGCGAATGTGCGATACCTCCTCGTGGCAGCTGTGATGTGCGTAGGATTCTTGCCGAATACAAGCGGTACAGCGGGACTGGTCTCGAATGTTCGGGGACCGTATTATCAACTGCGTAACGCGAAGGTGTCTGGGGTTTGATCAACCACGGAGTTTGTTCGACGGACGTCTGCCAACGTTCGAAGCCTACGGATAAATGAGTCCAAGCTTCTCCTTCTTTCCAGCACTATTCTTCTTCGTGCCGTCTCATCGAGCACTCATCAAGAACTTGCGCCACCACACCGTTTCGGCGTCCAGAAACCAAGGGCTGGCGCTTTCGATAAGTTGTTCTGGCGACGGCATTGTTCTAGCGTCCATATACCCTAGGGCCATAATGAAGACATCACATGTTGTCAGGCTTGTGCGCGCAAAGACGCTATTCGATATCGGATGCGGCATGACTGGAGTGGGGTCGTGAAGAAGCGTAAGGACAACAGCCGACCTAATCAGGGCAGTTGACGAAGGCCAATATGTAAGACAGAATAGATGTCTTTGTTTCAAAGGGCGTGGAAGTAAAACTTTGGAGGAGGCAACTCAGGCCAGGTCTTGCTGAGTTGTTCGTATACGGTAGGTGTGATGGCGATTCCGTTTAAGGTAGGAGCGAACGTGGTCGGGACGAGAAATCCCGGGAGATTTGCAAGATCGTGTGTTCTTCATCGGTGGCTGCGAGATACGTTGCGTTCAGATGCGCGGTGATGTAGGTTGTTTGCATTCACTATCTCCACTTCAGACACAGCCAAGTACGGTGGACCTCACCGCTCGTCCCGGGATCCTGGTACAGACGTTTATAGTGAAAACTCTCAGCTGATACGGGCCCCTCCTTCTTCCACTTTCAGTAATCTGCGATACAATATTGGTGTTTTGGCTCTGTTCGGTTGACACTGGATCACTGTTCTGGAAAGCGCGGATAGCTGCCGACGGCAACCTGTCGAAGTTGAAATTCCGTAGTACTGAGTGTCGTGGCGAAAGATCAAGGTAGCACAACGTGCGATCTGTTGTGCGCGTGCTTAGCGATTCGGGCGGGTGGTTACAGTAAGCTTAACAAGTCGCCATAAGTCTAAGCTGACTGCGTTGCGTTGCTTGAGGTGATCGGGTGGAGGTAACGGTCAGATGGAGCATTCTGATACAACCCATTACTGTAGCAGTACATATATACATAATGTTGAACGGAACTTTTGCTATCCGTATAATGGCCTCAGCTGCGTGCGTCAGCAGGTCCACCTGCACGATCTTATGCAGGAGCTTCTCTCCACATCTCTACCAACCCAATAGTCTGAGCTCAACTAGGAATGCAAAGAGAGAACTAAAATGCAGTGCAACACGAGGACATCCCTTCCCTGGTTGTTTAGATTTGGTGAGGCTATAAATGTGCTATACTGTGATGAGACATGCGATTGGGGGTTGTCGGTGAGTAGCGCGGTGCTAACTCGTTCGCTTGCAGATGTCGTGCAGCGAATGAGAGGCGAAATGCTAGGGTTTGACAACTAAGACGTGATGGTGTGCTAGTTGAGAGATGACTGTGGTTGTGGCAGGAGGCGAATATGCGAAGTAAAGGGATACATCCCGGGGAGAGAAGTCAAGTGGAGACAATAGACATGCGCAAACGAAAGGAAGCGCAGAACTCCATAGAGTGAGCCGGGCGAGAACTATTACCATATGTCATTAGCGATCTGATCGAATGGAGTGATTGCGACTTCTTACCCTATCGGCGTTCTCCTAAAAAAAGAAAGCTCGTGATAGTGCGACTTGAGAATGCTGACCATCTTCAACCTCATTCCATCTTATGTGCAATAGTGCTTGGCGGCTCCCAGTAATACTTGCCTATGATGACCGTATGCTTTGATCAAAGCAGAAAGTTAGCAAGTTGTCTATACTTGTAGCGGAAGTGGGTTTGGTAGGCATGAGTTGTCGTTTCTAAACCGTTCCAAGTACTCTAGATAGGTTGGGGTTAGCCTGTTCCCACTTGAGCGGAAATGTGCGAGAGATGCCTAGGTATGTATTCCATCATCAGCCAGCATTATTGCCAGTACATTATAAACAGTTCCTTACTTTGACAAACTTTGGAGCGCTTAACGCATCTATATTATCGCTTATGAGCGATGTTATTGGGAATGTATTCAATGCTGTACTTTCTACATTTCTCCAAGAACCAACATCGAGCCCTTCGACTTACACCAAATCCTCTTTTGCCGCACAATGGCTTCGGAATCACCACAGGACGACCGGTGAGGGTGAGCTCACCATCGCACGGCATCATCGAATCTAATGGGTAGAGCAGGCCGTACCACGCGCATCGATCCACAATAGATCGGTTTTGCACGTTGTCGACTCGATGAGCGCCATGTATTCTGCAATATCATTAGATATGATCTGCTTTTCCGTCGACCGGGACGTCCTCTTCATCTCTTGATCTGCCCGCACAGATTCCATCTAAGATCTGCGAGTGTGCAGTTTCATTGAGGGTGGAAGATCGTACAAGACATATACTGGCCGACGAGACATGCAGTTTGTCAAACTGGGTGTAAGGCGATACGAAGGGCTGAAGGGTTACAGTATGCTGTAAGGGCTTGCCTGTGCAAGTTACTGTCCAGATGAGTGCGACTTGTGCTGCAATGGTATGCAGTCAACCAGAAACCACGTCGAAACAAAGCTGTCGAACGCCCGATAGACGTCTTCTTGTCGAATCTAGTCGGAGTCCTTGCGCGACCGTGCATTAGAGCTGACGGTTCGTACGCGTACAGCCAATCCCCTCGAAACCAAACTCTTTCGCAGCTTCGCACACCGGTCGCACGCCCTCTTTCGATACATACTGCGGTTCTTTTGTCAACCCTGTTTACACGTCTGACCTCGGAAGGGCTTCAACATTTTTTTTTGTCGGCTACAGTTCCCAATGGAGTGCTCGATGCGCCGTCCTCTTCTGGATAGCTGATACCAAGAATTACCAAGAACGCCACACGATCCTGCGAATATCCTGCGACTGTCTTGGACGAATTGAAGTTGAGTGTCATTTGCAAGGTGCGGAGCAAAGACAACCGAAAGGCCTGTGTATCAACGGTTGGCGTAACGGCTAAGCTAATTGGAGTCGGCCCCCATGTCCCGCCACTGACGTTAATCACAGGCTCTTTCGACATCCTACCCCCTCGAGGTCTTGTAAACGTGCTGACATCTTAGGAAGTCCAGGAGTACTTCGCGTAGTTTCCAAATGCCAAACAGAATTTGAAAAGTTAGCGAAGGCCTTCAGGAGTACGTGAAATACGGTAGAGTAATGACATTCAAATTGTCGCGAGATTCTCATTTGACGCGTCAGGACAGAACCTAGACATGCCGCGCGCGCCCAGACGGAAACCCTGTCCAGGAAGCGTTTCGGCACATCTTTGTCGTTGGAAGCCATGGCGAACTTTCTCCGCAACGGGTGCATGATCCCCCATGGAGTTTAGCTATGTAACGTAACCTGACTTTCAAGTTTGTTTCATCTTGGCGGAAAATGTTACTCTCCCGATTTGGATATGAACCGACAAGAACGACTGATGACTTCAAATGCAATCCGTGGTACACCTTCCTGTCGGGGCGGAGCCCGTTTCACAGCATCATGCCGTCCTTCACTGCCTGGATAACTGATCGGCAGACCCCATGAGGCGGGCGTACCGCGTGCCAGCAAACCAGGAACCAACTGCAAGGCTACGGCGTCTCGAGTCCCTTCTCATTGGACAACGTTATGCACAGTAATATGGGACAACAGTCATGCACTACCCCAGGATATGTTGCCGGTTTTCTGTAGGATTTACGTCCTTGGAAAAACGCTTATTTGCGGGGCTATTGCCCTGGCTCGGGCGCCTTCACATGGCAAGTGTAGCTGCTAGGGCCTAATGGCGGGAACAACGTAAGAGTGAATGCTAGTAGCTTGGATAGCCCGCGCGCACAGACAATATCCAGAGAAATCACGCGCCCTCCTGGGCCCATAAGAAGCTCTCACTCCGCACTCCCCTCACTTTTTTCTCACCTAACCCCACTGTCTCTGTCTACCCAGCTTGGTCTCAACCGCGCGGCAAGATGAAGACCTTCTACAATGTCTATGCGATCGTAAGTTCTCAAACTCAGCCTGCTTCTGACTACACCTGTTAACAAATAGTTAGTGCGGTTTCGCCGCCATTGGCGGTGGTCTGTTCGGTTTCGACATCTCTTCCATGTCCGGTGTCCTAGGTACCGAAGCCTACAGGAACTACTTCAACTCTCCTAGTGGTACGCGCCAAGGTGGCATCACTGCCTCTATGCCTGCGGGGTCCCTCATCGGTGCCCTGTGCTCTAGTTTTCTTGCCGATCGCCTCTCTCGTCGAACTGCTATCCAAATTGCGGCTCTCATTTGGATCATTGGCGCCATCTTCCAATCTGCGAGCAACGGTATCCCACTCCTCTGCATCGGCCGTGTCGTTGGTGGCTTCGCCATCGGTGTCTGCTCAGCTATCGTTCCCGTCTACCAATCAGAGATTGCTCCAAAGGAAATTCGTGGTCGCGTTGTTTCCCTGCAACAGTGGGCCATCACCTGTAAGTCGAATAGCTCTTCCCGGCTTTCACTTCTCTGTTTCCAACGTGTTTCTTCCGACGCCGGCTAACACATGACAGGGGGTATTCTTATCCAGTACTTCATCCAGTACGGCAGTTCATTCGTCGATGGTGGTGCCAAGAACCCATCCCAGGGCACTGCTGCTTTCCGAATCCCTTGGGGTATCCAAGCTGTACCCGGTGCCATTCTCCTAGTCGGTCTCTTCTTCTTCCCTCGCTCTCCGCGTTGGTTGGCTTCAAAGGACCGCTGGGAGGAGGCTCTGCAGGTCCTCGCCCATCTTCATGGCGGCGGTGACATGAACCACCCGAAGGTGCTTGCCGAATACAAGGAGATTGAGGACGCTCTTCGGTTCGAGCGTGAGGTGGCTGAGACTAGTTTCACTGCTCTAATCAAGCCTCGTATTGTCAAGCGTGTAATCCTGGGAATGTCTATACAGGCTTGGAGCCAGTTGGTACGTTTTGACCGCCCTTTGACGGTCCCTGGGTCATATCAAGTGCTTCATAGCCCTTTTTGGCCCATCGACAGCCCAAACTTCATTTTTATTCGCTAACACGACCAGTGCGGCATGAATGTTATGATGTATTACATTAGTAAGTTTCAACAGAACTTTCTTTCAGTACTCTTTTGTTTCAATAATCTCCATATTCATATATCCCTTCTTCAGGTGGACTGCGCCACGCGGCCGTGTAAGCCAATCAACGTATGCTGTGGTCCACAGGCTGCGCCACAACCCACCAGAAGGAGCAATCTTTACGCAGAATAATGCTAACTACGTCGCTCTTTAGTATTTATCATGCGTGGAGCTGGTATCGCCGATGAGCTGCTCACAGCGTCTATACAATACATTATTAACGTTGTTATGACCCTACCAGCCATCCTATACCTCGACAAGTTTGGTCGTCGCCCGGCTCTCCTGATCGGTTCGTTCCTCATGATGACCTGGCTCTTCACCACCGGTGCTCTGCAGGCTACCTACGGCCACTCCAATCCGAACAAGGCCGACAAAGACATCTCCTGGGTTGTTCCCAAGGAGCATAGCGCCGTCTCCAAGGCCATTGTCGCATGCTCATACCTCTTCGTTGCCTCCTTTGCGACGACCTGGGGTCCCACTTCATGGACCTACCCGTCTGAGATCTTCCCGGCCAAGGTCCGCGCGAAGGCTGTGTCGCTCGCAACGGCATCCAACTGGGCATGGAATTGCATTCTCGCCTTTGCGGTTCCCCCACTTCTCTGGAGCATCAACTGGAAGATGTACATGATCTTCGGTACCTTCAACGGTCTCGCTCTCGTCCATATGTTTTTCGCGGCCCCCGAGACCAAGGGCAAGACGCTCGAAGAGATGGACGACGTCTTCGACTCAGGCCTCCCTGCTTGGAAGGCTGGCAAGGCTGGCTCGCGTCTCGACCAGATCACGCGCGACATCGAGAAGGGTGAGGTCAAGGTCGAGACCAAGTCTCACGGCCACGTTGAGCAGGTCCCTGTTGTCGAGCCCAAGGCTTAGACGGCAGACTGTGTCTGACCGATTTGGTGGCGTGGGAACGACAAGCCATGTGTTTACGAGTTGGATCTACGAATAAATCGATACCTCTATATTGGTCTCGGATACAGGTAGATCTTTCATGGTGTACAAGGCTGGGTATCTGTGTGGACTACCTCACAGCGGCGATAGAGTTTAGGGATACCCTTGATGCCTGCACAACTCTCCACTTCTTTCGGACGGCCTAGCATACTATAGTCCGCTAATACAATTACTGTAACCCTTCAATCCATGATTTGCCGTGTTATTAATGTTTAGGTGGGCAAGCAAAAGGCACAAATCAAGTAAAGACCAAATCCCAATTCTGGTATTAGACTCGCCACGCCAGCAGCGTCAATAGTGTGGTATATAACGAATGTAGCGAAGAGGTATCAAGCAACGGAGCCAAAAGCCGCAGACCAGTGACCCAAAGAAAACACTACGAAGAAGAAGAATAGACTTGTCGCTGACGGAAAATAAAAGGCCCCATCTAACACGCTCTCACAACTTGCTGAAATTTCTCGTAATCATAACGACGACGCCTGCCACAATCTTGATGGCGATTTTCAGCACAAACACGACACTCTTGAAAGCGAATGTCAGGACATTGATGATCGTCCGTGTCACAAACGGCAGTTTATCCTGGTCTTCTTTCTCCTTTCGAGTCTTCTTGTCTGCCTTTGTCTCCTTGGCCTTGGTGGTCTTGTCCTGTCCATACCACTCCCCAAGCTCGATATCCTTCTCAAAGCTGGTACTCGGACTCCTACTCGTTGCCGTCGACTTGAGCGATGACGCGAACCTCTTGAGCCCAGACCCACGAATTGGTCCTTTAGTCTTACCGCCAAAGCCCTGAAAGCCTTCGACGAAAGATTCTTTGAACGCCTTTGCGGTGTCTTCTTTCTGGTGGGTCAAGGTGAAGCTTGGTGGGGGAGGCTCGAAGTTCTCTTGGCTTTGGTTTCGACTGCGGCTTCGGCGGCCGCGTGTGGCTTCTGCAACTGCGACGGCGAGAAGCGTGGCGGTCACTACGTCGGCGAGGAAGGGATTTCCGAAGTGTGATAGAGCACCAAGGTTCAGGATCAATGCATCGTTGGTGAAGTCGAGGCGGGCGAGCATCGCATCGTCGGCGGTTGCGTCTGTGGTGGTTGGAAGTTGGCCAACTGACATTTCCGAGGGGGTCATCGATATGGGCCGATTCATGCTGTCTATCCGTGGTGGTGGTTGTAGTGGCGAGAAGGCGTTTGTTCGTGGCGATGATGGAGATAGGATGTATGGATTGCGAAGTGTGATAGAGGCAGGCTTCCGTCCAGTAGTCTGCGGTGTCAGAGGCGTATTTTGTCCGTAGAATGCCGTAACAGGACGAGTAGAAGGTGTGTTGATGACGGAGCAATCCCCTTCAATGGAAATGGGGAATGTTCCGAGCGTAGGATGGTGCAGCTGATATGATCCTTCCGAAGGCATGTGTTGGGCCCAAGGGTTTGCTTGCTGTTCAGGATTGTCTCGTATCCACGCCAGCGCGCAGCACTCACGCTGTGCAGTCCCTGCAAGAACATCTTCCGCCAGTCGTTGGGCAGCAGGCGACTGTGCACCAGGATCTGACAAAGCAATGCGAGAAGCGGCAGGAGAGTTGGCAGCGGCATCAAGCGCTTGAAGAGCAGCAAGCTTGGGATATATGCTAGTGAGAAGAGTGGTGCTTTCTTGCTGATGTGGGTCAAACGCGACGTTATCCAGGGATGGAGGTGCAATGAGATCGAGATGAGCTACCGGGAGGACTCGGGGTTGAGTGGGATGGTGCCGTTGAATGAGTAGCTCATTCATGATGCTTGGGATGTCATGTGAGCCAGCGAGGTTTGACTGCGCTAGTGAGTAGAAAGGAAGAGACGGTGTAGTACCAAAGGTAATGGTAGGGTTTGCTGCGGTTGCCCGATGCATCTTGAGAGTGTAAATCTGTACTGTAGGTTCTTCCTGGCCGTTTGTGGCTAGCCATAGATTATCGAGCAGATTCGAAGGTGTAAAGAAGGGCCTTGCCGGTGGAGGAGCTGTTGAGCTGTTTGTACGGACGTTGCTGTGGGGGATGTATGAGTCGGGAGCGTATGGCGATCTGCTCATCTGTGTGCGAGGGAAATGGGTCGGTGATGCTTGTGTAGGCTTATAAGATTGATTCCCTAGGGGCACTGTTGGATCGTAGACTGGAAACATTGATCGCATCGGTACATCTTCTTGAGGCAGCATGCTTCGTACTCGTGTGGCAGAACTATTTGCTCGCACGAGGGTTGCGGCTTCTGAGAAAGCTGGAGATACTGCTCGATCCGGATCCGGACTGGCGATACGTGATTGTTGTTTGCTTTGATCGTGTTGCACGGAAAACGCCGGCGACGGAGCTCGAGGGTCTTGCCCTCTATAGAAGCTTTCTTGTCTCATCAGATGTGGTGAAGGCGTTCTTTGTTGTGATGGGGATTCGAAGGTTGGTCTGCTGGCTTGTGGGGGTGTCCTCGTAGCCTGCGTATTAGGGATATGTGCCCGTGGAGGGGCTGCTATTGCGGGCGGTGGTGCCATTGAGTTTGATGGAGACACAGGAACTGAATTGACCTGGATGATGAGCTCGTGAAAGTCTGCTGGCGGCTTTGTGCTGTTTGCGCTGTCTACCCGCTCCGTTGTTGGCTCTGGTGTTGCAGGTTTTATATGAGGAGAAGGCCTTTGACTCGGGCTTGTCTGCCTTGGAGCGCGGGGTGGAGGAGGAAATAGTTGGAATGCCGGACCCGCCATACTGAACTCCTGGTGCGTTCTTTTTCGAGGGGATTCAAAGACCCGAAATAGATAGAGCGACCAAACGAAACACTTGTCGAACCGTGCAAAGGAGCATACAAATGCTCAAAACAGTAACACTGGGAGTACAAGCACGGTAGACATGCGTTGGAACGTCGGGTAATCTGGGGATAACGACTATAAGACGATCACACTTCTCACATACCAAGCCAGCAGCGAGGGCAATAGCGGTTGAAAGAAGGCTCCCATGCATAGGTTACCCTTTTGGGCCTCGTGGTGGTCGGAAGAGCCCAATCATCATGCGTGTAATCCTCGGCGCTTCTATCAGTTGATGAGCGGCGGTTATATTTTAGGTGGTTGGCTATCTCTACTGTAAGCGCCCAAGCTCAGAGTTCGCTACACTCCGCTCCACGTTTGGCCCGGGGTCCTACGATGCATGCATATCGCCTTGATTCGTCGGATGCCGTGTGCCTGGCCTGCGCACAGAGCACCAATGTACGTGACGAAGTGACCGGCGGTCCGCCGCGATCAACTCGGAGATCTATTTTGGGCGCTCAGGACCTTTGCCAGCGAGCCTCTTTGCCTGTCTCTCGCCGAACGCGGAGAACCATGCTGCTGTCCGACTTTTACCGTCTGCTGGCATGCAGCTCTCAAGGAGGCGTGTTCGGCACTCGTTGTTGCCGAATGCACTTCATCTTCCACGACACTATTTCCAGGTCGACGAACAAGGAATGTGTAACAAAAGAAGTGATTTCTGGCATGGTCGCGTATAGTGTTTGTTCATGTGGGCACGAGGGCTGAAGCCACGAGAAACCAGCGGTTACAGCCAGAGTCCTGCAGATTGAACGGTGGGCGTGATTATAGCCGCCCCTATTCCCGACGCGGACTAGTCTGAGATGTGTGCCCAGAGGCTTGCATGGCGAGTGTTAGATACCGGATACCATTTGTCTCTTCTCTCGGATTACCAGCCATCTGAGCACTCTTCCCCAGTTCAATTATGGGGTAGTATTGGGTCCTTTGAACACAGCTGAAGGTTCTATCTGGAGATAACTCGGCGGTAGCAAGCGCTCGAAGTGGTATGGATTTACATGGCTTATGAAATATGCATGATCAGACCATTATGAAGCCGGAATAGGAAGTATAACATGTTTTACATGAACTAATCAACCACATCACTTATTGTCTTACTGTGGCTTGGGGCTCGCGATAAATCAGCGCGAGGCCTGGGAAGCAGGAGGCGCTAACTGCGCATTAGGCTTATCGATAACCTTATTTTTTAGCCGAGAAAAAGTTCAAGGCTCGTCATCATTCGCGGTCGCATTGCAGCGTAACCTACACGATGCCGACAGAATTAGAAGAGGTATGACTTCTCCACATGCTATTGCAGACCTAGTACTAATATAGTGTTCCAGCTCGTCGAGTTCCTGCACCACGGCAATACGCAGATCCGACAAGTCGGTCAGAAGAACCACCCCCACCACCCCACCATAGACACCGCTCACATACAACAGCCGTGGAACATGTCATCGGATACTCGCAAACAAACATACCTCTCTTCAAGCGCAACCAGCTAGAGCCCGTCAAGGATCTCAAGCTCCTCGTCAAAGACTATACGGAGATAGCGAAGAATGCGCTCACCATCCTCATCAACATCTCATCAGACACCGAAATCCTAACGGAGCTGGCCAAGGATGACGCGCTGCTAGAGACGCTACTCTCACGGATAACCGTATGTCAGTTCCCCATGCTTATGCTTAGAAGGATGCCCGCCTCTGACGTATGAGGTAGAACCCCAAAGAGCAGAATGCGAATGAGATCGCAATGCTCCTCGCCAACATGGCGAAGGATGACTCACTACAAAGAGTCTTGGAGCTGAAGCGCGATATACCAAAGGAGCTGTCCAAGTCGACATGGGCCATGGATCAGCTCATGGACTGCTTTGTCAAAGGTGCTGAAGGGGCTTACAACAAGCATGCAGATTTCGATTATCTGTCGTACTTCTTCGCCGACTTGGCCAAGTTTCCAAAGGGCCGCGAATACCTCACAACGCCCCAAGAGCACGATTCGAACATCATCCCCATCACAAAGATCCAAGTCTTCACCGATCACGCTTCGCATATCCGACGCCTAGGCGTAGCATCCACGATCAAGAACGTTTGCTTCCATGTGCCCGCACACCCGGTTCTGCTCTCCAATCTGTCTCCAGATCCGAGCCTACCACCTCCTTCGATCGGCGCGAACCTCTTACCTTACATTCTACTCCCACTCATGGGCCCAGAAGAATATTCTGATGAGGACACTGAGGGTATGTTGGATGAATTGCAATTGCTCGAGCCGGACAAGGAGCGCGAGAAGGACGTGGAAATCATGAAGACGCATCTGGAATCCTTGTTGCTACTAAGCACTACAAAAGAAGGCCGAGCGGCATTGAGGGGGGTCAAGGTGTATCCCATTGTGAGGGAGTGTCATCTGCATACTGACGATGAAGGCGTTCGGGAAGCGTGTGATCGCGTGGTGCAGATCCTGATGAGGGACGAGGAGGGCGAAGAGACAGCCATGCCAGATGCTGTTGGTGGGGGTGGGGGTGGAAAGATGGTGGAACTGAAGAATGAAGAGGAGGATGAAGATGAGCAAATCATTGATATTTTATAGATCTCCACATCGAACACGTTGGAGCAAGCATATCAAAGACGCCAATATATGCAAGTATGCGATATGTACGAACCTCTCATATGCCCTCTATATCATACCTTGATCGGTCTAATTTGACCATCCAGGCTACTTGTATCACTTTTGTCACTATTGCTTTCCTTCTCTTTCAACCCACCACTATGTAGAGGGCTCTCGTTTCTTTCTTCAGCCGCAAGTTCCTCCAGCACCTTCTCCCGCGCGCCCAACTCCTCATCCCCCGTCCCCTCACGTCCATGCATCTCTTTCTCCGCCGTCTTACCATCCGCGCTGTTTTTGTCCTTCTTGATCATGGACCATCCACCCCTCCAACCCACCCATTTCTCCTCCCAAGGTCCTCTCGCCACAATCACTAGTATCGCCGCACAGATGAAGCCGACGCTCGTGCTACCTGAGCCAATCCAGCCCGCTGCGGCATATATGTGATTCCCAGCTGCGGTGCCGATAAGTTGTCCGCAAAACGTAGCCACCATGAACGCTGTGTTTACACCATTCCTCCTCCTTGGTTCAATCGCATAGATGGAACTTCGATTAGCGATCTGCGCGGTTTGGTTGCCAAAGTCCAGTAGTAGGGCTTGTAGAATGGGCCCCGAAACGTTGAAAGTTCCGATATATGTGCCTAGGACAACGGCCGTGAGCGAGCAAGAGAGACCGAAGAGGACGGAGAAGTGCGGCACAAAGCGGTCTGTTACGAGGCGTGCATATACAGGCGAGACGAGCATGCCTGCTATACCTATCAACCCGAATAGACCGATAGCCAGAGAGGAATAATGGTACGGATCTCCAGCCAGCAAGAAAGTCAAGGTAGTCCAGAACGATGTAAAGGGCGCAGAGCAGAACATGCCAGCCAGACAGGCTTGGACGAGGGCGGGGTGCTTGAACAGCATCTTCACGATATCCCACAGGATCCTGAAGTAGTTCATTCCCGGATTTGTCGCTGGGTAGTCTGGCATAAAGAGCCAGAGTAGGATGAAGATGAGATATTGCAGGCCAAGGGCCATCCAATACACGGCGCGCCAGGTTACAAAGTTCGCCATTGTGCCGGAGAGCACGCGGGCTACTAGGACGCCGAGCATGAGACCAGAAACTACCACTGAAAGGGCTGCCGCGCGGCGATTCGGTGGCGCGAGGTCACCAACGAGGGGAAGCATAAGCTGTGGAGTGACGGTAGTGACGGCTGTTATGAAAGAGATGGCGGTAAACGTTCCCAAGTCATTTGTAAGGCAGAGACCTAGCCTATCCATGGAGTCAGTACGTACGCCACATCCCGAAACTCTTCTATGCCTCTATGAACAAACAGATATGGGGTAAGGAGTCTTGAAGGCGTTCATACATACCACATGGTTGCAGTAAATAGCACCAATCCACACACAAACGGCCTTCGCGGTAGCAAATCTCCCAACGGACATAAAAATAACAGCCCAGCCGCATAACCCGCTTGCATGACCGTCGGTATCTGCGCGACTTGCTCATACCTGACTCCGAAATCATGTGCCAAGATGTTCAAAATCGGGTGGTTGTAGTAGAGATTCGCAACGGTAACTTGATAAACTTGAATCAGCACAATCTCAAGACGAACAGCAGGAACTTCCTTGGTTAATTCAAGGGCTAGAGTGGTTGTGACGTACATCCAGCAGCAAAAGCAAACAGCACATTCATGCTCATCGAGAATTGCGGCGGTCTATCAGGATCCCAGCGACAATTCGGTGGTGTCCAAGTCAGAACCCTGTAAATTCTCCTCCATAACGATGACTCTTTCTGCGCTTCTTTTACATCTACACTCCCCAGCTCTTCCCGTGGTGTTGATGTCGAAATTAAAGTCGAGCTTGGTAATTCGACCGGAACCCGTGTGCTCGGACCCCCGCCCCCATGATTTAGTCCGGTAGGTGTCATTGTATGTCGTACATGGATGTTAAGTTCGTGAAACCTGTCCAATGAAGGCTGACGATGCGCAAAAATAAATTTCAAAAGATATGGCACAATGAAAGAAGGAAATATGCAGAAACGTTGAGCGATATGCAGCATCAAAAGTCCATGACGGGTTACTCGAAAATCTTGTTGCAAGAGATATCCCGCAAGCGCTAAAACTACCCGAAGGGTCACGCTCGACTCGCCCCAGTCGAGGGTCGAACAGATCGGGCTAACGGCTAGTCCCTGAATTAACCACAGGCGAGTCCAGTACGGATTCCTACAGAGGTGAAAGAGTGCTATAGCGACAAAATTGCAAAAATGCGAGGGTCCAAATTCATCCTCGTCATCTGAGTCGGCCCACCACTCGTTGTCAAAATACAAGACATCCCCTGATAAGGGTAATCCCTCTAGCTCGTCATAGTCATGATCGGACTCCCATGCCTTCACGTCGATCCCCAAAGCTGCTTCCAATGTTTGCCTGCCGTGGGCCTCCAAAATTGTGTTGCAAACGCGAAGGTTATCAAATGAAGTCTCAACCCATGAGTCCAAGCCTGTACCACTCATGGGCTCAAGCGCAAAGATTAGTTAGTGAGGTGTAGCTTATCTCATCGGCCACGGATTATTTCCGCCCTTAGTGGCGGGGCACTACCTGTTCCCCAAAAAAAATGAGACTTGAGCACAGGCCGTTAACATAAGCGAAAAGTGTCCCTTTTTTTTCTAACAAGACAATGGGAGGCTAAACGCAGCTGCCTGCTCGCTTATGTGTGTAGAGTATATATTACTCTTTATTTACATTATCAGCATCAACATAGAAAGCTTCCTTGGTGTAGTTGGCTATCACGTAGGTCTCATATTATTCATATATGATCTAGCCTTGCCTAGAGTAATCCTAAGGTCGCCAGTTCGATCCTGGCAGGGAGCATTGTTTTTTTTTTGGGGTAGAAAGCAATCCTTTTTTTCCGTCTGCGTCTATCGGAGCTATTCGGAGCTCCTGTTGCCAATGCACCGATTACGTAATAACCTCGACAAGGTCACTAGTGAGTTGTTCGTGAAGTTCTGTACTTAACTTCTTGCACTAATTTATTTGGAAGTCATGTTTGAGAAAGAAATAACAATTTGAGTAACACATAAGACTAAGCTATCCCTTCTTACAGATAGTATCTATTAGGATAACACTTCGTCCCACCTATGCGCAACCTGCAGTCACTACAGCCACCTTTCGCAGAATCGCTTCTAGATCTAAACACTTTAGCCAGGTTAACAATCTCTCTCCAAACCCAAATGGATATAGAAGACAGTTTAAGTAACATCTAAGTAGTATAATTCACTGCCTAAATGATCTTATTCAATCAAACCCCCGCCTTTTGCGTGGAACTAAATCCGATATGCCGCTTTCAGTAAACTTTTCGATCGCACTTAGCAAGCTTGAACCCAATGAAATTGTGAATATTCTACTACTTCACATTCCTCAAGAAATCCAAGAAGTCTTAGGGAGGCCGGGTGTTACAGGTGATGATCTACTCGCGCTCCCCCGGCAAGACGACAAGCTTAGTGGGTGGATTGTATACATTGATATTGTTACAGATAAAGAGGGTCACACGTTAGGTTTATACGTTAGTTCTGCTACAGGTTAAGGAAGCAGACTTCAAAGATAGTTAGAATACGATTAATATATTTTTAATAATTTCTCTAAGGAAGCCTACTTAAAAAAGGGCTATTATTACTAGTTTTTTATAAGGCCTGGTTGCACAATAGACCTCTGTGCTGTTGCTTTTGGATTCTGTCCTTTGAACTCTACATTTTGGCCCCTTCTGGCCGAAGGAGTGATTATGGTGCTGCTGGGTTCTCTTGGTGACGGAGGCCAAAGGAAGCAATTCACCCCGAAGGCGATGTTCGACTGGTACGAAGCATGTCGTGAAACTATACCAGGCGTAGGAAGCTTCTCCGGCATCGAGCCTCTTAATCACTCGTGGCCTGTACGACAAGGCTTTCGCAAATGCGATCCGCGTCCTACTACCTGTCTTCATTGTGGACTAACACCCCTCAAAAAGTCAATATGGTTGAGAACAGAGGCAAAGTATGTCTGCCCAAGCTGTTGGGAGCGAAGCTTTAAAGGACAAGAGAAGCGGCAGCTAGTGAAGGACTCTGGTCAGGTGAAATGTGGAAGAACAGCTTGCGAATGGAAATTTGGGCCACATGTCGATTCAATCAAGAAAGAGCGTCCAGGAATAGCACCAAAAGATGGTATCAGTGGCACGTGGCTTTGTCAACCCTGCTTTAGCGCGGCAGTAAGAACTGCAAAAGCATCGGGAACCATACACGTGAAAGCGAAACGAGGGCTAAGAGCAAAGAGGGCAGGTATCGCCTGCTGTCAGAATGTTAAGTGTGAAAGGCTATTAGGGCAGAACAAGATGAAGAATGAAAGACCGGCAGTTCGACCTCGATCTGGAATTAGTAATCTCTGGCTCTGTATTAATTGTTTCCGCAAAGCATGCTGTGGGACTCTCGACACAAAGTAGTTTCTCTCTAAGTAGATCCTAAAGATCTCTAGCCATTCAAGATACCTTCACTTTCTGAGGGCTCCATGCTGCACGTTTGGAATATGTAAAAATTGGATGAAGGCTGCGCTGTGCACTAAATCAGTTGCGTCTTGCGTACTCGCGAGTGCCTTTCTATCCAATTTGTCAACTTACTAGCTAGGGTTAAAGTATCGCGCAGCTATAGCGACGAGGCGAATTAATTCATTAGTTACAATACTAGTCAATAACATAGAAGATAATGTCACCAGTTAAAGGTGCGCTATTAAGACCCCCACAAAAGTGAAATCTCAACCTTAGTTGTCTGCAGTCCTTAATTTAGTGTCGACTAGATTATGTGCAAAGGCCGCTTGATCATTACTGGGCAAAGGTAGTTCTTTTTACAGGAAAATATTTGGGTATGCGACGTTCATGAATCCAGATTGTTCCAGAACCGCATGTCTTCCACTACACAGGAGGGAAGGTTAATCTATAAATATGGGGATAAGAAAACCTGCACCCCTGTGAAGATGACCTTTAAAAGATTTGCACATAACCTAGGCTAGAAGCCACTCCAAAATGCCCCCACGATATTCACAATTTATCGATTTGGCTCACACCCATGACCGCCCATTCTATGTGGCCTTGGGCTGATTCGTTGCAGACATGAAGGCGCTGATATGCTCCTCAGACGGCATCTTCTCCAAAGGCGTCAACCAGCTCTTCTGCTTGTCAAAGCTGGAGACAGCCTTGACAAGCTTGATGAACAGTTGGCTGTTAGTCTTGTCAACGCGGCCCTTGAAATTTGCTATCAGATTCTGGATGTTCATGCCCTGAGGAGGAAGCGAATCGTAGATCTCTTTAGCGGAGGGAATGGCAGGTTTGCTCGCGGAGCTAGGACTTCCAGCGCGACTGCCATTTAGCTGGGATGAGGCTGTCGGGCTGCCTGCACGACTAGTGCCAGGGCTGCCGCTGGGAGATCCGCCAAGAACAATCCTATTCTTGTCTTTCCTCTCCTTCTTTCTCTTGATCTTGCCGGCATCCGTCATCTCACTGTCACTACCAGATGCAGCACCCTTGAGGTTCGCGAGCGATGATTTGCGTGAGCCATCGGCAAGCTTGTCGCGGTTCTTCTTGTGCTTCTTCCTTGACGACTCGTTGCCACTAGCTTCTGAGAGGTTAGGAGAGCCAGGTCGTTTCTTGCTCTTGCTATCAACGGGTTTGTGGCTCCCTGATGGGGTGTTGGAGCCCTTGGAGGACGTGCCAGACGGAGCGTTACCGCCATCGGGGGCTTTGCCATTCTGTTCGGCTGCTTTCTTTTTCTCTTCTTCCTCTTTAGCCCGCTGTCTCTCTGTTTCGGAGTCGGTGTCGGATTCACTTTGTGTCAAATAGGGGTTCTCCTGGTCGCTGTCTAGGTAGTCGTACTGCTTCTCGCGCTTCGCCAGTGTTTTTCTCGTGATCTTCTCCATAGCCTTCAACTCGTCAGCTAATTTGCGCTCCTGCTCTTCTTTCCGCTGTAGTTCTTGCTCGTCTGGGCGTTCCCAAAGGGCGGCTTGAAGTTGGTCTCGCTTTAGCTTTTCAGAAGCTTCCTTGACGTCTTGTTCCTCGCCCTCGAAGAGGCCGTTGAGACCTTCTTCATCGTCGGCAAAGTCTTCTTCGAGATTGAAGTCAATATCGTCGGCATCTGCTTCACGCTTGACATAGCCGCCTTCGTCGTCGTTGCGCACTCTCCGGATCCTGCCCTCGTCATCGGCACCACCACCCACACGGGTGCTCAGCCCATAGCGGTTTCGCGCCTTCTCAGCATCGGCCTCTCGTCTTTCGGCGCGCCTCTCGATGTTCTTGAGGAATCCAGGTACGTTCTCGACTTTGTACATGACCTTGTCGAGATCATCACCCGCGGGCTTAACTTTGCCTTTGACGTTGAACCTATACCAGCGCTCCAAGGGTTTTAACTGGATGGCACTATTGTGCGGGTCGTTGGGGTTGCTGGTGGAGAGCATAACGTGAGCCTCGGAAAGCTCGGATTCGTAGGTGCCAACCCATGTCTGCTTGTTCTCGAAATCTTCTAGATGCCAAGGAAGTGTCTCTTCGTAGCGCAGCAGCTGTCGCTTCTTCGCCTCGGGTGTATCATCGGGCCGGTACTTCTGCTCTGTCTTCTTCTGGAAAGCATTTGGCTTTGTACCCGTAGGCGCAATCTTAGCCTGGTTCTCTTCGCGAACCTTGCGGCGCTCTTCTTTCTGCTGCTCGATGCGTTCGCGCTCCTTGATCTCTTCGAGGTCTTCCTTTGTTTCCTCCTCTTCGAAATGGGAGCCTGCTCCACTTGGCGGCGCACGGGGGTCTCGACGGTGGAGGCGGATTGGCGCCGTGAACTGCTCCTTGCTTGCGATGTCGATGCGGTCTTTACTCTGTAGACGCATGACGTGGTGTCGCAGCTCTTTCAGGTCGCGGCGCGTCACGACCAAGGGGAAGGCGCGGGCGCCTTGAGCGAGGAACTCGTGCCGCAGCGCGTCCTGGGTCTGAGTGCCGTCGTTGACAGTCGAGCCGGGCGCGGGCTTCTTGCTCTCGTTCATCTGCGTCAGAGACACCAGAGGCCGGGTGATGTTCTGCAGTGGCCGACGCGGTTTTAATAAAGGGTCGGCCTGGGGACGCGGGCGACGGCGGCGGACTGGCGGCTGGCCATTCGCAGCTGTAGGTGCTGCGGGCGCAAGAGGCGCCGGTGCATTTCCGTTCATAGCGAGCGTGGTTGGGTGTAGTTGCTAAGGCTATGGAGAAGAATGCGAGAGGGAGCGAGGGTCGGGAGATAAAGACCGTGTTGAGGCCTGCCAGGCTTTGTTGAAGACAGTAAGAGTCGGAGGAGGAGGGTACTGTAAGCTAGGGTCGTCACAGCTCCACTCCGCCTCGGGCCTCTAACGCGCCAAGCCGATTCGGAACAACCCTCTCTCCGGTATCCAAAAAGGTTGGGAGTGTAACACCATTACTCGCGGCTTCATCGTGCCTGCTATCCTCATACAGCGCACTCCTCTGGAAAGGCATCACAAGAGCAGCAGTGTCAAGTCTACTTTTGCGTCGTTCCTCTGGGCCACCGATTGCTCCATTGGCAATCAGGAACACCATCACGAGCTCCAAATCCCCAGCAAACCCGCCCGTGACAGCACTAAGCTACTAGTACAAGCCCGTCTCGTCTCGTCTTGCTGTTGGCCAAAGCTGTCTGCGACGACTTCTTATCCATATTGGATGTGATTCTCTTTTGGCACTGCCCACTACCTCGATTCTCCGAGAACCACTACCCATCTACATACATATAACGACGCGTTGTTTGCACTAATCCACCATAATGGCACAGGAGAATACGTCAACGTCCAATGGACTGGAAAACCAAATGCGGAATATGGTTCTCGGCAATGGGACAATTACCAGCGAACAGACTAACCAAGGCCCTCAAAACCCTCAATCATCGCAGCATCGGCCAGGGCGTGGACATGGACGTGGATATGGACGCGGCGGTGTCTCTCACGGCTTCGAGAGGAACTACCAAAACTACGCTGATCAGGGCCAAAGATGGCGCGCGAATGGTCCGACAAACCAATCGCCCATGGTAGCGGGGAGGGTATATCCATCAAGTCAACGCTACCAACCGCCCCAAGCAGGCTATTCACAAAACGCATCACCAGGAGATCAGAGTAGGCACTCTGGGCGGATGCCACCAAGGTCTTATAACCAGCGCACAACCCAAACCCCAACGGTGCTTCAAAGGCCGTCGGGTAATGCTATGCTGCCAGTTCAGGGACAAGCAAGCTCATCACTACGGTCACAAGCCTCCTATCCACCTCAGCACAACGCTACACAGCCTCGGGAAGACCCAACGGCACAGATCGAGCACCTGGACCACCTAGCGACACAAGAGATCCCAGGAATCGAAATGAGTCTTGCTGAGCTGGAGGAAAAGGAGGCATTCAGAAAGCACCTCGAGCGCATCTTGCAGCAAGCTTTTGCTGAGAATTACCCCGGAGATATAGCCACCCATTCACTAGTCGGCTTCGGTAGTTTGGCTTCAGGATTTGGCATGCCTGGCTCGGACATGGATCTTGCAGTTGTGACAAAGTGGAATGACCCTTCCAGATCAGACGTGGTAGAAATTGATCGCAGCATTCCGCGTCTCCTGGGACGCGCAGTGCTCGATGCCAAGCTGGGCGGTCGTCTGCTTACGAAGACACGAGTGCCGATTTTGAAGATATGCCAGAATCCGACAGATGCGCTGTATGCTGCCCTTTGCGAAGATCGCAAGAAATGGGATGGTCTCCCTGAAGAGGAAGGGAATCCTGGTGATGGTCCACTAAAGCCTTCGTCGAAGCCGAAACCACTGGTAAAGGCTGATGGCGAAAAGTCTGCTGAGCCCACGCAACGTGCGAACAGCTCGGTGATTGGTGAAGGCTTCCCAGAGCTTGGCTCTCAATCGGCTACCAAGGCACAACAAAAGACACGCTCAAAAGACGAGCCGATGAAGAGTAATGCTCCTACATTAGCTGCCAGACCAGATGAAGTCAACAGCAACGGAACCAGCAACACTGCCGCCAAAAAACAGCAACCTCGCGCCGAGAAGGTCTGGACGCGGGAAAGGGCCATTGGACCACTCGACTTTCCAAAGACTGGCGTAGGTATTCAATGCGATATCAACTTCGAGAATCCCCTCGGCATTCACAACACCCATATGCTCCGCTGCTACTCTCTCACTGATCCTCGCGTACGCCCTATAGTCCTCTTCGTCAAGGCCTGGGCAAAGCGCCGCAAAATTAACAGTGCCTATTCCGGCACACTATCTTCTTACGGTTGGGTTTTGATGGTCGTGCACTACCTCGTAAACATTGCCCAACCACCAGTCTGCCCCAATCTCCAACACTCCATCCCCCAACCGACGGACGTCGCAGGCCTTGCGAAGTTTATGGGGACCACCGTCAGTGGCTACAGCGTTCGCTTCTGGCGCAACGAGCAGGAAATCACCGAAGCAGCACAAGCAGGCCGGCTCACGCAGAACACACAGTCGGTCGGTGCACTTCTTCGTGGCTTCTTCCAGTACTACGCGGGCACCCCGGCGTACTTTTACGGTCCGCGGCCGCCGCAGTTCTACTGGACTAACGAGGTTCTATCACTCCGTACACAAGGCGGCATCCAGTCGAAGCAGAGCAAGGGATGGGTCAGCGCCACGACGAAGATCACGGCAGAGAAGAAAGTCACGAATCGGTACTTGTTTGCCATTGAGGATCCCTTCGAGCTCGATCACAACGTCGCGAGGACCGTTACGCATCGAGGTGTCGTGGCGATTCGAGATGAAATCCGCCGAGTTGGGAGGATACTGAGAGCTATTGGGCAGGGAGTGCAGCCAGAGGGGGGCATTTTCGATGAGGTTTTCGAGACCGTGCTGTCGGCGCCCACACTGAATCCCGAAGAGGTAGGAGCGCCGCAGAAGACGACAGCGGAGAAAGTCGACGGCACGGGCCAGGCCGAGGAAGACAGCCAGCAACGTGTAGGGTAATTTGGATGGCATAGTTATCTAAGACCTTTCGCTGTTCACGGAGTGTGTCTCTCTCACTCTATGTAATAGCATCACATGTTGGCAACACTGGCTCCGAAGTGGCTATGATTAGCATTGTAGGCTGTATTGATGATGTGTTCTATATTCAATGTTGAACAACCCATATAACGCTATCCACGGCATGGTTTCTAGCTCTCAATGGAAAAACATCCTAGTTACTCCGTCACGAAAACGCATGTAGTCAAGATATCTCAATAAGGCAGTCATGAAGCAATTGCATTCTATCCAAAATGCAAAAATAAAAATAGTCGTACTCCCGGTACGCCGATATGCGTTAGTGTATCCAAGTCTTTTCCCGTTTCAATGCAACGCTTTCTTTGAGAGACGCCAGTGACCAATGCAACGGATGCAACAAAAGCGCTCAACGCGAGTAGTAGTAGTTTTCAAAATATCACCATTTTGGCGGCCCAAAGGTCTCGCCTTTGGGTACGGTCTTGTACGGGCAAGCTTTCCAATCGCAGCCCTGCAACGACAATGTTAGCATCCGTTTTCGCTATTTCCTGTTTGAAAGACTCGAGTGAGTGACTTACCTGTTTGTAGACCTCGGTACCCCACCACTTGAATCCACTCATCCAGCCGGGGAAGACGATGCCGAAGAAGATGACCACAACGCCAAAGGCCAGGCCAGAGTCTAGCGCTGCGCTAAGCATCATGTTGTACTTCTTCCACCAATTCTTCCGTCGGTTCCGGATCTCGTAGTTGAATATATAACACACGATGGCCCAGACGGAGAAGTTGAGTCCTGTGGCGGGCGGAATCCAGCTCAGGCTGCCAAATACAACAGCGAGATTGACTTTGCGCAAAATGGATTTGCGGTTGTTGCGGGCAAAGTACCAGAGGATTACTGGTGCTATTGCGCCAACGAGGAAAGCCCATATGAGGGGCCGATAGAGGGCACCTACGCCGAAGAAGCGTTTGGGTCCTACCACGCCCCACAAGATGCTGCCGTTGAAGTGGACGCGGGCGATTGGGCAGTTGAATCCATTGATGGCTTGTGGTGTGCAGATACCGGGGATGTAATTCAGCATCCAGTTGAGCACGCCGATCTGAGTCAAACTAGAGATGATGGTGACGGACAGCTGGAGCTTGAAGAGGATACGCGGGGGGATCTTCATATAGTGGCCGAGCTTGAGATCGGAGGCGAACTTCAAGCCTTGTGTGGAGGAAATGTAGCCAAAGGTAGTAAAGACCATGTTTGCGACTGGTCGGCCGGGGAAGATGGCGCCGCAGATCAACTGGCATATGAGATATATGCTACTTTGCTGATTGGTGATGGCCATCACGATGCCAATCGGGATGAAGAGGACTGCGCCAATGCCCAGTGCTAGTAACAGACCATGCCAAGGTAGATGGACTGGATAGTACTCAACGACAAATACACCAACAGCGGCCATGCTGACGCCAGTCAGTATGTACCAGGCTATTGGTACATCGTCGTATTTTCGCATGAGGCGATTGTGCACATCTTCCGAGTTCAACAGGTCTTCAATTTCGGGTTCTGAGGTTGTCCTGGATTTTGACACTCGATATGTGGCGGGCGATGTGGGACGGTCGTCGCCCTCTGCGCTGTTCATCAATGGCTGATAATCGACTGATGTCGCCTCCTTTCGGATTTCCACCCACGAGCGTCGCCACTGCCTCCAGATATCTTTGCCGTGCCACAACCCAGTATGCGAGAGTAGAGCAGTCAAAGCGGCAAACTGAAGCGCGTAGCTAAGAACGTAGGTGATTGGGAGGTAAACCCGGCTGTACTCTTTGTACGCTTCCTCGTCGAACAAAAAGTCTTTTGTGAGAATTTTGCTGACATTGTACGGCTTGCCTCTGTTGTCCCATACCGCAGCTGATAAGATGGGCATGTAGGAGGAGTACATGACGTTCTTGTAATCTGTACCTTGTCAGTATTTTGTGCATATGTAGTGCTACGAACCACTTACACATTATCGGTGCCGCAATCCACATGACACCAACAAGACCACCAAAAATGTTCATGGCAGCCCAAAATGGTGTGACAAGCGGTGATCCAATGTAGGCAATTTGCGCCCAGTCGAAGGTCAACGGGAATAATCCAAGACCAGATGCAATTCCAAACTGCGAAGCATTAGCATGAATTTACTCGAGGGACGAGAAATCAACGTACAAGGTTAGCAACAACAACATTGTTGGGTGCGAACCACGTGATGACGCTGAAATAGCTCAACGCAGGGAAAAGTAGACCGGGAAGAAAATAGAAGGCGACCGAGCCTAAGAATATGCGACCGAAGAACTTGCGCGGTGATATCGTCCAACCATCGGCTGGCTTGTTCTCGTCCCTGTGCAGAGCTGTGAACATGGCAGTAGAAACCAGAGTACTCGGCCATATCATGCCGCTGGGCCGAACGAGATAGCGGCGCGTGATGCCAGCAAGGGAATAGCCTAGGATTTGAGTAGAAAGAATAAGCAGGATTTGGTACATGATGCCAAGGTCCTGGTGGTAGAACTTGACTTGCTCGACAATGACCTGTATGTTGATTAGCATCGCAAGTTACCGACTTGAATTCAGACGACTGACATCTGTAGCGAAAGCAAAGCCGAAAGACACATTGCTGCTGACGTAGACGCAACAATGTTCCTTCTCGTTCCAGCGGCCTTGTGCAAGCCAGAGCCGTAATCGTCGTTTCAACGTAGCCGTGGCAATCGATCGCTTTTGAAGAGATCCATTGATGAAGATTTCCTCCGGGTCATCTAGTCGTTTGAAGAGTCGATCCCAAAGGAGACCAAGAGGGTGAACGAGCAAAAGAGCAATAATAGGAGTGAGGCTGACGCTAGGGTATCGTAGGGAAAAAAATAGGTTGGTCGAAGAACCGGCGATGGAAAACAAAATGGAGAGAAACCACATGCGCGGGGTATCTATAGACAAGGAGGTATTGTCAGTAGCAGCGACGGACGCCCTGACTTGGGAGTAAGGTGAGTTGTCTAACGGATCGCCTTTGATGTCGTGCAAATCGTCGCTGTCTGATGCCTCATCTTCGTCAGGGCGAGTGCGTGGGCGTTCTTCTTGGCCGTCAAACTCGTCATCAAGCGTCTTGCTGCTGCGACTGGCATCTCTTGTTCTCCGTCGCGGCGTAGTGGAGTCTGTAAGAATAGGCACACCCCGGGTGTCGTCATCACTGCCGTTGGCGAGAGTGCTTTTTCCCTTTCTCCTTCCTCGTGGCGAGGTATTGGTCACATGAGGCTCATCCGAGTCGTCAGGGCTCACAGACAGGATCGGCAAACCTCCATAGGACCCTAGACTGCAATCAGCATAGATTCGCAAAGCAAAGCAAAGCAAAGCAAAGCAGAGCGTGTTTGTGCCATGACTGCGAATGCGCGCCGTCCCAGGGTGTTGGAGACGATTCAAAGGGAGGGTGCTGCGAGTGCATTCTTCAGCTTACCTGTGCCCTGCGCCGGAGACGAGCGCACCAGCAACAGCGGGCGCGACGACATGGCGATGGGAGGAGGTTTGTCGAGAGGACGAGGGGACGGATCGTGCTTGTGGCCGGGCTCGTCATCAGATCTTGTTTCAGCTGTGGCTATGTTTCTTGCTTTTTCAGGCAGAATGGCATTCAGCTCGTAGCTGCCGGCAGAGGTAGACGGTCCCGCGTAGCTCGTATCGCCAGTGCGCGAACCAGTGCGCAGAGAAACAACCGACGACGACGACAGCTCAGGCCCGGACTCATCAGCCATAAGTACAGATAGTGGGTAGGCGGCCACTAGAGCGCGTGTGCAGGTGTGCCGGTGTCGAACACCAACTGGGTTGGTGCGACGTCAGCGATATCAGACGATCAGATAAAAAATTCAGCGGCTACGCAAGGGTGCGCCGTATTCTTTCGAGGATCTGATTAGAGGAGGTGGGGAAATTTGGTCCAGAGTACAAGGCTTTAGGGGCAGCAGGCCAATAACGAGCTGCAGTTCATGAATTCATCAACGTCAAGCCGGTTAGATCCGGCCGCGATGTGGGGGCCGCAAAGTAAAATGGTGACGAGCTGTGCGGGAATCGCGCGGCTCGCGCGGGCGGCATGCATATCATCACTGCTCCTGCATAACTCTAGGTTGAGAAACCTGGGTACAGCTGATTCATGACATCCTGCAGCTACCGGGGTCTAACATGTTGTGAACATTCAGAATTTGCTTCGCTCTACAAATATTGGTACATGGCTATTCCGTACTGACGTCATGTCACATGTATTAGATGATTCCGCTTCACTTGACGTCCACGTGCCCGGGTATGCCCGCGTGACCTCCTTCTTGCTGTTGTTTGTGACCAGCAGTGAGGCCCCCTACCATGCGGATGGCCCCCTCGGCGTCATCCTTGTTATATAGAAACAGCCCTTGCAGCGATGCCGTGCTCACCGAGTCAACCAGCCCCAGTTCTTTGACTCTTGTCATGAACCGTTGCTTGGCTTCCCCGCTCACATCAAATTCTGCGTAGAAGCGTTCCCACAACTGCTCAATCTGATACTCTGTCGCTTCACCAAGTCGGACTGTCATGTCGACGCGTCCGGGGCGGATGAGAGCCTCGTCCAGCCTCTCGACGTGATTTGTCGTCAAGAATATGATGCGCTCTTCGGCACTGGCAACTCCATCCAGCGCGTTGAGCAGCCCTGAGAAGGTTACAGAAGCGCTGGCAAAGCCATCTGGTCCGGGCGTCTTCCGATTCATAAAGGCAACATCTACATCCTCTAGCAGCACTACCGTGCGACGCGGGACTTTGGTCAGCAGATGGTTCAATCGGTCGTCGGTCAGGCCTCGCTCGCTGACATTCAGAATTGCAATGTTGAAGTCTAGATGGCCTGCGACAGCCTGGATGAAGGAGCTTTTCCCTGTGCCTGGAGGCCCGTAGAGCAGATAGCCTCGTCTGTACGGTATGCCACGGTCCAGATACCACTTGCGTGACGAGATGAAGGCCTCCATGTCTTCCACGATTCTCTCCTTGACGCCACGCTCGAGAACCACAGAGTCCAAGGGGCGTTTCCGCTTCGCATCGCCGAAGGGCTGCCACATGGTGCCCATTGAATTGTATATGACCGTCTTGCCCTCCTGTGACTGCTGGTAGATTTGGTGCGCCTCAGCGAAGATGTCTTCGAAGACTTCGCGATGAGAGTATAGCGTCGTGAGACTGATGGTCTCAAAGGGCACGCCATCCTTGACGCTCAGACTGTTCCGTTCTCGCTGTCGATCGACGAGGATGAAGGCGTTCTTGTAGCGCAGGAAGTGTTTGCCGGGCCCTGGCACAAAGGAAAAGTGAGCTGCGTGCGAAGGCCCCTCTTGTGGCTGGAAAGTCTGCACTTGCAGGTGGTGCATGCGAGGATCGATGCGATTGAGCACTCTCGATAGCGCAGTGTTTTGCGCAAGTGGTCTCGCGCCAGCTTGCTGTGCCCTATGGTAGTTGGTCATCCATTGGAGGAGCCACGGGTAGGCGTCGTCATGGCGGGTTATTTCGAGGTCGACGAGCATACGCCGGCGCACGAATGCGGCGCCATGCTGGAGTCCTTTCTGGCCTGTACGCGCCGCAACCCCCAGCGCTGCGAGACCGAAACCCTATGGCACTGGTGAGCACACCTCCAACTCAAGAAGCCACCACCAGGGTCCATCGTACGGCGGCAAAGAAGGGATTCTCAGTGAGGTGCGAATACAGCGAGCCCGAGCTCGCACTGTTGCCGGCGGTGATCTGCTTCGCCAGCTCTCGATGAGGCGTATTCGGTTCCATAGGCTAGAGGGAGACGCAGAGGTCAAGAAATTTGAGACGCGAAATGGCCGCTAAAGCGGGACCAGGCCCATGCGCCGCGTGGACAGGTAGCACCATCCAGACAGCGAGCGTTACAGGTACTACAATGGCCTGTAGCACGATTTTACTGGCATATTTCATGTCGCTACGGAGTCATGTCTATATCACAGGATTAATCGACAGTTCCCTCAAAATCGAAGCGTGTTTCGTGCTGGCCAGGCAGGCAATGTGAGTTGCATCCGCAATCCGGGGTCGCGTCCGCGCCTTCCCAGCACTGTGGAGCGCTAGGGCGCTACTATCCAATGGAGCTCGGGCCTCTGACTGATAAACACTACCACGCCGCAGCCTTCCTAATTCACTGAAAAGTAGCCCTAGAAGCACTTTGCAAAGGCGTCGTCAGCCTCGAGCATCTTCCCTTCTTTACCTATCCGCCATGGCTGCCGTAACCATAGGCAAATCCTATTTCGAAGCTCTACTGCGAAAGTGAGTGCCTGCTACTATTTGACGCTGATAGTGCGGCGGGGTGTTTGCTAACCAACCTCATAGAGCTGAATTTGTGCGTGTACACTCGAATGACAGCTGCGTGCTTGGTCTAGTCAATCCATCTGACATCGATTCCTAGCATACTTCTGCGCATGATCTCGACTACTACTCCGACCTCTCCAACAATGTCACCATCTCCAAGGCAGAGCACACGTACCTGGTATGTCTATTTTCTTCTCTACCACTCGGGGCCTTGAGCGCACTCAAGTTGTCTACATCACCGCTCAAATCACTCTATCCATGCATCTGTGTATCTGATTTTGGCTAACTTCGACTGCCTAACAGCTCCAAGCAGTGCGAGAATACCGTACGTAACTGCGACGCAAATTACGCTCCCGCTGTCCGATCCCGCTGGCGGCGAAAATCCTCATATGAACCACGCACAAATTCTAACCAACACCAGACTTGCTTAAAAATGCTCTCTTTCGCGGCGGTCTGACCAACGAGACCTTAGAGACGCTTCTGGAGGGTGAGAGCGGAGCAAACGATGAGCCCTCACAATACGACTACCAAGGCGGGGAGACGTTTGAGAAACCAAACACGACCTCCATAACGATGAGTGTACCATCGCACATCGAGACATCGCCAGTCTCAGACAACACAGCTATTGGCAACGGACAACATTCTATCGCTCAGCCGCGTACACTGCAACGAATTCTCAGCTATGGCGAGCCTAGGTCTTCCATTAGCAGCTCTCCAAAGGACGATGAAGAGTACGACCAAGCACTCTCTCAGCGTGTTCCAGTTCACGACCAGCGCACTGTCCTGATTACCAACCTGTCCGAGCGCACCACTCACAAGGACCTGGCTGGTATCGTTCGCGGTGGGAGACTGTTGGATATCTTTCTTCGCAACGACCGAACGGCTACTATCTCATTTGTCGAAGGAGCTTCGGAGTTCTTGGCCCACGCCAAGCGGAACGACATCTACCTGCACATGAAGAGGGTAAGGAAGTTGAGTGAGGCTTCTTTCTACAAAGCTAACAATACCAGCTTGAGTTCCGCTGGAGCGACCGACAGTTTCATGTGCCAGCGCATGTGTCCAACAAGATCGCCAACGGAGCAACGCGGAATCTAGTAGTCCGGGGAATTGCTAGAAAGCTGACAGCTGACCAAATCCGGGACCATTTGGATCATATCCACAATCTGGTTGTGGTCGATGTCTACTTCAAAGACGGGGACGCGTACATTTCCACGAATTCAATTCACAATGCCTTGTTCGCCAGGACCTGTATGATGTCCCGCACGGCGTATAAAGGAACACGCATCGACTACTACCCAGACGAGTGCGCTGCTCCGCTGCCACGATCTACTTCGAAAGCTCATACACCAGTCCCGCACGTCTCGATGAAACCCATGCCGATCACGAATCAATATGCACTTCTCGAAATCGAATCTGAGTGCAGTTCTGACTCCGACGATGAATCATACATGACCCACGGCATTCGAGTCGACGGCCACAACTGGGCAGACACTGCAGTAGCCTGAGCGAACGCAATTGAAGTCAGCGCTCTCAATGCTGCCCGGTGTCACTTCGCGTCGTTGACGAATATGTACGTTGAATTTCGCAACACACTCTGAGGCTGGTCGAAGCTCTTAGCTTGACGATGATGCTATCGCCAGATGAGACCCCCACAAGTGCACAACATGGCTTCGTCGTACAAAGGAAATACGGGTGACTGGTTTCTGGTCGTTCTAGTGCATTGATTTCTCATCATGGGGGACATAAAGGTGTTGTACATGGTATATATCCACTGAGTATACACTATTTGGGAGCCCAATTTGGGCTTCCAAGGCGTTGTCTGGAGTATGGTTCCTTCCCGTACCTAGATACCCCTCGACTATCGTAACGAGTTTCGGAATATGATCCTTTTTTAACGCTTACATCTGTGTTGATCAACCTCTGGAAATGACCCAATGTTGTCCTGGAAAGCTTATCCCCTTTTAGCGAGCGTTAGCTCCACATGTGATCTTATCCGTCACAGTCACTAAAGTTCACAGCTACACCATAAATCGTCACACAGGCAAACTTTCCTACCACTGAGTTACCTAGCATCAAAATGGCGCCAATAGTCAAAGTCGCAGTCATCCAACTTTACCCAAAAGTAATTCCTCCTCCTATCTCGATCTCCACATCTAATCCCCGCCTATCACATTGCTAACCTCCGCAGCCCATGCAACTCGAGCACAACTTCAGCAAAGCCGCAAACTTCATCCGCTCAGCAGCAGCCCAAGGCGCAGAGCTCGCTGTATTACCAGAATACCATTTGACCAACTGGGTACCCAAAGACCCTGGCTTTGTAGGCCTGTGCGATCAATGGGAGACTTATCTGCAGAAGTATCGCGATCTAGCGAAAGAATGCAAAATTTGTATCGTCCCGGGTACAATCGTAGAGACTCATAGGGAGAATGAGAAAGAGGAGGATAAATTACTGAATGTGTGTTATTTCATTGACCAGGAGGGAAATATTGCGGGGAAGTATGTTAAGAAGAATCTATGGTATGTCACCCTCCTACATCTCCGTCACGAGAATACCCGTCCTGTACCACACTCTGCCCAAGTTACAAATACTAGTATGGACTTGTATAATCAAATTCTGCTCTCATTACGCAAATTGTATGGATCTACAGACGCCACGCTGACGACTCGCCGACACAGGGGCCCCGAACGTGACCACCTCACTGGATCGGGACGAGATGTGCATGAAGTGTTCGACACACCAATTGGCAAAGTAGGCATGCTGATATGCTGGGACCTCGCCTTCCCCGAAGCCTTCCGCGAACTCATCGCCAACGGAGCGAAAATCATCATCATCCCCACCTTCTGGACACTCAACGACTGCAACGAGGCTGGCTTGAAGCAGAATCCCTCTGCGGAGGCATTGTTCCTCGATAGCATGCTCACCGCGAGGGCATTTGAGAATACATGTGGTTTGTTTCCCTTGTCCTTTTCGCAGATGGGCAGTCCACTACTGACTAGAACAGCGATTATTTTTGCGAATGCGGGTGGCCCTCCGGGCCGGGGGTATGCTGGCCTCTCGCAGGTCACTGTGCCTTTTGTTGGGCCTTTGTCAAAGCTTGGGGGTTGCGCGGAAGGTATGAGCGTGGTGGATATCGATATGCAGATTCTGGAGGATGCCGAGGCGAATTACGAGGTTAGGTCTGATATCGCGAGGGATGATTGGCATTATGATTATCGGCATTCGAAGACGAGGGAGAATTTGTAATGACATCTATGTATCAGAGGAACAAAGAGTTTCAATTGTTATATTCTACTAAGCACAAGAAGATTTATAAGAGGATTTCCAAAGCGCCTACGCCCTAGTTGGGCTATCGCTGGTTCTGTGAAGGTACCATGAGTGTGGAGATGTTCGTGATTACACTGTACAGTCTTGAAAGATGCTGACAAACAACATAACGACATGCAGCCATTCTAATATCGTAATTGTAAATCAAGCAGAGTTATGGGAAAGAGAGTTCAACCCCTCTTGCCCGTCAAGTTGTACTTCTCGCTATCGATAACGGAGGGCACAGACCACGCACAACTGAGCGCCAAAAATCACAACGGCAATAGCGGGGAGGATTGACAAACACCACGACACTTCGCGCCCACCCAAATACCGTGCCGTCCGTTGACCGATCATCGAAGATGAGTCTGCGAGAGCGTGTTGCATCAGACGCAGGGGAGGAAGGAATCGCAAACGACTACCAGGAGCAGGGACAATATGGTGGCATGGAGGATCTGGACCGCATGCCTTCGATTTCGAACAATCAGGACATTCACGCGCAGCTGCAGGCCGCAGCTACTCCTCTCGAATTCCAGGCGACCTTGGAGACGAAATTCGCGAGCTACGACAACTACTGCAATCTCTTCCACTACATCCTGAACTCAGAAGGTCCGGTAGACCTGGAAGTTCCAAACGTAAGGAAAAACTGCGTAGAAAGGCGTATGGCAAGGCTAACACGGCGGGGCAGTACTACTGGGCATGGGATGTCATTGACGAGTTCATTTACCAATTCAACAGCTTCTGCAGCTACCGCCAAAGGATCGCCCAGAAGAACGATAATGAGGAGGAGATTACACTCTTGCGGGAGAACCCGAACACATGGGGCTGCTACAGTGTCCTCAACGTCCTCTACTCCCTGATCCAGCGGTCACAGATCAGCGAGCAGCTTGGGGCTATGAAGCGCGGAGAGGACTCGAACGCATACGCAGGAGAATACGGCAACCGGCCGCTGTACAAAATGCTGGGGTACTTCTCCATCATCGGATTGCTCCGCGTCCACTGTCTGCTTGGAGACTTCAGCCTGGCGCTCAAGACGCTTGATGACATTGAGCTCAACAAGAAGGCCATGTTCGCCCGCGTCATGGCCGCTCACTTCACGACCTACTACTACGTCGGATTCTCCTACATGATGATGCGACGATACACGGACGCGATCCGCATGTTCAGCCACATTTTAGTTTATGTTTCGCGGACCAAGAACTTCCAGAAGAACGCCCAGTACGATTCGATCACCAAGAAGAACGACCAGATGTACGCTCTCGTTGCTATCTGCGTGGCTTTCCAACCCACAAGGCTCGATGATACCATCCACACCGCTCTAAGGGAGAAGTACGGCGAGCAGTTTAACAGGCTGCAGCGCGGTGGACCTGAGGCTCTCCCTCTGTTTGAGGAGCTCTTCCGCACCGCCTGCCCCAAGTTCATCAGCCCAACTCCTCCCGATTTTGACAACCCGGAGGTCAACATCGACCCCGTCGAGCACCACCTCCGCATCTTCATGGACGAGGTCAAGAACAACATGATGTCTCCCACCGTCAAGAGCTACCTCAAGCTCTACACTACCATGGACCTTAAGAAACTCGCTGGCTTCCTCGAAGTCGAGCCAGAGAAGCTAAGGTGTTGGTTACTCGTCAACAAGCAGAGGAACAGGCAGACGAGGTGGACCGAGGGCGGGTTATTGGAGGGAGATGTGATTCACAGCAGCGATCTTGATTATGCCATGGAAGGAGTAAGTACAATGAAACTTGAACCAAGCATTACTCTTGCTAACGATGAGCAGGACCTCATCCACGTTTCCGAGGCAAAGGTCGGCAGGAGGCTGGTAGATTGGTATCTCCGCAACTTGGCGAGAACGTACTAGAGAACTACGAGGCTACAGGAGATTACTCATTCAGGTTCGAGATAGACACACCACGATAGGGCATTGCGGCTTGGAGTTGGACAGGTCAATGGCATGTGCCAAAAGCATTTTAGCGGAGGTCTGAGGGTTGACACAGGGAGCCCAGAGGAGAGATATAGCTTAGGATAACTATAGCCATGGCGAGATGATGCTACCCGCCGTGTGCGAGGAGAAGCCTGGAGCGCTGAGGAGAAGCCCCGCACCACGGGGTCGAGCACAATGAATATGACATAAAGTTTGATTATTTCACATGGCACTTGAACGACTTGTGTAGAGTAATGGTTGACTGATGTGCGCTCGTTCCTGTCATCGTAAGCGGAAATGAGTGTGCTTCATGTTGATAGCATTCCAGGTTCGGTCGGAGCGTTGACTGGACAGCGCGTTTTCCCACGGCGAGCGTTACTTTCCATTCAGCCAACAACAACGCAAGCTGCGGTCAATAAGCAGAAAGTGCTGGCCAAGCGGCGAGGCCAATTCTAATTCGACGAAGTAGGCCTATCGAGACGATGAAGTGGTTGTGCCTGCCCCTCATCGGTCGTCGCAGCTGCCGCTGAATCACCTTGCCCATCGACATCGCCTACACAGACCGCCCAGTAATCAACATTGCCGCATCCCTCACCGACACAACCCCATTGTAGTGGAACCTTCTGCCGACCACTACAAAAACGCTAACATCTGCTATTGTGCCATATACTATCTACGGTAGGCTAGATTCTTGGAAAGACAAAGTGTCTCGACGTGCTATCAATACGACTTCCACTCGAGCAACTTGATCTATCTACAGGCTCGTCCCTCGAGACTATACCGCCAACATGGCTCCCGACCTGAACTCGGTGCCACCGTCTCCGCGCCCAAACATCACGAGCAATCCGTCCACCTCGCAGCCTGCATCAGGCTCGCTGTCCCGTCAGAACTCTACGCCAGCCTCGAGACGTGCTTCGCAGATATACCCCATGAGCCCCCCGCCACTGCCTCTGGCGTCCCCTGGAGGTACTATTCCGCAGTCTGCACAGTTAGGGACTCAGCATGGACACGCCGCGTTCCCTCCTCTGAGCCCAAGCATGAGCAGTTATGTATCGAATGTGGACGCTGCAGGCGTGCCAATGCGACACCCACGGCCAATGACGCCTGCTGAGATGCACCTGGAGCTCGAAAAGGAACAAGAGGCAGTGGTCAATCGCCTGACACGAGAACTCTCCGCCTTGCGCGCCCACTCTGCATCGGTAGCCTCGACAACATCAAACGCTACGGACTCATCGGCAGCACACGCCGAAGCTTCCACTGGCCCAATGCATCCTACGTCCTCTCGTCGCCACCGCAGCTCCTCCAGCGTCTCCCGTACTGGCCTGCCGCCGGGTAGTTATCCACATCGGTACTCGATCTCCTCCCAGCCAGCAACAAGCGATCCTTCGCACAGGGATAATAGAAGCTCTAGCGTGGTCAGCACACCTCGCTACGAGGAGGTTGCGCAGCAGAGAGCGGAGTTAGAGGAAGTCAAGAGGGAGAATGAACGGCTCAAGCAGCGGATTCGAGATCTTGAGCGCATGATCAGAGGGACAGATACTGATGGGCAGAGGGGCAGGAGGGGTGCACCGCCAGCACAGGGCAATACTGGAGGAACTGCCGGTGCGGACGCTGTTCCTCAGGACAACGTCGATAGGGCGGAGTAGGCATGGATCGGCCAAGGCGAGGCGTTATCGTACAGACAACTGGAATTCTTTCCATTACAGGCTACGCACATTCTCACTCGACATGGAAGGTCATAAAAGCTGGGCATCTTTCATATCGACATGTTAGGTAATGAAGCCCCCTCGTGATTGATGATATGGTAAGGCGTCAGAGCGCAGCACCCTAATGTGGTATGTAAGCAGCTTCACGAATGAATAGATTAGCTCAGGGAGCCTATCTATACAACTGACGCGTTCTGTCCTAAAAGCGTTTGCTTTCTTGTCGGTCTCTTAGAGTTCTATGAGATGCTTTCTTTTGGGGTATAAGCTCACCAAGCATATCCCAGTGTCGATCCAGCTCCGTAGAGTAGAACATAGCAGACCCCACCAAGAACTAGATCGACGGTCAGGCACGCAACAGCGGTTCAGTCTCCCCGTACAAGGCCTCGCTATCCGAAGCTGCGTGGCGCGATACTATCCACAGCAAAAATGCTTGACCAAGCGCGAAAATGCCATTGTCAACAGCAGCCCAACCAACCAGTTCATACCAAGTTGACAGGGAGCCCCAAGGAAATCCACGAAAAGGCCATGAATGCGAAAGTCACAGCTTGAATCGCGAGGCCTATGTGGCTCAGAGCTTGGTCCCTTGGTCGCGAAAGTGTTTCTCTCGCTTGACAGTAAAAAGCTGCGGCATTAAGTCCCGTAACGATCCAACTTAAGAACAGATAATGAATGCCAGAGAGGATGGCTATTGGCCACTTGCGATCCTCGTGTGTCCCCGGCACGATGGCGTCTGCAAAGACTGGCACGACAGAGATGAGTAGAAAGGCGATATATGCGCCGATTGCGAATACTACTGAACCGACACGGCGGTCTGAGGGCAAATATAGGCAGACGCAAAATCTAAATAAAAGATCAGCGTCTGAAGCTTTGAAGATGCTGGAAAGCGATGCGACTTACAAAGTCAACCAGAGAATTGCTACCACAGTCGTCTGCGCCAGGTTGATCCAGTCACCTGCATTAATTGGACGGTGGACAAAGACATCGGGTTGCTCGAAGTTATCCACAATGAAGAAGAAGGCCAAGGCGAACTGTTCTGTTGTGGAAATGAGGTTGAATAGCAGGTAGAATGTCGATATGCCCGAGCTGGTTTTCCTGGAAATCGTGCGACGGAGTTGCGGTGCGAAAGATAGCACGCTGGAAAGAAGCAATATACTAGGCTGGCATTAGCATAGCGAGGGAAATAAGGTGTAGGGTGGGAACATACATGCGGATCCAATTGGGTACGTTATAATAAGCCATGAAGAATCAACTACATTTGGCAGAAGAATGTCGTTGAGGAATACGGTGCTCTTTAAGGTCACAGCATTGCTGATGTGTGTTATACGAAGTAGTGTGGGACACAGGTTGCCTTAATGAGGTGCTTGCGAGACTAGAAATCTGAAACGATCCAGGCACCAATCCAGACGGTAATGAGCCGAACGGCATGGAGGCGCCTGCGCCTCCCGAAAAGAGGTTGTGTAAACCAACCCAGAGTAATCAATAGCTGGAGCTTCTAGCCAGGTTGCAGTGCTATGGAGAAGCACAAACCCTGACTTCCTAGGTCCGTGGCCATATCCTATTCAACAGAGGCTTGTGAGGGATTGAAGAGATTGATAAAGTGAGCAAATCTACAGAGGACCGGCAGCTATATATACTCAGGAGGTTGGGAGTTATATGATATATACCGGTTCTTAACACATCGAGAGATGACAGGCTTGTCAGCGGGGCTATCTTGACGCTTGATTGTAACTGAATTGCACACGGAAGCGTTAACGACAACATCTTGCTTGCGCTCAGTCCAAGTCTGGGCGAAGTCATTATTAGCTAGTGCCTGAGCATCCTCTAGGGGTATCTAATCGCACAGCCTCTTCCGACAGACAGATTCATGTGAGGTGCCAAACTTTCCATCATGTTTCACGGCCCTATTGATAAATAGTATAAGCTTCTGAACAAATAGACCGACATGACATGTCCGATCGCGAACTAAAGTGCGTGGCGCTTCAGTCACGTGTATGCGCACCTACCGTCCTGGCACTTTCAAATGGCAGGCTCCTTGTTACCTTATTAGTTCATAGCATCGTAAGAGGATTTTCAAAGCGCCTGCTCCCTACTTGAGCTATCGCTGGTTCAGCATCATAGCCTGTTCTCAACCACAACTAGACGCTATGGGAACTCCATACCATATCCCACGATACGCTCCCAAGCTTTTCTCCTGCGACAAAGCATCTGCTGAGTTCCAGGCGCTTTCCTTGATTGCCGGGTCACTTGCACATCCTCAGCGAACCCTGCTTACTACCTTTATACAGCAAGCTGTCGACCGAGAAGTTGCGTCACGTTTCTTCCTCGATGAGGTCCTTGAACGGAAAAATGCCACTGTTTCAGAATTCTTGGCCGATTGGATTAGCCTCCTTCGAAAGGGTATGTTTGCTTGTGCTATTATTTAATTATACTGACTGACAGGCATAGTAACCCCTGTAATCTGTAAAGACATAGACCTTTCACTCAAACAGAGCATATGGCAAAGAGATGATGGCCAGTGCTGTATCGCTCAAGCTCACGAACGAAAGAAGTACGATGAGGATCCGTTAGTTGTCCACATATTGCCCCCTACACTTTTTCGCGATCAGGATATGACCCAAGGCGTAAGGTTATCCCCTCCCTTCTCGCTGACATGGCTAATTTCTCAATAGGGAAGGCTTTACAAATTGTTTGCTGTATATATTGGGGATTCGCAATTGGATTATCTGAGTTCGCTCTTGGGGCAAGGCCTCCACTCCCCTAGTCATGATCTTTCCGATCAACTGATGCTGTTATCACCGCGGACCTTCAAGCACTTTGAGCATGGCAGGTTTTCTCTCAAAGGTGATCGGATGGCAACTGCAAAAAACTCGGTTAGTTCCTACGCTGATATCATTAATGTTTTCTAATCCCATCAGGCTCAGTACTTCGTGAAAACGAACTATTTCATTCCATCCATCCAGATGGACGTGTATCCTTTCATAAAATTGGAAAACAAAGCTATGGATTCCTCGTCTCTCCCAAATGCGAAGCTTATCGATGTGCATCACCGGTTTGCACCAGCTTTGGCATGGCTAGAAGTGTATGACTACATGAGACAGGCCTGCGACTCGTTATCCAACTCCAAGTCACACAGTTCAGTGGGCGTCGCTACGAAACTGCCAGCGACGAAAAGTTGGAATCGATGGTGCCTTCAACCTGTACCTCGAATCTTTCAATACCTCTGGATGCGAACGCCTGAGTTCCTTCGAGGATTTGCTTATAGGCACCTAGCATCGCTTTCAAGGAGCCTTTACGGACACACTGGTTCAGACCGGATGTATCGGCTACCTTTCAATCTTTACTTGCGAGTAGCACCCAGAGACTGGGCACCGAAACATCAAGCAGAGCTTGAGTCACTCCGGATCGTTGAGAAATACACGCAAATCCCTGCACCAAGAGGGATTGACGCTATTCAGTATTCTGATTCATCGTATCTCCTCATGACCGGTCTTCCTGGACGGGGCATCGGGCAAATGTTGTCTACGATGACGGACAAACAATTAGACACTGTCGCACAAGACCTCAAGCAATTCATTGCTGAGCTGCGGCAAATTCCTCACAAGACCGATTCAGAATTTCAGATATGTAATTCGCTGGGCGGGGGCATCTTGGATTGGCGAATCGGCGATTCTCAACACAAAGACCTAAGGTTTCGCGATGAGACCGAGTTCAATCAGATGCTGACGTTTGATCTTCCCCTGGACGAAGACGCGTGGAAACAGATCTCAAGGTCGCACGGCGTCAAACACGACATCGTCTTCACACATGCAGACCTCAACCTCAGAAATATCCTCGTCGATGAAAATGGAAGGATCTCTGGCATAGTCGATTGGGAGTGTGCGGGGTGGTACCCTGAGTATTGGGAATACTCAAAGATGCACTTCACCGTGCGACATACGTACCGGTGGATTGCAGATGTTGTTGATCAGATTTTCCAGACTTACTGCAATGAGTTGCAGGTCGAAGATATGTTGTCTAGCATGGTTCCTTCATGGTAACGAGGCGCATTGTTGTATCTCTCTTAGTTTGAGAAGTACTTATGGTACTGGGACTAGTCGGGCACTCTGTCTTCTTCATTTTGACAATAATGGAACTGCGCCCAGCTAATATAGTGGGCTAAACATAGTCTGATGATTGATAGGTCATCTACAACAGCCGCCACCCTTCCCGAACGCCGCCTCTCATGCTCTCACAATAGATATCTCGACCACCCTCATGTTCTCCTTGCCAGACTCTAGCCACCCTTCCTCATCAAGGTGCAATACTAGTCGACAGATCGCGTGATGTTCAGCCCACCCTACGCCCACCTGTCATCTTCCTATTCTCATTATGGCGTTTGGTCTTCAAGGCATCTCTTCTCCGCTTCTTCCACGCACGGTTAAGGTCGCCCCTATTTTCCCAAAACCACTTGCGGAACTCGCTTTCCGGCTGCTCCTCAACCTCAGTGGATTGTCGGTCTGCTCCGGCTTCTATATCCTCATTTTCGTCCTCCTCAGTGACGCCTGGCAAGTGTTTGGCCAAGGCATTGGCTTTGGTATTCTTGGACAACTGATGCTCCGCGTCCGAATCGACGTCCTCCATCTCGTCGTCATCGTCTGCCTCCTGGCTGCCCTTGCGCCAGTCAAAGGAGAAGTGCCGGTCTATAGCAGCTGTGTCAGGGGTTGGTGCGGCGCTCCTGAGTTCCCTCCACTCAAGGTCTTGTTGGGTAAATGGCGTTGCGGGCACATTCTCAATTGGTTCACCGTTGACCTCCATGGCGTCTTCGTTGCTGTCGAAGAAGTTAAAGGAGGTATTGATGGGCGTGAGTTTCTTCGCTGGAGTGGATGGGGCGTCCGGTGTAGGTTTTGCACGCTTGAACAATGCTTCGAGTGGATGGACATCCTTCTCTTCCGATGTAGGAACCTTGGGGGTTTCGGGGGTCCTTGTGCGGGTGGTTTTCTGAGGAGGAGAAGATGCAGAAGATTCGGCTTCGGACTCGGTTCCTGATTCAGATTCGGACGAGTCATCTTCCGAGGATGATGATACCACAGACGAGTCGTCCTCTTCTTCAGATGATGATTCCGGCGGCGGGGTGGCTTTCTTCTCTTTCTTGCTTTTCGTGGTCTTAGACACGGATGTCTTTGGCAATGCCAACCCGTCGATCCAGGCTTTCTGAGATTCCGTAGGTCTATCGACCAGCTGTAGTGCCCTCACTTGTTTCGCCCTTCCAGTCTCCGGCTCCACGACCGTACCATCTTCATCCACCCATCCCACACCATTGATGTAATCTACTGCGGGCTTCTTTTCGGTTGAGACCTTGGTTTCTTTTAGAAAGCTCGGCGTCTTGGAGTTTTTCTCGAATTCGTGGATAACCACCTCTCTCGATTTCGACTTGTTTTTCTCCTTCTTCTCCTTCTTCTTTTCCTTGTTCTTCTCCTTTAGCGCGAGCTCCGTAGCAGCAACCGGTGTCAGCTTTGCCTTAAATAACACTTCTGGCTCTTTGGTGTATTTCGAGTGCTTCTGCTCGCGTACTGCATCTTTATCTTTCTTGTCTTTCTTATCCGTCTTCTCTTTCCTCTCCTTCTTGTTCTTCGATGGCGGCTCGGTCCATCCACGCTTGACCTTCCTGTCATCTGGTAACTCGATGCCCTCCAGTACGTCTAGCTCCTTCTTCCTCTTTTCTTTCTTCACACGTTTTGTCGGTCTGTCAGCCTCGGCCTTCTCCTTGACCGCGTCGGCTTCCTCTCGAACCTTGCGCTTCTCTGGTTTCGCCATTTCTATGCGCACTTTGGATCCTCTCAGTGTTGTTCCGTTCAACTTCTGCTTGAGCTTCTGCGCGTCCTTTTCTGGCAGCTCAACGTATCCGAACGCTTTCTCGGGAAACGTCTCGACCGTGTGATAGGAGATGTTCTGCGCGGAGGGCAGAACAGAGGGCGCGAGATAGACCTTGAGCAGCTCGGGCCTGAGGGGTGTTATATGAAGCCGAACAATCTTGTTCTCGTCTGGCGTTTCGTTAGAAATAGGCGCCTGTGCTCCCGGCATTGGGTAGCGCTGATCGCTCGCGTGCGACAAAGCTCAGGCGAATTAGACTATGCGCTGAAAGACATTGACGGTGAAAATTAATGAAGTGAGAAGCTTGGGCACCGCTCGTAAGCGTGGTGTATAAATGTTCACCTGTCTTAAAGTGGAGGGGAAGGAAAATGCTTAGCGCCGACTGGCTGAGTTGTCTGGTCCTAGCGCGTTGCGAGCGGAGGTTTGGAAGCATGAGCCGACATGCATTGAAGACGGTCATCGCAAGTCCCATAACTTCGAATATACACTGTTTAAAAAGGCAGTATAGAAGCGCCTACTTGTGTCGCTTTAGAATTGCCTATCTGCCCTGGAGATCTCACGGAATCGTACCAGCGCTGGCAACGTCCAGTAGAACCCTTTCACGATGAGAAGGCCGCTATTTTACTTTGCTATCTTCGTAACCTTCCTATCATTCCTTGCCACATCTTTAGCTGCCTGTAAGTATAGTTTCTCCTGCTTCAATACCTTTCCCGCTCAAATGGCTGACAATACTGGCAGCACCGACATCATTTTGCAAATGTACCTGCTTCGGCAACAGCACCATTGTTGCCCTCGACGCACCCTCCGCTAAGAAACCCTCGAAATCCCCACTCGAATCTCGCGCAAATAAGAAGTCATGTAACGACTGTAACCGGCAGTTTTGCCTCGGTTATAATTTCTGCGCTGGCGAGAAGGAAGAGAACGTCCTTACCACCTGTTTTCAGAGAGACTCAGCCAAGGACCAGGCCGTTGTGTTCATTTTCATTGGGGCGACGGTGGGACTCTTGGGGTGGGCGGGGGTTAGGCCATGGGTTGAGGGATGGAGAGAGGTATGTACACACCCACCTTGATACCTATAGTTGGACAGTGCGGATGTTTGCTAACGATGCGTTACAGAAAGTTAGAGAGCGGCGGACGTACATCCCGGTCTCGGGGCAAGGGGACAGATAAGTGGCATAGGGGGAAAGAGAACGAGGAGAGCTATTCATTAGAATTCAAGATGCTGATTGGATACCCAATTATGAACACGAAGTTTAGATACCCAGGAATCATCGACTCCCTTCTAGATAGGCCGTAAAACTCCGTGATGCATACAGATAAGTGGAACAGCAATGTACAAGCTGGACAATGTATTGTACATGAAGGCCAACGAGCCTTCTGTTCTGTGGAGGGCCCTCTCTTACTCTTTCTTGGATCCGCCCGACAACCATCCAAACCAACCTTTGCCTGTGTCTTCTGCCTTCTGGGCGACTTTTTGCGCAGCGTTATCAAGCGGACCTCCGGCGACTGGTGTCGATGTTGATGTCGATGTGAACGTAGGTGTGCTGTTCGCCCTCGCTTCCTGTACTGCCGCCGAAACACCCAGCCCTTGCCCTCCCTGTAACTCCTGTCTCTTGACTTCCTCAACCGCCAATCGTCTTTGCTCCTCGATTTCCTTGTCCTCCTTCCAATCGCCGTGCATCCACCACAACAGCCTTGACGGTAGCTTCCGCTCCGCCTTCTTCTTCTCCATGGCTTCTTGCTCCTCAGCTATACCGATGACGAGAGCGGCCTGCGCTGGCGTTGCGGTTCCTTGTGCGACTGAGGAGCGGGCTAGAGCAAGAATATTGGCTTGTGCCCGTTCTTCTTCGGCAAAGTAGATGGCGCGTTTCCGACGATTGTAGACGATCATATCGCCTATTGAGAAAACAGCGAGGACACCAACACAGCCTGGAATAATTGTCAACTACCGTTCCGGCTCCAACACTCCAACGCAGGTGCAATTGGCTCTTGTAGAGGTCTAGACATACCCGTCGCAAATATCAATCCGTAGACTGTGAACCTATGCGCCGCATCCGCAGCCATCCTCCCATACAGGTACATATAATCCCACCTCGTAACCTGTGCCATCTTCGCCCTGTTCGCCGCATCCCGCAATCTCTTGACTTTCTGCTGAGGAGTTTCGTTTTTCGGTGCTGGGTCTGCGAATTGCAGCGTTGTGGCTCGGGCGCCCGGCCGTGTGTGCGCCCATACTCCAGTTGCTGTGAAGCGCGTTGAATCTTTCGGTGACTTTGACATTTTGGGCGGAGAGTGTGTGGGGAGAGGAGGAGCGGGAGGAGGTGGTGGTGGTGGCCCTACGAGGGTTGCGGAGCTGGAGGTGGAATGATTCGATGATTTGACAGAAGTTGACATGGACTAGGATTGATGCGGAGATTTCCGCGCATGGATGGGCTAGCCGTTGTGTACTTCCATCACAACACGGCTACGGGCGAAACATATCTCTGCTTATTGTCAGAATAATATTTAGGTCTCTGGGCCCTTGGTCTGTGTTTGAGTTCTTTCACGCTCCGGAGATGATGCAAAGGCTCTGTGCACGACCAAGCTCGACCTAAACGCTTCTTTCCTGATATTCACTCTAAACCAAAGCAAACACATCACACGCAATGTGCGCCTTCTTGCAGAGCCGCCAGAACATACACAGTAGTTTGTATCCTTGATATTTTGCTCTGGTCAGGGTCGCCTTACACCACCACTGCTTTTCGGGTCCCCTCGGCAAAGATGGCGGACAACATTGAGCAGAACCTGGACCTGGAGAAGATCTTAGCCACACTGGCGAATCTTCCCAAGTCGGAAGCTCAATCATATCAGGGTCAACAGCAAGCCTATCATCCGGATCAGAATTATTTGGGCTTTCAAGATGTTGCCCAAACAAACCCTCTTGAGCAAAACCTTCCATATCATCAATCTGCGGACCCGCGTCTGGTTGGCCGGTCAGCGCCCCAACATCGACTACCCCCAGCAAGGCCGCAGGACAGACCTTTGACACCGTCTACACCACTCATTGACCCTTCGACGATTACAGAGTGGAGACAGGGCCTTCGATGTGTGAGCAAGATTGCAGCTCAAAATCCCGAGTTTACTCCTACTGTTCGCAAGGTATTTGGTAATCTAACTCTTTGACGTGATCATTTATGCTTACATATATTCCAGTTGATGAAAGATCAAGAACAAAACGTCAAGTCCTGGGAAGCTGGCCGCACGCGCCTCATCGAGGAACACAAAATGAAGCGTGAGAACGAACAGACGCACCGCGCTGCGTTGTCGTTGCCAGGCCTTCTAGCTGGTGCCGCATTGCTCCGTGTATGACTTGCTACCGTCTCTCAACACCTTTTGGACTGACTAACGCACATCAGACACCCGAGCGCGAGAAAGAAGAGCTTGATCAGTATGATGCCAAGGTATACCGAGCAAGCAAGGCGATGGTTGAGTCACAAACCTCATCTCTTAAGGTTCTGGGTGTCCCCTTCTTTGGCGTGAAGCCGTACTTGGTTGTCCTTTCTGTTGCCGAGGCGACTGAAGGCGCGGAGTCGCAGACTCTCGACGTAGGAGGGAAGATTACGAAGAAGCAGCTTCTTGAACTGCAGCGCAAGATGCTGAACCACTTGATGGAGCTGTATGGAGATTGAGGTCACTCTAAGGAGTAGGCCTTGTGCAATGTGAGAGGGACACAGGACGACTTTGTTTCTCCATAGCGCCGCTCGGTAAGTGCCGTTCCATAGCCACGCCTGTGTCTCTTTCCAGGTTCTACTATATCGAGCCTTTCTTTCTTTCTCGCAATGTTGTTTCTTCAAAGGAACGTTAAGATCTGGTCCACTTGAAAGCGGCGTCCTCATCATCCGCTTGTCAGAAAGTCAAAAGTCCACACGGTTTCCAACCCATATCCATGTCACCGAAGAGCTAGGCCAACGGTAGCGGAGAGGGTTGTGCGCCAGTACATTTTCAAAAGGCATGAATCTGACGATTCGATCTTTTGCCTCTGTTTCTCCATTCCGTTCATCCTGGTCGGTCTGCGTCACTCTGTACGCCAGCCTCGAACAATTTTACTCGAGTCGTACTTTGCCATAGTGTATCGGTGGTTCTATCAGTGCTATTGGTAGCTCACAGCTATCACCATGTCACTGGATACACGCGGTGATGACGTCGATAGCCAATTGGCTGTCAGTGGAACGGGTAAGAGCATATGGGGTCACGAACACACTGGGGGCACGAACGCACACTGGGCCCCTTCACCATCACACCAATTATCCAACTATACAATTGGCCCTCTCACCGTTAGTGCGAAGCGAAGCGAAATTCCGTGTTGACCTTCGATTGCACGGCCGCCAAGCCCGCAAGCTACAATAACTGACTGCCTCCTTCGTGCCTTCCCCTCTCACCAACACCACGCTCTTTAACCCACGCTCATTGTATCAACTACCTTTCGGTCTATCTCGACCATCCACTCTTTCAATTGCCCACTTGCGACCAGATTCATCTGCAACCATGAAGAGTATCAGCACGCTCGCTATCGTGGCACTCGCTGGTAAGCAATCCTCGTTTCTCCTACTCAGAAAGGCGCATTTTGCTCTCAATTCGCGCGCCTCTCTTCCCATCTTCAGGATCTCTCTTGTTGACCTGGACACAAAGCAAATGCTGCTGCCGAGGCCAACCATGGTGACCAGTTCGGTGAATCCACCTGGGCTGTCGCCATGGCTCCTCGAGACAACAACTGCCCTGCGCTGCCCAAGCTTTGCACTGATCCTGCCATGATCCACGGTGAGGCCATGACCTTGACCTACCTCTGCCCCGAGAAGACTGTGGGACCATCCACCGTTCATGTTACCGTCACTGCGACTACCACTGTCACGCTGCTCCCGACCAACAACGCTCCTGCGATCCCTTCCAAGTATGTATCTCACCATTCCTGACCTTCTGTAGTAGCTGACCATGTAGGAATGCGCCTCCTCCTGAAGAGCCTACGACTACGACTACCATCAAGTCTACGCTCACTCAGTACAAGACCATCACTGTCATCAGCAAGCATGCAAGCTCTTCCCTGCGCATTCTCACTCCACCAGTCATCACAACATCGTTCTCCCAAGGTGTTCCTCCGCCGTTGCCTAGCTCTTTAGCTCTGACGCCATCTGTCGGCAACGGAACCATCAGCAGTGTTTCATACACCCATCACACGATCTCCAACTCATCTGCCATCGTCCCTACCCCATTCTACCCCAACATCACCTCTCATAGCGGCTACGCTGCACCGACTCTCAATATCGCAAGGGAGGTGAATCCTACTCACACCGCGATGGCACTTAGCAAGGGTATGGCTGACCAGACGGGAGTGTCACCCGTCGCGCTGTTCCTCGGCTTTATGGCCGCTGTCTATCTTACCTGATCGCCGGTGCTTTCATAGCCCGATCATCGACGATGGCGTCTGGTGAGGAAGGAATTTTGGTGAAATCTGGGATCGAGTTACGATAGGATACGTGGCGTCTAGTTCATGAATGCATGATGACATGGATACTTTCACGACGCCGGGACGGCATTACGGGGAATTTGGATTGGCAGATAGCCGAATGAATTAGTTCCATAACTCCAAATTCACTTCCACTGTAAATGATATGAGGTTGACTTGATGGCCTACATCAAGTCCTCACTTTCATAACAAACTATGTTGTGTATGCGTTAGAGAAGTGAGCGTGCACTGGCCGGCAAAGCTTAGTGTGAGGTCAATCCGCAGATCTAAGGTAATCAGGATACGAAGGCATCGTGACTGTTCTCTTTGCTGGGTCTTGAAGAGTATGTTTGCATGAAGGGCCTTGCGATAGTGGTTATGGTCATAGCTCTGCAACAAGGATGTTGGCGAAGATTGCGGACTCGCGATCCAATCAGTGCGCAGTCGCGCCGTGAGCAACGTCCAACGGTTTGCACAAGGAATCCAGTTGCCCACTCCCAGCGGCGGTCGTACCACACTGCCTGCTCCGACCTCGACTGCAAGCCAACATCGCGCTCCTTTGATCTTGACACCTACCATCGACCCTCTGCCTCATCGCCCGAGTACACGAGTACGTTCAAACCAGGCTCTTGTCGACAACGGAGCTCTCAATTGCCCCCCAGCGTCACATATTAGCCATCTTAGGCTCTAGGCAGCATGGTTGGAAAGAAATCAGGCAGGGCCCAGCTGAGGGAAGAGGGTGCGGCGCTTGTGCTCTAAACAACAGAACAATCGCTGACATGTTTGCAGGCCTTGAGCGGACAGACAACAATATGGATCTCACCACATGGCCCCAGGTTGGCATGATCAACCAGAAGAATTATTATACCGAGTTCCTGAAGCGCGACGAACAATTCCTTGCCGTTCGATATCCGAAAGACGAAGAAAGGGCACGCATCGTACAAGAAGCCCGAGACAGGGATCGCGCACGCGCGCTGGGCGTTCCGGCGATAGAAGGCATGACACCGCAGGCAGTTGATGACACAGCAGAGGACGCAGAGGCTTCCTTTGCGTCACGGACAGATATATCAAAGCTCATTGTGATACATCCTGGTAGCCAGAACCTCAGGATAGGTCTCGGATCAGACGCTTTGCCAAAAACAATACCTATGGTGATTGCGCGCAAATGGAAAGAAAGCGAGGATGAGGAAGATGGTGGAGAACCCAGCCCCAAGAGGCAGAAGGTAGAGGGAGCGGTGCCAGCGGACGCGCTGCCTGAGAAGTGGTTTGGGGAGGATTTTGCCGACCAGTATATGGCCATGTCTTCTGAGTTGAGGACGAGAATGCGCTCCAACAAACGACGAGTGCTGCCGAATTCCAAGGACCTTGTGACGAATTACAATCGACGAACACCGCCAGACATCATCTCGGAACATAACGACATAAATCGCATCGAATGGACGGAGCTGCCTTCTAATCCTAGCAAAGCACCAGATTTCTTCACAGGGCATGAAGCGCTACGATTGCCCGAGAAGTCGAAGCCCCGATATAAGCTGTTCTGGCCGATACGCAATGGGACATTCAACGAGAAGGATTACGTGGACCGCAATCAGATATACCATGACATTTCCAAAATATTTGAAGAGTCATTCAAGAATCAGCTCGGAATAACGAAGCCGAAAGATCTTATCAACTACAAGTGCGTCCTCATCATCCCGGACCTTTACGAGAAACAGTATGTCACTATGATGCTGGATATCCTTATACGGGATCTTGGTATTGGGAAAGTCTGTTTACAACAAGAGAGCCTCTCGGCTACGTTTGGTGCCGGATATGGGGTTGCTTGCGTTGTCGACATTGGCGCGCAGAAGACTTCGATCTGCTGCGTAGACGAGGGCATGTGCGCCGAGGAGTCGCGGGTCAATCTGAAGATGGGTGGAATGGACGTGACTGAGACTTTCATCAAAATGATGCTGTACGGCCACTTTCCATACTCGGACATGAACCTGAAGCGCAGATACGACTTTTTACTCGCTGAAGAGCTGAAGCACAAGTTCTGCTCAATGGATGAGGGTTCGGTCACGGTACAGACTTGGGACTTCCATCTTCGTGCTTCGGGTCAGGATACGCGCAAGTATACATTCAAAACGTATGATGAGACTATGCTCTCCGTCATGGTAAAGTTGCCCTATTCGAGACATGATATGCTGTATGCTGATTGACACAGGGCCTTTTCAAACCTTCGATATTTGAGAACGTGCACAAGCTCGAGAACCGAAGGCGTATTATCTCTCGTTCCGTCGACCTATACGACGGGGCGCCAAACGACCCTATCTCGCAAGCTCAAATAGGAGTCATTGAAACCGCAGCCGGCAAGCCCGTTGTTGCTGCTCCAGTCAACGGTACACAAGACCCGGCCGCCGTTTCAACGCCACAACGCCCAGCACCATTCAACCTGCTCAGCCGCCTCAACGAAAACGAGAACACGCCTCGATCGTCGGTAGCAGGCTCACCAGGCCCTGATGGAACAGGGACCCCGAATCCCGAGCGCGACACGCCCATGGGCGACGCAGACAGCTTACCCCTCATTTTCCGGGATCCCGTCCTAGAGAAAACCAAACTGGCCGACGAGCGCGACAAGATCCTGCCCGTTATCGCACTCGACCATGCTATCCTCGAATCTCTCGGCCAAGGTGCGCGCGGCGATGATCGCAAACTGCGGGACTTTTTCGGGGGTATCATGTTAGTCGGTGGGGCATCGAAGACGCCTGGTCTGAGGGAGTTTATTGAAGCGCGACTTAGGGAGTTGCGGCCATTCTATGGCAAAGAGATCCTTGTCGGGCCGCCGCCGAGGGAGTTTGACCCGCAGGTTGTGGCGTGGAAGGGCGGTAGTGTGTTTGGAAGGCTGTCATCGCATGGCAACGACAGCTGGATAAGCAAGCCCGAGTATGACATGTTGGGCAGTCGGCTGCTGAACAACAAGTGCATGTTTCCTTGGTAAGTAGGCTGTTTACGGGAGTTTGGCAACGATGTGTTGAAAAAGATGGGACACTGTTCTTCGACTTTGAACTGAGCTGGGAGGCGTTTGATTTGCGGGATCGCAGTCAACTGATAGGTAGGTACATCCGTAGCTCTTTGATGTAATACTCAAAATGGGGACTCGTCGAGTCCTTTCAACAGTACTTCCACTCTACTAAACACGGAAGAAACGTCTCTCTGACCCCTTCCTTACACTGCACAGGCGTAGTTTACTGTGTATGTAACACAGGTTCCTCACAGAAACATTGATGACAATAATCTTACAAAGCATTCTGACATTCTGACATGCTACTATCCGCCCAACACGAAGCAGCGGATCGCCACGGCTAGCTCCTCGCAGCCAAATCCTTGAATAGGAGGTAAGAACACGCTTCCTTTGCGAGAACGTCGGAGTTAAGCTCCACTCTCTCGGTATGTCTGCTTACCTCATCTCACCACCACTACTGGTCGGAAGTGCGGCAAGAACGAACGCTGTGTTGTTTTGTCGCGTAAGTGTTCTTGATGACGAAATGTAATGTATACTCAATCACCACGCAGACTCCTGCTGTGGGGCTAGGGAGGACTATTCATGAACGAGGCCGTTCATCGCCAGTGGTAAGCATGACGGGCGTCTACGTCAATTTTAGGTGGGGATGTGAGAATGTGGAGACAACTAGTCCATCAGGTCCTCGTTCATGTTGAAGACGGGCGTGGCATGATCTGAGAGTGAATGTAATAGTGTATGTTCGGGAGGGGAAAGTCTGAGTAAGCTGCGGAGAAAGGCCGTTGGAGCCGAGAAGGTCGACTGGGGATTGAAAGAAAGATGGAGTGATTGGTGCGATTAGTGGCTGGCGGAGGGTGCATCGGTGACTTGGTATTGTATGGCATTGCGTAAGGGTACATGGGTGTGGAAGCCAATGATACTATGCTGGAAGAGGGTCGAGGTTGTCGCTGACTAAGATGTAGTAGTGTATCTGAACATGACTTGTGCAACAAATTCATGTCAGACGTGCTAATCGACTCGGAGAAATGATGTTGTCGCGCGCGTCGCTGTTACATACAAAAGCCTGCCAAGTTCTGCTTCCTCAGCAGTCCAAAAGCAGGCGTGATGGTCCCCACCAATGACTCTGGGAATCCATGTAGATGGAAGGCTTTGTCTCTCATCAAGTCGTATACGAGATCGGTTCTATTAAGCGAGACTCCCGCCAACTGCCGCGCGGAGTCGGTCTTCCACGTCTCGAGCCACGGATGAATAAACACGCCGTATCTCCGTCGTTTACGGCCCTAAGGTGAGTATAACGTGGAGGCTCCACTCGGGCTCACCAGCACGCTGACTGTTGACTGTTGACCAGTCAATGTAGCTGGGCTGACTAGTAGTATTCCTCTTGAGTACATTGTACACCCCGACATTGATCATTTGGTGTGGTTCGTCCTTTGCATCCACCAATGCCCGTAATAAGCTTAGCGAGAGTATGATTTGTGCTGATGTCTAGTACATGGACGGTCCTTCTTCTCGCCATGACAAGTGTTTTACCCTTTGAGCCCAATGTCATCAGCAGCTCGATCGCAAAACTCGGCCATCTCGACATCTTTGATGCTGAGTCCTTCGGGCCTGTGGGTGGTCCATTCGACTGTGACTTGGTTGTAGAGGTTCGACCACGAAGGATGATGATTCTTGGCCTTGCACTCGTCTGCGACCAGCGTCATGAACTTCCAAGCCTTGGTAAAGGTGGGAAAAGTGAATTCTCGCGTGATGCCTTTCTTTGAAGCTGATAGGTGCCAGGTTGGAAGGAGTCTGGAGACTCGATTTGGCAGGTCGGTGGGTTGGTTGGCGGAAAAGAGGATCTCACCTGCCACCTCATCATTCACGGGCTCCTTTGCGGCCATGGTGGGGTTTGCGTGTGAGGTGGATGTTGAGCGAACGGCCAAGACAGAGGGAAAGAGTCGACGCCGCCCACTAGGTAGCGCCGGGCGAAACGACAATTGCTGTTGTAACGGTATCGTACGGCAGTGATGCTCGCGCAGAGTTCGGTAAGCTCTACTATGATGTGCAGGTTAGTCGACTTAAGTGCTGAGGTAATCCTCGCGGGACGTTGTTGCAGCAGTCAGACGAGGGAAGGGAAGGGCTTGCAGATGCGCGGTGTTGCCCCGAGTAGGCATGACTTACGGGAGTGTCCGAGAGAAGTGTTTGAGCTGTGTCATGGCGATATACGGACGGTGTGCGCTGTGGTCAAATACTGCGTCGATATTGCTGAGGGCTCTGATGCGGCTAGCAGTGACAGGAGCGCGGGCGCTCTAGGTGGTTGAGCCAATAGCGAAGAAGCAAGTCAATCTACAATTTAGGAAGATGGAGGGATTATACATGTGTTGTACTTGGTAGGGTGCAATGCAGAAAGACGTTAGTGGACGGAGTAAGAGGTACTTGGTACGACTCGCCCTGCAGATGCGCTTAGGCCATGGATTGCAGCTTCTAGGATAGTCGTAGCGGCACATTTGTTCGCATGTATTCTATTTTGTCATGTCTCCGCCTTATTATCAAGACATTGATCTGCCGTTTTAATACAGCCAGGTGTAGGGTGAGTGTTGGCTATCCATTGATATTGGAGCAAAGCACGCTGCATATGCCCAAAGCAGCCTAGGATAGAACAACTAGTAGTAACTAGAGCTGGACTGGAGAAGGAGAAGCGGAATGCCTCCCACGAGACACGTACGGTACTAGTGTAGCTCAAGGATTTGCATTCGCGAATTGCGTACTGTGAAGAGGCTAGCCTACACGGTTGGCACGAAATAAACCAAGGGCAGCTGCGGGAGCGTCGGATCAGGAAACTTGTGGTTCTGTCGGAGTATTGGTCAGCTCCCCAGGCAAGCAGGGCAGAGGGTGGAAGAAGCCATCAATCAAGTCCATGGCCCGCCGGGCGTTGCGGTAAAGAGCAGAGTGGTGCATGGCTGGGGCATGTCGTGATCTGGATGCGCCATTGTTGTTCTTGTTCTTGTTCTTGTCCTTGCTCTTGGGCCGAAAGCAAGTCGACAATGTCCGCCGCCGCCGCCGCCGCGCCCGCCCGCCGTACTTAAAACCCATCGCCTGCCCGCCCACCTTAGTCAAAGCTGCGTAATCCGCATTTTGGCCAACGCCATCATCACACCCACAGGTGAGCTCCCCCTTCCCGCACCCTTCAAATCCCCATGAGGCGCGTAACAACGATGCCGTCGCGACACTGCGCACGCCTTGCGCCAAGCCGAGCTATGCAGCTGACGCTCAATCGCACCCAGACACCCTCTGCTCGTTCCCTCCTCGTACCTCGACCTCGCGCCTCACGTGTTGGGACGTCACCATCCATCACTCCCCCAGAACGCTTTCACACACAGCATACCACACCAGCTACAGCAGTCCCCGCTTCGTATCCGCCTACACCCAGACTGCCCCGCGCCTAGAATTGCTCCTACTACTACTACCCACGTTGCTGTCTAATCAACGCCACTACTCCACCCTCGTTGCTTTGCGACTCTCTCGCCCGCCACGGCTTGAATGAGCCGAACCCTCTATCCCTCGATCCGCAGTGATACTGGGTATAACATGCAACAGCCCGGCGCTCAGGTAAGCCTGTGCTGACTGTTTCAGGCCATGGCTCTGCTGACGATCGGACCTAGGACCTTAACAAGCCGACCATAGAGATGAGTTAGTGCTCGCTCTCCGCGCCATTATAGCTCCCTACCGATTACTAACGCGCATCGCGATTCCAGGTTTAAGAGAGCATCTCCTTGCTGCTGGCGCCGGCCAACCCAGCGTGCAGCCTCTGCCACAGCATCCCCATACTACCGGCCCGCCGCACGCCATTGACCCAGCCATTGCAGGCTCTGCCTACCAAATGAGCGCTGGCGACCCCAACGACGGAAACACGAGCGAGGGTCGCTCAAAGGGACGGAGAGAGTTGTCGACTTCCAAGCGTGCTGCGCAGAACCGCGCTGCCCAAGTACATACACCCCCCACCCAGCCCAATTGCGCCATGCTAATTCTGCCAGCGCGCCTTTCGCCAACGCAAGGAAGAGTACATTAAGCAGCTCAAGGACCAGGTCAAGGAGTTCGAGCAGTTGTGCGAGCTCTACAAGACTCTCCAAACCGAAAACTACCAATTGCGCGACTACATCATCAACCTTCAATCACGACTACTCGAGACCCAAGGCGAGGTTCCACCAGCCCCCGCTGGCGTCGACCTCAACCGTCCACACGGTGAGCCGCCGAGCTTGATCCAGAGTCAACAACAGCCACAACATCAGCAGCCCGAGCAACCACAGCCGCAACAAAGCAGTCCGCATAGTAACAATGGAGGTCTCTCTGAGCGCCAAATTGGAGAGCTCCAGATGGCGGCACAAGCTGCGGCTGCCGCACAGCACGGCAGTTCTGCGAATAAGCACTCCAGCACAGAGGGCTCATACGAGTACGCCGAGAAGCGCCAGAAGGCTGACGACTCACCGCAAGGTCAGCTCCTTTCGCCATCCTCCGGCTACCCGAACCCAAATGCTTATTGAAAGCAGTAGCTCGGCTTCAAAGCTTACCATTATAGTAGGCTCACATTCTTCGGCCGACTACGACGACTTTGTCCACGAGCTTCAGCAGTCCAGCAAGCAGGCTGTTTAATTCCTAGTGTGGAGTGCTTCATAATATCCCATTGATGCTCAGATGTCTCTCTGTCATTCTAGCTGTTCTTCACCTTCTCACGATGTTATGCATTAGTGTCTGGACCTTATCCATGTCCCAGGCCAGCGGTGTTCTTTATACTGGCGTAGGGAGTAAGAAGGGCATCATATACTCCTATCTTTTGTATCTTCTACAATTTTGTGTTTTCCACATGATTCGAAAGTTTCTACAGGAAGGGGAGACACGTATCGTTAACCTTACTTTGTGTGCTTGTCCTATACTTCGATAGGGTGTTCTGATGGTCTGAGCCATACTCTGGCTGGCCTCCAAAATTTAATGCGACCTTGTTGGACTCTAGCAATTTCTCTCTCACATCAGTTGCTGTATGCGCTAAGCCCTTAGATCACCTGAGACCCGCTGACTGAGAAGCCTCAGGGGCTGATGAATAAGAGACACCAAGCAACTTGGGAGAGCAAAAATATTGGAAAGCCTCGAGTAGTGAAAGGGTTCATATCTAGTTGGAAGAATCACTTGATTACAACAACAGAACGTGATATCGAGAAACAAAATTGTGTATTACTAAACTATGAATGACACGCCTTCGTGCTACTTCCCCATCCATGCAGCCACCGCTACATTTCGCGCCAGCAAGCCATTCGACCCACCGGTTACTCAATGTAATGCCGCACAAAATGATGCCCTGTCAAACCCACCTTTGAAAGATACGTATTGCCCCTACAGCCAGCCAGAAAGAAAGAAAAAGAAAAGCCAGATTTCAAATTTGTTGTAATGATGCAGTGGTGGTGCAATTTAGTAGAAGCCAAAAAAAATAAAATGAAAGAAAGTTGGTTGTTTTGCCCAAGCAAGCAAGGAAAATGCTGAGAATGCATGCCCCTAGCATCCGCGCGCAATCAGTCGTTGACCGTAACCGTACGTAACGTAACCGAACTCATGGGTTTGTCGTCACGTTGTGTAGCGACAGTGGTGGAGGGTTGGTATCAAGTTAGATGTGGGTAGGGTATGAGTGAGCAATGCTCTCGAAGTAGCAGCAGCGCCCCGCAGACCAGACCACAGCCCAATTTTGTCTCTTGCCGACGTTCTTCAATGTGTGTACTCGAACGAAGGCTCGTAGAGACGCTTTGCAGGGCCACTCCTAGTTGAAGCTTCATGGTTTTGCTACTGGTTTTTTATCCCGATCTGGACTCGTTCCACATCGGCCGAGTGTGATTTGATCTCAAAGTGGAGTTTGGGAGTTCGCGCGCGTCGTTTTTGACGCGCTTGCCACTACATGTCTAATTTGGCTCCCATAGCTTCCTCCTGCCAGCGCCGCGCACAGGGCTCGCCTTGATCACAGGCCGAGTGAACGAGTTCGGATCGATGGGCTGGTTCGGGTCATGACGAGGCGTGGTTGGAGTACGGAAGGCTGGGCCTGGAGGCATGTACGCACCACGCGGTGCGAAGTTTCCACGGCCTCGGAAAGCTGGTCCGCCGCGGCCTCGAGGGGGGATGTGGCCTCCACGACCGCCGCGTGGGGAGCGGTGTTGATTGGCGCGTCCGAAGTCGTTGGGATCAAGTACACGCTGGTTGTTGGTAGCGGCAGCAGGGCCTCGCGGAGCACGCTGGAAGAGCACAACGTCTTCGTCATCGGAGTTTTCTTCGGGCTTGGTGTTGTTCACAGGACTCGAGGTAGGGCGCTCGACTGCTTTTTCCGCCATCACAGGGCTCTCCTTTGCTGCGGTAGACTCGACCTCAAGTTTGTGCATGGTCAGATGGTTCTTATATTCGCGGTCCTCGCGCGCAACAGCGTCACGAAGCTGCTCTAGACGTCTAGCCCGGATGCCAAACTTCTGCGCGATGGCTTGCTTGGTGGGGTCATTTGTGAGGAGGATGAAGGACTCGAGGGCTGCATCCGGATTTTCTTCCTTGTTGATGCGCCACAGAATATGGTTGAAGAGGGGTTGTAGGTGGCCAGGTATGGTTCCTTTGGGCGACTTTCCGGCACGAGCAATCTCAGCGCTATTGCGCGCAGTGCGATCGGGAGACTCCATGGCCACACTAGCTGCCTTTGGCTCTGATGGGAATTCGCCTGTAGGCTTGAAGTCCTTGCTCAAGCAGGACTTGGGCGAGTCTGGCGTCTTCGGCGCATCGTCGAAGCTATGCGTGGAGCTCATGGAAGTCTGGTCGGATACGTCAAGCGCGTTGAAGGAGCTCTCCAGATCTTCATGGTAGTCGTCTTCTTCAGACTCGCTATCGTCCATGGACAGCAATGTCTCCGGGAGCAGAAAGTGTGCTACCTCTTCCCATGTAGTGTATGCCTCGTCGACGCCCTCCAGCTGGACACAGTTCGCTACTTCGACGGCAGGGATAGATGTGACCTCATCCAGCCACTTGACGGCTTCGCGGGCATCGGCGTTAACGCGCTCATCGCCTTTCTTGAGGCGGTGGAGCTGAGTGAGTGCTGGGAATATTGTCAGTGTGGGCAGTGTCGAAGATGGTGTACAGTCGCATACTATGTAGCGGAACGAACAGGCGTATAGCGCCCTGTGAAATCCACTTGCGGATGCCATCGCGGGTGCTCTTCTTTACTCCAGCGACCAGGGCAGTGTCATCGACGATGCAGTTGAATACCTTGCGCTTGGGCGGTTCTGGTGCGCGCATGATGGCGGCGGCAGCGGGCTTGCTGGGCCGTGGCGGATACGTGCTTCGGCGCATGTTGGCAGCACGCCTTGCGAGCGAGAGTGGTTATTATAGGAGCAAGTGGTGGTGGTGGCGCGGGTTTTCAATGAAGTTTGGGTGGTGAACCGCGGTTCACGGCGACGGCGTCTCAGTGCGGGTTTGTTGGGCGCCAGAACAATCCATATAGTCGGCGCAGAGTCTCAGGGCGCGGGCATTGTGTGCGCGCGGGTTTGTCGCAGCGCTTGAGCGAGTGGATCTGTCTGGGTCATGACGCAGAGGCTCATAGTCGTGGGTGTGCGACCGTGACTGGGCGAGGTTGGGCAAGTGAAGTTCGGCGACGCCCGCATCATCAATCGGGATGAGGTGCTTAGGCCATGTGGGGATGTGAGCGGCACAACTTCACTGCACAGCCACAGATAACGCGAGAAGGGAATAATACCAGGCTCTGCACTTGATAGGAGCGGTATAATTATCATTCTCCATCCCAACTAGAGCCACTCAGTAGCTTTCCACCTCTGCGCGCCCACCGCTGCTCATGTCAGGCAGCCAGCCCTTGGGCCTCTCCGAACCTCTCACAGTGAGCCCATACAGCGCCTTCTCCACCTTGTCTACACACTCCCGCATAACTGGCATCTTCTTTGTCTCTAGATCATGCCCAAACTTGGACCCACCCGGAGCCTCGAACATCTCAAGCTGCAGCCGAATCGCTCGAAGGTCGTCCAAGACAGTCCTCGGTCTCTGAGCCTCATCCACAGTCGGCGTTTGCTCATCGATATCCATTTGGTCGCTCGCATCCTCTTGATCTTTATCTTTCTTGACTCTCTTGTTAGGAGCAGTCTGTTTGCCCGACGGCAAGCTCCCGCTCGTAGCCATGCTCGTGACTGAAAACCGCATCAGTTCACCCGTCATGTCGCAAATCCCCAACACGTAGTCCTCTGGCGTCAGCGATACGTCCCCAGCCTCTCCACTCATTTTCGAAATCCGTGACTTTGACTCTTCATACGAGATAAGTGACTGCATTTCCAGGTAATGCTGGAAGCTGAGTGCTTCCATAAACTCCTGGTTGCCGCCCGTGATATTGTGAGAGTAGCGGTAGGCATTGAGTCCTTGGAGGTCGGCGGCAATGCTGGCATATTGCTTTTCAATGGTTTCCCAGTATGGCGCGTTGTTCTTAGTGACGAAGGCAGGGACTGGTTGCCCAACTGTGCGGACTCTGTTTTCGTTAGAATGAATGTTGCTATATCTTTTGGGGAGATTTTACCTCTGCAATGTGAAGATGCTATAGACTATCAGCAGATTCCAGAGACCAAAACGGATACTGTTGTTACATTTTCTTGCTCGACGCGGTGATGTCGCGCGACGCCTTAATGATCCTCTCGCGGCGGTCGTGATGCTCGTCTAGTTCTTTCCGGAAGCCCTCAAACATCGCCACGAACGGCGATGCGGACTGCTCAGGCTTTGCGTCCGCCATCTCTCCGTCTCTTGTTCGTTTGAAACCCATTAGAAACCGTCGCGGTAGATATAGAACGACGTCAAGCAAACGGTTAGATGGGCTGGAGCACGACTCACGTGGGTGCTAAAGCGTTTGGAGCTTAGTCAACTCGGTTACTCTTTACAAGGTTGTAAGTTGACATCCTCCACCTCTGATCAAGATCACGAGTATCTTCGTCCAGCAATTGTGTTTTGTGTCTTGAGACGCTCTGTTTGCCCGCTGTTTTTCTCCTTCGTTTATATTCTCCATTGGGGGTGCATCTCGTCCTCGAGAGTGAGATAATACCATGGCTCTTTCCTCCTTTTTCCAGAGCCAGCGTGCTGTGTTCTCGGCCTCCATCCTTCTGCGTGCCGTCTTCCTGCTGTACGGTCTTTGGCAAGATGCAAACTCGCCCATGAAGTATACAGACATCGACTACTACGTTTTCACCGACGCAGCGCGTTTCATTTCTGTGGGCCAATCACCATACGCAAGGGACACGTACAGATACACGCCTCTACTCGCTTGGCTCATCTATCCAACCGTATGGCCAGGCCAATTCTGGTTTTCTTTCGGCAAGATCTTGTTCGCTGTCGGCGATGTTGCAGCCGGCTGGATGATGTTTCGCATCTTGAAAGAGTATAGGAACATGGGAGATGAGAGCGCGCTGAAGTTTGCGAGTATTTGGTTGTTGAATCCGATGGTAGCAACGATTAGTACGAGGGGGAGTTCGGAGGGTTTATTGGGAGTCTTTGTTACGGCGCTGCTATGGGCAGTGCTGGCGAAGAGAAATGCTGTTGCTGGGTTCTTACTCGGCTTTGCGGTGCATTTCAAGATCTATCCGTTCATCTATGCGGCGTCAATTGTTTGGTGGCTCGAGGACAGTAGGGTTGGACAAAAGAAGGCTGGGAAACTTCAATCATCCACATCGTTGCTTGATCAGATCGTTGCGTTCCTCAGCCCACAAAGGATAACTCTGGCCATTTACAGTCTCGTCACCTTCCTTGGTTTAAACGTAGTCATGTACAAAATGTACGGTTACCCCTTCCTCGACCACAGTTACTTCTACCACCTCATTCGCATCGACCACCGACACAACTTTTCGCCTTACAACACGCTGTTGTATCTCAACTCGTCCCCAAAGCCAACTGGCCTGGACTCGACATCTTCGAGCTTCGAGCTTGAGCGCCTCGCTTTTCTCCCGCAACTGCTCCTAAGCGCCGTCTTCATTCCATTAGTATTAGCAAGGAAAGACCTTCCGAGCACGATGCTGGCGCAAACCTTCGCATTTGTTGCATTCAACAAGGTTTGCACGAGTCAGGTAAGGCATTCGTATAGCATCCCGTCAAACCTCGACTGACAGCATACTAGTACTTCCTCTGGTACATGATGTTTTTACCATATTACCTACCAGATTCGACACTACTGCGTTCGCCGTCGATCGGCATCACAGCGCTGTTAGCCTGGGTCTTGGGCCAGGTCGCATGGCTTCAACAAGGATTTCAACTTGAATTCAATGGCTACTCAACTTTTGTGCCAGGGCTGTGGGCTTCCGGTATTCTATTCTTCTTAGTCAATGTTGGGATCCTTGCGGTAATCATAAGTGATACGAAGGCAAAAACAGATGCCAGCTCTCGCATAGTCAAGAAGATCTCATAACGACGGCTTGTATGAGTACAAGTACATGTTGTATACAGAAATCTATATTGTCCTTGGCCTCGGTTCATTAGCAGCGTCGAGCTCTTTCCCATCGACGTATCACCCCTTCTCACCCCTTAACAACCGTCCGAAAGCGCCACCCTTCTTCCTCTTCAGCTCTCTAAAGTTTCCCTCCTCCACTACACGCCCCTTGTCCATCATTATTATATGCTCCGCAATCGCCATCATCTCCCTCGCATGTGTGATGATAATTACCGTCATCTCTTTCCTCGTGACCCTCGACTTCACCTTTGCCGTACTCTCCTTAACCGTACCGTGGGCAAACCCAGACGCCCAGTCATTATCATCCCAAAACCCACCTGATCGTAACCCTGGTGAAGCTGGCGATGACGGAATAGGTGAAAGAGGCGGTCGTGTTGGTTTTGTCTCTCGAACCAGCTTGAGGATTGTCTCTCGCACCACACTCGCAGATGCAACATCGAGCGCACTCGTTGCTTCATCCAGAATCAGGATATCTGGATCCCTCACGAGTGCACGCGCGATAGCGATTCGCTGTGCTTGCCCCCCACTCAATCCCGTTCCACCTTCACCGATGATCGTCTGATAACCCTGTGGTAAACTGTCGATGAACTCAGCCACACCTGCTGCTTCCGCAGCTGCACGGATACTATCCATCGTTGCTAACGGGGAGGACGGAGAGAGCCCGTAGGCGATATTCTCTGCAATCGTGCCGGGGAAGAGGACGGGGGTCTGAGACACGATCGACATATGGGAGCGGAGCGTGGATGTGTCAAGGGTTTTGATATCGTGATTCGAAATTGTCATATCGGGTGGTTGGGAGGTAGTAGAGGCTCTGGGTTCGGTTTGGTAAAGTTTGAGTAGCAAGGAGGCTATTGTAGACTTTCCGGAGCCGGACGAGCCCACAATGGCCGTGCAGCTTCCACGGGGAATCTTGAAAGAGACGTCGTGCAGAACCGGGTAATCCTTACGAGTTGGATATGTGAAGTTTACGTTTTCGAACGATATATCGCCGGCTCCTTGGACATTCACTGTTCCGCTTAGCTCGTGAGATGTTGTTGGTAGCCTTGCCAGACGAAGTAGGCGCGATCCCGCAGCTCTAGACATGTTGACTTGTGTCATGTAGTTTGACAAATGGGCAACATGGTTGATGCTCAGCATAAGAATCAGGAAAGTCTCCGTGATGTCAGTCACCGTATACTGATCGCTAGAAACCAGAACTGCGCCGTACCAGAAGAGCAGTATAGCGACGAAGAGGACACCGGCAAAGTTGAGCCCAAAGATAGCCCCCGAGTAGAATGCTCGCTTGACGCCGACGATTAGGGCTTTGGTGGTTTCTGCTTTGAACTTCTTCCGGAAATAGTTTTCCAGCACGAGACATCGCACCGTTCGAATATTCACAAAAGTCTCGTGAAGCACCTGTCCCACTTCATCGTCTGCTTCGTTGGATAATCGCTCCCACCGACTACTGATCATATTGTAGCATTTCGTGATCGCATATATGACTGGACCGGTAGCGAGAGCAACAAGGGCAAGTTTCCAGGCAGTTGCTAAGCTCCAGATGATCGAGATTGTGATCATGAGTATTACGACAAGAAATATGCCGGCGAACCGGCCCGGGAGGTTTCTGGCTTCTTCGGCAAAGTGATCTAGAGTCTCTGCGAGCCGTGATACGCTATTTTCTTCACTGTCGAAAAACTCGCGGGGCTGCAAGAGGATGCGCCGCATCGCTTCAGTTTTGAGGGCTAGGGCCCAAGACTGTGCAACGGAGTCGGAGAGGAAGAAGAGCAGATAATCTGCGAGCCCGTCAATAACGGCAATCCCCAAGATGGTCAGCGAATACATCAGGGCTCGTTGTTTCTGATCTCTACGATCATAGAAGGTCGTCAATAGCTGGGCAAAGACCCAAGCGAACAAAGGCGTGGCGACTGAGTGGACAATGGCACAGAAGATTGCCGCGAAAAGAACGAGACGTGAACGCCAGTCGATCGAAGGCCAGACAGACTTGAGAATGTCCATAATGGGGAGTGAGTCAGTAGAGATAGCACTGTCTTCTGTGTTATTTTGTTGATGTGACAGTCCTACACGTTGGAAGAACTTCTGGCGCCTAGAAAGCTTCCCGGACTGCCCCAAGTGTACAGGATCAGCGTTAGACGCTGAAAGACGTCGAGGGTAGTGCGCTTGACGTGACTCAGACCGTGACAAGGCTATGGAGCTCGAGCGTAGGCCGTAATCCTTCTGCATAACGATCGACCGGTCACGCGGAAAAGTCCCTGACAAACGAACGTATTGTGAAGACTGCGAGTTCGCCCTTGAGCGGTATCCTTTGGGCTGGAAAGTGCCTGTGGGAGCGGATGAAGGCTGGCTCGGAGGAGCCTTGAGAGCACCTGAAGTGGCCTCTATCGAACTTCGTTGGAATCCATCCCCTTCTTCCTCATACCTTTGCCGCGAGACTATCTTGTCGGAACTGGATAACAAATCTTTCGCCCAAGTCTCGCGGCCTGCGGTGGGGAATGACTGCAGGACTGACTCTCCAAAAAGAACGGCGGAGAGTGGCCGACGCATCGGGCTGTGAAGGTTCCATGATTCGTCATACAGCGTTATAACCTGGCCAGTCTCATCTTCAGCCTCAGAAAGGTCTTCATCGTCAGTCTCTTCGGAAGTTGGACCCTCGTTGTGGGAAGTAAGGAGAGATCGAAAAGGCCCAGGCCGAGTCTCGAGGTCCTTTCGGTATCCCTCTTGAACAAGTCGAGCATTGTCCAGTAGGTAAAGAAAATCCTCCGATTGGATTTGAGAGAAATCATGAGTGATGACAATTGTGGTTTTCCCTTTCCGCCACTCTCGTATGGCTTGTAGGATTGCACCTCTCGTAATGTAATCAAGGGCGCTAGTGGATTCATCCAATATTAGGATCGGGGCATCGCGAACCCTAGCACGGGCTAGAGCCATTCTCTGTGCTTGTCCTCCACTTAAGGAACCGCCCTTCATGCCCAGATGAGTCTCCAACCCCTCAGGAAGGTCACGAATAATCGAATCCAACATCGCAAATTTGACTGCTTCTTGCGTTTCCCGCAAACTGACTGTTTTACCCGGTTGGCCCAGTGCAATGTTCTGCCGAATAGTGTCATTGAAGAGTATGCTATGCTGCTCAACAAGTGTCATGTTCTCCCGGAGCCATCGGACGTCGATATCGTTAAGCGGAACGCCGTCTAGGTATATCTGCCCGGATGAAGGCTGGTAAAAGCGCACTAGGAGTTGACCTAAGGTGCTTTTCCCAGAGCCGCTTTTCCCGATAACAAACGTAGTCTCGCCTGCAGGGAAGAACAGGGATATGTCGCGAATCGCGATCTCATCCATTCGCGTAGGATACGAAAATGTGACCTGTCGGAACTCAATATCTCCTATGCATCGCGTTGGTTTTGCTTGGCCTTGCAGTTCTTGTCGCTGATCGCTCGCCGAGATCTGTTTCATTAGCACCTGGAGTCGCGAACCAGCCATCTTGCCTTTTTGTAGAACGATGAACTGTGGCAGGAACCCTGTGATGCCCTGAATTGCCATTAAGGCAGCCCAGAAAGTCGTGATAACTTGTCCGACGTCCCTATCTCCCGAATTGACGAGGTGACTTCCGTACCAAAAACCCTGAAAGAAGACACTGAGAGTGAAGAACTGCATGACACCAATCTGTATAGACCTGAGGTTGGCTACACCTCTGTATAGACTCGCTGCACGAACAGCAATCTTGGTAAAGCTCTGGAGCTCGTGTCGTTCGCCATTGAAACATTTCACCGTCTCAATGCTCTCTATCGCGTTTGTGATGTACTTCAGCGCCTGTTGGAGCTTGCCGGCTTGTTCATGTGCTCGGATAGATAGTCGGGTTGCTAGAAAGGATTGGACGATATATATAAGTGGGACGGTGCTGATGATGACGAGCGTGAGGTTCCATGAGTAGTAGAAAGCAACGACCAAAGCTGCTAAGCCCTGAACGATGCATTGTACACCCTCTCCGAATGGTGCGGATACAGACAATTGAAGGTCGCGGATGTGCCTAGCAGTGTTAGTCAGGACGTCATCCTGAAAACCACCCTCTACTCAGATCTAACTCACATTTGCACAGCCGGAAGAAACGCTGCAATGCCCGTGTCGCGCGTGTCATACCAGGCCATGTCTCTCTTGATGAGCACATCGAAGATTCTATTACGAGCACTCCTTGCCTGGAGCTCGCCGAACGTGAGGAAAAAGAAGAAGTAGAAGCTGTTCGCGATCCAATTAAGCGATGCAATGCCAGTAAGAATTATGCAGTATCGCGTAACACTGCTGAGAAGAGTGCTGCTGTCTATTTTGCCCGCGCCATAGTCTGTATATTCGCGAAAGATAAGACCATAAATGATGGCGAAGACTGGAAGTGTGGCGGCGGCGATGACCGCACTCAACAAGGCGCCCGAAAGCACCGGAAGATGCTTCCTTGTGGTGAAGCCGAACAGTGCCTTCCAGCCCACTTGTAAGACATAGTCTTGTTCCTCACTGGCTTCGCGGACCATCTTCTCGTGACTGTCTGTATCGTTTGAGGCGAGAGTTGTTGCCATGTCGGCCGATCGAAGATGGCAGTCACAAAATGAGTGGAAGGTAGAGCATTAGTGCAAGTTGTAACGAAAATGAGAAGATGATGTAGACGAAGAGTTAGGTGAAGGCCAGGAATATCCACTTTCGGACTAGCTTGCGCCCCATTTCTTAGTAGTGGTGCTCTTGAGGGAGTGTTTGTACCAGTTACTTTGTTTGGCCTTATCATTGTTCTCAGCCACCAATGGTCGGACCGCGCATGTCGACAATTTCACCCTTCGCCCCGCTACAAGCTACTGGCCTCTGTTAGATAACATCTGTTCACTGCTTTTAGCTTGGTCGTCGGGAGAAGCATGCAATTTGCTTTGTGAACAATTGTCAGATGTACATTTCTGCAGCAGGGATGGCAGTCCCGCAACTCACACGAGTTGGGACATCGTCGCTAGACTGCACGCTCGACACGATCTACCTACTGCTATGATCTGGTCTTACACTCTCGCCTCCGCGAAGCGCGATGCGGGCGAAGCAGAGGGATGGCCGAACAAAGACTAGGTCGCTTAGACCGAGAAGATCAACACGGACAGGCCGCGGTCCAAAACTGGACTGAGCGCGATATCAGTCCTCTGTGGCGCCATGGGAATATGTTGGAGGGTTCATTCAGCAACACTACGCTGCATCTATTTGTCCTTGGGGTGTGCCTTCTCGTATATCCAATCGTTCAAGCCTTCGCGGTTACTACTAAAGTCAGGACCGAACATTCTCTGTAGCTCGCATGACTTACCGTGCGATTTCGATAGCATAGAACTGCATGCGCACTGCGAATATAGTGCCGGTCTCGCTGTATTCAATGTCTGGACTCGCGCGAAGCATGGTGCCGAAGTTGTAATCCTCCACCTTGTTCTCGTACTCGGCGATAAACTTGCGCCATCGCTCTTTGCCGTCCTTGCTCTTCATCTCGTCCTCATTCACTGTGGCTTTGGCGTCGAACTCGGGGAAATCTTTCTTGAGGTGCTCGTAGATCTCATCGTCGAACTTGGTGAGGCGAAGCTTGGAACCGGGTACTTTCTCGAGTATGTTCCAGTATGTCTCCATATGCTGTACGACTGGGTGCTTGCGTTAGCAGTCTTGACCATGGTAGTATTTCTTCTGCCTACCTTTGACGGCGAATTGCTTCTCAATCTGCAGTATTGTTAGCGTATCAGGCCTGTCTCTTTTGCTGTGGTGTGACATACATCCTCGAAGTTCTCAGTCTCCTCTGGGTTGAGGGTTGTGCCAGCTGGAGTTGCGAGAGCCATGTTGAATATTTCGTGGAGAGGAGGTTTAGGTCTATACTGGGTTCGGGTGGACCGTGGTGTCAGTGGGACAGGAGTCAAGCGTGGTGAGTGCTGAGCGCAGGGCAATGTATATTTTTTTTGCGGAATGGCTCGAGGCTCCGTCATAACCCCGCCAGTTTTCGGAGGCGCGGGGCTGACTCAACGCCCGCCAAACTTCTACCATGAGCTCGTACCTTCGACGCGCCACGCGATACGTCTTCGCCAATGTCACCAGTTCTCCAGGCGAGTAATTGGTGAGCACATGTGATCGCTTTGGCTAATGCTCAGATTAGCATGAATGTACTCGTATTCCGGTGACGGCATTGGCCTCCTGCGGCGTCCTTCTAATTGTCGCAGAAGGACCCTTTGTACGATTTTACCACGCTAAGGATTCACGATACATCTCGTCGAAGCGCATCTTCAAGGCGCAGGTAGTGCATGGCATATCCGTCTACTCTGGAGAACACGACCATGTGACTAAACTCGTGATTTGGGGAGGACGGCTTGTTCGTGCCCTGGACATCGAGTTCACTACCCCTGATCATCAGCCTCATGTTCTGACCACCTGTTTGTCTGATGTCGGAAAAAGTCCAGACTGGATACTCGATTTGGCCGTTCGCCCAACCAGTCAGGGAGATGAGTCCGAGGGACAGAGGGGCATATGCATTGCAGGTGCCGTCACAGCTCACAATGCACTCCTGCAGGTGTCAATAGAGCGTCAGGATGTAGGCAAATCCTTCAATAGCAGGTATAGAACAAATACTCTTCTTGTTAGCGTCATGTGCTGATATCTCACCATAGTTCCTTCACAACTACTATTTCTGAATTAACATCCAGCTCTCGCTCCATCCTCTACTCGGCTCACCTGTTTTGGGAATCCTCAGACCGAGTTCTCGTTGCTGCTGGCACTGCTTTTGGTGAGATCATGTACTGGTCATGGAGCCACGACTCACAGTTTGGACCCGTCTCTCGCATACACCGCGTCTTTCTTGGACACGAGGGCTCGATCTTCGGTGTTCAGATATCCAAAGAATTGCCATCTGAATGTTGTAAGCAACTCAAACGAGTGATTGCAAGCTGCAGCGACGATCGCACGATCCGGATATGGGATGTGTCTGATGTCAACACAATCTCCGCCATCCCAGATGGGTCAGACGATGATGTTTTGAGAACGCGCCATACCGGGTTTAGCAATGAATCCTTCGATGCAAATACGTTCGCCAGCTCGGACTGTCTTGCCATCGGATGGGGACACATGTCACGTGTTTGGACGGTGCGATTCTTGGACTCTCCATTATGCAATGAATCCGTATTCCTTCAATCGGCAGGAGAAGACGCGACTTCACGTACTTGGGAGCTTGTTCCGAACGACGAAGACAACAAGAGCTTTTCTTATAAGCTTTTACATCTTGACTGTGCCGCATATCACAGTGGTAAGAACTTATGGTCAACAAGTGTCTGTTATGATTCGGCCGGGCCGCAACAGGTGGATTGTGGCGCTGCTGACAGTAAAATCACGTCGTATGCGTTGCCTCGCATGTCGCAAAAGACCAAGACAGCAGCAGAGAACATCCCCACAGAGTACACACTACATGACGTTCTGTCGCTGTCACAGCCTGCCGTTGAAAACTCTACCAACGTAGCAATTCAAGAGGGTCACGGATCTTCAAAGAAGGCCGATTTCTTTCGAGGTTATTGCTTCGTGGATGAGCACACAACTCTGCTCACGACTAACTCTGGAAAGGTTCTTCTAGGGTCTGTTGCATCAGAGGCAGCCTTTGGTCAGTCCGGCGTTCTCACTGATGTAACTTTCGTCGCTCAACTCGAGGATCTCTCCGGATACTCAGTCTGCGTCAGCGCATTACGACATGGGATGGCATTTGTTGCTGGCGCAAAGGGTAGCATTTATGCGTACTGTCAGAGCACGCATGCTTTAACGAAGGTACATTCTGTGAACGGAAAGGTTGGAGAACTGCATACCACAAGCTTCTCGACGTCTACGGGTCGAGAAGTAGTGGCATCGCTCGTCACTCTGGTTGGACAGAAGGAAGCACAGCTTCTCTACGTGGATATTGCACCCGAGGTTCATGTCTTCTACGTTGTGGTCGTACCTATTTCCGACGCACTGACAGGATCTCTTGTCACGAGCATGGCTCATGTGAGGACCTCCATTGGCCACTTCCTGTTTCTTGGATTCCGCCGCGGAGCAATCGCAGCATACAGGCTCGGCGAAGACGATTCAGGAACCCAAGCCACGTTGCTCCGAATCATTGAGAACGCCCATGGCAGCGAAGCAGTCACTAGTCTGGCGTGGAAAGCGTCGTCTGCCGATTCCACATTTGGCCATGCTCTCTCAGTTGGGCGAGATGGACGTCTCGCCGTGCACCACATCGACTTATCGACGAACCTCATTCTACTAATCCACAACCCTGCACTGCCAATCGGGCCAAATATCGAAGGCCTCTATTTTCATCAAAGTCGCCTCTTTGTACATGGATTTTCTAGCAAGAAGTGGGTCCTTTACGATGTTACAGCAGAAGAGGAGGTCATGGGCGTCGAGACTGGAGGCGCACACAGAAGCTGGGCTTTCCAGCCTCGCTCATCTTCACAGGGCGGGACCCTTGTGTGGACTAGAGCTGCTGGCATGCACATATACAGCCAAACCGGACCAAACCATACTGTGATTCGCTCTGGTGGGCATGGGCGTGAAATCAAGGCTGTGGCAGTGTCGCCTGTCACCAACCGAGGATGCCCCAACCGAGGATGCCCCAACCGCTTTATTGCGACAGGTTCAGAAGACACAGACATCAAAATCTTCCAATACATTGAGGGGGAGCTCGTCTGTCGAAAGACAATACGAAAGCACACTACTGGTATCCAACATCTGCAATGGTCGGATGATGGCGATTATTTGTTCAGCAGCGGAGGATGTGAAGAATGTACGTAAGGTGGTAGACTCGTTCTGCTCACTCTCCTTGCAACTAGCCTTTTGCTAACTTAGTTTTGCGTTTAGTCTACATCTGGCGGATTCGTGAACTCCCATCATTCCTAGATGTCGGCATCGTTTGTGAGCATGTATACGCGCCAGAGAGTGAGCATTCGGATCTAAGGATCATGTCTTTCGATATCAGAAGGCGAGAGTCTGGACATACTATCGCAATGGTCTTCTCAGATTCAAGCATCAAGGTAAAATTGATCTCATGATCTTTACGTTACATTGCTGACACGCGCAAGGTCTACGATTACACTCCGGAAGGGGTTGTGAAGTGGCAGCCCATTGCCAGGGGAACTTACTTTACGTCTTGCTTGACGCAATGCACTTTTCTATCTCCTCAAAGAATTCTAACAATTGGTACCGACGGACATGCTGTCGTGTGGCCTCTGTCGCCTGATATGAACCAGTCAACCGTAGACAGTTCTTATTCAGTCTCCACGCTGATCTGGCAGCACCCCGCAAGAATACACCAAAACTCATCCAAGGCCATGGTTTCGCATGCTCTAAACAAAGACATGAATCTCATTGCATCTGGCGGCGACGATGGTAGTTTAGCCTTTTTACTTACACGCACGGCTCTAGCACATTCATCGGCTGCACCGGCCACATCGTACGCCTCTCCTCCAGTACTCATACAGCGCGCGCATGCCTCAGCCATCACAGCATGCGCAGTAACATCACATCAGTCTCGAATTTTCATCATAACGTCTGGCAACGATGAGTGGGTCAGACTGTGGGAAGTAACAGTTCAAAATATAGATGGTCGACCAAATAGCAAAGAGGCGACAAGTATAGAAGACTGGATAGTGGTAAAACGACACAAGAAGATCAAGACACATGTGGCAGACGTATCTAGCATGGCTATAGTGGATTCAGGCGGTGGGGTGTTGGATGCACGAGTTTTGTTGTGTGGTGTCGGCATGGAGGTCATAAGGGTAGAATGGGAGGCAGCTTGAACAGCCTGAGGAGTAGTGCGAATCAGTCGCTTCTATGAGAGCCAGTGGATTATGATTCTCATGCATATCTTTCGACATTATTGAAGTTGCTCGATGTAAGCCATTTGTGGCTTACGGCCGTTTCGTTGCTAGGCCAACCCGCTCGCTTGGCAGGTGCATTGACAACAAGAACCACGCACGCTCGCACAGTCAACCCATCTTTAACATCCCACCCACTCACCCACGACACGCCAACATACCACGAAAACCGCGAACATCGCTAGCACACCATGGTCGCTACACGTCGCGGTGCGAAGCAGGCCCCAGAAGCCGCGCCTGCTCCTTCCAACACGCTTAATGCGCCTCCCAAGCGCGGCGGCAAGAAGAAGGCAGTTGTCGAGGAAGCCCCCGAACCCACGCCTGCCGCCACCAAGCCCACAAAAACAACCGCTGCAAAGCGCAAAGCCAAGGCAGAGCCTGAAGCTGCCGAGCCGCTCATAGCAAAGAAGCCCGCTGCCAATTCGAAAGCAACGCGCACTGCGAAAGTCGAGACGAAAGTCGAGCCCGCTTCTGCTGTGGCGAAGAGGGCGACGCGCACACGCAAGATTGAAGAGCCTGTAGTCACCAAAGAGGCTCCTAAACCAGCTGCTACTCGCACACGCAAGGCGCCGGCAAAGAAGGCGCCTGCGCCGAAGGTCGAAGAGCCAACTACTGTCGAGGAGCCTGTCGCTGTAGAAGCACCCAAACCTGCCTCACGGGCACGCAAAGCGCCTGCGAACAAGGCACCGACCACCAAGAAAGTCCAACTTCCAGTAATAGACGAAACCATCACCCAGGAGCCAGTGAAGCCAGCTCCACGCGTACGCAAAGCAGCAGTACCCAAGCTATCGGCGCCGGCGCCGGCCACCGCCAGCAGGGCTACTCGCGGTCGCAATGTTGCCGCTCCATCTCAAGACTCGCCACTCAAGGCGCCAGCCCGAAAGCCGGCAAAGAAGGCTGCTACTATCGTCCAGCCCAAGTCTGAGCCCGAGCCAGTCGAGGAGCCGTTTGCCCAGTATCCTGGATACCCTACTACACCTGCACACATCAATGCGCCTTTGACGGCCAGGGAAGCCATGAGAGAGCTACCCCAATACCCCAATACTCCAGCACATATCCGTGCACCCATCTCAACAAAGGACGCTCTATCAGTATTGCCTGGATACCCTAAGACACCATCACACATCACTGCGCCTATAACTACGAAGGCCGCCCTCGCTGAGATGCCTGGATATCCAAAGACACCCGCTCACATTGTTGCGCCTGTCGCACCCGCGGCTGTCGATAACGAGATCGCGATGGGGGAGCTGCCTGATTACCCAAACACCCCAGCACACATCACTGCTCCAATCACTAACCAAGAGGCCATGAAAGAGCTACCCGGTTATCCTAAGACACCAGCACATATCCAGGCTCCCTTGAGCTCGAGGAAGGCACTGGCTGAACTACCTGACTATCCCAAGACTCCAGCACATATCGCTATCCCGACACCAACGATTGAACGTATCAATGAGCATCCTACGACTCCAGCACACACTGCTACGTCCGTGTCTCACAGTGACACTCTCCATGAAGACTCTACGTTTTGTGCCTCGACCCCACTTCAGACCACTCCACCGGCTGCGGAGGCAGTATACGAGTTGTCTGAGGCTTCGGAAATGCCTACGACCGTCACTTGGGGTGTCACCGACCAAGAGGCCTTCGAGGAGCTTCCAAATGCTTATCCCACGACTCCAGCTCACATCGCTGCTCCTGTTACTACAAGGGAGGCGTTGGCTGAGTTGCCTGGATATCCCCAGACGCCCGCACATATCACTGCACCGATCACCCCTCGAAGGGCTCTTGCCGAGTTGCCGAGTTACCCAACTACCCCATCTATAGCTCTCGAAGCTGCCATTCAAGATGAGATTATCGCATCTGTCAAGAAGCAGACACCGTCACCTCTCCAGTTTCCTAGTCTGGAAGATGTATCGTTCCAATTCGCCGAGACCAGCGAGTACAGTGATTGTGATCCCATGGATATTGATAGCGAGGCTCCAGCTACTGAGTCGATTCCGAAGGTGCATTTAGCGCCGCCGCTGCTGACCGCCAGCCTCCCAACTCCCGATCTAGCATCACCCATCAAGTCTGCCTTGCGATCGCCTCAGAAGACTGACGCAAAGACACCAAAGAAGGCTGTCACTTGGGATGATCCGGAGGAGAGCGAGTTGTTCCTGTACGATGGCCCGCTCCAAGGCATGACCTTCTACGTCGACGTTACTTCCAACGGCAAAGATCAGAACTATCTATTCGCGAGTCTACTGGAAGACCTTGGTGCCAAAGTGGTGAAGGAGTTAACGGGCACCGGTGTCAGCCATGTCCTCTACAAAGATGGAAGCAAGGACACGCTAGAGAAGGTTCTTGCCAGCAAAGGAGTGATCAAGTGCGTCAACGTCGGTTGGGTCCTAGACAGCGAGAAGAACAAAATGCGCATGGATGAGGCTTCTTACCTTGTCGATCTATCGATCGCCATGCCAGCGTCTCCTCTTCCCACAACCACTCTCAAGCCTTTCACCCCAGCGCGTACACCCTCGAGGTACGCTCTTCCTCCCTCTTCGGAGTGCAAGAGCATCCCCACCACTCCAACGAGCTCGGAATTCGACCGCTCGATCAACTTCGATGACAAAGAGAACTGCGAGCATGGCGTATACTTCGATTGCCTCGACGTGAAGCAGGTCCGCACTGTACCGCAGAAGAAGTCCACCTTCCTATTCAGCAGGTCGCCTATCAAGACCCCATCCAAGCCGAGTTTCCTAATGCACACGCCGATGAAGCCGATGCCTGCTATCAAGCCATTTTCCACCAGCAAAAAGCGGTCTGCAGAATCATCATTCCCTGGCATTTCGATGGCGCCGCCGAAGAAGCTGAGGCTTTTTTAGTTGTTACATTGATTAATGTTCAGGTGGCGATGGCCTCTGGATTTGTGCATAATATGGGCGTATGTGTATAATGGCGGAGTTTATGGGGTTTTGGAGTTTTCTTCCATTCAAGCGACACTGTTAACGCCTTACTGTCTCTTTTTCGCGGCTTGAGGTTTCTCATACTGTGTGTAGCCTCCCGAAAGGGATGGCTCCCGTGAGAAATCAATATTGCCAGGAGAAGGGACGGATTCGAGGTGTTTGGTTGTTTGATTGCGATCATTTTTGTTTACACGGGTTGAGGGTTGCATAATTGGGAATACCAAGGATGAATGATACTGTACAATACAGTAGGGTACGGCGTTTGTGCATACATACATGAATGGAGCAACGGCTCTGTTCTACTTTTACGTCACGTAGCATACGAATGACGATGATTACTTCAATGCTTGTATAATTCACTGTGAAGAAACCAGATCAAATTTATCATGTTTGCTACCGTGCTTTAAAGAAGCTCTTTGGCCACCGCTGTCCAAAGGGTCCACATACTCCCCATTGCGGTTCTTAAAAGCACTACAACCTGTACTGAACTTCTAGAGTACACGATCTTGCGAAGTCAACATGGAATCTACCTGCTACATTCCCACGACTGCTACGAGCGCACCCACATTCAACACCTACACTGACTTCGCCGTGTACCTTAAAGGCAGGAAATGCCCGAAATGCAACGTTAACTTCATCCAAACTAACAAGGACGTCGACGAGCTGTTCCAAAGCTGGCTAAATGGGACTGTGAACTCGCGCATCCAGTGCAAGAAGTGTTCAATAGCTACTTGTATCGCCTGCCCTGGGAAGAGTAAGCCTATAGTAAGCGACGTGAACGGCGCCAAAGTCAGCTGGTGCTGCAGCCGTGGACGCCTGTTCATCATCTGGGTTATGCTGTGTGGATTTGATCAGATATACTGCAGCCGGAAGCGCCTCGAAGCATCGACGAGCGGTAAAAGCCGTCATGTCTCCTCTGGCAGCGGGGTGGGATACGGCTCGGGTTACGGCTCCAATCACAGCTCCAGTTACGGTCCAGGTGATTATAATGCTCTTTTCGGTCGAATGAATTTCCAGAACGATGACGGGAAGGCCAAAGCCGAGGACGCAGAGAAGAAAATAGATCGCTTTGATATGATGATTTTTAGACTCTTAGCGGTACTATGTCCCTCGCCGGGCAACGATGCAAACGAGAATACGCCCCTCAGCAGCTTCGATGTGAGGCCTCCAAAGGCAGTCGTGTCAATGCTAGTCAACAGCAAAATCCTCAACAAGGCCGCGGAGCTGCTGAGGAACGATAGCCTAGATAATGCGACGCAGAGGACGGATCTATACATGGCGTTGATCACCTTTCTGAAAAGAGTAGGTGTGCATGAAGTGTCGAAGCAAGAAGTCATCTTCAACGACCGGGTAATACTGCCTGATACTGTCAATCTATTGACGTTGTCATTCACGGGCGCGCCCTCTAAAGCCGGCGAAACAGCTTCGTCGATTGCGGATGGACTGAGAAGATTGAACATTCAATGCGATATGATGATGCACGGGGCGCAGAAGGCAAGGCAAGAGTTTCAAGACCAACGGGGACAAGATATGCTCTGGCTGTGTCGCGAGATCTCGGACTTGTCAACGCACCTCCAGATTGACAAGTGGTGGGCTCAAGTTGGCAGTAAAGGTACCACACAGGCGGATGATTTCGGCGTCGTCGAGGTACCAGATGAGCAGATTTGGCCTACATTTGCTTATGCTAGGCAAGCGCAAGGACTGAACCTGTCTCCGACTGGTCGAATCAGGCGACTGATAACGGAGATCACGTCGCTTAAGACGGGATTGTCATCGGGGATATACGTGAAGCATGCCATGTCTCGACCTGATGTGATGAAGTGAGTACTGGAAGTCGTAAATGTCGACTTGCACGGGAGCTGACTTGGGCGCCAGAATCCTCATTATCGGCCCCGAAGGCACGCCATACGAGAATGGCCTTTTCGAATTCGATCTGTGGTGTCCAGCTGAGTATCCACGTACACCTCCACTAGTACGGTTCGATGGTAAAGGCTCAGTCTACGCCCTGAATCCAAATCTGCACCTGGATGGAAAAGGTTGGCCTACAAGGGACTATCAAGTTTTACCAAGCTAATCGTGGTTCAGTCTGCCTTTCGCTTCTCGGCACATGGGAAGCCGGACACAAAGGCGAGGAATGGCAGCCTGGACAATCCACGATTCTCCAGGTCCTCATCAGCATCCAAGCCTTCATATTTTGTGACGATCCTGTTCAAAATGAGCCTGGATATGGCGCCATACCCGGTGTGCAGAGAGATCCTTCGCGCTCCCTAAGATACAACAAGATAGCCCGTAACCTGGTGGTCAAGCACGCTATGCTGAACTGGGCGCAGAATCCTCCCAAGCTCTGGAAAGAGATCGTAACGCAGCATTTTCAGAAGAACGGAAATAAAATCTTGCAAACTGTTGAACAGTGGGTGAGCGAGTCGGGCCAGCTGAATATAGGAGGGCGTGATAGGTCGGATATGGGCGGGCGCGATAGTACGAGTATTTTGTTCGGAGGAGGTGGAACACCACCGACAAACATTGTGGCATTGCCAAACTTACAGGTAGCGCTTAAGCACTATGGCGCCACTTATGTCCCGCGGAACATGGGCTTTACGAATAGTCAACAGACACCAAATCTAGGGGGTCATTCAGGGTATGGTGGGCGTGGACCCTCGTTTGGTGGTGGGAGTAGCTTCGATGGGCCAGGCGGGAAAAGCAGCTTCGGAAGTAGCCCTGGCTCACGGTATGGACGGGGATGGTAGTGGGTTCAAGATGATTATCATACGGACGGAGAAGTACTAGATAGAAGATAGTTCCTCTTAATTGGAGGCGGTTTCGAAGATGCTGATAGCAATTCGTGCAAATAGTTGTAGACTGCTGTTAACCATCTATTGACTTTTATTGCTTGCATTACAAAAAAATGTATTGCATGGGCGGGGAACAGAAGTGACGCGGAGTATGAAGCTCTTCGGAGTAAATGTTCGTCCTAGCGCCCGGGGCGCGGAGCTGTGGATCTCTCGACATCACTGCAGTGGTGAGCCCGCAACACGATTCCAAACAAACTCCCGCGCCACCTTCCACTTTCCTTCCTCGAGCTTCCCCCGCCGGCTTATCCACTCTACTGCGCCACTAGAAGCGCCCTTTGCAGACCACAGAAGAAGAACATCACAACCCCGCCACTATGTCTAGTCGAGAGGTGCTCAAGGCCGACAAGGACTTTACGAAGGAGGCCGATGCAGCCATTCCAGAGGCTGAGAAGCTTGGGGCCGTATGTGTAAAGCTTTCTATACTAGATACATCGCTAATAATATACTGTAGTCCGACCCTCAGGCTGGGATTGATAAGCTGCTCACGCTCGAAAAGCAAACCCGCCAGGTACGCAAGCTTGCGGTGCACGCACACGCGATCACACGCTTACCAGTCACAGGCTTCAGATCTTGCATCCACGTCTCGAGTTATCATCGCGATCGTTACAATAGCCAAGAGCGCGAAGGACTGGAATTTGATGAACGAACAGGTGCTTCTGCTGTCGAAGAAACATGGACAACTCAAGCAAGCCACCACCAAGATGGTGCAGACAGTCATGGGCTTCTTAGATGAGACTCCGAACCTCGAAACGAAACTGTCGGTTATTGAGACGCTGCGGACAGTCACCGAGGGCAAGGTGAGTGATACTGGTATGGGCGTTCAGCTGGAGTTACTGACACTGAATGCTAGATCTTCGTCGAAGTTGAGCGAGCCAGGATAACCCGGATATTATCCAACATCAAGAAGGAGCAAGGCGACATCAATGCGGCAACAGACATCCTGTGCGAACTACAGGTCGAGACCTTCGGCTCTATGACCCGGCGGGAGAAGACTGAATTCATTCTACAACAGGTGTCGCTCTGCATAGAGAAGGGCGAGTGGACACAGGCTGGCATTTTGAGCAGGAAGATCAGCACACGGTACTTCGCGCGGAGACCGAAGAAGTCGCCTGAGCAGCTCGAGAAGGACCAGAAGGAGCGAGAAGAGAAGGAGAAGACCCGAAGCATCGACGACCCGCCGATTGAGCCGGAGGACGACGTGACGGACCTCAAGCTCAAATTCTACGAACAGCAGATCACACTCGCCAAGCACGACAACAAGTACCTCGATGTCTGTAAGCATTACAGACAAGTGCTGGATACCGAGGCTGTCGAAGAGGATCCGAAGAAACTTCGAGCGGTATGTGGTACACCATTATTCTTCTTCTCAACCACTAATTCCCACAGATCCTCCAACGCGTCATCTACTTCATTATCCTCGCGCCCTACGATAACGAGCAGTCCGACCTCATCCACCGCATCCAACGAGACGCCCGCAACTCGCAGATCCCACAAGACGCACAACTAGTCAAGCTCTTCACCATTCCTGAGCTGATGAGGTGGCCCATGGTCGCCCAGCAGTTCGGCCCACACCTGACAGAGACGGACGTTTTCGACGCAGAGAAGGACGATTCAGATGACGAGAAAGCGTTCAAGAGGTGGCAAGATCTGCGGAAGCGGGTGATCGAGCACAACGTCCGCGTCGTCGCCAAGTACTACACACGCATTCAGATCCCACGCTTAACAGAGCTATTGGATCTGACGGAAGATGAAACGGAGAAGAACATCAGCGAGCTGGTGACTGCAAAGACTATTTACGCCAAGATCGATCGACCAGCGCGCATTGTTACGTTCTCGAAGCCCAGGGATGCCGACGATGTGCTCAATGAGTGGAGTGGAAACATGAAGAGCTTGTTAGGTCTTCTCGAGAGGATCGATCATCTCATCACGAAGGAAGAGATGATGGCTCGCATCCAGCCGACTAAGATCGATAAGAGTAAGGCGGTCAAGGCCAAGGCAAAGTAAGGGAAGAGCACAACGAGATGAGGCAATGAACGCATGAAAAGACTTTCGATTAGTCTAGGCATTGGAGCTCCTTTATAATTGGCTCCGCGCATGCAGTGCGCATGTAATATAGACATCCAAACAGATGCTAGTCTACGTCTTACCTATCTATGTCTAAATCACTCCTGACTCCGTCTATATGTGAGATCCATACCATTTAATGTGAACGCCGTGCTTCTGAAATGCTTTAGCAGGTCCAAACCCACACCACTACCCTCAGAACGGAACGTCCATATCCTCCACACTCTCCTCTTCCTTCTTCCCCGCCTCCTCATTATGTAACACCTCCTTGATATACCCAATCAATGCATTCACACTCGCCTTCTGCGTACTGGGTAAAAAGTGCCCACCAGGATGATACACGATATACTTGTCCTCGGTACTCGCACACGCCTTGGCAAGTGCCAAAGTCTGCGCTTCCTCCACAACAACGTCTTGCGTGCCTATAAAATGTAACATGGGCGTCTGTATCTTGGGCTCGTAAAACGCTTGATAAGGTTGCGGGCCCGGCGCCATCTTGCCCGCGAGGAAACCGCTATACGAGACGGCGAACTTGAGCGGAGGATGAATCTTTCCGTCTTCAAAACTCTCCGGGTATGGCACGCCGCCAGACGCAACGCGGGCTTCGAACGCCTCGCGTCGCCCCGGTTCGAGTAGACTGGCTACCATGGCTGTACATGCGCCGCCCTGCGAGAAACCCACTACGCCATCGAACGGCCCTTGTTCTTTCAGGATGGACGCGATGAGTCCCAAACCCAGCTCAAGTCCCTCATAGACATAAGAATTCCCCTGGTTTTTCATCCGCCACCATGCCCAAGCGTCGAGCTGCGGTTGTTCATTTCCACCTTCGGTCCCATTGGTGTCAGCGCTGGTGCCTGCTAACCACGACTCATCGGCGGGTGTGAGCCGAATTGGCGCGGTTGGGTAGACGAATTCGATGCCTTTGGGGAAAGCCTTATGTAGCGATTTACGGAGGGCGCCCGTTTTGGCTTGAAAGGATGGGCCGGACTGCGTGTACCCGTGTAGCATCAGAACCTTTATGGGCCGGTTTGGTGGAGGGGCGGCGGCCATGGTGCGCCAATGAGTTCGGATGCGGAGGGTGGTGGGGGTTATAAGCTGAGAATTGGCGAGCAGGCGAGAGACGGGTTTGGGCATGTAGCGAGTGTAGCGAGGAGCGATAGTGTACGGAGACGCAGGTGGAGTGTTGTGGAGTTGTAGAAGGGCGGCAGAATTGTGTAGAAGGGCGTGACGGAGATAACGATAGTCGGCTATAATTGCGGAAGAGGATGAGGTCATTTCGGCGAGGGGCTCCCAGAGGCATCATTTAGCGAAGCATGTTTGTTCTACACAGCATTTGACATACATGAGCAATATGGATAGAAACTCATGAAGGGACAGGAATTGCATTCATGTCCAAAGCGATGCCATTGGTGTCCCTATTCACCGAATAACCACCTCTATAGCAACCTCATTACTCCACGATGCTTTGGAATCAGTCTCTTTCCAAGCCCTGACTGTGTCAATCTCGAGCACATTCTCGCAGATGTCACTAGTCTTAACGCAGTGGGCGGGTATTGGCCGACCAAAGATGAGAGCAAAGAAGTCATCTCCGATCGAGCGCTCTTTCAAATCGGAGACATATATCCCTATGGTACGATTAGCACGAGGTTTCAGAGCATGAGGCTTTTCTGAAGCTTACCGTATGTGCCCAACACTTTGAGGGACGTCCAAATTCTAAGTCTGCCCGACGATCGATCAATGTAGCTGTCGGTGTTGACAATGGCAGCCGCTCCAGTCATTTTCCCCAAGATGCCGAGATTGGCGACTGCGATATCTTCTGGACCCTTTCCAGCTTTCTCGCGCTGTAGCTTTAATGAATGCAATGGGTAAGCGGAAAGAATCTCCCAGCCTCGTACTGGTAGCTCCAGGGAGACGACCGCGTCATTTGTGTCGACGCTTGTAGGCTTCGTGACCTGACCGCTGGTATGACTTCTGATGATGTACCTTCCATTTTCGGCTCCTGGAAAGGCATCCAATCCGATTAGTTCTGCGAGCGGTCGCTGAGTGCAGTTGAATACTCCCAGGATGCTGACTCCACTATGAGCCATTCCAACATAGGTGTTTATTTTGAGGAGTACAGGATCGTCGTAAGCATTGTAAGCCGACGTGCTTTTACCGACGATATGAGGTCGTAGGATAACCGTGTCTCCACGGGGAGTATTCCCCGTCATCTGCGCGATTAGGTTAATGTCATGTTGCCCAGGCACGTCAGTGATGTAGATCGGACCACCAGAGACACAACGTCCTGCAGCGTGGAATGAGGCATAGTCATGAGACGTCTGGAACATATCCCAGTCGGGCAGAATGTTCAAGTGTTGGGTGAGGATCGAGTTGTGCGCATTGCAAAAGATATGCCAGGGATGAGAGGCTGGAACCTCCGGGAAAAAGTCGTCCGAGTTGCGAAGCAATACTCGTGGCTTATTAGAAGGCAGTTGGGAGTGGAAGATCATCTGCGGTGTCTGAGACATGCATGAAATCGCCCTGGCCGAGAAATATCGTAGATGGGAAATATTCCATGCATCTTGGTATGCATTGATGAGGTGTCGACGGTCGTCAGCATTCTTGATTTCGTCAAGGAAGAACTGGGCATCTGTCTTGACCGAGTCGACGCCTGCTGAGCTGAGGAACTGGTAGAAATCGTTGTAGAAGCGACCAACATCCTCTTCAGCGACCACTAGCACCTTTCCTCCTGACACTCCATCTTTCTTTTCGACAACTGTCGTCTTGTATTCTTTCGCAATCCGACCGTCTGGTGCAATTCCACCCCAGTATCCGTATATCGCATGCCAGACGGCGATGTGTTTGATGTTCTTGTATTTGTTGCGGATATCACCCACTGTAGCCTTGAGACCGCGAGGGAAGCCCTTCTTAGTAGCTTCAAACTCCATCCAAGCGTTGCCAAACTGGTCGCCGCCTTCAGTATTCTATATGCCTCAGCGAAATCTTCTAGTGAGAGAGTAGAGACGCTTACCAACGACTGCCAATTGTCGTCGATGATCAAGTTGCTGATATTGATCTCGTTCTTCGAGAGAGACTCCAGAGCGCTGAAGAGCTTTTCTTCGGTAAGGTTCTGACCCAGTCCATTCCATGTGCAATATGACAGACCGTCATCTAGAGAATTCTGTAGATTAGCATCAAACGACTCACCACAATTTGTCTCACTTACACCAGTTCTCCAGCCATTCGGGCTTGAAGCCATCAGTGAGTGCCTGTATTTCGGCATCAGTCTCCCCAGATGCGGCCTCGTACTTCATAACTAGCTTCCTCGCATGATACATGACAGCTGCCACAGCATCTTCCAAAGATTTACCGACGGCGGCAATAAGTCGAACAATTCCCTCTTGTTCCCTGTCGTTTTGTGAGTTAAGAACTATCCTTCCATCGCCATCATGGTGTAAAGTCGTTAATACGTCGTCCATACCACTGACTGCAAGCACAACCAGGTGAGAGCCATCGTGGCGTTCGAACGCCGTCAAGATGGCCTCCTTATCTGGTTGGAACTTGTCTTTGCCTTGTCTGGGAGCAATCCATGGGCTCCATAAGCGAACTACAGCGAACCAGCGGGACAAATTGGTCGGTTTACCCAGTTTTTCATTCGAAAAGCCAGGGGTCTTGCCAGATGCTGCGTTGACAGGGCCAGCAATAGACCATAGAAGCGTGTTATCGGTGTCACTTTGCTCTTTCTCGATGGTGAGCGAGGGCGGAAGCCCATCAATGTAGTGCGTCAGATTTTCATCCAAGGGATCCACGTTTTGATATATCAAATGGCCATCCGAGGTCGAGAACACTTCATTAGCCCATTTCCATGGCTCGTCATCTGCTGCCCTGAACGTGATGGTGTATGATAATGAAGCGTCGTGTTCCGGGCGCCCGGGTAGGTTGATAGTGAAGTACTGACGTTGCACATCTGTTTGGCTCGCTTTCACTACTGTCTTCAGATCATTAGTATATGGAAGTTCTACAACAGTCTCTCTAGCGAGCATACTACGGATGGCTCCGGAATCGCTTCAAGACTCAAGCTCGTCCACTTGTCGTGATTTTCGAAATTATGCCAAAGAGCGACGTCCCATGTCTTCTCTGAGCCAGCTGAGCTCTCGATGAGCACGGTGAATCTGACCTGAGAAGCTAGTCAGACCGCGCTCTGTTGGGTTGACAGGCTTCCGTGACTTACAGACTCCTTCCCTGGAGCAATTGTTGTGGTTTGACCTAGCGGAGGGTGACAACTGAGTGTCGCGTACATGGTAGTATGAGGTTTATGAATAGAGGTTGGGAAGAGGATATGTGCTTGTTTTAAGACAAGACAAGGCAAGGTTGGAGGACAGAAGCTAGTTCACGAGGGCAGGAAGGAGAGATATTTATTCTACTCTGAAGGCTTGTAATGGGTGAACTGGCTCAATTCATCAACTAGAAGTAGTGAGGTGATGCATGCATACCCACTTAGATAGAACACGAGGAAAGCGCAGGTGACGCGTGTAGAAGTACCCTTGGACGTGGGGAAGCCACCGCCCTGAACGGAGCTCTACCGGTAAGCTTTGGCCAATCATCGCAGCCTTCATTCTTGGCGCATCGGAACTTTTGAGACGACGTCAAACGTGGCGCCACGCGATTGACAGCAATGTTATTATTGAGGCATCTGTCGCGGCCAAGGCAGTACATCTGCCAGCAATGTATACGCAAGCAGCACACATTAGCGCGCGGTGAGCGACCAAAGGCGAAATGGGCGGCAGAACACCCAGATCCCGCAGCTCGACAGTTGGAATGGGAAGAACAAGCGGGCAAGATCAGATCGGGGATGCAGCAGAGCATGCTGAGTGTTCTTGAAGAGCGAGGTTTTGTCAAGGATATTGCTGGGTTAGTCTATATAAACATTATGGGATGGTACTAGTACTGACGACTGCTAGCGGACGTAAAACTCTCGACTGGCTCCTCACAGAGAAGCGCATTGGGGCCTATGTCGGCGTAGACCCTACGGCTCCCTCGTTACACGTCGGCCATCTCCTCCCTCTCATGGCGTTGTACTGGATGTACCTTCACGGCTACTACACTGTCAGCTTGGTGAGCGATCCGCGCCGGGATACATATAACAGCAGATTAATGTTGGATTAGTTGGGTGGAGGCACAGTTCAGATTGGAGACCCTTCCGGGAGAACGACAGCTCGCTCGCGACAGGGCGCTGACGTGCAATCCATGAACGTGGAGAGCATACAAAGTCAGCTTGAGAAGCTCTGGACTAACGTGAAGTGCCTGGGGATCAAGCACCAATACGCGCAACTCACCAGTAGAAGACAAGACATCCTCAACAACCGAAGATGGTTAGAGAAACTTAGTGCTGTCGAGCTGATGAGAGATCTGGGATCTGGCATGCGGTTAGGGCCTATGCTCAGTCGGGATTCGTAAGTCGGCCAGTCCTAATACCAGGGAGCCTTTTTAACTCTCTGTGTAGAGTCAAGTTACGAATGGAGAGCGGCGAAGGCATGGCCATATCCGAATTCAGCTATCCTCTATTCCAGGCCTACGACTGGTGGAGCATGTACAACAAGCAGGGCGTTCAGCTCCAAATTGGAGGCTCAGACCAATATGGGAACATTTGTGCCGGAATGGATGCTGTCAGCCACATGCGGAAGATCCACCGTATAGACGACGAAGCGGAAGGCGACGAAGACCCGCGAGTAGCAACCTACGGTCTTACGACTCCCTTGCTCACAACGGCCTCTGGCGAGAAATTTGGTAAGAGCGCTGGCAATGCTGTTTGGCTTGATCGGCAAATGCTCAACTCGTTCGATTTGTATCAGGTTTGTCTCCTCCAACTTTCAATGTCGACAATCTGCTAACAAGCTCGCCACAGTACTTCTTGCGAACAGCAGACGATGACGTTGAGCGGTATCTTAAGCTATTCACCTTCTTACCTCTTGGCCACATTGAACTTCTCATGGCGCAGCAAAGGCAGGACGAATCACAACGCAAAGCTCAACACACATTAGCCAAAGAAATTGTTGAGCTCGCTCATGGAGCCGCAGAAGCAAAGAAAGCTGAAATGGCACATAGAGATGCATTTAGCCACGGGACTAACACGTTTCCACTTGGAACTCTGAGAAACACTCTGGCCAGTATCAAGGATATCGAGGCTCCTGCAGTTGAAGCGCTAAGCAAGAAGGAGCAGGATCTCCACGCTTACAAACTAGCATATGCTGCGTCGTCCACGGCGCCAGCCGTTTCCAGCAGTACATATGAACTACCAAAGAACGATACTCATCACGTCATTACCCTACCTATCACATTGCTCCAGGCCGGCTCATTCCCACGCGTTCTTCATGCGGCAGGGCTTGCATCTTCTAAAAGCGAGGCACATCGTTTGATCGCTAAGAAAGGGGCTTATGTCGTTGTGCCAAACTCAGGATCACCTGAGAGTCCTACCGCTTTGAAGTGGGCGACCATTGAAGCTGGTGTCGGAGTGGATCCAAACCATTTCCTAGTGGACTGGGAAGCGCTTGTCCTTCGATCAGGCAAGTCGAAGATCCAAATATGTCGCATCGTCACGGAGGAACAGTTCATTGCCGAGGGACTAACATACCCTGGGTGGGAAGAGACGCGAGCTACATAGACCGACGGCATTGAGGGAACACAGCGATAATGCTTCGTCCACGATGGCCCCACTCTGACTTTACCATCACGCTTTTTTCGTGTAAGATTACCTGTATGATTCTGTAGCAATATTGGGCAGCCCGCACGATACTGTTTCTATAGCTATTAAAGCATTGTCGTCAGGTCTAATCCACCCGGCTATTTTGTTTGTTCATGTATCCACACTTTTTATGCGCATCGATATCCATATGTCTCTAGTCATGGCATGCCTCCTTTTCGTTCCAGGGAACGTGACTTTCTGAAGGCCACATCTACAGATGAATGGGAAATTGGTACGGTCGTCTAATATGCGGATCCTCATACTAGAATGGCTCGGGGCATCGCCCAGTTGAGATCCGTTGTAGATGTGAAATAGTCAAATCAGGCACTTTCAGCCTCAGATTGTAGCTCCTGGTGACACCTGCTGGACATCTGCACTGCTCGACTCGGTGGCCTGCAGCTGTCTCAGTCAGCAATTAGAATTTGTAACCAGCAGTACAGTTTCCAATCGAACTTGGTTCAGTTATTTTGATCCAACAAGCTCGTATTGGAAACCGTCGTATCATTGGACGTTGCTTGCTGGAGGGGTGGCACGGAAGAAATGCGGGATACTACCGACGGTGCGCTAAGGTCCCGGTCCCGATGTTGTAATTTGTGGAGGTGCTCCCCCAAATTTCATCCCTCACTCTCCACGCCCATATTACAACCTATTCTTCGAGAACTTTGGCCTTTGGACTTGTTCTACTACCTTACATCTGCCACCACGCCATTGGCTCGCGTTACGCGACATCTGTGCAGCTGTTCAACGCTGCACTAACCCACACCTCAGCCACCAACTCCTTTTCATCCGCCCATCATGCCGAGCCCTAGCAGCATCCTGTACTACGTCTTCCACCCCAATGAACTGCGCTCGATCATCCAATGGTAAGAGACATTGATTTAGCAATTACTCCGGCATTTCTGGCAGCTGCGCCCAAATAACTCTTCTAACTTTTTCCCCAGGAAAGTTTGGCACAACCCCGTACACGAGCGCGACGAGTCGAAAGAATGCGAGTCTCTCAAGCGAAGCTTCTACTTCCTTACCAAGACGAGTCGCAGCTTTTCAGCAGTTATTCTAGAGCTGCACCCCGAGCTGCTAGTTCCCGTCGCACTCTTTTACCTGGTTCTGCGAGGACTTGATACAGTGGAGGATGATATGACCATACCACTGGAGAAGAAGGAGCCCGTTCTACGCAATTTCCAGAATGTCTTGGAGCAGGATGGATGGACCTTCACCGAGAACGGTCCGAATGAGAAGGATAGGCAGCTGCTAGTTGAATTCAACGTGGTGATCGAGGAGTTCAAGAAGATCAAGCCAGCCTACCGGGAAATCATCAAGGACATTACTAAGCGCATGGGCAACGGCATGGCAGACTATGCGAATAATGCGGAGCACAACATTAACGGAGTCAACACCATTAAAGACTACGAGCTGTACTGCCATTACGTCGCAGGTCTAGTTGGCGAGGGTCTGACACGCCTCTTTGTTGAGGGTGGCCTGGCAAACGCGGCGTTGCTCAAGAAGCCCGAACTTATGGAGTCTATGGGCCAGTTCCTGCAGCAAGTCAACATCACCCGTGACATCAAAGAGGATTTGGATGACGGGCGTCGATTCTGGCCCAAAGAAATCTGGTCGAAGCACGTGGACAAGTTTGAGGACCTCTTCAAACCGGAGAACAAGGAAAAGGCGCTAAACGCAAGCTCTGAGATGATTCTCACAGCCCTAAACCGGGCCGACGACTGCCTGTACTATCTTGCTGGCCTGCGGGAGCAGAGTGTGTTCAACTTTTGTGCGATCCCGCAGTCTATGGCTATTGCTACGCTGAATGAGTGCTTCCAAAACTACGATCTCTTCCAGAAGAATGTAAAGATCACCAAAGGAGATGCATGCCAGTTGATGGTGGAATCGTCACAGAACCTGCAGCTGGTTTGCGAGGTGTTCAAGCGGTATGCTCGCAAGATTCACAAGAGGAACAACCCACACGACCCCAACTTCCTCAAGATCAGCATTGCTTTGGGCAGGGTGAGCAACCTTTGGTCTTCCTTCTGGACAACACATGTTAACTTTTGCACAGATTGAGCAGTTCATCGAATCCATATTCCCGTCCCAGAAGCCACCAGTCGACTCAAAGTCACCTGCGAGCGTGGAGGAAGCGGAGAAGAAAAAGAAGGAGGACAACGAGGCTAAGTGGGATTTGATCTACATGATATCGGCTATTGCGCTGACCGTTGGCGTCATCACATTCTTCATGGTAAGTCCGCGGCGCAACTTTGCTTTGACTGACGCTAATCTGGAGCAGCTCTTCATCGCCTGGATTGCTGGTGCGCGCTTCGACATTGCTTACTACCAGCTCAAAGAACAGCTAGGCGACCTCTTAGGCACCAACAGCAAGCCCGCGCAGGTCACAGAAGTACACGTTGCATCTGGCCACAGCGAGCTATGAGCGTGCGTACAATCTTTTCAATGTGTATTATAGTAGCGACAGACATGGGCTTTCGGCCAGGTATACGTCGAGGACATACTAATCAATCTTCTGCAATTCACTTGATGCAGTTCTCCTATTTGTTCAGTGATGCTATAGCACGGATGTCAAATTCCAATTCTGCCCTTCCATGGCGGTTAGTTGGGCCGAGAAGTGCTTATATCGACACGCGCCGTGCTCGGAGACGAGGCTGCTCACGGGGAAGTTCCATTGTGGTACAACCCGGAGCGGCGGCGCGGACATTCTCTGTGAATAGATAGAATTTACAATGCAGCTCGTTTACGACATGTTGCTCTGAGATGATTTGGAACGGTAATGAAACATGTGGTATTAGCGTGCCAAGGCCGACGTTCTCCATGCACCTGCATTGATTTTCTTTCGCTTCAAGCACGACGGAGCAGCCAGACCCCACGGCAACCTCAAGACACCTACTCGACCCTTCCATCACACGCCAGAAACTAGGCAGAATAGTCGCGCGACTGCTGCTTTTATACACGATCGCCCGGCGCGACCTCAACAGCCCCTCCTCCACCTCCGCCCCGTCTCGCCTACCAACCAACGCATCTCCTCCGCACCACCACCGACTGTTGCTCACAGCTCCGACTGCTGTCTCATACCCTCAGCTTCTCTGTTACGCCTCTCCCGAACACACTCACAATGGCCGAAGTCGCAGCCGCACCGAACGCGAACCAGCAGGTTCCGCTGGACACGATTCCCATCTCGCCTGTGGGCACCTCAAGCGAGAGCCAGGACAAATCATCGACCAGCAACAACACAGAAGACGGCGACGTCCGCACCGTCTTCCATGATCCCGAGAACTTCAACGTCAAGCACCCGCTTATGAACGTATGGACCCTATGGTTCACCAAGCCCCCGAGCGGCAAGGTACGCCATTATGAATCTCTGCTGACTGCTGAGCTCTGCTAATAAGTGCAGGGTGACAACTGGGCTGAGCTGCTGAAGGAGGTCATCTCTTTCGATTCTGTCGAGGAATTCTGGGGCATCTATGTATGTGCTCTTGTACTATACATTACACGAGGAACCATTGATGCTAATAGTTGCATAGAACAACATCACCCCCACCTCCGACCTCGCACTCAAGTCCGACTACCATCTCTTCAAGAGGGGCGTACGACCCGAGTGGGAAGACTCACAGAACAAGCACGGCGGCAAGTGGGCCTTCCAGTTCAAAGACAAAAAGGCGATCAACATCGATGCCCTGTGGCTCCACGTCATGCTTGCAGCCATTGGTGAGAATCTCGAGGACGAGGAGGACAACGAGGTCATGGGTGTCGTTGTCAACGTTAGGCGAGGCTTCTACCGTATTGGCCTCTGGACTCGATCAGTCGGCCGTGCTGTCCCCGGCGAGCAGGGCAAGGGCAGGACACAGGAGCAGGGCAAGGAGACCCTCCAGAAGATCGGCAAGCGCTTCAAACAGGCCCTTCAGCTCAAGGACAATGACGCTGTCGAGTTCTCGGGTCACACGGACGCCGCGCATGCTGGTAGCACTCGCGCAAAAGCCAAGTTCACCGTCTAAAGATGAGGCAGCGAGATCACGTAGTCGACACAGTTCTCGTCGTTTGCGACAATCTTCTGTCGTTCTCGGATATTACGGCGCTCTCCATCATCTGGACAGCGCTTTCCGTAATTTACTCCCTGGTTGGACTAAAAGTATTTCACTTACCGAATCATGATCCAGGATTGGAGTCTTTTCAGCATGGCGTCTGCATGGGCGGCGATGGGTGATATTGGGTTCCTCACATGATTCATATGACCATGACGGTTACGCCGCGTACGGGGGAGGGGACTCTGAGTTTGATAGAAACTCTCTTATCTGATATATTTACGAATGAGAGAGAATATGCATCTGATGAAATTACGTTTCCATGAATTCTGGAGTGGGTCTACCCATACGTTGTAGATGTTGCTAATAAAGCCGAACGGCGTTCTAGTGAATGACTGTATTGAATGAAGCTGACGCGGTCCTGGCAGTCGTGAACCCTCATGGCGAGCACATCAGACGCACTAGCGTTGGTGACGTCGCTTGTGGCTTATAGGATGCGGCGGTGCAAATTTCGGCGGGCATCTGCAGCCTACCGAACGCGCGCCCAACATTGCACATCTTCTTTCTCTTCCCTCTACACCCCTCACATTCCTATTATCCGCAATTATGGTTGTCGAAACAGCATACTATGACGCTCTCGGCGTACCGCCCACAGCCAGCGAGCTCGAAATTAAAAAGGCATACCGCAAGCTCGCTATCAAACTGCACCCGGGTACACGGCACCACCCCTCACATTTCAGGTTCCTAGGCTGATACTTGGATAGACAAGAACCCCGGCGATGAGACGGCGCATGCGAAGTTCCAGCAAGTAGGCTAACCACCCCCGAGTCTTGTATTCAAACTCAAGTGCGGGGCTCACACTATACCAGATTGGCGAGGCATACCAGATACTCAGCGACGACCAGCTGCGAGCAGCATACGACAAGTATGGCAAAGAAGGCGCTATGCCGAGCAGTGGATTTGGTAGGGACTCTTTGGTGCTCCATATACTCACAGGGTGCTGACAAGGCCGCAGAGGATCCTTCCGAGTTCTTCACCATGATCTTTGGTGGAGAGGCTTTCGTAGATTGGTATGACATCCCTTACGGCATCCTTCACTATGGTAGAAAGCAGGATACTGGAAGCTGACATTACCAGGATTGGCGAGATCTCTTTAATGAAAGACTTGACCAAAACCATGGAGATCTCCATGCGCGAAATGGAGGAAGAACAAGCTGCCCAGGTTCAGGCAGAGCAAGCCGAAGCATCGAGCGCTGCTGCAGCAGACAAAACGACTGGGATTGCCGGGGCTTCCCCTCCTACAGCTGCCCCTCCGACCGCTGCCCCCGAGACAGCGACCCCGAGTGCTGCCGCCAAAGCCAAAGAGGCTGAAGCCGAAGCCGAGCGCGCAAAAGTACATGAGGCAGACGTACCTCCTGCGTATGGTGCACCGCCACCCTCTTATGTCGAGACCCCCGCCGAGAAGTCCACTGCGCCTGACGCGGCATCGCCCCCGTCTGGAAGCAGCACGCCGAAGACCCGCGGTATACCGATCCGACCTGCTATCATGGATAGGTCGGAAGAAGAGGCACGTATGGAGGCACAAGGCATGACTGATGCAGAGAAGGAGCTGCGGGAGAAGCAAAAGAAGAAGGCCGGTCTTACCAAGGAGCAGCGAGAAGAACTCGCAGCATATGAAATGGAACGGAAGAAGATCCGCGACGAGCGCGTCGCAAACCTCTCCAAGAAACTCATTGACCGCATATCTGTATGGACAGAAACAGATAAAGCTTCCGACGTCACTGCTGCCTTCAAAGAGAAGATCCACCTCGAAATCGAGAACCTCAAGATGGAGTCCTTTGGTCTTGAAATCCTCCACGCCATCGGCACAACATACATTATGAAAGCATCCTCCTTCCTCAAATCCCAAAAATTCCTCGGCATCTCCGGCTTCTTCTCTCGTATCAAAGACAAGGGAACACTCGTCAAGGATACATGGTCTACAATGTCCGCGGCAATTGATGCGCAGCTGACCATGGAAGAAATGGCCAAGCTGGAAGAGCAAGGTGGCGAAGCGTGGACAGATGAGAAGAAGGCCGAGTACGAGAAGAAGGTCACGGGCAAAATCCTAGCGGCCGCGTGGAGAGGCAGCAAATTTGAGATTCAAAGTGTGCTGAGAGACGTGTGTGATGCGGCGTTGAATGATAAGAAGGTTAAGCTAGAGAAGCGCGTGGAGAGGGCACAGGCGCTGATTATTGTTGGAGAGATGTTCCAGAAGGTATGTTCACTCATCCTCACACATGTCTTGCTTTTCTAGGAAACCGCAACTAATATATGACAGGCGGAGCGCGATCCCGAGGAAGAAGGCGACTTCATGGCCTTCGAACAGCTCATGGCTGAGGCCGCAGCGAAGAAGGAGAACAAGCACGAGAAGCATCATCACGATAAGAAGGAAAAGAAGAAGGAGAAGGAGAAGGCATGAGACTAAACCCTCTCTACCCTCCCCTTTTCCTGCTTTCTTTTCATTTCTTTTTCCTGATATCCATAGATTCCCATTCCAGCAAATCCGAGTCGGGGCGAGGTGGCAGTAGAAGCTAACGTCTAGTATGTAGACCGAGGAGAGGGTCGAAGAAGTGGGTGCAGAGTGCTTTCTGTGAGGCTTTGGACTAGCATAGCGCGGACTTTTGGTACATAGACGGCGGGCTTGCGGACACGAGTGGCAGAAGAGATGCCATGCTGGCGAAGTTAGCGTGCATAATCAACTCCTCCTACGATGACAGATGGAAGATTCAAGTGCACATCATACCTGGTGAGTCAGTGTGCCGATCGACAGCGGGGCTTTAGTTGATGTTTCGCTCGTCGAAGTGTAGCTCCGCATAGTCTAAGCCAAAAATGAAACTTCTACGTGAAGCGTTTTACTTACACTATAAACGCATTCCTCGACTGCATATGTCTAAGTCGTACGCAATTATGCCAATAGTCCCGAGGCGTACAACCACCCTGTAGCAACGCGGACGAACAACCTTCAATGACGCAACTATCGATAAGCGAAATAGTAGATCGATCCTCACTTCCAATGACAAACTCGCAACACAGCACAACCAACGACGACCATGACTTCAATACAATCTACGGCCCCGGTGTCTCTCCCGAGAGTTGCAATAACCTACTGCACACAATGCCGATGGATGTTGCGCGCCGCATACGTAAACACTCCGATACTCGCACCAAAGCAAGAAAGCGACTTACAAAATGCTTAGTTCGGCCAAGAGCTGCTCTCAACGTTCGGAACGCAGATTGGTGAAATTGCACTGATACCCGCTACGGGCGGACTGTTTACTGTCGAGTTGGTGGGTTTATTCAATTCAGTTAGCGTTCTGTGAGGCGACTAACGCTGCAAAGACATATCTCCCGTCAAGTAGCTCGACGGAAGAGGGACGGGATGTTGATGCGAAGAAGGTTTTGCTCTGGGATAGGAAGGCTGAGGGTGGGTTTCCAGGTACGTAGGAAGATGATGATGATGATGAAGAGGGTGTAGATAACGGTGGGTGAGACTGTACGCGGGGTTGTTCACTAACGTGATGCAGAGACCAAGGTGTTGAAGCAGCGGGTAAGAGATCATATTGATCCGACGCGTGACTTGGGGCATTCGGATAAGCATGGGAAGAAGAAAGAAGGCGGAGAAGAAGAAGCGGGGAAAGAGAAGGATAGTGCTAAGCATGGAGAGGATGGAGAGCAGAAGGTGCAGGGGAAGGGAACAGAGGTCAAGAAGAATCCGGATGGGACTGTTTGTGAGGATTGTAAATGAAGGTATCGTTCGCTATGTGAGAGGCTGAATGCCGCGAATGCTCTACGTGTCTGCTAGCCTGTTGACTTATAGTCCAACTCGCCTACGCTAGAGAAGATGGGAGATTGTGAATGCCTCCATGTGCTCTGCAAACCACATATCGCGATTAGATGGCAAGACATCCAACTCTGTCCCTTGCTAATTCAGCTCGCATGCTCGTATCCCATAACTAGATCCACCGGCTGAGATGAATATATTCCCCGTAAGCCCGTATCGAAGTTCCAGTATACATGTTCGTCACCGCAGCTTGAAAAGCTTCTAGCCCATGCGGTCCACCTTCTCGAGACGCTTGATGAGACGGAGATCCATGCGGTTGATATTCTTGCGCATTTGCTCCATATCATGATACAGTCGCTGCATATGTTGTCCCGTGTTGTCAGAGATCTTACGGATGTGATGATATACGGCGTCGGGGACTGGATAGTCCGGCTTCGGCGTAGTAGAGTAGTAGAGTCCTTCTGTGTTCGAAGGACCGAGAGCGTCAACGATGTTGTCGATGCGAAGCCCGTGGGCCTCGGAGAGGGAAGCAAGCTCCTGGTATCGGTCGTCGATGTCCTGCAGCTTGACCGAGTAGATCTCGCCGGTGAGATTCGTGACAGCTTGGGTACGCTGGACGAGGTCTACGACTTGGGCGTATAGTCCGTTGCCACGTCCATTTGAGTTGAGTGCCAAATCGAAGCCAGCTGGGCCGAGATGCGCTGCAGTGATTCCAATAGCAGCACTCGTTGCAGCACTAAGAAGAATACCGGCCGCAGTCCAAATCCAGCTCTTACGTGAGGCGCGCCTCTGGGCTTCGCTCTCTGATATGAGCTTCTGGATGCTGGGGATATCAAGCTCCCGGTCGGTTCCTTCAACAGTAAGCGACTCTCGGAGCAGATCCAAAGTAGCGTAGACGCGACCTGTAGCTCTGGTGCAGTGCTTGACCAGCTTCTTCAGCTCAGCGGTGACAAGCTTCATCGCATTGACCTGGCCTTCGACGCTCAAATCGGACTCCTCGATCTCGTCGATGCAGGTGTCAAACTTTGCGCCCATCACGCCCATGGCGAACACGGCTACCTTGCTGACGGAGAGAGAGAACTGCGTCGCCTTTCTGAGGTACACTTTGACATCTTCTTTGGGCAGGTGGACCGGCTCAAACAAAGTCGCGGCTTCGTCAAGCCCGGAGATCGCACGGCTGATAGCGCGGTATCCAGTGTACTTGGCCCATTGGTAGAGTGGCTTGTTCTCGTCCTTCTGGGTCTGGATGTACGCCTCAAACTCGGCCATGTGGTTCTTGACCTCGTACATGCGACTGAGCATCTCGTCCGCGACATGGCAGACACGTTGTACCTCAAACAGCTTGTTAGTTTGTCGCAAGGAAGCGCCCTGATCAGCGCTCACCTTGTCAGATAGTTGGGAGTGCGAGGTAACCTCTATCTCAGTTCCTGAAGGTTTGATGACGGTCTTGGTTGCTTCCGTGAGGGCCATCGTGTTATTCGGGGCTGAAAGCGTCATGACGACGTTGATCTCAGCGCGCACCGAGGGTATAGGCCGAAACGTAAACCCTGCGCCTTGATCTTTGTTGCTTGCTGTCTGCACCTTTGGTTGTTGAGTGTACCAGCAAGGTTTCCCTACTCTATCCGTAGTCTAGTTGAGTCGAGGCCGAGAAGTAGAATATAGAAGGCGAGGTAAATGAGAGCTCGAGGGAGTCATAACATGGTGGGGCTAAAAGGGTGGGTGAAGTAGATTTCGAGATGCAGAATATTTGATGCCGGCCTATGATTGGTGGTAGTGCTCTTTCCCGTTCTGGAAGTGAAGCAAGAGGAAGGCACCCATAGGCACCCGCTCCACCAACTTTCACCTGAAGATTGGAGGCCAAAGAAACCCTTGACGATCGTACTGAGTATGGAGTCATTGTAAAACCCTTAGAATCAAGTGACGATAGAAGATGGGCAGCTTGAGGGAGATCTTGGACATCAGTAGTGAATGTGTGAGTGTGGATAGACACTGAATGATCACGGGAGAGAAGAAGTTGATAAGAAAAACCTGAGGCACACAGATATGACCTACTGAAACGTTCGGTACTGTAGTCTTATTTGTGCATGAAGAGTGTAGAGGTGCCATCAAGCGCTGTGACCCCCAGACTCCAATATCAGTGCTCCCAAAGACGCCTCAAGCCCTACGTGACAACCCTGTAAGCTGCGGTAGGCAGCGCCTTCGAATGAATTCCTGTTGTGTGGAGGGACGCGTACTCATTCGACATCTTCGCGAGTGGCGCGGGGACGGTGTAATGACCTGCGCCGCTATGGTTTTCCTTTCATCACATTGTCATAGATTTACTTTTTTCATGTACTGTAATCTGCGTTCGGAGATTTATTGCGGCTGCATATGTCGGTGGTGATTGCGTGTTTCGAAATATTCTAGTTGCTGCGATTTAGAAGTAAGTGTGTTCTCTAGTTACAGCATGACTGCACCGTGGCTCCCGCTAACGAACGAGCACATGGCTGATCTAGATGAGAGGGAGATATAAGGGTAATGGTACCTTGTACTGCATTAAATGGCAGTACTATGTCTCAGAAAATCTAGGTGTTGCTGCCCCATACTGTGCTTTCGGATTGGTTGGTGGAACGTGGAGACGCGTACTTGCAGCAATCGAAAACTCCCACCAAGACTCTGCAACAGAAGGTAGCACAGGTGGGGACGATGAAAGTGTAGACGATGCGCACTTGATTCGATGTAGCTGTAGTCCTTCGTTTCATGTTGACCACAGATTTCCCGGCTTGCGCAAAGGGTTGCAGTTGTTGAGGTCGAAGAGGGAGGTCTGATTACTGGCTACCCGGCCTTGAGGCACAATTTGCCAGCGCATGCACGACACTGACAACAGCAATGAACGACATTGATATGATAGACACTGATAGCGATACACTGTTGGGGTCGTACTTCTGTATGGTGGACTTGGTGATGTATGATGCAAACCAGCTGTGAGCCGATGGGGGTCCGGACGAGGGCAGATCGCGGCTTCCCCGCCCCGAGTCAGTCTTATTGGCCCACCTCATGTGATTGTTGAAGAACAGGTTGCTGCAACAATGACAATGATCGAGTAGAGGACCCATGCAGCCTCCAAGCGCACCTCCAGCTTGGCCGTCATCGACTGGACATGTTCCGGATACCCCAGATGCCGTGCCACACTCATGCTTGTTTTCCTCCGCCCGCATACGTCGGTAATTTCTCCATCACAAAGCACCGAAGTGAATTATTTGCAACTTGAGATTTCTATCAAAGTTGAGACTATTGAAGATACCAAGATGTTTACTAAATAAACTATTACTATTACTATGCTCTTGAAGGTCTGGAACGCATCTTGAGTCTAGGTTGCTTCAATTGCACGATCTAGATCCTTGACAGCTGGATTGCTAGCCCAGCGCCATGGAGCGGGTGTGCGCAAGCCACTGTTGGGCCATCGCTCCTTTGGGCATGATCAGCCCTCCAGACACTCGAAAGGGTCCTCTAGATCAGCCTCACCAACAAGAAGACGCCAACTACCATGACAGCTGAATGGCGCCATGGCTCTGGGTGGGCGTACAAAGCTGGGCCATTGTCCCGCCTGCAGCCGGAGACGATTTCTCCTCGACTTGACCACGGGAGCTAGGTAACTCGATGCCACAAGGCCCCACCCTGCTCGTGGAGCACCTCATTTCGTGATACACAGATATTTATATCTAATCATGGCTTCGGAAAAGCAACCGTCTCGCACGTCCAGCCTTAGAGCGAGAGCGAGTGTTCGATCTTCGAGCTCCAGCCGCAGTCCATCCATCTCACGAACTGATTACACGAGCAATAGCAAGACGACTTTGGGCAAGGTTACGGCCGCAGCGCTATCAGAAAAACGTCCAATATTGACGACTGTACGCCATAGTTTGATTGTAGACGATGGTCGGCCGTTAGATCTCGTGAAGAACGGCCTTATTCCAGAAAGCAACATCTCAACGCAAGAATCGTGTCCGGCCAAAGCGATTCGAAGATCCGCCAGCTGCTCTGCAGCATCACGAAACTCGATGCATCCTGGCACTATCCAGAGGTGGGGTGGTTTGACACGGACTGTCAGCACTTGGGATGGTTTACGCAGGGTATGTGACAATTTGTACGTACCTGAAGCTCTGCTAATGAATAAGGATCCTGAGCTCTGGTACGAAGACGGTGACTGCTACATTCACTTGCACGGAAGAGGGGCGTCTCGTCGGGGCCCATCGTTCTGCATTCCTTTTAGGGTCTTGCGACAGAAGAAGTGTAATGCTATTTTCAACCAATGCGATGCGCAGATGACATCGACCGCAGGATTAAGCCCTCAGCCACTGAAGCGGATGCCCAGCTCACTCAGTAATTCAAATCGCGGATCAAGCACAGTGCAACTCTTCATTCCTGCTCCAGAGGCGACCTCTCGGGAAGACTCATTCAATTGGCATATCACGACTCGCAATTTCTTTGCGTTTCTACTAGGCAAGCCTTTGGTAGGCGAACATATGGGCCAGGCATTCGTGGATCTCCAAGAAAGACTACGCCTCTTCCGACCTGACTCCAACAATCATCAGGACTTCCTGGAATACGCTGAAAATCAAGGTTATCGGGATCTCCTCGAGTGCACAGACTATGCACTTGCAAGTGTGTATTACGCTGAACATTACAAGCTGAGAGAAGTTTGGATCGATGCGTTTGCTCATTGTGTGGGCATGAGTGAGAGTCTAGCGCTTAGCCCAGAGTATTTGGTAAGTAATCCACCCTCATCTATGTTGATGTAAGTACTAATTCGGCGTTCAGTTACTTTCCAGACTGACAAAGGCACTGATCACGCGAGCTCATCTTGAAGTTGACGTCCATCTCAGTCGAGTGACTACAGCGCTCACCCAGTTCCTTGAAGAAGATCTCTCGCCAGCGTACCTTGGACTGACACCTGGAGCTCGAAGCCATCTAGACCGATTTCGGAGATTTCTACACAGCTTCTACACCGAAAAGTTTGGTTACTGGCCACCGCCACGAGGCACTTCGTTCCCCAAGGCTCTTTACAAGTCCATGTACTACGACTTCAAGAATCTATACGACTACCTTGTAGATACCGACTCAACAACAGACATTTCTCTACAGAAGCCGGCAAGCGGTGGAATATGCGTCCTACAGAACGTGGTCAACTTCGACAAACGACATAACTTCACAGCGCAACCACATCCTTTGCCGCTATTGCCAACCTACACACCACCTTCCAGGAAGTCAGATTCCCAAAAAGCCTTGAGACAACTGACTCTGGCATCTCAACACAACAAGACGCATGAGCTTCACACTATGGGCGCCGCTTTGGCTGTCGCAACTAATAGTCTTAAGCAGGATGCCACCACCTCGAAGATCATTCAAGCGTATATGCGATTTGAGAGGGTTACTACGAATGCAAACCAACGCGAGGAGAAACTTGCGGCAGTAGATGCCCGCAAAGTCAGGTGGCTCTTAATCTACGGGACGCTCCAGTACCTCGTCTCGGCACTTCGAGCTCCGAAAGAGGTTCGGGATACTGAGACCGCAGACTATCCACTATGCTGTCTCGTGGGCAAAGTGGCGACTCCGACTCCCACGCCCGAGGTCTCGATCTCCTCTCCTCAAGTGCTTAAGGACTACCTTTCCGAGTCTCAATGCAGTCCTTGCACAATACAACCGGATTGCCACAGAGAGGATTACTTTTCGTCGAAGCCTTCAAGCCGACGCGGTTCTATCGAGGTGCCTGCGCCACTCAAAATAGCTCCACCAAATCGGGCAAGCACCATCCGCTCTTTTGTACCGCTTTCACTCTCTGCACGAAGCTCTAGACGAAACAGTCTGACCCTCAAACCCACACAACATTGTGCTATACTCGTTCAGGGTTACGGTAACGGTTTGAACGAGACGACACACACTTCTCAATCGCTAGATAGCTCTCGCCGTGGCTCTTCGGTATACTCTGTCTTGCCTGATGGAGCGGGCCCTGAGACGTCCTGGCTAAGATCAGTGACATCGTCTGCCTCTCACAGTCGGAACCCATCATCCACCGAAGGAAGCAGTATCCCTCGCCCCCGAACCCCGCTCCTCGATTCGGCCCAGCTCGACCTGACGACTGGCATTGCAATCAACCGTGGCGCGGCCGAAGCTCCAAGTCGCTCCGATAGCACTAGCAGCTCGGCATCTAGTTCAGTATGGAGTGAAGGAGGTAGTGCAGCATCTTCCAAGTCAAGCGTAGACGGGGAACACTCTGTATACTCCAAGGCCAGCCCTGCAGAGCACAGTGGCCTTCTCGGTGGTCTTGTCTCCGCCAGCAGTACTTCGATTGGGAGTCCTCGGACCAGGTCCATGACTAGGGCGTCTATACCGCAAAGCCATATACATCCCCTGCTACGGCATCCATCACGGCACAACGGCTTCCACTTTGGGTTCAACAACCAAACTTCGAAACTCACGCATGTTTCTCCCGCAACGGACAGTGGTAATTCGATGATCGGCATGGCACTGTCTGCACCGCCGTCTCCACTCACGCGGACCACGTCTTTCTTCCTCAATACGCAGTCCATGGACGAGGAAAGGCCCTATCTTCCCCCAAGGGCAATCACCATAGACTCACCTCCCACTTTCACCGCTACTCCTTCTACCAAGGAAGTCCACGATACAGACGTGCTCACCACGGCGCCAAGTGAAGCGTGGGAGCAATACAAAGCAGCACTCACGCGACAAGAAGATCGAACTGGCTCGGATTCTTGCCCACCATCGATTACAAAAACATCACACAACTTCAGAGTGCCATCTTTCATGTCGAGCAAAATTGGCAAGGAGGAAGAGCAAGGTAGAAAGAAGGAGAGGAGGCTCTCGTCGCTTTGGCGGCGATAGTGAACTAAAAGCACGACCCCACCCACCCTGTGAGCACACTCAGCGGCTTTTTCCATGTCTCAGACCTGTCATGCTATTTTTTATGCACCATGTTATATACCCTCATCTGCGTCAACAGGACGACACGAACAAAAGCGCGCCATATTGATAATATTAATAACTCAAATATCCACATATCTCCCCATCATACCCGCTTGCATAATACACTCCTTCCTCTATCCCATGCGTCCATGTCCTCCTTCCCTTCCAAGGGCCGAACCGCCTTCCCACTGCAGTCCATGTCTCCACAAAAGCAGCTTCGACATATCCACTCTTTGCCCTTAGTATCAATTATCACGTCGCCTGGCTGCAATCTAATCTCACACGCCTCCTCGTGCGACGACACCATGCGGTGTACAAAGGACGTCTCAACACCGGATCTATCGGGTATATGAAGTGGGTCTAGCGCAAGACAGGCTGAGGAAGTGGATGAGTCTTGAGAGGAGTAGTTGTCATCGAATGGCTCCGGGAACAAGCCGGTGGTTGTAGGGCCGAAGAGCTGTAAAGACGCCGAGTCGTCGCATAGGCTGGTGGTAGGGCTGCGGCCCATGCTTGAGAGAAGAAATGAGCTACTGTTCTAGAAGTGTTATTAGTGGTGAGTAGAGACGCTGATTTTGATAGTTTCTGTGTTCATAAGTGCAGTGTGGACATCAACGGCGCAAGGTATGATTGTCTCGAGACATTTTGTTGTTGTCGTCGTCGTTGGGCGGTGAGGCAACGCTGGGGTGTCTCGGTACAAGGCATTCAATAATGGCATTGTCAATGCAAAGTTGAATACGAAGGGCGAATTGGGGCAATGTTCTGTTTGTGTCAAAGAAACTTGGATGTCCTGGCATGGGCGACAGCAAGTGAGGATCTGCAAGGTCCAACGTTTCAGCGGTGCTAATACGAGGCGCAGGGTCCATCAACATTGGACCTGTGACATCACGCCGAGCACCCGACGAAGGCCCGCACAATCTTCCAGCCCTTCCAGCACTTTCAGCATTTCCAGCACTGACCTGGAATGCTTGGAGAAAGCTTCACCCGCTTGATTCGATGAATGGAGGCCACGAGAAGATCTCTCGTGTGTAGACAGTCGCTTGGGTCGCTGCTGCTATTCCTGGTCGGATGTAACGGGACACTGCTACCAGAAGCCCTTGCTGGCCCTCCACTCAACACAACACCATACTATCGAATTCGTCCAGCGCGCGCGCCAGTCCTCCTACAACGGCGAAGATTATCACTCGCCATCAGGTTACTACATCGCTTGCAGTTGGCGCGGAAGTGGCGTGCGGCTCCGTGGATCCCTGCGACCGATGTGGTGTGGACTGCGCGCGATCCCTATATTTAGCAACGCATGAAGACTGGAGATTGACCGAGGCAACTTGTCCATGGCCTTGTATTCGAGCGACACCACATTTGCGCGCCTTCTATGATCCAGCCTGCATGGCAATATTGGCTTCACACTCCAAGTATTCGCCTACTGCATTAGACTTCACCAAAGCATGCAAGGCTGCATGCTTGAATACGAAGAATACATAGTTGTATGTGGTTAGTCTGCCGATCCATTCTACTTTACATGTTAGTAGCCAGTGGAGCCCAGGGTCTTGACAACATGGCCTGTCCCGGGGAATTTAATCTGGGTATCACCGAATAAGGAAGCTCCTCGGATGCAATCCAATAGGGGACTGAACATGGGGTAAGTCCTAGGCTAACGGATAATTAGGCGAGGCTATGACCGAGGTGACGTCGTCATAGGAGATTTTATATGTCTTCGAGATGGTATAAGTATGCCTTGAACCACCTCCCATACAATCATCATCCAGCCACACTTCAATCACCTTCACTACTACATCCACCACCCATTCAACAACTACCAACCAAGTCTTTCAGACACCACCAACAAACCATCAATATGCAGTTCATCACCGTTGCCTCCGCTCTCTTCGCTGCCGCCGTTGCAGCTCCCGCTCCTCAAACCACCGATTGCCCCAACCCAGCCCACTGCGGCCCGGCTGACACCAACCAATACGAGAACATCAACATCGCTGAGTACAGCCTTCGCAAGAACGACGGCATCCAGTCCGTCTACTTCAAGCTCTCGGGCGACAACGCCACCGACCTCACTTGCCAGAGCGGCCCCATCCCCACCCTTCCCTCAGACAACGTCGACTGCGGCGAGGGCACCGACTACCGCTTCGTTGTCATCAAGGACCCCAACGGTGGATCTGAGCCCGGCCTCGCTATCAACCACCAGACTGCGCCATTGTAAGTACCAAGAACCTTTTCCACAATGGAATCAAACAATGTCTAACAATCATATTAGCTTCGGCAAGACTGGAACCGGTAGCGTCCCCACCTACTGCCATGCTGGCGGCAACGGACCCAACGACTTCGTCTGCTCCCAGGTCGGCGCTGTCACTATTGTCATCAAATAGATTCGTCCCTTACTAGGTGTTCGACGCTTCTTTGTGTAGATAGTCAGGCGGTTACTTAGCATTGTACATATTCACTCCTTCAGCGACATTACAAACATGGCCGATTTAAAATAATTATATTACCATTACATCTATACGATGTTACACGGCACTACTTTTCTTCACCATGCGATGCCAATGTGACAGTTATTGACGAGTCGGAGGTTTTTCTACTTCAACGTATGCAAGCTACTTCACAGTCTATGACATGACGCTCCACCGAAGGATAAATTCGCAGCACGCAAGTCTGGCATACAAACTCTCCAAAGCCCAAGATCGCAGTTCTCAACGATATACTACACTACCAGACATGAACCAAAGCACAATCTTCCTCATAGTAACAATCTTCCCATGTCTCGCAACCTTAGCATTTCTCTTCTCACTCCTGACCTTCCACCGAACTCAAAGAACCCTACAAACTGGCCGTCGACTCCGACGCCTAGAAGCAGAAGCAATTCTCACCACTAGTACTGTCGATCATCTTGCAGCTCTCGTTGAGAATGACAGACGGCGCATTCAGTCCTTGGCCAACGGGTTGCACGCAACGAGAAGGCTTATGGAGAGACAGGAAGGTCAACGTAACCGGGTGTCAGAAAGTCCAAACACCAGCAGAACTCCCAGAATACATAGACAAGTTAGTGCAGAGCAAGCTCATACTAATGGCGTCGTACCAGGGCGAATGGCTGGAAGACTACGTCCTACAGTACATGCCACGACTCGCCTACAACACCCTGAGGTCATCACCTCTCCAGGACGGACTCATTCCTCTGGAGATGAAGGAGAACACTATAGAGCAAGTCGGTCAGCTGATGCCTCAAACACACCATTACCCTCATCACTAGACCAGATCCGATATCACATTTCAATCCAGATCGAGTCAGGTGTTGAGCAGTTTGAAAATGCTTCAAGTGGGGGCTCTGAAGAGGGTGAAGTGAACGGTGCGAGGCAGGAGATCAACGGCGAAGATCCCAGTGTGAGTGCCAGAATAAACGGCGAAATGGTCAACGGCAATCCCCATAGCGAAAGCCAAACAACCCTCGTCGAAGGAGATGCCGACCGCAATCTCAACGCAAGCCCGTCACCATCGTCTCCATCCCCTTCCAGTATATCGTCTAGCTCTGTCTCCCTCCGCAGGCTAAACCCTACACTCAGTGGCGACACTCTCGTTAACACTTATAGTAGTGATTCGGACCACGTTCCGCTCTTAGCGATTCGACGCCGCGTGGTAATGAGAAGTGCTGCACCGCGTCGAGGGGAAGCGTTGACACCAGCGCAACATGTGCAGTTAGAGGATCTCGAGGCGGACCTACGGGAAGCGGAGGGCGGGTGGTGGGGTCTGAGGGACGGAAATACTGAAGAGGAGAGGACACGCGCGGGCGCGAGTCGGCTTGCTGATGCGGAGCTGCGTACTGGAGGAAGGCAGGATGTGAATCTAGTTGGGAGGGAGGCCTCTGATTCGGCGGTGATCGGAGACGACGAGGCATATTTAGATGAAGAAGGAGAGACCAGAGAGGGGACTTGTTAGGATGAAGGAGTTACTGTGTAGAATAGCAGACTGTCGGTTTATTCTGCGACGGAAATAGGATCATTGGTTGGGTAGCAGGTATGCACTACTGTGGAGTTGGCAAGTCGCTTGATAAGCCTTAGTACTCAACAATCTACGACAATTTCCATATCTCATATTATATCTAGCGCTGAATTCGGCTTGTATTGAGCACTGATAAGAGCATTCTCTTTCAGATTCATACTACAGATAGAATGGACAGAGCCGTCATTTTCGCCTACCGCTGTGTTGACAGATCTTTGCCATCGTGAAGGTTGATGAACGACACCATTAGTCCTCCATCTTCATATCGTATACTTCCCTCATCATACAACCGCGATCGAATTAAACAGCTCATCTCCCTCTAAACAACAGAAGAAGTTCGTAGTGTCGTTGCATCGTAATATGGACATATTGGGTAGGATAGGGTGCCACATACCATCAAACGATACGGCTTCGACGCCTCTTCACACTCTTTGGACGGAACCGTGCAGTGGCCTCTGTACCCTGAACTACTCCGTCCAAGAATGCAGACATGATCTTTTGGTGGCTATGCTTCTTATGTCGGAGAGCAAATGCAAAAGACGCAGCAATTGAACTTAGACTGTGAATGTCGCTCGCTGAATGTCGTTCAATTTGGAGTGCGCAGAGTAATTGAGCAACAAACTCAGAAACATGCTGATCAGTGACATTAAGCTTGTTCATTCCGAAAAGGACACCGATGCGGGCCATAGCTCCAGCGATGCTTATGTCGAGAAAGCATTGTCGCTTGCGCCTAATAGCGGAGGCCAGCGCAGCCGTCTTGAGCTTTAGATTAAACGCATCTGGGCAGAGTAAGGTTGTGTACGTAGGGCTAGATGCCGCCAGCTCCCATAGCTCTTGTAACTCGAAAACGTGCAAGATGGCATTCTTCGGGACCTTTGCCCATACGAAGTACTCTCCGTTTCCTACTTTGAAGTTAGTGCGTATAGATAATGGCGTAGTAGACCTACACACCTTTGTACCTGGCCCATCTCGTCAAGCCTCGTGTTTGGAGCCAAGGGAATACGTCATATGCATGCAGCATCTGGTATTCAAACTCCTGGAGGCATGGCGCACGTAGGTCGATAATGGCGCACATAGGACGCTTCATGTCGGTTGCATATCGGAGGACCTGTAAGAGCGAGACCGCCGTTGACACAAATAGAGGTAACGCCCCTTTTTTACTGAGATGGCGTGCTGCGAAATACTTCCACAATCCATATACATCATTCGGGGGTATAGGAGCTGGTAGTGGACTAGGTGCATCCATGAAGCTTTCAGCGATGAAGCTCCCTTCATTGGTGAACTTTGTGCGACTCGAACTATCCCAAACCTAAATGTGAAGGTACGAAGTCAGTAAAGTCTATGTAAATGCATGTGTAAGATACTGACCCTGAACGCAAGATGAGGTAATTTCGTAGGTACTGGAGGTATATGGGGCTCAAAAGCTGCGGTAGGTTTCTTGAAAACCGGCTCGCAGTATATAATGGGTTCGTCTTCGACATCGCTCAAAATATCGATGTCTCCAGAGCAGTCCTGCATAACCAGTGGAACGCCGCCCAGTTTTGGCACTCGAACTGAAATCTTCTCTGCTGATGATCCGATGGTAGCTTCAGCCTTCTTTTGCTGGGCGACTAGTCTGACGCGTTGCTTGTACCGCTTTCTGGACTTCGTAGAAGTTTTGGCTGCCGAGCCGGGGTTAAAATCTTCTTCCTCTTCACGTCTTTGAAAGTCGATTTGAAGGGCTTTGGCAGCTGCATCAACTTTGCCACGAATCTCTGTATATGTGCCACTTGGATCCTCGAATGAGACTTCGTCGAACACTTGGCCCCACTCATGGCTTCCTCGACTACCGTATGACTTGATATCGCGGAACTCGGCATCGAGTTTCCTCTTATCTAGATCCAACCCAGTGATGTGGTTGAAGAGGGCCGTGACTTCAGCATAATCGGTCGCCCAGAACCATCTGTGGATTATGAGTAGTAACCTTTTGTCATCAGGGCACCAAGGGTGTCGTGGCTTCCCCTCAATTTCTCGTAGCTTCTCTAGCGATGTCTTGGATGCGCTTTTGCTTGATGACTGAGTATGTTGTTTTGTCGCTTTAAAAATCTTGTTATTACTGACCCTGCCAAAGTCTAAACGTCTGACGACAGAATTCTTGACTTTGGCCTGCTTGGAGCTCCTGAAATGACCTCTCGTTGCTGTTCGATGTTGATGAGGCAGTTGCACTCTGCGGGGACAGGGTGACTTCTGCGTCAACAGGAAATCGGTTCGGTCAGAATCATAATCGTCGGTATCCGTTTCGAGGGAAGACTTAGATGTTGATAGATTTGGAGTTTCGTCTCCAGAAGAAGAATTTGCGAACATCTTTAATTGTTCAAAGAAAGGATTCATCGACGAAGAAGGCGTTGATAGTGTCGAGGAATCGGGTGAGAACACCAAATCGCTGGAGTGAATAGATAGAGTGGCTGAAGACTCTGACCTATCCGAAAGATGCTCGTCCTCTGACTCTATGTTGAACTGACTGTATAACTGTCCTTGTAATGGAGGTAAGCTTGGAAGTGGTTCATCGCGCACACACTCCGTATTGGGGGTGTCTACAAATCAGTCAGCCATGTTGCATCTCTGCTGCGAGTATCAAATATCCACTGAACTTACCTTGAGTCTCATCTTCACAGACGCTCAATCTGGAAAGCTGCTGCTGCGTGGTGTGTCCCTCAGCTCCAGCCAGCGGCATGAACAGCATGACGCCGCTCGCTTCAGTCTTTTGCCATGCATGGTCACTCATCGTGACATTCTTGTTAGTACTGTAAATTGATGCAACAAGGAAGTATTAGGCGGGGACAACAGTGTCGTGACTGAACGGATGAACGGTTTACAATGAGCGAGTGTGAGGTAGAGGTAGTGAGTGTCGAAGTAGAGGAATAGAAGCATCCAGCACGACGTGAGACCACAACGCGTCGCGTGAGATGTCATAGTAGCTCTTACTAGAGTCTATACGCGCCGCGTAGTCGCGAGCGCGACACCGCGTAGTGATGATGAAGTGAAAGAAAAAGGCGCCGCGACTTCAACGCTAGAGCGTCTTTTAGTGAACGTGCAAAGCACATAAGTGCCTGTAGCATACTCTGGCAGCAACTTCCATAGCGACTATCGCAGATCTGTTTTCCTCATTCTCTCGTCTCAATCGTTGCTCTGTGCCGTCTCACTTCAAGCAAGACCTGGCGGGAAGATCACCAAAGTTGTGCGTGGAGGAGAAATTGCGGCTTTCTGCTCTGCACACACTATACAGCAAGACTCTCTTTTCAAAGTTGTATCATGTCGTTGAACTGTCTCCAGGGCTGGAGATGCCGCTAAGATAAGGACCGATAAGATGACGCCATAGCCGATGAGCCTTGGGACAGTTGCTCAGCAGTGCGACATGGTTGGCAGATGTCAAAGTTTCCATCCAAGCCAGCGGTTCGTCCCAGCATCTTGGTTACGCTGCGTGGAGCATAATTTCCTGGCCCTGCCAAGCCCGCGGTGCCAAAAGTCTGGATGCTATCCCCATCTTTTATCTTCCTAAATTTAGATGTCAAATTCTCTAGCTCCATCGCCGTGGACAATTCAACAAGGTATCCAATCACGCTTGCACACTAAGCTGTTGGGATGACGTCGTTCGTCGTTAGCGGCAATTGACGGCAGAACCGTTGAGCAATGCGGAATGGTATCGAGAATAGCACGCGCGTTACTGGCCGCGATTACTTTTAATTTTCAACCTTTCTTATTCTAATTCAACCCTCAACTTCAACTTCTCGTCGACCTGTTATACTCGCATTTCTATCCCATTCGCTTGATAGGATTGTGATTTAATATGGATTTGACGAAACGGGAAAACGGAGAAAGTTCGACAGATCGATTCCTCGATTTGATCGCCGATCCATTCCAGGCTCAGGTATGCTCCAAGCCCTCACCCACCTTTTTTTCTCTAGAAGCTTACATGCTCCCAGGTTCAACAGAACTCCATCTACGCAGCCGTTATATACTCATTCGTTGTATCCGGATTGCTCGTCGTCGTCTTCTGTTTCCTCCGACCACGAAATTCCCGAATCTATGCCCCGCGAGCGAAACATGCAGACGAAAAGCATCGACCGATACCGTTGGGCAAGAAGCCATTCAGTTGGCTGACTGCAGTCAAGGATGTCAAGGAATCAGATCTCGTGGAAACAGTCGGGCTCGACGCGGTTGTGTTCCTCCGATTCATGCGGATGTTAAGGAACATCTTCCTGGTGTTGACCATTATTGGCTGTGGCATTCTGATACCGACCAACGTGGTTGGAGGATCACCCTTTTACAAGCAGTGGAGCAGCGTCCCGACGCTGATGAAGTTTACGCCACAGTACATCTTTGGTACCAAATTCTGGGCTTTCGTTATCGTTGCATATCTGTTCCAGTTCACAGTGTGCTTCTTCCTGTGGTGGAATTATCGGGCTGTCTTGAAGCTGAGGCGGACGTACTTCAATACTCAAGAGTACAAAGCCAGTCTGCATTCGAGGACATTGCTGGTAAGTCTGTCACTGACTTCGGATTCAATAACAGCTGACGTTTGTGAAGCTTACACATATCCCAAATGCATCGCGGACGGATGCTGGATTGGTTGAGCTCGTTGAGAAAGCGAAACCAACCCATGACATGCCCCGGGCGGCGATTGGCCGCAATGTCAAGGATCTCCCCAAGCTGATTAAAACCCACGACGAAGCAGTTCGAGAACTTGAGAAGCACTTGGCTGAATACCTTCGCAATCCCAACCAATTACCAGCCAAGCGACCAACTTGCAAAGCGGCGAAGGAGGATGGGAAACACAAGGTCGACGCCATTGACTACCTCACAGACCGGGTCGCACAGCTAGAAACGACGATCAAAGAGGTGCGAGAGAGCGTCGACATGCGCAATCCCATGTCGTATGGATTCGTTAGCTATGCACATATTGAGGACGCTCATGCAGTCGCACATGCATCAAGGAAGAAAGGACCTGGGTGCAATGTCCATCTTGCGCCGAAACCACACGACTTGCTTTGGCAGAACCTTCCCATGACGCGCAGGACAAGGCGCATACGAGCATTCTGGGACGGTCTTTGGATCGTATTATTCACCGTTGCCTTCGTCATACCCAATTTGTTGACCTCGGTATTCTTATCAGACTTCTCTCATCTCGGCCTCGTTTGGCCAAAATTCAACACAAACCTTCAGGCTCACCCGACGGGCTGGGCCGTCGCGCAGGGTATTCTGGCACCTCTAGTCCAAACCCTGATGTATATGGGAGTCCCGATAGTTTTTCGCCGGTTGTTCACGCACTCGGGTGATATATCAAGAACGTCCAGAGAGAGGCATGTTACTTCACGCCTCTACGCCTTTTTCGTCTTCAACAATCTGCTGGTATTCTCAGTCTTCGGATCTGCCTGGCGCTTTGTGGCTGCAGTCATTGCCGCTCACGACCAAGGAGTTTGGCATGCGATCCAGGACGGCCACCTTTTCACCAAGGTTATGACCGGTCTATGCAACGTCTCCACTTTCTGGCTTACCTGGCAAATGCAGAGAAATCTTGGTGCAGCAATTGACCTATCGCAAGCATGGATATTCCTTTGGACCTGGATCCAACGCACATTCTACTCGCCTACACCGCGCGAACTGATTGAGCTCAGTGCACCACAACCGTTTCCATATGCGGATTATTATAACAACTACCTCTTCGTTGCCACTGTTGGCATGTGCATGGGTGCTCTGCAGCCCATCATTCTACCAGTTACCGCTTTCTATCTCGCCATAGATTGCGTCTTCAAGAAGTACCTTCTACAATACGTGTTCATCACGAAGACTGAATCGGGAGGTAGATTCTGGCGTCTGCTGGTCAACCGCATGCTCTTCTCGGTCATGTTTGCAAACGCGGTTATCGCGCTTGTAGTTGGTGCCCAAGGCGTAGGTTCGATCAACTCTGTGCAGAACGGTAACATGCTGTACGCCATGGCTCCACTGCCCTTCCTGCTGTTTGGCTTCAAGTGGTACTGCAAGCGCGCATTCGATGATAAGCTCTTGTATTACTCCACAATCCCGTATTCCGACCTCGAAGGTTCGCATTCTGTTGACCACCCGAAAGAGAGGAAGAGCAACCGAGTCGGTGTTAGATATGGACATCCAGCTTTGTTCAAGAAGCTGCTCACTCCCATGGTGCACGCAAAATCTCAGCATCTTCTGAAGGAGATTTACGGCCACCGCTCGAACACGGACCGGAACATTTTCGAGGCACCGCACCGCCGCTCCACCGATCGTGCCAGGCCAGCTACACTGAGCTATGGCGATATGTACTTGACAGACATGAGCCATGATCAGCCTGGCAAGCAAACCCAGGGAGGCGATATCCCGAACATTGAACTTGTCGCAGAGTCGGATCTTGATTTCGAAAACTTCAAGAAGCGCGCTGAATTCCGCGAGCAATTTGGTGGCGATGGCGAGCTCTATGGCAGACCTGACGATTTCAGCTCACGCCCAGGTACACCCTCGACCTTCACGACCTTGACAGACATGAACAGCCCATACAGACACAGAGATTCAGCGGGATCACGTGTATCGAGCAGGACTCGGTTAGGAGACATGGAAGAGCCAGAGCAGGGAACATCATACCCTCAGGGCTACCAGAGGACTCCACGCGCCGATGACGGCTTCCAACCTATGGGTGCTGCTGTTAGCAATGAGGGTCTACAAACAACAAGCAGTAGACAGCCGCTTGTCAGTGGGGACAACCGAGACGAAGATACGAGTTATGAACAATTTAGATATAGAGGGTGACCCGGTATATAATTAGTACTGTAGGAGAAAGTCCAACGTTTCATGAGCAGCTTTGCTGTCTCTTCAATCAGGCTTCTGTGTTGTTGCCTACCAATGTCAAACTCCAGTTCCAAGTTGCACCGTTACACTAGTCTTTGAATAGGGATGGTTGGTGCTGGGCGACTCGTATGCCCATGGGGAGCTCTTGGCGGCTTATGTGGAGGTGGAGTGCGGTTTTTGAAACTACGGGGGAAACCGCGATGATCTTGCCCTGGCCCAACGGCCGCTTGCTTCCAACATGCCTAAACCACGGCAGACTCATCGAAGATACCTGCGCCATTGTACATCCTTTGCTGTCTATGTGTTTAGTGTGGGCTTTGTCAAGCTCGCGCCGCGCCGGCCGCGCAACGCTTACTCTCAACCTAGCGCGCTGCACTTCGGATCCAGGTAGCCGACACTCAAGTTGAGACAACACAACAACGGCGATAGCTTGGCCACCGGGGGAAAGATTCCTCTGCTTCTGCTTCATCGCAGTCGAAACGGCCTTGCCAAACGAGAACCGCCGCCTGCAAGCGCTACGAGAGACGCAGGAAAGACGTAGCACCGATGTTGACCCGGGGTCTTTTCGCCAAAATATGCTGCGTTTCAAAAGTGGCCTGATTTCTAGGAGCACGTCCAAGGTTCTCGAATCTCCAGCGAGAGACGTTTGAAGATCCTTATCCGGACGCGGTATAGCCCCGTCAACGACTCGCTCTGCTATCGGAAGGATGCGTAGGCCTGGCTATCCTGCATCGCAGAGCCTCGCTGACAGGTCCCCTCATTGGAAGTGACCAGCGTGAGCACTTTCTGCCAAGCTGTTTCCAAGAGACCGAGGGGAGGTTTCGGCTTCAGCTTCAGCATTGAGACGGGGTGCTGCATTTGCGGAGGCGGAGCACTTTTGCTGTCGTCGTGGCATGGGAAGGCGAAGAAGGTTTTTGAGATGAATGATACTGACTACAACCTCTCTGATATTAGGACTTCCTCGGTTCTGGTACCATCAGTGCGTTCAGAAAGAGTGCGAGGGACTGTGGCATTGGCAACCTTGCGCCTTATGCCCCATCTGTCACCACTGCATGTCATATCACTTGCTCGCTTCCAAGACGCGACTAATAAGACACCCTGGACGCCCCAAGCAACTGTCACAAAGTCTTGACCCCTGCTAAACACAGCGGCATGCGCTGGGCGGCACTTAAGCACTGCTGACACCTTGGCATCTGCTGTTCCGCTCCTCTCATTTCTATATTAACCTACCCCAACCAAGTTGCGGCGTTTCTCGGGGCTCTTGATGTATGACTTGGCTCCGCTCGCTCCTCTTGGCCTGCCCCTATGGACCAGAATAAGCATGGTTGAATTTCTGGGGGAGGCAGGAGGCGACGCCTGCTGTAGGAGCTGATGTTATATCTTGAGGCGTTGTATTGCCTAAATCATCCCACATCTGCAGTTTCCTTTCAGTCATCCTCTCTCAACCTTCATTTGCTCGCAGCACTGCCAATTTGGTGACGTTGACTAACGGACTTGTTCTTTTCTCAATCTCCTTCTTCGGACTTATTCTTTTAATTACTCAGTGGAGCGAGGCTAGGTTGATCCTACGGTGTCTTCGTCTTTCCTCCGTGCACGTTGATCGTCAGCACTGAACCTTGTACTTGCGTCTACAGTTCACTCACTTCGCATCTACAAAAGCACTACTCGTTTCCCACTCCAGCTTGTCTTTCCGAGTAATTCCTTTCTATCAGTCACCATGCTTTTCAACACCCTTCTCTTTGCCTCGACGGCATCCGCAACCTGTCTGCACGGCCTTTCCATGTTCAAGCGCGCAGAGGGCGAGTCAGTCAAAATCAACACCTTTGGATATGGTCCTCTGAATGGTCCTCTCAATTGGGCTTCGCTCGAGGCTGAGAACGAGGCATGCAAAGCGGGCTCAAACCAATCACCCATCAATCTTGGTAAGTCACTGGTCGACCACCCTCGATATAAGGACTCGCTAACCATCCATAGACAACTCTGTCACTACTGTCACCCAGAAGCCTGTTCTCAACATCCCCGAGGTAGAGGAAGTCGAGTTCGAGAATTTGGGCACCACCATCGAAGTGGTCACGAATGGCACCACAAGCATCGGTGGCACCGACTTCAGGCTGGTTCAGTTCCACATGCATACGCCATCCGAACATCATGTCAACGGCGAGTATCATCCTCTGGAAGTGCATATGGTGCATGAGGCCGTCGGTACGTCAATCCCCAATTCCACTTCACTCACCCCTGCATCAAACATAAGGCATACAGCCTGTATTTAGCCATGACCTCAGCATGCTCACACGCATGACGCATTGTCCTTCGTCGCTAACATGATGTGTGCAACAGCCGACAACACCAAACTTGCCGTTCTCGCTCTGATGTTTCAAGTCTCTGCCGGCGAATCGAGCTCCATAATCAAATCGCTCTCTTCCTCTGTGTCAGCAATCTCTACACCCGGCACCAAGACCGCCATCCGCGGAGGTATTGATTTCAGCGACGTGGTCGCCAAGGTGGCCTCTTCAGATGTCCTACAGTACACTGGGTCCCTCACCACGCCTCCCTGCGCCGAAGGTGTAACCTTCATGATTGTCAAGGACCCTCTGGACATCAGCGTCGCAGATTTCAACAGCATCAAGGGCGTAGTCAAGTTCAACGCTCGCTTCATCCAGAACTCCCTGGGCTCCCCCAACATGCTTGAAGTTGCCAACCGCGCGGGCACCACCACTGCTTTCAAGCCTGCGGCTGTCGAGCAGCCGGCTACCAGCAATAAGACTGCGAACGCGACGGTCGAGGCTGAAGCTGCCCCTATGAGCAAGGGCCACACTTTCACTGTCACTGAGCTACATGGCAAGGTACGTTGATCCTTCCCTTGGTTAGCCTCGTGAGTGAGATGAATACTAACGTGTGTGTGTAGCCTACGCAGATCGCTGCCGTCGTCGTCAAGAAGAGGACTCCCAAGTACTCTTAAACATAGCATAACGGTCCTGTGGCATGTTTGAAGTGTTGGAGACGCCCTTGCCGTCTGCTGGAATTCAAGAACGAGGTTCTTCTGTACAATGATACCATGAGAGAGAAAGCAATAGAGACATATACACAGTGGTCAACCTTTTAGCGCATGCAGTCCACCATACATATGCATATAACCCAATGGATAGCTGTCTCTTAATTTATTCACGTGTGAAGGGTCCTACCCCATAGATCCATCTTCAATTTTTGCCGTGGTTACGTATCTGCGTGGCAGTGAAAATGACCGGGCAGGAGGAAGCCTGGCGTGCATGCTCATGGCACGTGTCAGATGCGCCACATCTCATCTTTGACAGCTAAGATTGAAGGATGTTTTGAATATCTCAATGTCATCTCTAAAGCCCAGATGGAATAGTCGCGCTTTTCGCTACGCTTTACGAAGACAGGTGTAGGAGCTCGTTATTTATACCGCCCACCCATCATACCCTAAACCAAACATGCTGCATCATGACTGTTTGAGCCCACTTTCCCGCCAAAAAAAAGATATGTGCATTCTTCCTATCATAACTTGACGCCCCAAACCCCGCGTCCACCAGCTACACCAACCCATTCTCCGCCTTGGCCTGTCAGGGCGCTTTGAGGTGCCCAGCTGATGTTGCCCACCTCGTAGTCACATCTCCAGCTGGCATACGGTCCTTTCTGGCCTACTGGCACGTTCTGGGCGCCGGCACCACCGTTTGTGGGTGGAGGGGCAGCTGGTGTGGTAGGTTGTGTCGAGGCATGCTCTCCACTGATCACCGCGCCGTTGTTGGCGTGTAGAAGATCCCATATGAGGACAAGCGAATCGTCGCCGCCAGAGGCAAGCATGCCTCTTCGGGAGGGATTCCATTCTATGCTATTCACGGAGGAAGAGTGGCCGCGGAGTTCGAGGAGCGCTTGGCCGGGTTGCCGCACGTCCAAAATGCGGATGACGTTTGAATCGGCTGCGAAAGTAGCGAGGAGATGAGAGTCGTGTGGTGATGCAGCGAGACGTAGAAGGGGAGGCGCATACGACATGGTTTGTTGCGCCTTGGTAGGAGACATGCGGCCCGTTGGTGAGCCTATACAGTGTTAGTAGCGCTCATGTGAGATGTTTGGGGCACTGACCCTTGTCTCTATCACCATTCTTGTCCGAGGGCTCGTAGATGATGGTGCTGTGTTCCAAGCTGCGAAGGTCGAACATGCGCACACTGCCATCGGCGCCGCAGCTGACGAAAACATCAACGCTTCCTGCGCAAAAGCGCACATCAAAGACCTCCTTGTCGTGTGCAATCAGCTGCGTCTTGGCCGTGAGAGATGGTATGTCCCATATTGTGCATGTGGTATCTATGCTGGAGGTGATGATGAGCTTAGGGGACATGGTGTTCCAGTCGAGCGAGGTGAGTGGGGCTGTGTGCTCAGGTGTTTTGGAATTGGAGAGAAGGGCGAGCGGAGTGAGCTTGGGCAGCTGGGGCTCGCGCGTATTGACCGACGACGAGCGCGTTATCGTGTTGCTGGTAGTATTGCCTGAAGACTGCGGAAGTGACCATAACCGTAAATGGTCACCCGACGTCGCAAGCAGATCGGTGGACTGCTTCTGGGATGACGGTGGCTCCCATAGAATTCGCGTTACAGGAAAGGAGCATGTGGCTTCGGCGATGGCGTTGTACTCGAGGCCGTAGGGAGAGGCACCAGGAGCAGCTCCTTCTTGAGGTGCTATTTGCGTATCGAGAATGCGAATCTGGCTTGAATGTTAATACCGAAGGAGCGTGGTTGTGGCCTACTTACGAAGTTATGGTTGTCCTCTAGATAGCTTCCAATAGCCATCTTGCCAGCGCTGTTCCCACCAGGGACGCTCCATTTACACCAGTCGTATGCGTATATGCTCCATGGCGCCAAGTAGTTGCTGTTAGAGGCTACTTTGCTCTGGTCGCTGGCTTGGGTGTTCCCATGCCCCATGCCCTCCTGATCCATGTTGGAGTTGGCTCGTGGTCTGATATCGGCCAGGCCCAGTGGGGAATGAGATGCTGCCCCCGATGGAGTCGGCGGGTAGTATTTCTGCGCAGGCGTGCCAGCAGCGTACTTTGACTGTTCAGGCGTATTTGAAAAGGGAATGTACTTCTGCTCGGGTCCTAGGCCGGCTGGACTGGAGCGAGAATAGGAATGCGACGAGTGGGGAGAATGCTGTGATTGGCCCAGCGTGTTGGAGCGCGTCGGGAGGGTGTATTGCTGCGCATTGCTCGCTATTTGCGTCTGAGTAGGCACGACGGGCGCGGTATAGGCGCTGGAAGGCGCTGGACGCTGCTGCTGGGTTGCGCCTCCAGCGGGCTGCAGACTGCCAGGGACCGAAGGCGTGCCATATTGGTTGCTCTGAGGCGTCGCTTTGCTGACATTTATATCGGGCGGCGCGGCGTAGTGGTCGGGCGAATGGTACATTGCGGCCTGCTGCTGCTGCTGTTGCTGGGCCGAGGCTGAAGAAGGCATGGCCGTCGAGATATGGAGTTCTTCATGCGGAGCGCGATCTTGTGCTGGGAGAGCTCTTCGCGAGGCCTGCGGCGGAGGAAGTCCGCCAGCGGCTGGTGGTGCTGTTGCGGGATATTCGTTGGGCGCCTGAAGGGCATTCCCACCACCGCCTCCAGGCATGAAGGCATCAGTACCCGCCGAAGTTGTCTATAGGAAGAGACACCAAGTCAATGTCCAGGGCCCATGCAAAAGTTACACGAAGCCTACGTACGCCTTGAGTTGCAGTCCGCAGATTGCCCCCTGGTGCTCCAATGGAACCAAGCTGCGCGGCCGCCGCAAAGATACCCTGGGCAGGGCTGTTCTGCGCGTTCTGCGGGTGGTGGTGACCGAAAGGCATGGCCACTCTATGTCGACCGCAGCGACGCTGTCTTGTGGTGGTGATGGCCTGGGGGAAATGTCGCGGCGCCTAACTTTGGGCTCTCAAGCTGCCCGTCGACGTTGAATCGAGCGTTACGTCGGCGGTAGTTCGGTAGTGCTGCTGCCCCCACCCCCTTCACACCCCTCTCTCCCTACCTCCAATACACCCAGACTGGGTATGTATCTATTCAAGTCCTCTGTCCTTTCATGATCCTTATACTCGCAGTACGCTTCCATCTCTCACCAAGACTCTCAGCCATACCTCGTTTTCCAGTGTCTGTTGTGCGCCGTTTCCTTGCTGCCATGCCTCCCTCTCACAAGCAACCCCCCCGCGCTCTACTATTGCTCCCACCTGCGCCAAATCCACCATCCTATGCCGCCCTTAAGGCAGCCTATAATTCGCCATTATTCACCGTTCTCAAGCAGTTGGCTACGGCTCCACGCACGGCGCAGGAACCCGCCCTGCTCGACATTGTATTGCCGTGTCCCCATCTGTATGGCCGTCTTGACGCGCCAAGAGGCCCACACTATGCAACTACCCAGCAACTGGTAGCTGACCTATACAAACTCATCTGCATCACCGCCACCCAGAACGCAATCGATACCGAGGATGCAGAAGGCATCGATGCTCGCGTCATCCTGGTTGCCTATCCCAGAGACGGCCAGCTGACAACGCCCTTGCCAGACTCTACTCCAGAGCAGGAACTGCAGGGCCCTGCCATCGATATACATGCACTTGCTACGAGCTCCAGGTCATGGGATGCCATCTACTCGGTTGAAAGCGAGCAAGGCGAGGGTGTCTTGAACAAGTTCCTCTCCTTCTCAAAAACCCAAAGAAGCGTGTCACGAGTTCGCGGCGGCATAGTGAGTGTGGAGAGATCAATGCCGGATACGCCAGCTGTACAAGCACCGAGCGCCTCTGTTAACCACCTCTCCGTTGCAGTGGGTGGGACTTTTGATCATCTTCACATCGGCCACAAGCTGCTGCTCACCATGTTCGCCTTCATGCTTGGGAGGAGCCAAAAACCGACCACACTTACCGTCGGAATCACTGGCGACGCACTGCTCAAGAACAAGAAATTCGCCGACTACCTAGAAAGCTGGAAACGCCGCCAGGAATCTGTACACGACTTCCTCTCATCTCTCATCTATTTTGGACGCGCTGATGATGAACGTATCCAAGTCCACGAAGTCAATGATCCAGGGCCAAACGGACATGCCGTCCACGTCAGTTATCCTTTCGGTCTTACCATCAAATATGTCGAGATCTGGGATCCTTTCGGGCCCACCATCACTGACAAGGACATCACTGCGTTGGTCCTTTCACTTGAAACGAGGAGTGGCGGCGCTGCAGTGAACAGCAAGCGCAAGGAACAAGGATGGGAGCCCCTGGAGGTCTTTGAAGTGGCGGTTCTTGATGCCAGCGAAGAAGACAACGTGGATGAAACATTCCAAAGCAAGCTGAGCAGCACAGAGATTCGTCGGAAGCGAAGTGAGCGCACTCAGTCCACGACCAGGGCGTGATAACGCTGGGCAGGAATGAGGCGGCATACCCGATGAGCCACGGCTTCCGTGTTTGTTTTGCTGGGTAAAGATGAGATCAGAGTGTGGCCGAGTAGACTCGTTGTTGACGTAGAACTCGACAGCTCGACGATTGTTTCTGTACAACGATCCACGACCAGTCAGTGCCACTGAGCCACACGCCAGCGCAGGTCCGCATGATGTAACCCGCGGTAAGTACTAGGCTTCGATCAAGCAATACGTCGATATTCAGCCGAGCGACAGTTGTAGAAATGGCCGCTGGCAGTCGGATTGCATGACATGGTCGCTGTGCGGCGGGCTTACTCGCAGGTAGGGTGGTCGAGGCGACTTGGGACGCGGGGATGAGGGATATTAATGACGGATACTCGGGCAGCGACATGGTTGTTATATGCAGACGATTAGTGACAACGCAGCCGACTCCCCCTTGTCGCCATGCACAGGGCTAGAGGATCGCTGCGGACAACCGCGCCTTGATAGCATCAATCGTACACAGAGACACGCGATGACCCACGTTTCAGCCCTTCTTGGGGCCATTGTGCTCGGTGTGTCGTCACTGGACACTTCTCTTGGAGCGATCTGTATAACGCCATCCCAAGTGCACGGCGGTGGTATGACCCGGATGACGCTTTAGGAGGCCGATTGGCGTCTCCAAGCGCTCTGAAATGCATGCTTTGCTGGCAACGCATCCAGACCATCAGATCCTGCTTCGACGACGACAGTAGCATGTGGGGAGTTGGCAAGCGCCTCGAATCACAGGGCTGCAAATCGCCCCACCCTGAAGGTCGTGCAGCAGTCTCCAGCAACGAATCGAGGTGGTTTCGTTCGGGAGGAGCCATGTTCCCGTCTTTCCAGCGGTTATGCTAGGCTGCCCGCATACAAGAATCGGTCATGTGAGCAACCTAACCTGTAGGAGCTTACTTTGCTTTTTCGCCATTGGCCTCGGCTCAGGATAGCAGGGATGGCTTGCAGGCCGGGACAGGCGTGGTTGCGTACAAGTGCAGGTTGCGTGTCCAGTCGTCCTTTTGCGACTCTTCAGCAACCACGCTGAGCTGACGACCGCTGGCAAGGAGGCCATGCTACGTTTGTTCTCCCGACCGTATCCCGCTGGCTGCTCTCCGCCTACAATCCCCCTGGGCATCGCCATCGGACATCACCGCGTGGCCAGCTAACTCGACTCTGCTGCTGTCGCTATCAGACTCCTGCCCGCCACATCTGCACCCACCCCGTGGCGGCCCGAACCTTCTGTGCTGAGTATATATCTCGCTGCGTGGCCCGCTCTCGTGCCGCTCCAAGAGCTGCATCCAGAGCCTGCTTTTCGCGCCTGTCAATGGTCTTAGTTCACCATGGGTATACTCGATCTCGCCGACGAGCTTCTCCGCATCATTCTCGAACACGTCGCCTCAGAGCCAGAGAAACTGATCAGCCTGGATAGGCGCGCCTATCTCTCGCAGGAAAGCTTCAAGCCGCACCCCCCGCCAGAGCCAGACCAAGCCCAAACCATAGCCGACTTTAGACTCACATGCAGGAAATTCTCTGACCTTGGCGTTATCCATCAGTTCTCCCGGGTAACGACAAGATTCTCCAGGAGAGGCCTTAGACGACTGGAGAACATTGCAAGCCAGCCGCACATTGCTGAACGCGTCAAGAAATTCAGTTACATGGTGCCGTTTTTCTACGTTGAAGGTCCTCGCCCTTTCCTGTTGAACAAAGATGCATGTGTGACTGACTCCAACTGCAGGTCGGGAACGCGTGCAAGAGCTGCTACTCCCGCGGCCAGAGAGTCTCAGTTCCCTTGATGTCAGTCACTTCCAGCAAAAGGTGAACGAGCAACGAGAGATTGTAAGGACACGGGAGGATGCTCGAGTCCTGAACCTGGCCATATCTGCCTTTACATCGCTCCAGCACGTTCAAATTTTACGAGTACAGGATCAAGAAGACGGCAGACTAATAAATTACATAAGACAACACGATGAGCTGAACCAGTTAGTAGAATTAAAGTGGCCACCCGCATGCTTCCATTCCGCCAAAACTATTGGGGCTGCATTGCTCGAAGCTAGGTCACCATGCTCACGATTTTCATCACCAATGCTCAGCCCTCAAAGCGTTCTAGGCGCAGCAAGCAATCCACCTACAACATTAAACCTTCTCGCAGAACGTTTGACATGTTTGGAACTACATTTCGATGATGGCACGGATCTGGACATAAGGATGCGCCAACTTTCCTCACTGTCCAAAGCCATCTTCACTGCGGCGAAGAACATTGAAGCGGTGCATATTGGGTTTCCTTCTCACAGGCCCTTGACCTTACGACTTGAAGAGATATTTCACAACGTCAAGTGGGACAAGCTGCAAGCATTTGGTGTTCAGGCATGGCGACTCGACGCAGATGAGATTATTGGTTTAGCCCGAAGACATCGGGAGACTTTACGCGGGCTGAGGCTGCGAGATGTACTTTTGAAGGAGGGCAGTCGCTGGAAGGACGTACTCTCCTTCCTTCGAGATGACATGACAAGATTAGATTGGGTCAGCCTACGGAGAATCGATTATGAGAAACACTTCGACGAACAAATGTTCCTTGGCGCCGAAGTTCCTGACGACCCGCTAGCAGGAAGCGAAAGTAGTGATGAGAGCGAGGATTGGGATCTGCATGAGGATGAACAGGACGATGCGCTGGACGACAACCTTGACAATGGCCACGAGGCTGACGAAAGCGACGGCTCAGTAGCCGAGACAGACCCCGACTCCGACGCAGATACAGACGAGCCGGAACAGGGAGGAAACCTGCACTTTCCACCAATGTCTCCTGATACGCCCGCGTCTGTGCCCTGGTGCAATTGCAATGGCCATATGGACAGCGTAGACGTGCTAGGCGACGACGGCATCATGGTAACCAATCAGCAGCGCAGATTTTGGGAGAAGTGGGTTGTGAGAAAGACATGCACCGAGCAACATAGTCACAAGTAAAGCTGTTTCGAACAGAGGAAGCATGCACTTGGATTGGGTCGGATCCGCATGCCAGACCGCACGGTCTACTCGAATTGCGGTGTGACATGCAGAAGCAGCATTCATTCACCGCAACAACACTATACTCATCCTAATTCTACTGTCGAGTCGGCTCATAGTCCGGCTGTGCACAAGTGGCCTCACGCTCCATTTCCCAACTTTGTTGCGGGATATTTCCCCCCCTCTTATAACCTCGCATATGCGTGGGCAATCCCCTTCCTACCGAGCGCTTATGCAACCCCGTCGATTAGTTCACATTCATACGAGTGAACCACGACTGCGCCGTAGCAATACATATATACGCACCGCACCGCACAGACCGGCCGTGCCGATGCGGCACTGTTAGTGGGTGGAGTACTTCGCTTCCAGTCCCAACGATACATGTCGATCACCCCCTCTCTCTCCATCCTTCGCTCCCTGTTAGATTTGCTCCCCACGTTTCTCCCCCCCTTCTAAGCAAATATCCTTGTCCCCCTCTTCATCAGTCTCCTACTTTGCAAATAGCAAGCAAGCATCGTCTGGCGCTACTATGATCCCGTCTCGCATCAAGCATCCTGATTCAGTAGGCAAGAAAGGCCTCTCTACCCACGCAGATCAGGGTGTGTGCAGTATGGTTATTTGTCCTTTCCTGCCATTTCTCCTTTCTACTCTACTATAAATGACGAACTGTAACGCAGCGTGGGAGGTTTATGCATTTTCACACACCTCCACTATAGACTACACATCCCCAAATTCCCACTCTTAGCGATACATAGGTGTATATGTGCTAGTACAGTATTAGGTAGCTAGCAACTTCGTCGAGCCTGTCGTCGTTACGCAAGTGCTTTTCACCCAAATTCTCCATACGCTGCTTGCTTGGGGCAATTGGCTCGACAGGTATAAAGAATAGTTATTGCAAATATCTTATTTTAAAACTCCTACAATGCTGCAAATCTGATGGAAACCCCCCAAAGAGGACAATGTGTGCCTCGAGCGAAATACTGCCCACTAGGCTAACCTCCGCAATACGGGACTCAAGTTCCCCTCCTTATCCCCCTCGCCCGATACTCTTACACTTTTGTTACTCTAGTTACTCTAGTTACTCTAGTCATATCTTGGGTCCTCCCCACTCGGTGCGGGCGTGGCAACATCCCAACCACCCGGCGTCGCGGCAGCCGCAGGCGTAGCACCATACCTCCCACCCGTACTATCTCCAGGTGTTGGAGCACTGTAGTTTCCGGGCGTGGGAGCGTCCATGGGCGGACCGCCAGGCGTGGGTGCTGAATACGCTCCATATCCGCCGGGCGTAGGAGCTGCGTAGGCACCAGGTGTTGGAGCGTTGTATGGGCCCGGCGTGGGGGCAGAGAGGCCACCTGACGGCTTTGAAGCGGTATTGCCAGATGAGCTTCCCCAAGCGGGCGTCCGGCCTCCCGAATTGAACCCTCCGTATGCCGTGCGATTGCCGTCATTGCCACCATATGCTGTGCCACCGCCGTACGATGTTGCGCCTCCGTATGCGGTTGCTCCCCCATACGCAGTTCGTGCACCATCTCCACCCCCATAAGCAGTACGTGAGCCATCTCCGCCATATGCTGTTCGTCCGCCATCTCCACCCCAGCCGGGTGTTCGCCCACCACCGCCTCCTCCCCAGCCTGGTGTGCGTCCACCACCGCCAGCCGGTGTGCTGCCACCCCACGATGGGCCGCGAGCGCTGGAATTGCCCCAGGCAGGTGTGCGTCCACCACCACCACCGCTACCGGCGCCACCGTAGCTTGTATTGCCGCCAGAATAACCGCCGCGCGAGCGATTCGGGAATTTTCCGCCGCCAACTTCCATGCTATTGCCAGTAATCGGGTCTTTGATAGTCAATAGCTCCTTCTTTACCGACACTTGCTTGTTCTTCGTATGCAGCTCAATGCGTGCTTCGTCGTTCATGGTGTCTTTGACGATACCCAAGAGACCCTTGTATGCGCCCTTGCGAATAACGACAGTCTTTCCGATCAGCTTGTCGCGACCGAAGTTTCGCGGTGGAGGCATAGCACTGGGATTGCCGTTCGCACTTGCATTGAGGGCGGGGTTTATGCCGCTGAGATCTGGACCTTGTGCTTGCGCACGACCGCTCTTCGCGGCCATGGTAACGACGTTGGCGCTGCGAACAACGAAGATGCCGTGATTCTCGACTAATTCGCGGCTCTGAACGAATAGAATCCCGCGATGAATGTAGAGGACTTTGCCTTGGCGGCCTTCACCACCAAACTCCTTAACGTCATCTTCATGCCTAATCTCAGACCCATCGCGGTCAGTCGCGACAGCATGCTTGTTTCGGCCAATGACCTGCGATACCTGGGTGTGGAGAAGCGTTCGAACGTCGCCCTGTTGGTCAATTACACGCAGAACCTCACGATCGACCCGGACCACGCAGCCTATTGTGGAGGCACTATCTTATGTTAGCTTGATGTCATCTGTCTCGATCCAGAATCAACTTACTCAATCTGCACAAGATCGTAGAGGTCGAAGTTGGAGTCAAGGCCAACAGTCGCAGAATCCGCGGCACGCTTCAAGTCTTTGCTAAAGACGGTGATCTCGACCTGGGTTGAATCACAAAGCAGAGTGATCTTATCATCCCTGATCTTGGTTACCATACCGACTTCGTCGACGTATCTGCTGCCACCGATGACTTTGACGTGATCACCCTCACGGAAGAGCTTCCGCAGTGTCTTGACAGGTGCATCAATCCTCCTGCCCTTGAGTTCGCCCTCACTGACGCGAAGCGTAACGATGTCGCCCGTTACTGTGACAGTAGTGCCGCGAATGCCCTTTTGTTCACCCGTGTATATCTCAACATTGTCTCCAGCGGCGAAGGCAGCACCAGAGTCGGCGGCCTTTTGCGCAGCCTGGACTGCTAACAGATCCAGAGTTTCGGTGCCGTCGGCGTTCTGAACTGAGAAGAACTGCAGTTCTTCCATCTTTGGGTTCACTCGTTCCGTGGAGACCCAATTCACCTTGACGTCCTTGATGAGGAAACCGTTCTGGTAGTCTTCGCCTTTGTATGTGTATTGCCTCTGGTTACCCGAGCCGGCCATGGTGAGATGCTTCATGTGTCGCTTCTTCGCCTCGACCTCGTTGAACAACTTCGCGGGAGGACGCTCTGTTTGCCGGCCAAAGAAACCGCGCTTGCGCTTATTGTCGGCGGCAGCATTGGTGTCTTCATTCATGCCATAATCCAAACGGGGTACCAGCTGTACGACACAGTCGAGGCCGTTCGTAGCGACCTCGACTATCCTTGCCAGATCTCCCTTGTATGTCGGCGGTCGCAGCATGCGCACAAATTTACCCGCTTCCAGTGGCGCCCTCTTCTTCTTTCGTAGGAGATCCGGGCGCTCCTTGGGGGGGATGGAGAACTGTCCGGAGCCCATGAAGATATTCTGGATGCCATCAATCAACTCTATAACGGCCTGGTTCGAGTCGGCTTCTACGTAGAGAAAGCCAGACTGAGGTCCAGAAGGTCCACGCTCAAAAGCCGAGTATACATTTATAGGCTGCTTTGTTCGCATCTTATCGTCGATGCGCTTTTGAATGGCCATGATGATCTCGCGCTCCTTTCCAGGCCGGCATTTGCATCCCCAAATAGCCGGGTCGTTTACGGTTGGGAGTTCGAGGGGGACAGCACCTGCAGCGCCTCGACGGGCGCTCTGCATTTCCCGCCGCCTGTACTTCTCGTCGAACTCCTTGGCGAGCTCTTCGACGTCCTTTTGTGCGTTGGCTTCGCGCCGCATATCGAGTTCGCGGTGATGGCGGTCATCGAGGTCAGCGCCCGTGGGCTCGAGGAGGTCGTCGGGGTGCACTTCATCGGCGATATCGTCGTCGCCCTCTTCGTCCTCTTCCTCGTCCTCGTCGACTTCGGCTTCGTTATCAATGAACATGTTGCGCTTCGCCTTCTTCCGTCGTTTAGCGGGTCGTGCCTAACCAAGTCAGCGTTGTAGAAGTGAGATCAAGACCTTGTATGCGTACAACAACGTCATCCTCGTCCTCATCCTCTTCGTCGTCTTCCTCATCATCGTCATTGTCAAGGTCTATACCACCGCCTTCCTCATCCTCGTCGTCGTTGCCTATCCTAGTAGGCGCGTCGACCTCGTCTTCTTCATCCTCGTCCTCAACGGCTGGTCTGCGCGAGGCAGTTTGATTCGGGCCGGCGTCGTCCTCGTCGATCTCAGGCGCTGGGTTGAAGTCCTCTTCCTCCGACTCGCCGCCGCTGCCGTAGGAGGCCATTATAGGGGGACGTGGTAGACTTGAGGGATGAGATTCTTCGGGAGAAGCTGTCGCGGAGCTTGTTAGTCTGGCCGCAGCAGGTAGACACGCGCGGGGGTCCGGTTCTTCCGCGGTTTGAGTTGAGAGGCAAGTGCGTAATAGAGGGATGAGGGCAAGGAGAGATAAGATGTAAAGTCGAGCGTCGACGGCGGCGGGCTTTGTTTTTAGCCTTGGGGCTCGTCAGACAAGGTGTATCCAAAGAAACCGCGCTAGGGCATGCGCCGTGGTCCGTGCCCTCGCAAGCCACAGCTTCGATGCGGATGCCCACAGGAAACGTTACGCGCAGCACTCTCTTACTTGACCTGTCCAAGTCACATTATCTTCCAAGCTATCTAGTCGTATTACACACATCGGGAAGCCATGATTCAGGTCTTCTCTCCATCAAACTTTAGGTGATCAGACCACGACACTGCACTTTGACGGACCTATCTCTAAGCTACAACGTAATCACGAATATCTCCGCTCCCAAAGTACACCCCCATAGGCTGTAAATAGCACAACAGGGAGTCGTGGGGCGTAGGTACTTCTAAATCCATTATTGATCTATCAAAGCTTCGGCTTTGTGCCTGCTTCAGTCTCAGCCTCTTCATTGATTCTCAATACGGCCCTTCCCCAAGCCTTGTGCCTTCTCGCATCGTCCAACGCCCGCGGTACTGCTTCCAAACCCCAATACTCTTCCTTGTATATAACTGGCTGTATCTTCCCAGCGTCGACTAATCTCATGAACCCATTCCACGCATCTGTGGTCCGTTGCGGCTCCTTTCTCCCGTCTTCGCCAAATCTCTGAGCTCTAGTTAGCACGGGAGAATGTAACGTGCAAGGGGAGGACTTACGTATCCATGAACCATGACACTCTTCAATAATATCCTGTTCGCCCGGATGTTCTCAACGTTCCCATCTCTTGCCGCAAATCCTACAATCACAAGGCGTCCGCGATATCTCAGACACTTGACTCCACTCTCCACAGCACCAATACCATCATACACGACGTCCACTCCCTCGCCCTCACTCGTCAAAGCCTTCACCTTCTCTTCCCACTTGTTGTCATGGTAATCAACGGTAGCATCAGCGCCGATCTTCTTTACCATCTCCGCCTTCTCCTTGTCCCCAACAACAGCGATAACTTTCGCCCCAAGTGCTTTCGCAATCTGCACAGCCATAACTCCAAGGCCACCACTCGCACCAAGGACTAGGACTGTTTCGCCAGCTTTGAGTTGCGCTACGGAGATCAAGGCGCCATAGCTTACAGCTCCACTTGCGCCGACTGCGCATGCTAATGCGTTCGTCCATTGCCCAGGAACGCGTCTTACACTATCTTCAAGTACGCATATCTCTTCTGCGTAGGCGCCCAGGCTGCCACCCCACACCCTAACACCAGGTCTGAGAGAGGATTCTGGTGGTGCAGAAATGACGACGCCAGCGAACTCATTGCCGAGAATGAAAGGTGGCTTCACGTGTCGTTTGTTGTTCTGGTGCATGCCTTGAGCGTAGAGGAGGTCGACGTGAGTTATCGATGCATGTGTGACCTTAATATGTAGATCGTGCGATCCTTTAGGCTTTGGATCGGGTACAACTCGAGGCTCAAGATCTGTGAGGTTCTATATCACAAGTGTAAGCTAGGTTCATCATGCGTAGTAGTTGGGCTCACTGTAACGAAGTGATTTATTTGGATAGCCTTCATAATGGGCAACCTCTTGGGAAGTCCACAATTGTTACTGATACGCCTCTAAAGAAGGATTGCAGCATCTTTAAGTCATCTGGTAGGTGAGATGCGAGATGGCAAGATGCAATGCGGGAGATCGACGTGCGTGTGGGGTAACTTACCGAGGTTTGACTACTCACAGCAACTCCGGCATTCATCTTCCATCCCAACCTCGAGGAAGAACTGTGAATGTGGAGGCTATTTCATAATCAAATAGTCTACAATGATTCATCGTTCACTTGGAGGTCAACCTGCACGTCAATCATCGCTCTAGAATTCATAAAAGAAAGAAGACCTGATTGAGGTGTCAAAGGGGCGATGATAGAGAGACATGAAGGGCAAAGGGCGTAAACCGAGAAGCATCGATTAAAGACTGGTGGTTATGAATGGAATATACATAGGGCTGAAAGTCCACTCCTTCTATGCAATGGCGCAGGATGAGGCTTAATGTCTCAACCACTTGGGCAGTGAGTGAAAGCCCTCTTCACAGCTCTTTCTCCTCTTCGTCTCCCCGAGGCTCCGAAACAACATGCTACACCTCGACTACTCTTTCATTCACATTCGGGAAGTAGCGTTCACCTTCACCTTGAAATGCTGCCTAATTCGTCGCCTGCTTCAATCAACACTCGGCCGTGACACGCGCCACAATACGCTCAACCCATTAGCTCTACAACCTAATCTTTCTTCGCTACTTTCTCATTCCTAATTCTCAATATCAACCAAAACCCTTCAATTACCACTAGTGGAGCGAATCAACTTCCAACATGGCGGGTAGCCTAACACAAGACGCGGCAGATGGCCGATCAAGTCGTGTAGCAGACAATGCAGCGGACGATGAAGGTTTCCCTTGGCCACCCAGCAATCGATCGCCAGACCCAGGTCACATGAAGTTCTCCCGAACTAGCTACAGCCTCAAGCTGTCAGACCCGTCATCAAAAGATACCGTTATCGTCAAAGTGGGAAGCGAACCTGATGTCAGTACCTTCCACCTTCCCACAAGCGCCCTACAAGCGAGCTCCGAATTCTTCACACGCGCCTTAAAGCCAGAGTGGACCAAGAACTCGTCACGGCTAATACGTCTACCAGATGTCGACGCTGCGCTGTTCGACTTGTATGCACGATGGTTGGGAACGGGTGCGGAAATCATGATAGATGAAGATGATTGGAAGGCCGAGTATACCGAGTATCTAATATGGCGACACACGTTGGAACACGGCCAACAGAGTGGGAAGTCCGACGACGAACAGCTCATATGCCCGGCCACAGTGTGGGACTTTGATTTAACAACCGAAGCTTGGTTCCTGGGGGATTACCTCCAGAGCCGCGACTTTCAAAACCACTGCATGGGCCATCTCTACTATATGCACCTCCGCTTCGATCGGCTCCTATCGGAAGAAGAGTATGCTGATGAAGCTGCCGATTATCCCGAGTCCTGGCACTACGGAACAATAGCTTTTGTCCAAGCCGAGGACGTGCTGTTCACCTGGAGCATGACGGAGCATCAGAGCGGTGAGACGCCCTTTCTCTTGGAACAGCATCCGCTGAGGCGATTCTACCTCGCCTGGCTGACGCGTTACTGGGACGCATACGAACTGTCGGATTGGGACTACGAGACGCAGAACGATCTAGTGAAACTGATTGAGAAGTGTCCTGACCTAGTGTACAAGCACCTTCGGAGTAGTATGGTATGCGCGAAGGACCGGCAGGATGTGACCATGGGTGTGCTCGGTGCCTACTGGGTCGATATTGACGCCTATCCGAAGGCAACCCAGTGGAAGGCCCAGGATGTTGTCGAAACGGCTGGGACGCATTGGCGTAGGGTTGTATGGCGTGCACCACAGCCGGACGAACTATGATAACTTGTAACTCAGCACAGTATAGTTAGAGGCCTTTGCGTGCTCATCGAAGCTCAAGCTCGCCAGAAAACTAGTCTTGAAGCTCTCCAGGCTACACTACTGAGAACTTACAAGCCCGTGCTAATAGCTGAATGGGCCGTTATTCACGCTAGGTAGGCTGTCAAAAAATACGGTATTATCAAGCCCTGCTTCCACAGGTAGGTAATCCATCAAGTCTTCGAACCCTAGTGCGTCAATGTCGAAGTTGAACTGCGCAGCTTCGTCTTGCGACAGAGGCACCTCAGGATCCGAAGGCAGCATTTGATTTTGTGACGTACTAACGGCGTCCGGAACGCTGACGTCCGTCATGGTAGCAGGAATACCTGGGCAGGCCTGATTGACATTCGACCTCGACCCTTCCAATATCTTGTTGTACTCCTGGAGCAGTGACACGAGTAATCGTACCCCGTGGATTGCGACCGAACTCGTGATAAATTGCTGCAAAAACCTGATCGCTTTCTGCACACAAGCTTGGTATTCCTGCGCTTCTGGTTCATTCTCGGTGCGATTGAATAGATCCAGTATAAGGCAGGTAGCCGCTGTTACAATGAATGCCTGTTCCACCCACCACTGAGGCTCTTCAGCCTCTCGCGTCGTGTACATGTTGATGATCTGCTTCGAAGCAGTTGCGCATGCCCATCTGCTGTATGTATACCGCACATTTTTGAAACTCTTGCTCAGGAAGACTTGGTGAATCATGATAATCTTATGATTAACAGACGCCTGATGCAACCTCCGGGCCCATACCACCCATTTTGGCCAATTGGGGTTGTAAGGTGCGCGAGGGGAGAAACATTTTGGGATCTTTTCGATGCATGTTGCGCGCATTTCGCCATCGAACCTGACAACCCTGGCATATTTTGTCTGATCGTCATCATTCTCGCCGTCCAACACGGCATTGTGGAACTTGAGGAGTAGAGCGGCGTAGTCAAAGAAGTAGTTGCCGACCAACGTGCACGTAGGCGTTGCATCGTCGATGGGTGTCATGGTTTCCTCATCGAGATCCTTTGGTCTGGCGGTAGTGAAGTGGCGCATTTGGATGCCTACGGCAAGAGTGCTTTGTGAAGCTGCACATAGCCTAGAGGTGGTGCTACAGTCAGCCGTGTACTATATCTCTCCCAATGCAAAAACGAGTTCACAAATGTAAGATACGCACCATTCCTGACAAGTCAAGGTATACCAAGTTCGACGGCCTATCTCGCGTTCAACGAACGCTTGCTTCTGCTCCGCGTTCAGCTCGAGGATCCTGTCGTCGTCTGGATGAGGCCCTAGTTTGTGGAGTCCTAACCCCTTGGCAATGACCACAGCAACACTCCGCAGGGCAGTCCACTGATTGGTGGAGCCAACCAGATGCTCGTACGCATGCATAATGTAGATCGCATGAACCGAGTATATGTGATACTGGGAAGTGTAGTTGCCCATGTTGAGACATGATAAAGAAGCGGCACCCCATTCTCGCGCTAGGCGGATTTTGTCGTCGATAGAGAACCCCCAAGCGTGGGAGACATTTTCCGAAGAACCGATTATGCTCGAAGAAAGTATCGCGAATAGAAGGCCTGTCCAACGCCAATCTAAGCTTTGCCTGCCCATAGGTTAACATGAGTGGGTCTGATGGCTGTGAAGAGTGCAATCTGGTGCAGGGGCCATGTAAGATCATTATATGGGTACGTACAGGTCCAGCTCCTGAGATTCACCGTAGCCTTCGAGGAGCTTTTTCCGAAAAGTCGGACCGTGGTATATTCCACCGCTCCAGTATAACATGAAGTGCTCATAATACTCGACGATTTGAACTAGCTGTGTTTTTGATGGCAAAAGTGATTGAACATGCTGGATTTCTACGGCTCTGGCAGCCGAGGAGAGATAACTGGCAATAGTAGGACAATTTTTGGATCTTGACTGAACATTTCTGAAGCTCTGGTCAAATAGACCCTGCTGTGCATGTTGATCTTTTTCGGATAGAAAGGTTCCAATAGTGATATCTTTGAGTTTCGAAGGCCAGACGGTTCCCAGGGATTGCGCCTCTTCTGCAGTAGGAGTCTGTACATGCGAAGGCAAGCCCTGGCCCCTGTATCCTGAGTCGTTGTTTGTTGCTAGATCGGGAGGAGAAACGACGTCCAATGAGGAAGCCGTTCCATCTGATGAACTGGCGGGTGGCTGGTAGGGTACTGTGGGATGTGTTTTTGCGGGGTACTTGCGATGTAAAGTGGGGTTGTAGCCATTAACCCACTTGGTCGTGCATAGGTGACCTTCGCTGTTTTGCACGCACCTCGTGCAAGGAGCTTTCCGGTCGCATTTCTGTCGACGTTGGCTGCAACGCGTACATGTTTGGCGCTGTTTAGGCATCGCCACCAAACGTGGTATGCTTTACTCCGATTGGTTTCGCACAACAGATCCAAGCAGCGTCTCCGTTCCGTTGAAGAGAGGTTGTCCGCGTCGACTCTCGTTGATGGTATGGTCCGACAGTGGTTGTACTTCTTCAGGGGTGAACGGAACAAGAGCGATGGGCGCGGCGGGCGAAACCATTCGTTGGGCAGTGCGATTGTACGGCATTTGTACATCGATTGTACGATTTATGTAGTACGACCGTACAAACCGATGCACAGTGGCGCGGTGCAGTCTAGGCGTCGCTGGGCATAGTGGAGATTGGTGGTACGAAGCAACTGTTTGCGGAGGCACTAGGCGGCCTGACCCGGCCCGGGGATAGCGGACATCTAACGCCCTGACCGGTTCCCACTCTGTACTGAGTTGAAATAGCATGAGAAGGAAATATCGAAATCATGACCTGGATCTTGAGAGACATCTAAATTCTAAATTTTAAGTATGGAGTGGGAATCTATCGCTAACGCCTGGAATGCTTGCAGTAATCATCAGGCGAACCTCCTGGTAGTTGCAACCCTATTACAATCATACTACTTCCAAAGTACACCCATAAACTGCTCACAGCCAAGGAGTTCATTCAGTGCTTTCCTGCTTATTTTACAACGTCTATCGTGGTATTTCCATAGAATTAGTCGGTCCCTAGACCCTCACAAGCAACCGCCACTTCGCAATGTACATTCTCGTACAGAAGAACATAGATGCGCCGGCTAGTAGCATGATACCCGCAAAGACGTTCAAGCCCCAGTATTTCCCGTTGTTTCTCGACACAATAGCGCCTGCAATCGGATTGCCAACCAGACCCGCGAATGAGATGGAGGCAAAGATAACCCCTACGCGTAGACCGATCTGCTCGACTTTCGAGATGTGCGCTATCTGAGCGGGAAGTAGAGACACAAAAGCGCCAGATGAAAAACCGTAGATAGCTGCGAATGTAATATATGCTGCGTTACCGGATGCGGGAAGACCGAGGGCAAGGACGATGATGCCTGCGACCGAGCACCAAAGCGCCTGCATGTTGAATTTGCCAACTTTGTCTGCAAGAGCGCCGGGGATGATCCGACCGAAAATGCTATAATAAAAGCGTAAGCATATGCACCAAGTCAGGAATTCAGCAGCACTTACCTAGCGGCGTTGAGAACAGCCAGAAGATATCCCGCGAGGCGAACGGACATGCCATTAGCGATTGCCTGCACTTCGATAAAGTTGATGGGGATGAATAGTCCGAAGAAAAAGAGGAACGACGAAGTGGTGAGCAAGACGAAGCTAACGTCATGGAAGGGTTCCAGGAAGACCTTCAGCTGGAATGGACGAGGCCTGGGCGGAAGTCGGGATTTGACTGTGAGGCCAGCGATGCACATGAGACCCAAGATCACGAATGCAATGGTGCGCATTGTCCACCCGTAACCGATCTTAGGAATGAGATGGGACGCCATGATTGGAAAGATAATGCCGCCGAGTCCACTACCGGCTGCCATCATGCCGTATGAGATACCTCGCTTCTTGAGGAACCAAGTCGGGATGGAGCTTGTTCCCGCCTGGAAAATGCAATTCAACCCTAAAGGACTGCATATGCCCTGAGCCAAGACGAACTGCCAGAACTCAGTGCACAGACTGGTCATCATGAGGCCGAATACATGCATGAGCGTTCCGAATATGAGTATGTATCTGGGACCGTGGTTGTCGTAGACCCATCCTACGATTGGGCCGGGCAGGAACATGCAGAAGATCTCCAGCGAGGCGATCCAGGCGATTGTCGAAGGCGAATAGTCGCGGAGTTGGTTCCTCTGATAATAGTTCTGGAAGATGCCCAAGCAGTTGATCCAACCGAACGAGCAAAACAAGCAGCAAGCTGCTCCGAGCAGACATAGATACGCGTCTTTGCCACCATCCGGGAATTGGCTTGGGTGCCATGGGCTTACTGCTTCGGGTGCTGTTGTAGGTTCGATCGATTCGGGTTGCTTCTCGATGATTGGCGGCTGCTCGATATCGGTGTTTGGTCTTCGTTGCTTCTCCCCGTCGATAGACGAGGTTGCGCTTGGTGTGAGCGACATGCTGAGATATGCTGCGAATCCGATGGTAACAGGAAAGAGAAAAGCTAGTATGACACACTCTACCAGCAAGTGCGAAGTACGATGATTAAGTAGTCTGCATGTGGAAAATTTGACGGTGAACAGGAGCCTCTTAAAACCGAGCCCCCCGTCTATGTACGATAAGGCGCTTGCTTCGTACATCAGCCATACCAACAAACGGCCTCGTCTCGGCGCTCGCTCTTAGGTATCCACCGAGCAATACCATAACAATGCTTCGTTATTGACCAGAAGCGAAAAGGCTACGTCAGTCTAGGTAATACATTCCGGTGATCTGCGTAAGCGTTGGGAAGATCGACTCATACGGATCGGATCGGAGAAGTCGGGCTGTGGCGCAAGTCCGCACGATATCCGGGTATTGACTCGCGACCTCATCACAGCAATGAGTTGAAGCCTGAATATCTTCAAATCCCTATACAGTTGCTAAGTAAAGAAGTAAAGAAGGCCCTATAGCGTGAATACACCAGGCTACCCTGAGCCAGCAGCGTTTCCCCTCCCTTCTGAGTTGTGATTTAGGGTGGCCGAAACATTTTGGTGCACCTACTGATTGCTACACGTCGACTGCGATATGCAACTGACCCTACCTAATGATCAATAGCGTTGGTCCGAGGTCTGCAACAGTTGTGGCTAGTCTAGCCTTGAGTGAGCATATGGTAGCCTGCCGTCTGCTAGAGGAATGTTGCGGGCTACCGCCGACCCCGATTGCGGCCCAATGTCATAACTGGGCTAAATCTTCGAGGCACCCTCATCTAGTATACGGACAGCGGCGGTATGCAGAAGCAGTGGCGACGACTTTGGTGATCTCGACTGTAGGGCGGCTTAGGTAAGTGAACTCTTACACACCACCAACCCTTGCTATCTCACATGTTAGTCCGGAGATGGGTCTAACCTTAGGCCTACTATAAAGGTCAGCATAGCCATCCAAATCAATTCTATCTCTTTCATAAGGACATAAGTGACGTCCAAGGGGAGCAAAGAGGCAGAGCCACAGGTATGTACCCCTGAATTGTTGTTCGCTCTGCAGAGCCTTGCTTAGGTGATGAGTCTGTAGGAAAATTTCGTGGAGTTTTGATAATTCAGCAAGATGATTCATCTGGAGTTGTTGTCGAGCTGTTTCTGTTCGTCTCTACACATCTCTACACAATTGCGTGATGATGGATGGATGAGGTAGAGTGCGGGTTCGGCTGATTGGGCAGGCGCACAGACTCCATCGATCTTTCCATTTTGCCTTCCATTTCAGTGTGCTCCTCACTAGCACACTGCCTGCACGCGCACACTACCTCTATCGACCTGCTCCGTCATTGCTCACTTCCATTCCATCACTCCCTCATCCTGTAAGACGTATATATCACCAAATAATTGGACAACCGCCATTTCACCTCGCCCCTTAGACTGATATCCTCCGCCTCTCTGGCCTTCGTGCGATCCCTCCTACGAGCTTCGGTATGTGCACTCAAGCTCATCGCGGTTCCATACAAGTCTAATTACACCAGGTTTTATAGATAACAGGTCTATTCCTTGTTACTTTGCGCCCTCACTTGCCGCCGCAGCTCCCTACAGCCTCCGTCCAATTATATTCTCGTCGTCCCCTCCAAAATGGCTACCACCGAATCGTCTGGCCCAGTCAACGGCAACTATGCGCCCCAAAGCTACGAGAACAGCTACTCTACCGGCGCCTCCAACTTCACACCCTCGCAGCAACCGACTGCCGGCCAGCCCGCGCAACAAGCATCTGCCTCTGAGATCCCCAAGGACGAGGTTGGCTGGTACTTCGTCGAGCAATACTACACCACCCTCAGCAAGAGCCCCGACCGACTCTATGTAAGGCGCCTTCTGCCACTTAATCATGTGAAAAGGCACGCGACTGACTAGATCGCAGCTTTTCTACAACAAGCGTTCCCAGTACGTCTCCGGCGTCGAAGAGGACAAGGTCAATGTCTGTCTCGGCCAGAAGGTAAGCCAACAATTGCCGACTGTAGGTATGCAGAACTGATGAATATGCAGGCTATCAACGAGCGCATCAAAGAGCTGGATTTCAAGGACACCAAAGTCCGCGTTACCAACGTCGACTCGCAGGGCTCCGATGCCAACATCGTGATCCAGGTCATTGGCGAGATCTCCAACCAAGGCCAACCCCACAAGCGCTTCGCCCAGACCTTTGTTCTCGCAGAGCAGACGAACGGATACTTTGTCTTGAACGATATCTTCCGTTACCTCGCTGAAGAGCCTGAAGAGGAGGAAGAGGTCCCACAAGAGTCGGTTGCTGCCGCCACCGCCAATGGCGTTCACGAGCCTGCCCCTACAGCCGCCGCCACCGAGAACGAGTCTCTCAACCGCAGTGAGGAGCTCGCGACAAGCGAGGAGGATTTGACCAAGGTGGATCATAAGCTCGAGGAGGTTGCGCAAGCGGAGCCATCTGCCAAGGAGGCCTCGCCTGCTGCGCCCATTGAACAGGTCCCGGAGAAGACTGAGCAGCCTGAAGCTGCAGAAGCGCCAGCAGCTGTTACCGAGAATGTCCCCAGCAAAGAATCCGACGCTCCAGCTGCGGAGACTGTCGAGTCTGAGAGGCCCAAGGCACCGGCCCCAACCCCCGCTACATCCAAGGCTGCTCCCGTCGCGATGCCAACAGGTCCACCAAAGCCTGCCGCCCCCAGGACCTGGGCCAGTCTTGCCGCCTCCGCACACAAAGTCGCTACCCCAGTTGTCGCCGCTCCAGCCGCTCAACAGGCCCCGGCGCAGCCCAAGGGGGCCTCGTCCACTCAGCCCGCAGCGGCCGCGCCTGCTCAGACTTCAGCGCCTGCGCGCGACCAGTCCCCTGCAACAAGCCAGGGTGAGGCAACAGGCTGGCAAAGCGTTACAGGACACAAGAAGGAGCCATCCCGCGCCCAGATCCAAGGACCTCCAGCCGATGCTGACCAGAAGCGTGCCTACATCAAGAATGTCTACAGTCAGGTCGAGGAAGCCGCCCTGAGGACCGCTCTTACCAAGTATGGTGAGGTCGAGTATATCGACATCAGCCGCCCCAAGGTGAGCAACACAGCTTTGTATCATACAGAATAGTGCTAATGTGCATGCAGAACTGTGCTTTTGTCGATTTCAAGACACCTGCTGGCTTCCAGGCCGCTATCGCCGCCAACCCCCATTCTATCAACGGTGTCGAGCTCAAGATTGAGGAGCGCCGTCAGCGTCCTGAGCAGTTCCGTGGCGGCTTCTCTCGCGGTGCTCCCCGTGGCCGTGGAGGCGTCGGCGGACAAGCTCCTCGTGGGGGCTTCCAAGCTCGCGGCCGCGGCGGACCCGTCCGTGGCGGTCGAGGCGCTCCCCAGGACGCATGAATGCGGTGAAACTTCTTTTCCTTTTCCGCCAACTCCATATTTTCTCTTTCTCACATGTTTCAACGGGTCGGTTTCGACCCACGTCATTTCCTAACGACTGACGGCTTTGGCTATGTACTGTACTCGGCCCTTCAGCGCTTGTATAAAAGTCATCATACTTCGAGGAAAAGTCTGGGCGTACGCGTGCATAGCGAGTGGTTCCCTTCTTGCATGTCCTTTTCTTGTACCCTTATGTATCCGTTCAGCCCCATGTTTAGCAAATTTCTTCTACTTCGGCGCGAATCTTTCGACACGTAATGTATGTGGATGGCTATTTGATGGTTCCAGGGCTGGATACGGATATGGACCAGGAAGGAATCTGTGTGGCGGGCACGGTGTACCGTTGGTTGTTCTACTTGTACAGCATGTGGCGCCGGCGACAACGGAGCGAGGGAGATGGACATAGTGACTATACAGTACGATCATACAGAAATGAGATAGTACAAGCATGACGGTCGTCGAAAGCAAGCATCCGTGATTGATGTCCTTGATTAGCCCGATAACGTCACCTGACAGTGCGCCAGCGAGAGATGATTCGTGCACGAGTGAGCGCCGCACCTGCATCAGCGACAGCCACATGGAAGTACCGACAACCCTCCATGCCTGCACACACGACTTGATCAGAGGAACTTCCGTCCCTTGAACGAACGCAACCTTTCTGTCTGTTCAAATCGACCCTCTAGCGCCTTAATCGCGAGACGCAGGCTAGGACCACGGCCCAAGCTTAACGCGGGGTCTCCGGTGGGGCGTTGCGCGGTGGTCCACATCACGGTACTCGACACTGAAGCTTACTTACCACGTCCTCTTCCACGACCTCTGGCCACATTATTCTGACTGCTACATGCTCCTGAAGTTACCTGAATATGCGACCGTTACCGGGCGGTGACGCCCTCCCTCCCTCCGCGAAGCCGCGGTCTCGAAAGTCGAGCGTCGATCATCCCGCCATCACGTCGAGCAATGTCCCTACCGCCTTCTTCATGAAACGTGAAGAGGACTTGGAGCAGTCTTCGTCCGTATCTCATAGCACGGATAGCATAGGCAAATCGCGAGAGAGTACTTATGGTGTACAGAGCCTGGCAGACACACTGGAAGCCGCGTTTGGCGCGGAGAGCACGGCAGCTGGCATAAGAACAGAGGGCTGCAGTTCCACAAGAAATCATGGCAAGAAGACTTCAAGGTCAGGGTCACTCAGCTCATTAACAAGTTCTATAAGACCACCAGAGAGCTCCAAGTCGTCTCCAGTACGAAAGCTGAAGAGGAAGCTATCGAACCATGGCCCGCCTGTGCCCTTCACGCTCCCCACTACCAACGCGTCACCTCCAATACCCCCCTCAGCCATGCCTAGCTCCCCAAAGTCAGTCTCTCTACACTCACTCAAGCTTTCCGACGAAGAGTCGACTCTCGACGATCTCGCAAGTCAAGCAATTACGTCCAGTGGAGAGGAGGAAGAGGATGCAACTGTACAGGAAGATGCCGTGAGCAGCTTTCCACAGCTTGTCATGCCCAGTATACAGATGCCAACAAGGAGGCCTTTTACCACCAAGGGCAAGGCCATGGGCAAGCTAAAGATAATGGTTGCCGGACAGACAGGTACGTGCACTAGACGCAACAAGCGTCCGAGGCAACCGTGACAGTACTGACAAGGTCATGGAGGTATCGGCAAAACATCTCTCATTCGATCGATTGTCCAGCTTTGCGAAGACATCGTCCACGTGGACCCTCTCTCCCCTTCTCAATCATTCTCTCATCCACCACCACCCAAGTCCAAGTCTCGTAAGGGCAAGACAGAACATACAGCCACTACACGAATAACGGAGATTCACGCCAGTACCAAGCCTTACCCTCACTGGTGGACAGACGTCGAAGAGAGTCGCATTTTGCGGAGGAGAAAAAGCAGCGTCGACGCTGTTTTGGAACGGAATATCTGCTTCGTGGACACGCCCGGCTACACCCAGGGGTCATCAGAAAACGAGGATATGAACCTCGTGGCGGACTATGTAGAGTCTCTTCTATATCAAACATCATCAGTAACATCCATGGAAGACAGCGATCTGCTTGGGGTTGTTAGCGGAATTGGTGGCATCCTGATAGACGCTGTGCTCTATCTTTTAGCACCAAGTACGTCCGAACGATCGCACACACCGCGCACTTATGCTGACTTTACTAAAGACCAGGATATATCCAAGGATATTGAGTTCATGCGGCGCCTGTCATATCTTACCAACGTCATCCCTGTCATAGCAAGGTCGGATACGCTTTCTGCACAAGAGGCTATCGCTATGAAGACATCCATTCTCGCTCGGTTGCAGACAACATCTATTAAGCCCTTCTTCTTTGGGAAGGCTCTAGATGATGCCCTCCTTGCCGCGCAGGGACTTTCTGTCGTACATTCGCTGTCAACTCCGCCATCTTCCTTCCAGCCCGAGGTACCGACGGAGCCATCTCAATACCCCCTCAATACCCCGACATACCCTTATGCAATATCCTCGATATCTGGGCCAGACAATGAGAACATGGATGCTTCGCTTCTCATGTCAGCCGATTATGTGCAACCCCTTCTGCCCTCCGAACTCATCCCGCTGGTCAACCAAGTTTTCGACCCCGAATCTATTGCCTGGCTTCGACACTCGGCAGCAAAGAAGTTCCTCGCATGGCGGCGGAGGACGAAATTTCCCGGAGACTTGTTCGCGATGCAAGGCGTACAACAACCACGCAGCCCGACAACGGCTTCAGTGGGGCTCAATGTGGCCGCTATGAACGGTAAGCGCCAAATCGCTGTCCTTTGGCACGGGCTAACCTCTTTTCCAGCGTCTACGACTTCCTCGATTTTCTCAGCTGCTTCACCGTCAGGGGTTCTGGTTCCACGTTCGGGCTCACCCTTTTACCCTTCGAATCTACAGTCTCCGTTCCTCGCGTCTTCTGCTTCGTTAGCTAACTCCGACACTTTGGAGTGCCCAGCCGATTTTTCACTAACGCGATATGTCAACTACGCGCAGGGTGAACAGCGACCATCGGATGTAAGGATCGGGAAATGGGCAACGGATCTTCAACGCAGCCTGCGCAATGAGCGTGACAGATTTGAAGAGCTACAACGCAACGACCGCGCAAAATGGCTGCTCGAGCGCGTCGGCGAAGAAGTTTCAAGAGGCACAATCGTCACATCACCTGGTGGCTCACCAAGAGCTGAGTGGGCCGTTGTCAGGCATGGTGATGAAAAGGCCAGTAAAGCAGGCCAACGATACAGCAAAGCTGCTAGTCTAGATTCTCGAGATCCTCTCGGCCTTTGCAACTTCAGCGACGAAGTTCGGAGAAGAAGTTTCGTCCTGGTCAAGGTATTGGGTGGTATGAGTGTGCTGGGCGCGGTTGTTATTGCAGTTGTTAGAGCCTGTGGTATGGAGACGGGGTTGCCACAGGGCGGATGGTGGAATTGGTTGACGGGTGGCGCGGAGTAGGACTACTCCCTTACGTCGAGGCGTCTGGTGAGTGCATTGCTGTTCAGGGCGGAGTTCACGGTGTGAGTGCGTGCAATGGTGTTGTTGGCTGCATATACCCAGGTTTCTGGGACTAGATACTGATACGTGCACAGCGAACACCTTCCCAACTGGGTGTTTGTTGTGCTAGGTACTTTCAATTTCACGGGAACAACTTTACTCTTTAGAGTTTATATCAGCTCGTTTATGTTACCAATACGAGCCAAACGGAGGGAGTCGAGGGATTAACATCTCATATACACGTGATCACGCGTATCTAGCGTCTTGGCAGCTGCCCTCCATCAGTTCACTTCGTGTCTTCTCCTCCCACACTAACTGCAGTTAAGACCACTCTAAACTAGAGACATCCTGGTGCTAGTATGTCGCTCCCGCATATCTTCATGTCAATCTTTTAGAGGCAAGACAAGGCTAGTTAACGCTTACAATTTATTCACAAGACTTGCCCTAAATCATTCACGCAGATCGTCAATACCTTCCCGCATAGCCTAATTTATTGTCATACATTCCCATGTACACGGCCTCCACAATACCGAAGCCTTGATTCCTAAGAGTCAGTTGCCTTGTTCTCTCTTTGTTTTCTGAAGTGCGTGGCGCACTTGATTCCCCTATTCCCGGCGTTGAGGACTTCAACTTAGCTCACGTCCACGCAGTCTTTGTTTAGGGATAGACGTCTACGTCCACAGAACTAAAAGGCCGGAGTGCTCCGTCTACACAAACTTCTAGACAATCATCGGGCTCCTCTGGAATGTTATGGATGAAAGGTTTGTAGTTACGTGGGGTCTTCTAAGATAGGCTCAAGTTAATAGTCAACAAGAATTGGACCTTCTTATCAAACTTTCTACTCTCGATGACTATGGGTGAGTTTGATGCGACCTATGGTCAGGTATAGATAAGTCACTCGGTTTCAGGCCATGTTCTGGTCGTAGTAAGACAACAAAAAACTTAGTGTAATAAATGTACCCACATAAATGACTCTCCGCATCAAGTATAAACGCGCCGTCAAGCATACACTAATTGTAAGAGTGAAACACGACAGGGCTGAGATCTAGTTGGAGCAGTACTAGTGGCTTGGCGAGGACAAAGCTCCGACACAGTTTCGTGAACTCCATCGGGTACAACCATTGTCTCGTCTGCAGCATCCCCCTCCACCCTCCTCATCCGCTACTAACTATCCAAGTCGACGGTACGCCATTATTGATCCAGCGACCTAAGCTGAGATCTGTCAGCGTCGGAGGCCTTCAGCGACTGTCCGAGAGTTCTGTTACCTCCCGAGCCGCGCGCCCCTTGTCGAGTCGCGCTACAGTTCATCAACGACCTCATCTAGCGTTATCATCACACATACGCGCCCACCATGCCAGAATACGCGAAGATGAAGAATGCCGACCTTGAGTCGCTTCTCAAGGAACGCGGTCTGCCGCACGGAGGAAAGAAGGCAGAGATGGTTGATCGCCTCATCAAGGACGACGAGAAAACCACTGCGCCCGCCAATACAAAGTCTACCGACAATGCTGAAGACGAAATTGATTGGGACGACGAGGGCGACGAAACTGCGCCGAAAGAAGACAAGCCAGCGACTACAAACGAAGAGATAATCGCGAAGGCTGGAGGTGAGGGCCAGCCACCAAATCCGCAAGCCGTACCGAACCAAGTCGCCGACATCGACCCCGCGAAGACCGACGACCTATCAGTACAGCCGCCAGCAGAAGGTGAGAAGCAAGAGAGCTCCGAGGCTCAGCCAGAAGAGAAGCAGGAGCCTGCTCCCGACTACTCAATAGGCCTTGCGGCTACTAACCTCGATGAGGAGATTGAGAAGCGCAAGAAGCGCGCGCTCAAGTTCGGCACAAAGGTCGAGGATGACGAAGGCCTGAAGAAATTAGAGCGCGCTAAGAAATTTGGAGAGTCTGCGCCGCCCAAGGGCCTCGATGAAGCTTTGCCGGAGCGCAATCGAAAGCGTGGCCGAGAAGACGGTGGTGAGGATGCGGGTGGCAACAAGCGTCGTGGCGGAGGCCGCTCCGGTGCGCGTGGAGGACGCGGCGGACGAGACAGGCGCGATAACAGGAACAGAGATGGCCGAGACGGGCGTGATGGGCGTGATAGCCGGGACAACCGTGACAGCCGAGACAACCGCAGGGACGAGAACAGATCGAGTGGTGGCGCAGGCTGGATGAACGAGAAAGACAGAGCAGCGGCTGATGCGAGGAAGGCGAAATGGGCAAATCCTGCAGCTTGATTCCAAGAATAAGCGGCGAACCCTTCTCTTCGATTCGACTTCAAAATGAACCCGGCTCCGAGCCTCGATTCCTAGGGCGGAATTGGCAAAAGAGCCACAGGCGGGACCGGCGAGCTATATGTATTAACATTTCCACGCGCGCTTTTCGAGATTGCCAGGCGAATTTCGAGCGCCCGTTTCTTCAAATCACCACGAATATATCAATTGAATGTTCATACCTTGCCACCGGTCGCCTCACCGCTTCCTTTCGGTTCCATTTCTTACTCCCGATTTTGAAAACATCCCCTCGGATGTACTTAAGCAGTTGGCAGTACGTTTGACGGAAGGCGAGGTGAAGCAATGCCTTGGATCTTTCTATCAGATCAACAAGATGCTTTTAATGTTGAGCAATGCTTCTTAGCATGCACAAACCTTGGACCAAGTCAGATGACGATTCGGCCCAACACGAGCTGTGGGTACTTCTCTCATGTTGGATATACACTGGGCACCGTCGAATCTTGTATAGAGTACTTAACCATGGTGATGAATGGCGACATATATGCCTTAATACTGTGTTAAGGTGCTGGGTATAGCACCTGAACTGTGGTTTTATACTGATTTCTCCTACTGCGTTGTATGATCCGCTCTTGCGTCGACTTTACTTTCATTCATAGAAATATGTGACTGAGCACTCAATTGACAGCGAATATTCAATAATGGGGCCATTGCTTGGCGGCTTTCATCAGATTTATGTGGCGGTCCATTCAACGCATCAAGGGCCCAATTCAACTACATCACATCTAATTAACTTGATCATACCACCCAAACTAGTTGTTTGGGAAATGTTCTTAGATGGTGCTTTTTTGCCGATGTGCGTTGGACGTTATGTAAGTCGCCTTCAATCCTCCCGACCTCGGCTCCTTTATCCCCGCACATCGACAACACTAACATCGCGAAAGGAAAAGCTTGAAATCGTCATGACGGCTGCTCTAGCGTTTGTGGCGATACTTAAACGGAATTGTTGCCGCGTAGGTGATGCGTGTCATTCCCACGTGCACGCAATTCTACCCAATATCTGTTTCTTCGGCGTTTGCCTAATTGTACATGCGCTGGCCGGGCCGTTGCATGCACGACCTAGCCTTGTCTCGCGTGAAATCAAACGCTATTGGATGTTGAAATTGACTGGCTCGACAATTGGAGGACTACAAAAGGCGTTATCTCGCTCGACTGGAATTACAAGCAGCCTTGGATCGTCGAGATGTCGCCACCACTGGGATTTGACAAGAAGAGAGACATTGAAGATATATCGATTGAGCAGGAAGAGGACAGTCGACCATCGTCAGCAGATGAACATGTTCAGAATGAAACTCGGACAAGAAGCGATGACGGAGCTCGGGATAAAGAAACACAGCCCAACGCCCTATCGACCATCACTACAGAGTCCGCAATCCCGCCACCACCTGATGGGGGTCTTCATGCATGGCTCAAAGTCTTCGGTGGCTTTATGATATACATAAACATCTGGTCCGTTCTGCTATTTCTGAAAACCACTTGGCTCCCACGACGTTAACAACTGCCAGGGGTTTTACACTAACTTACGGCACCTTCCAGTCCTACTACAAAACCGACCTGCTCTCCGGCTCTAATCCATCTGCTATATCATGGATCGGCACCGTGCAAGCCTGGCTGCTGATTTTCATTGGCGTACTCTCTGGTCCGCTTTTTGACCTGGGGTATTTCCGAAGCATGCTATTAGTCGGAAACTTCCTCGTTGTGTTTGGCATTATGATGTTGAGCTTAAGCACAAAATATTGGCAGGTGTTCTTGAGTCAGGGCGTCTGTATGGGAGTCGGGGCGGGGCTTTTATATATCCCGAGTTTAGCGATGGTGGGCATCTGGTTCTCGAGGCGGAGGGCTTTTGCTATGGGAATTGTTATGAGCGGCATCGCTGTAGGTATGTTGTATATTCTTTTCATTCTTTTCTTTTCGCTCTCAACTGGGTGGCAAGTCCATTCAGAAGAAAGGGGTGTCATGTCTGACATGCTAACGTCAGATAGGAGGAATTGTCTATATCATTATGTTTGACCGCCTCACTAAGTCCGCGGGCTTCCCGTGGGCTATCCGAGCAATGGGCTTTGTCGCGCTCGCTGCAGCTCTTCTCTCTATACCCGCTCTCCTCAGTGGTTCTTCTATGCTCGCTAGTAAGCGCAAACGCCGCGCCCTCTTCGACAAGTCCGCTTTGAAAGATCTCCGCTTCCTTGTTTTCACATGTTGCTCCTTTTCGACCTTCCTAGGCTACAGTACGTGATAGCCAAGTTCAAACTCTATGGAAATCTGCTGACAGTTGTCCTAAATTATAGTCGTCCCGTATTTCTATATCCCCACGTACGCAAGAGAAGTGATGGGGAGCTCGAACAGTACCGCGCTGCAGATGCTCATCTTGTCGTTAGCTGGGAGCTTTTTCGGTCGCCTCGCAAGTGGTGTGTTGGCGCACTATGTTGGCGCTAATGTTACGTGGCTACTGTGTACCTTCGCCAGTGCGATTATGGCACTCTCTTGGATCAGTATTAAGGAGGAAAGCACGTTCATTGCTTTCAGCATCCTTTGGGGTAAGCTTGCTACATTCTTAAAGGATCACCTGTGTCTTCACTATTTATCGAACGCACACTAACAATACGTAGGTTTCTTCTCCGCTGCCCTGGTTACTGTCCCCTCCGCAGCCTTTGCGAACATTACTCCCGATCTCTCACGCCTGGGAACTCGTCTAGGCATGTCGTGGGCCGTTTCCAGTATAGCGACGCTGATAGGAGCGCCGATTGCTGGTGCGTTGCTGAGGAAGAAGGATGGGCGAACGAATTTCATTGGCATGCAGATATGGAGCGGGGCGTGTCTGATGGTGGGTACGTGTTGTTTAGTAGTGTTATGGGTTGTGACGGTAAAGAAGCAGAAAAAGGGGTGGAGAGTGTAGGCAATATTCTGTGGAGCAGGCTCTATAAGAACTCCCACGTTCACGCCCACCTCAATCATTTGCCCTTCATGTTGCCTATCTCTTTCCCCACACCCTCTTATAGATGCACGATGGTGACAGAGCGATCTATCGGTCCGAATAAGCAGCATGAGCGTTTCCAGTTGCAATCGGCCCTTTTGTCATATAATAGTCGTCCAACTAAGCTTTTGGCTCACAAGGGTTTTTTACCCATATCCATGGTCCCTCGTGGTCGGACAGACAAGGTAGGTACCCGTTATGGCGTGCATCGAGGCGCTTGGCCCAGGATTTGGGACCGTTATGATCGTCGCGTGCTCCATGCATGTCATCGAACCGTTCCAGGATCGGTTGCAAAGGGGGAGCGGTTGTGGCGGGCACCCCATATCCAGATTGCCGGAATGGGAGGATGCATGTCGTAGTACAGTAGCTCCGGGCATCGGGAATGCCTAGTGAAGAGATGAACACTGTTATGATTTGTAAGAGTGTTACTGGGTATCTAAATATGGTAGGAAAGGGGGCCACGCCTTTTGCTGATGTTTAGTGAGTAAAAGTAACCATCTTTCCAGTTCGAAGTATGGTGTTCAGCTCATGGAGTAAACACTATCCAAGCAACGAGAGACTCTGCCCTTGTCATTGTCAATCCGAGGAAAGATTGTGCTACTGATCGTGTGGAGAGGCTTCTTGAAACGGAGGTGTTATAGCCGTTGGAGTAGTACATGGCGGATACGCTCCGTGTCCTTGGAGTGTAAAGGAATCCAGCACCTAGTGCATGAAAGTCTTGCATCATGAGATGATGCCATAGTAATGGACTCGGTACTTGCTCCAGGGGGTGCCATGGACCCCGACTCGAGTCACCAGAGCCTCGATCTGATTAACGGCCAGCCCTACCATAGCGCATCTTATCTCCACCACCAATAAGCTTCGTCACCGTTGGAATCGGTAGCATTCGATAGCTGCCACGTACACCCCTAATAGGACTAAATGGCTAGTCGTGCTCATACTATCACGTTTTTACTGCGGCCGGTGTTATCGTACAGGTTGCAAAGTGTGCCCTAGTAAACTTAGAGCCATGAACCGACGGATGGGTCGTCGAGTGGCTCGAAATCGGTGTCACAGTAGTGACATGACGGTAACACACGAAGCCTTGACAATTGCTATTGCTCCTATCGCAACGACACGTGTGATAATGACTAGTTGCATATTAGTGAACGGAAAACAGTCATAGTTACTCGGAAATATACCAAAGTCTGGGTCTTGCGAGTAAGCGCTATGAGTAGTTGCATTGAACAATTTGTCCGCGATCTAACCCTATGTACGTATTGCTCTGCGTCAAGTCGCCCATGTCTCAGCTCCAAGCACAAGCTCTTGCATGAGCATTAGCATGGCGATCCCAGAGCCTCGTGGCTAGCCTATCTAAGGTCTCTCGCCGATCAGCTCCAGATTGGGTAAGTGAGAGGCTACATGTGGGAACGGTCCGATCGCGACCGGGGATGTCCGGTTCGTCCCAAATCGGCGCTAAGACTCACTACTCCTGGAGGGCTGACAACTAGTTAGCGATCGTACGGTCTAGATGACCCAGAGGCGTGGTCTTAGTACTAGACACAGCTGCAGTGGACGGAGCAAGCCCCTCTGCATGGTTCGGCAGCATGCTTAGGCGCTGGATCGAGAGATAGACGCGCCTATAGCGCAGACGCCGACGCACGCCAGCGCGTGGCGTCGCTGAGAACCACACGGTAGCAGAGCTTCGGCGCCGTGGGCTCGAGCAAGTGACGGCATCGGGGAATCGGGAGTAGATTGGTGGCTTTGCATTGCAGTTTGTATTACCTCAACAACGTTTGAACCAGTATGGTGGAAGTATGGAAAAGCAACAACTATGACCGAAGCACACCGCCGTAGAACAGTACAAGGCCAGAACTTGGCCGAAAGAGTCAAACACTTTGTTACCCACGCTCAAATCTATATATTGCTCATGACAAATAATACAATTGAGCAACTAGACAACAGGGAGGAAATCAGCAATGGGAAATTCCGTTGACCTTGCTCAACAGAGAGTAGAAAGACATCGGTGGCCTGACCCGATATTATGGTTCGACAAACGCCACATTTGCTGCGTACCAAGAACGCCTTGGGTCGGATCGGCTTATCCGCGCAGCAACCTACCGATACTACACGCTGTTAGCGATAATCACACGATTCAGCTGCCTGGAAGTCTCTTACTCCGTACGAGCCATTCACGACCATGGGCTCAGCTCGTCCAACAACAGTCGCGTCTTTACCCATGCGAACCTGGAGCGTCATGTCCATATGTCGGATGCCATCTAGGCGCGCTGCAACATCCTGTGCCTCCTCCTTGGTCGCGAAGTTGGCCGTCGCTACACCCTTGAAAGCGCCAGTCTTCGAGTCCCGGTGCAAGTTGGAGTGAACGGGGTGTCCGACTGTGCTGAGCAGTCTGGCCAATTCATCTGGTGTCACCTTGTAGTTGAGGTTACGAATGAAGATTTCTCGCGCCTCGGTCAACACTGCTCCGCCTTGGACGTTCACTGGCATCCCCGTAGTGTTGGTCGAGTAGATTGCAGGCTGTGACACATAGACAGGATAAGGAGGCAGAGTGGTGTAGGGTGGAGGCTGATAATACATCGGGTGCTGAAGCGCCGGCTGGGCTACGTAGGGAGGTGCTGGCACAGGTTGCGCTTTTCCACTGGGCTGCTCGAATCTTCCAAGGTCGATGCCGCATCGCATCACAGAATGACCTCCTTTCGGTACTCCTGTGAAGTGCGATGAGCAGTTGCACCTCATTAGGCGGTAGCCTTCATTGCCGCGGCCAGTCTCCCAGACATGGACCAGCGTCTTGTCTGACCTACAATAGGTCTCTGTTATATCAGAGTCAGTCTTGTTGTGGGTCGATTGGAGCTACGTACCATATACATCGTCTGCATCTTTTCTATCTTTGATTCGACACCAAGCTTCCGTATGGCCTCTTCGTTGGCTTGAGCTCGGCGTTACCTCTACCCATCCTGGCTGGGCTTTCATTATCTTGCGAAGGCTGTCCTTGAACTCTGGCCAACCCTTCAGGTAAGGCGCGTGCCTTGTCGATCCGATCACGGCGAGTAGGAATTCTCCATTACCATCTTTCCATGATCCTGGGGAGGACATAGTTTTGGAAGGAACGGGTTGTAGCAATATGAAGTGTTGGAGCAAGAAGAATAAAGGAGGTATATATAGTTGAAAAATTGAAAGAGTCAGATCTCTGAATGTCATAGAAAGATGAAGGAGTCAGATGGGTATGTTACCAGCTTAGGTCGCACCAAGGTCTTTATATATATTTCGTAATGACGGAAAAGCCTTGGATTGCATTCTGCACTCTGTTTTTTCAGGTGGGATGGCGGCCAAGGAACGCATCTTGCGAGTGTCAACTTCATTTGTCCGCCATGGGTCATTAGGCAAGCAAGCGTTTCAGGCATACTGGCGGCCCGCGATGTAGATGCAAAGGGACGATCCCGTCTTCCCCGGTGGAGTTGCAGTCTAGACTGAAGCCAGTAAGAGGCCCTTCACCTGTAATGTAAGTACTCCTGAACCTGGCGGCTGGGTTGCATGGTTCAGTAGAAGAATGATTAACGAGGTCCCTGCGTAACGCTAAGATGTCATGCATTTACATTCTGCAATGCGCCATTTTTCTACGACCCGAGTGTCACTTGAAAATCGGTCAAGATCGCGGGGGCTAAGCCGTGGCTTTGCAGCCACCGCTCGTTTCGGTGCCCGTGTGCCACTTTGCCGACAAAAGCAAAAGCGCCCTGTTCAGCGTCGCCGCGGTGAGCGTGATTATTAAACACACAGGAAACCCGTTTCAGTGTTTAGAAGCTGGATAACTCTGGGTGTTCAAATGTTGTGACTCCTTCGAGAGGGTAGTGTCCTTATACTCATGTGACCGTGTTGATCATGAAGAATAACAAGGTAATCTTGTGACTAGAATGGCGCTAGTATTGCAGCTATGGTCGGGATCAAGAGCCGAGGATGTAGAGTATCCAGTGATTTCAGGCTAAGCCGCCCACGATTCATGTATGTCTGCTGCATAGAAGGCACCTCGCCGTCGGCAGTATGCAACCATACGCCAAAACACGCGAGGCCGAGTTTCTCCAGACTTCCGAGTGAGGCTTACAGTAAGGTTACTATGGACTCCAAAGGATCAGCTTCTGATCGAAGCCGCCACTGATGAGATACTCGTTATAGCCAGGGGATGATGAGCCGTCCACCGCATTTGTCTGTATGTGACCCGCCCATAGACACCGTAGCTTCGACCCAGGTTCGTGGGCCTCTAAGGATGCAATGAGCCTCCCGCTGTTTGCTTCGATCCCTCGAATGACTCCGTCATCGGAGCTGACGTATACGCCAGAACCATCAGGACGCCACACTATCCGCGGCGTGGAGTCTACATGGAGGTACCAAGTCAGTGATGCTCACACGTAGTTCCCCATAGACGTTACTAACAAGCTGTTTGTGGCGCCAGAGTAGAAACGTTCACGAAAATAGCTGCCTCTTCTCTATCTGCAACAACAAGTTCAGCACGCGCCTGCGAAGCTTGCGTAACTGATTCTACTGGGTCTGGGCTGACAGCTGCATCAACTTCTAAAGCTCCCATAGGTGGAAGTAGAAGCTTCACCACAAGTAGTTTCATGTGTGGCGTTGAAGACGTAGCGACAGCAACCAAGAGTGGGTTCGTAGGACAGATCTGTACGTCTGCAGGTGTGAAGGCAACCCATGCATTAGAGTGTGGAGCTAGGTTCTGCTTTCCAAGAAGAGTAAATCCTGGTGATCCTGCCCTAGGAAGTACGTAGTAATATAAGAAAGTGGAATCTCTACGAGCCATTAGCAGAACTGGCGTCCCGCCCTCAGGCGATGGAACGAAACAAATCGTTTCCGGGATGCTCGGGAGAGATAGCGTGGCTATCGGTTCCCCAAGCTGCGGAAGAACAGCACTGATATCAAGCTCGTATAGGAGAACCTTGGCATCCCATCCGGCACTGGCAATTAGAACAGAGTTGCCACTCGACCAAGTCGCTAGCTTGACGAGGTATTTGGAATGATCCTTTCGTTCGTCTAGAGTCTTGTCGCTTGCTGTGTCGTGAAGGTGGAGCTTGCCGGACATGGAAGCGATCAATAAATAGCGAGACGCTATAGCAACAATGTCCAGAATGGGTGAATCTTGGAAGCCAGAATAGGAGTGCACTAGGTCTAGTGTCGGTGTGCTAGGATCAATCAGGTGCAGTTGTCTACTTGCCGTAGTCACAGCGATGTATTGTCGGGTTTCTGTTGCCGACGGCAGTGATAGGTTTACTACGGACACGCTGAGTAGATTGGACCGAGTTGGTAGGGATTCCACGACTATTGGCTTAGTAGGCGCCTGGACAGCCCATGCGCGCTCCTTGTCCACCACGCCAAGCTTCTCAAAGTTAAGGCTGAGGTCGAAAGTTTTCTTCTCCTGCAGGACTGTTTCGATTGTGACCAACCCATCTGAGGCAGCGCCGACATCAAGGGGTAGGCCTGCCTCTTTGATGAAGCTGTTTAGTGTCTGGCGGGCGTTAGCGTGGACTCGTTTCAACAACAGTGACGTACGGTACCTCATCATATCCATTGGCCCGCAGGAACCGGGCGACAAGCTCAGCCGCAGACGGGAGCATCCTTCCAATATTCGAGATGGATGTCAAGCCCTAGCTCGTGCCAGAAGTTGGATGATCAATGATGGGGTGCCCTTGTTGAGTTGATAGTGGCAAGGCACACCTAGGTATGGTGTTTACGCTAATTGCTTATCGATAACCGTAGAACTTCACAAAGTTTCATTCACGTGCCTAGCACCTGGATTGCAAGTCTCTACATAGCACACGAATGGAGGTAAATGCTACCCGAATATCTGTTTTGATGTTGTTTTGACTTTTCCAGTCCAAAACCACTGGCGCAATGCGCAGGAAGCTCACCGACGACCTCATCACACTGCAGCAAGATACACCTGTGCAACCATATAGCGTCGTGCATCGTCTCAAGCTCGCAAAAGCGTACAAAAGCCTAGGTTACCCTGATCTCGCTATTGGCGATGCCTACAAGGCACTACTTTTGATCGACGAGGTGGTAGAGGAAGGCGAATACCACGACGAGGCATTAGAGGCTGCCGAAGCAGACTTTCTTTTTGAACGAATGGCAAGCCTAGCTGTACATGACGACGCGAACAACTCGCTTGGCGAAAAGCAAGAAACAACGGCTTGGGCACAAACGAAGGCTTCGAGAATAGCGTATGTTCTTCCGCTTTGACGCACTCGCAGATAGCTAATGTATCAAGATATGATCTCATCATCGGATGTTTGATTGACTGTGGATGTCTTCGCAGCGCCTTTGACCATATTACTCGCGCGATGAAAGCATTCCCTGGCGACACCATCTTTGAAACCTATAATGAAACATTGTCGAAGCGAGTTGCCTCCGTCTTGGGCGTTCAGGGAGATGATGACCATGGCGTTGACGTGGAGGACTACCCTGACAAAGGGCTGGTTCGTCGCGAGCAGTATCCATGGAACGACCACGAGCCCAACCGCTTTTCTGACGAAAGCCTAACATTCCTTAATGAGGAGCTGGCAAACATAGCGCCAAGATTGGAGGTCAGGATCGCAGAGTTGCCTCTCCTGACGCCTAGCTTGGCAAGCAACGAATCGGATAAGGAAATCCAATACACGAAGCAGCTGGGCCTATTTTCTAAAGAGGACGTCCCGCCAGGGGATCAAATTCTCGAGGAGAAGTCACTTTTGACAGCTGTCGCAAGACTTCACGAGGCATATTGCGACGCGTGCAGTGTATTGCTGCCCAACTCTCTCGACACTGCATCGGCTGATGACACGGGAGCCAAGATCGTCGCCTGCGAAGACTGTGATGAGGTCTTTTTCTGCAGCACTGACTGCCATGACCTTGCTCAGGACAGTTATCACCCTTCTTTGTGTGGTGTGGACATGGATCAGGGCAGGATACCCGCGAGCGAAGCCGCTGACTCTCTCTACAGCCGTCTCCTTGTCCGCGCACTGGCATTAGCGGAGACTCAAGATGTCCACCCGCTAGAGCTGAAAGAAGTGCGCTACATCTGGGGGGACTATCACGGCCTTGACCTGGACAGCATATGGACAGCTGAGTCTTCAGGCCGCCCCATGGATGCTTTCGGCGCTGTACCTCAGACCCTACCGTTCTCATTCAAGTACAACATACTCTTCCCGCAGCAAATTCTGGAGAAGATGGACGTCAACATATTCACTCAGAGTCACCGCTACGACACTTGGGTCCTGAACACGCTATACGCTAAGTTTCGGGGAACAGCATCCGCACGACAAGGCCTGGATGGACGGCCTGAGGTTAGCGCTGTCCATCCAATGTGGTGCCTCGCGAATCATAGCTGCGATCCAAACGTAAGCTGGGACTGGCGTGGAACCATGCGTTTTTGGACCCGTGAACAGCTGGTCGACTGGCACGGCAGGGATGCAGGCAAGACACCCGGGATCAAGAAAGGCGAGGAGGTCTTTGGGCATTATTGCGACGTCCGTTTGCCAGTCACGGAGCGGCGAGAGTGGGCTGTTGGAGCCCTAGGAGGAGACTGCATGTGCGAGAGGTGCATATGGGAAGCTGAAGAGCGGTGTGGTGAACAATGAAACCATGTTGGCGATTCGTGGCCACTTGATTGACCGAGGAAACCCGTGCAAACTGCCGCATCGTGGCCCACATGCTTGAAGCAATAATGAAGCAAAACTACGACTAGGTCGTTGTGCCGCAATCTGCTTTCTATAACTGGCTACCAGGGGTAGAGATTCGCGAATCCCTGCACGGCAGCCATGGATATATCCCCGTGTGACGCTGGTATACCGGGTAACCGTTCGGTACAACCAACCCACCGGCTTCTCTGCCACAACCGCAATGATCAGCGTCGCTGATTTGATTTTCCCAACGCCTTGCATATGCCACCTCAACATCAACATGTCATTGTCTATTGCCGACCCCGCAGACAGGACCATGCTTTTCCAAGTCAAGCCACATCATGCAAAACGGCGTTCCACCGAGATCCCCGTCCGATATCAATCTCTCCTTGGCATCGAGCGCCGTGCATGTCAACAACGCCTTCACTATTCCCCACGCACGCCCGATCGTACGTTTCTTCGGCGCCATTCCCGCCCCCAGCTTCCCGTGCATCCTATTAGGGCAAAGGTCCACGTGTATTCGACGCCTCCAGGCCGCCAACATGCCGCCCCATGAAACTATGTCCAACAAATCTCCCTCTCCATTTCCTCTCTAATGTACACATACATATAATCGGTGCGCCATATGCACATGAACCTCGATTTTATCAAACCGATGCCCATCGATCTATCCTTGGTCAATCCCGCACCCCTCCCCGAAACCTAATCTCAGCATTCAGATGCCTCGTGGCGCCCATGAACCTTGAAAAAGCCATTCCCCAGGAACTCCGAACTCAGCCTCGTGGTCGGGAGCACTACACTTGCGCCACGTTCTCGCCGCGGACGTGACATTAGATGCTAGCGTGAAACGAGGATGGCAGTCCGATGGCAGTGCGTGGCAGCGGATGCGGGAACATGGATTCCGCGACGGCAGGCGTACCCTGGAGAGGTTTTGTTTTGTGAATACGAGAGAGGATGGGTGCGTTGGGCTGAACCGCATTTTTATGCAATGCAAGAGTGCTACGATGAGATGGGCAAAAATGACCGGTGAACCCCAAATCGGCGGCATCTGTTTTGCGCCGGGGGGAGACTTATGCTAGATGCAATTATGGCAAGGGTGCAAATGGTCAATTTGAAAAGTCTCATTGTGCTATACTAGAATAACTGATCAGCATGCAAGGCCTGTATTGCACTGCCCTAAACAAGTAAAAAGAGCAAAACCGCATAACATTTGCATAATCACACTGACATCAGAGATATCCTCCAGGGCTCTACTCTCGATATCTGTCTTCGCCTTCTTCCAGGTATTCTTCAGCCCGTCTCCTTTCCGCCATCTAGTTTCCGTTTCCCAGTCTCAGATGGCCTCTCAGACCACGATACAGTCTGGACTCCACCATCTCGATCAATGATGTGAAACCCGTCTTGCCGCAACTCCGCATTCGCCTCCACAAGCCTCGCCATCACCATCTCCACACTGCCCATTCATGCATCGTGTGCTTCGCTGTTGTATTTTGTCTCGAGCTCGTCTCGTAGCGTGATGTTCTTGTCGATCAGGAGGTTGACTTTCTTCTGGAGGCGGTTGAGTATGCTCTCACGCCCAACATCCATTTTGATGATGGCTGCGATATGTTCGTCTTTCAGCATATGAACCTCTTCTTGCATTCGAGTGACATCGTGATGATTGCACTCTGAAGTGGCGAAATCCTAGCCTGACTCAGGTGAAGAAGGCATTTCGATAGTATGCCCTGCGAGCCGAGTCTCGTACATTCGGCGCAATTCCTCCATCTTCTTCGCCATCTCTTCCTCCTTCGCCATCATTTTGGCTTCCCAGGCCTTGTTCAGATGCTCCAGATCCCTCTGGTGCTTCTCTTCTGTTTCTTGATCAAGATCCAGATGCCTCTGGATATCTTTGATTCGCTGGGTTTCGCATACCTCAAGCGCATAGTTGATTTCAAAGACTTTGCTCCCCCAGTCTCTAACACAGTTGGCCACCTCGGCCGGATCTACTTCGCGCAGCTCACGAGCACTCTTCTCCAAAGCCGTGGCGACTTCATCCAGCTCTTCAAGGATATGATAAAGCGGGGCATGAGGCTTGGTTGAGCTGGAGGGAATAGTGGCCTCAAAGCCAAAGTAGGAGCTGATCCTATTGTTTGAGGAGGACTTGACAGCGGGCTCATCTTTGGCCGTCAGCGACTTGTATTTGCCCTTGGCCAAGTCGGAGTCATATTGCTCTTCACTTGTCAGCGTACGTGGGTAAGCGGTGGAGGCGGTGGAAGCGGCGTCAGCTAGCGAACGGGAGATGGCCTCTGCGATGGCCTTTTGTTCGTCTTGCTCTCTAACAAGGTTTCCATTTCGAGCACTATCACGCTTTTGCTTAGTACCTAGCTTGGCCTTGCCTACAGCATTCGAGCGAAGATTGCGTGCCATTGGTAGGAGGTACAGGTTGATGCGGGTTTTGGACGGAGTAGGCTTGTAGGTTGATGTAGTTTTGAGGCTTTCTAGTTGATGAGGTGAGTCAGGTTTGGTGAAGAGTAAGGAGATGTTGTTCAGCGCTGGGGAGGGAATAATATACATAGTGAAACTAAAAACTCGATTTATCTTGCTATCGAGTTTCAGAGAGAGTTGAAATGGACGACTAGTCATTGGCTGTGAAAGTTTCAACAGACTGAAGAATAATTCATTTGCTATGAATTTTTAGGCTCAGCCTTGGTTGAGGTCCGGGTAAGGCATATTTGTGTAGCCAAACCAATCAAGCCTATACCTTTTCACACCTATGCGCGCATATTAGCGCATGCCCTTAGGTCACCGCTCTCGCTACCATTATTTCAATATATGTACAGTCCTAAGTCGTAAGTGCTTTACTGGTGTTGTACAATCCTCGCGCAACTACCGGTGGTCGCCCTGGTGTCGTCTCCTAGTTCTTCTCGTCACGAGCGGTATACGGGTGGAACTGTCGTGGCAGGATCATGGGTCGTCGGTTGATCCTGTTGAAAGCCTCGCTCGCAATAGGTGAGCTGTCTGTTCGAATAGTGGTACCAATGGCCATGAAGAATCTGAAGTAAATGACATTAGTCAGAGTTGGGGCTATAGGGTAAGCCCCACGTACCCAAAAGTCGCTGCTGATCCCATCATGTATTGGCCCAGTGTTCGTAGCATTCCATTCGGCCCTGGGCCGTAGCGCACGATGTTTGTGAATCCTGCTCTCGTCAGAGCAAGCCTGAAAGGTATGTTGGGCAATGCAAACCGAAGATGAAGCCGATGATAAGCCCGACAGCTGTCAGAAGGTTAGATGGGAGTAGAATGTCTCAGAGTCTAGCAGATTTGACGTACAGCCACCCATCATGCCACCCATCTTCACTACAAGCTGTTAGCCGGCTTCAAGAAGATGCGAGTCTCAGTACCGTACACTTGTCGAGTGTCGAAGGGCCATGGGCGCCTTGAGGCATAGATCCAATCGGCACGGGCATCTTCACAGTCCTGGGGAGTGGCTAAGCGTAGAATAGGTGCGAAGAGAGACACAGCGGGCTCGCCAGCGCTGGGCGTCGTCCCACTTTGAAGCTGGCCGCGGCTCGTGCACGGCCGCCAAGGGCGAGCACCACGGCGCATATCCGGGGAAGGGCTCAACCATGGATGCAAAGGGGAGCGAGCTAATGATATGCTGGTTACCGTTGACCGGCAGCTATTCACTGGCCCAACGGGCTACTAGATTCTAACTAAAACGCTCTCTGTTTGTAGCGCTTCTGGCACAGGCCGGCCAAAGTTGTAAACAGAGTCGATAACTTGTGACGCAACGGCCAGACTCCCAGACGAGCACGTGACCTTAAGCGCCCTTTCACCCACGCCGCAGAGTGAGGCAACGAGTGACAACAAGAAGGGCTTTTTGTTTTCGTCTCATGTATTAGTGCGCCCATCATTGCAGCAGCCGTCTGTTTCGAAGCGGCCCCTATCCGTGCCGTCGCCCTCGTCGAGACGGCCCAAATCACGCTTGTCGTCTCGCCCTTGTGGCCAGTAAGCGTTGCGCAGTGGGAGAGCAAAGGCCCGACAACGTCGTCCCTAGACCCTCTGCTCCACGCCGTCTATACCACAAACATCCCATCCAACAGCCCGATCCGCGGCCTTTATCGCCGTATATCCTCCCAAGAGGCCCTGCTCTTGTGCACTGCGCCCTTCTGCAGCGCCTGCGTCGCCTGCGTCTCCCTGACGTTGCACGGCTCCCACGAACAGCACACGACAGCACCGACGCGAACCCCCATATCCCCGACGACCGCATCCTCCCAACACCTGCATCTCACCGCGACGCATGACTGCGTGAGCGACCCGTCCATCGCTGCTGCTGCTGCTGCTGTTGATCCATCTGGGGCTGTTACGCTGTTGTCGCGCCAATGACGGCCGTCGCTCCCCCCGTCAATTTCCAGAACATCAATCGCCAGGCATGGAGCGCTGAAGGTGTGCCAAACGGTGGTGCCATCTTCATGCCCCGGAAAAGTGCCCAGCGGACAAATTCAAGCTCCTCGCTATCGTCACAGGCCTCGGGCACATCTACCATATCGGCATCCTCATCACAAGCCAACGGCGCAGCGCCCTCGAACGGCGTCGAGGCATCGGCGTGGGCCGCCCGCAAAGCAAAGGCGCCAAAGGGGCTATGGCCTGCATCCAAGACTGAACCCATTGCCGGAATCACTACAGCTCGTCCACAGCCCGTTGCGGCTACAGGGCCCGGCTCTTCAGCAGCCTCCGCCATGAGCGCCCTACAAGCGCCATCTGCCATGGTTCCCTCCCAACACAACGGCGCTGTCCAGGTGCAGCAACAGAATGGCGTGCCGCGAGCACAAGGCCAGGAGAGCACAGCTGTGCTGCATCTCGTCCCTATGAATGGCACATTCGAGCGCAAGACCATCACCGTCCCCTTCTTCCCCGACGTCCTCCGCATTGGCCGACAAACCAATAACAAGACAATACCCACACCGCTAAACGGTTACTTCGATTCCAAGGTACTATCAAGACAGCATGCTGAGGTGTGGGCGGACCGAAATGGCAAGATTTGGATCCGAGATGTCAAGTCATCCAACGGCACGTTTGTCAATGGAGCTCGGCTGTCGCAGGAGAACCGCGACTCTGACCCACACGAGCTGCGGGAGCAGGACATGCTGGAGCTCGGTATCGACATTGTCAGCGAAGACCAGAAGACAATAGTACATCACAAGGTCGCTGCACGCGTCGAACACGCTGGCATATACGCCAGGACAAGCAGCGAGATGATCGATCTCAATTTCGGCGAGCTGGAAGGTCCCCACCTTTCCAACATGATGGGTCCAGGTGGTCAACAGCAAATGGCGAATATGCGTGGTCGCACACCTAGTCAAGGTTCGATGAACGGACAGCGTCTGCAAGGCCCTGGCGCGGTTGCAAATTACCCCAATGGCTTACCCCAACCGCGACACCCCAACTTCTGGTTACAACCTATCACCATGGAGCAAGTGGTGAAGAAGCTGAACGTAAGTCAAACACTCCAAACCAATACTTCATGTACTAATATCACCAGACCGAGATTAAGGCTGCCAAGCAACAGTCGCAGGAGCTTCAGCAAACGCATCAGTACATCAATGCCATACTATCTGCAGACCCCAAGAAGGAGCCAACAAAGACGTCGCCCGTCAATCAAATTAGGATATCCCCAATCAAGGATATCAGCCTGAAAGCCAGGTTCTCAGACCCTCCTGCACCGCCGCCTCAACAACCGTTGCCTGAGAAGCCAGACGCCGCATCGTCCCTTAGGAGGTCAGATACGGAGCGTCCGAAGACAGCATCGCCAGTGCGGTCAGATGCACAGATGTCTACTCTCAACGAAGCCTTGACCAGTGCGAAGAAGGAGCTAGAGTCGCAGAGCATTCGGCTGCGCGACCTGGAAGTACTGCTGAACGAAGAGCGACGCGCAAGAGAAGATGCCGAGGAACGAGCCAACCGCCTCGAGCGCGAGTCGATCCAAGAACGAGAGGAGCAAGACCGAGTGCTCGCCAATGGAGACATTCACAAAAACGAAGTTGTGGAACCCGAAGACGAGAAGACAACCGGATTGGAGAATGGGTCCACGTCTCCTGGTGCCGCTGACACCACCACAGCTCGCTTGCAACAACGGCTGGAGCTGATGGTATCAGAGATGAACGAAATGAAGCAGCAGATGGAACGGTACCGTGAACGAGCCGAGACCGCAGAAGCTGACCGTAAGAGTTTGACTGAGATGATTGAGACCATCAGAGAAGATAACGCCAGGACGGCAAGCAGGGAGGCCAGACGACGGAGCGGAAGCGACAGCCAGTTGGCAAGAGAAGGAGCAGGCGCGAGCGCCAATGCACCAGAGAACAATGATGACGCGGAAGAGGGCGAGATCACTATCATTCGAGAGAAGGACGTCGATGGCGATGGCTTAGACGTAATGCCCCAGAGAGCTAGCGCCCAGAACGGGCATGTGGTGGAGCAGAATGGCACCAAGCAGTCTGTAAATGCCGCGAACCACCTGGTCACCCGTCGTCCCGATCGCGACCTAATGTACCATGGAGGGCCCGTTGGTGCCATTGTAACTGTCGTCGCAATAGGCGTGGCTGTCATGGCTATGCTCAACCAGTATCCCAAGGCCGAACGGTGAGGATGCAAGTGGCACACGAATTCTACCACCATCGGGCCACATCCGCACTCCTGGGGAGGCAGATCCGGCGTGAGGGGAAGGCTTGTGAGGGAGCCTGGAAGCTATTGTCGCTTGACCGTTGTTGACGTTGGGGAGGGGAGCACGACTTTGTCTCTCTATAACCATCCTCGGTAGACTTCCTGGAGATGTAAGAGAAGCGACAGGAAGACGCATTATTCGTCGTCTTCTTAGAAGCTCAAGAGACTGTGTTGCGCGATGTCAACCTGATTTGGAATACCCCTGCCAACTACGAGAGCGTATCAATACCGCACACGACTACCACTTATATTAACGCTATCCACGACCAACAATCGGCCATCGTACGAACACGCTCGGGCTATGAAACCTTGACTGTTCGCAGTCTTCCATGCATACATCAGCTATTTTTCTTTGCTTTACATTTTTGGAGTTTCTTGGCAAGGCCGCGAGAAGGCCTTTTTGTTCTGGTCGGCGTTTTCTTGGATCAATCAGATGCCCTGGACGGGTACTCTGGAACCTGTTTGGTTTCACCCAACATTCACTGTAACAGCAGCCGAGGTTTTCTTTTGTAAGACGGGACAGCTACCTTTCTTTAACTATCAGGGCTAGATGAGCAGATGAAACAAATTTGAACTGTTCAGAGTAGGACTAGGGTTGTGGGTTAGGCGGGCTTCTGGCTTCAATGGTACATATTTGACCTTTTCAGACCCAAAGTCGCATGCTCATGAGAACAGGGTTACGAAACTTCTGAAATGCAACAGATCGCTTTGGGGTATCTTTGAAGCGCGTATTCTCTCGTTCCTCATTGCTATTGATCTCTCACTTTAGCCTAATACTAATAGTAACAGAACTCAACGTCCTTATTCTCGTCTCGGGTATATCTTCCTCTTCCTTGTCCCCTCCCACCTGCTCATTGTGATTGTCCGTATCCTCTATGCTCCCACTCCTAACCTCAATGTCATCAATTGCACGCACACTCCCCATCTCCACCGTAACCCTGCAATCGTCCTCGCCCTGAAAGTGAACGCCCAGCTCCAGCGCCCTCGGAATCGCCCTCCCAGTCGCCTTCAGATAAACACGCTCCCGCCCCAGCGCAGCACCATCTCTCCTCGCAGCTTGATCCGCAATCTCACGCTCCACGTCCGCTGGCGCAAGCCTTCCGTTCGGCTCAGGTGGTCTTCGACCGCTACGTTTGGATTGCGCGGCTGTAGACTGCTTCTCGCGCTTTGTGATTTCAGATAGGAGCCTTCGAATACGTTTCAAGGCGGGTATGTAGGGTGATGAGGCGGTTATGTAGAGGACTTTGGGGGCGTGGGTTGAGGCGAAGGGTGTTGGGATGGCGGGGTGGAGGAGCGGGCGTTTGGAGATGACGGCATCTGGTCGAGCTTGTTAATATACTGAGGGTGTGGATATGAGGAGAGGGGTGGTGGAGGACGTACTATTTGGGAGTTTGGGGAGCTTTTGCCGGTTCTTGCGGTTTGTGGGCTTTGGTTTCGAGGTTTGTCGGGTGGGCTTGGGCTGTGCTGGTTTGAGATATTGCTCTTTGAGGCCTGGTACACTGTCCACTGTGCTTGGTAGGTCTGTAGACGTGGTAGAAGGTGGTTGAGGTTGCCCGCATGGAGGAGTCGGTTCCGTCATCGTAGTGTCTCTCTGCGATTGGAGCTGAGGTTGTTTAACGCTGCCCCGCGGCTTGACCTGGCCACTTCTGGTTCGTTTCTGGCCTGCCATTGTCTTGTAAACTGCAATATTCGATAGAGCGCGAGTCGCAGTGTTAGCAGGTGTCCGCAGCAGCTCGGGTTGTAAACTCGAGATCGCGTCGCGTCACCAAAATTCAGCTTATCGATAAGATGCTGATTGCAAGGATCAATGACGACCTTAACTTCCATCCGTCTTCAGCTCCATCGAAGTCGACGTAAATCGGGATCATGAAGCAGACGCGGTAGCAGAAATGGCCAGCCCCATGCGGCAAAAGCTCCTTCACATCCACCTCCTGGGCATAGTCCCCTACGCGACCGCAGCCCGTCTCCAAGAACGTCTCGTCTCGCGCTTCCTCGCATCAAAGCCACCCTCCAATGCCCCAGCACCTCCACCCCACATCATAACCGCCGAGTTCCAGCCCGTCTACACGTGCGGGAGAAGAGAAATAGGCACCGTAGCACCCCAGCAACAAGACTTCCTGCGCGCCAATGGCCGCGCAGAATTCGTAGAAGCAATGAGGGGCGGGCAGACTACGTTCCACGGACCAGGCCAACTAGTCGCATACCCCATCATCGATCTCCGCACGCACAAGCTTACTCCGCGGTCCTACGTGTGTCTTCTGGAAAAGAGCTTGATAGCTACATGTGCAAAGTATAGCATCAATGCCATGACTACGGAGAACACTGGTGTTTGGACTACGCCAGATGATAAGATCGCGGCTATTGGAGTGCATATGCGGCGGAATGTTACGAGCCATGGGATTGGATTGAATGTTAGTACGGATTTGTGGTGGTTTGATCGGATTGTGGCTTGTGGGTTAGAAGGGAAGAGGACGACCAACTTCGCGAAACAGGGTGTTGAGGGGAAGAGTGTAGATGCTGTGGGGAGAGACTTTGTGCAAGAGATTGCTGAGCGTTTGCAGGGTGTAGAAGGCGTAGAAAGAGTGGAGGGAGATGAAGTGGAAGAATTGTTGGAGACGTGAAGCAAGTCAGCCTATTGTACTCTACAGTCGGGCTAGAGTAGCTGTACAGGCACTTTGAACTCCCCTCTCGTCGCAATTATATGCATACTATCTACACCTGAGTCTGTTGTCCGGGACCACGGATGGTTGCTTCTAGACACGCTAGATGAACGTTGGAGTAACAAAGCGGCGCGGGTACCAGAGTAGCCTAAAACAACGAGTTTCTGGCGGTGTAAGCCACCACACAATCCTATTAAACGTGCTATAACACGCTGCAGCTAGGAAAGAGGGAGCTATGCTAACCATGGCAGATAAGTTAACAAGGTAATAACATGTTTCGGACATCGGGGAATACAAACAAACGTGTGGCATAACTGATCATCAACGCCTGTAAGTTGATATTGTGGCGATATAGCAGTCAACAGTAGACGCTTATCACATGTTGTTCTTCACAGTCAACTCTGACGTGACTTGAGAATACGAATAGTATTATCATGGTATGAGGCTAGCGGCACAGCAACGGCTACTTACGCGCCATACTCCACTTTGCTAGGTCACTTTCCCATAGCGTCTGCTCAACGGCGCCTACGCTTTACTACAGCTATCTACCGAAAATCGAGTGGTCAAGATCAAGTCGTTTCAAACAAGCCATATCCATTTCGTAATTCTTGACAATGATCAGACTTCGGTATGAGCCAACGTCATTGTCCATATGCTTCCTTGAAGCCGGCCCAATTTATCTTCCATCACTAACAGTCCTTAGGCATCAGCATGACCCATATCCGTATCACCGTTGCTGTTGTCTTGAGCGGGGTTGGTGAATGTGCTCATCCTGTTGTTGCCGTGAACAGTGTTTCGAATGACTTGCCGGGCATCCTGGCTGGCGCGATTTCGAAGGTAGTTGCGGTATTCGGAGACACGCTGGCTCTTCATCTGCCACTCGAGGGCGTGATGAAGTTGTTGCTGGTGAGCGCGCTCCTGCTCGAGATGTTGCTGAACGAGTCCCTCATCCACGCCGTCATGAGTAGACGGGTACTGGACTTCTTCTTGTTGCTGCTTTTGTGCTTGGTGATCGACATCGATGTGCGCCTTCCCGTCGAACCGCCGGGCATCCAGACATTCACCGTGGTCGGACTGTTCGAAGCCCGCTAGCTCAGCCCGCTGGCGGGAGAACTTCACTTGCTTCTTCATCTTAGCCTGCCTCCTCTCTTGTCTTGCCTGCTTCTCCGCCTCCTCCCTTTCGAAGCGCAGCATTACCCGGTATTTCTGCTCCAGCGACGCAGCGATCATGGCCGGCGCAAACCCGTTGATGAACCACAATCCTTGGATGCCGCTGTAAGAGTGCGGGTCCCACAGCCGCGCAATGTCGTCCTCCGCCTCTGTCTGGGAAAGCTCGTTGTTCTGCACACGGAATATGATCTCCCGATGCATAGTCTCTGCCTTCTCTCGCCGGATCGCATCGTCCAGCCCCTTACCGCACCCTGGCTCATTGAGAACGAACCAGTACTGAGAGAGGCTATCGTGCAGGTCAGTGATGGTTGGCCCACCCTCAAAGACTGGTGCAGACACCTCGTTGAAGCGGCTCTTGAGGCGCATGTTCAAGAGGTGGTGTATATCTTTTATACGCGATACAAGTGCGTAGTACACGTCCTCGAAGTCTGCCAGCGGTCGTTGCGCTGCTGGAGTCGCCGTGCGTTCCAATGTCCTCGCCTTGACGCGCTCTTCGGTGAGGAACTGCGAATCGAGCGAGCTGGGGCCGAATTGTCCATTTTGTAGGCGGTCGTACAGTGTGTGTAGACTCGGGCTGAACGGGTCATGCCCGGGTTTGCCGAAGAAGTTGGTGCGCTCGACGAGATCTATCAGGTAGCTGCTGAGCGCGAGGATATGTTCGATGATGTAGTCAGATGGGTAAGATTCGATTGAGGCTTCGACTGCCTCCTGCGTGAGTGCCGCTGAGAAGGGGGGAAGGAGAACGGCGCCAGGCATGGTGAGTGACCTTCGTCCTCGCTCCTCGATTATCAAGAAAGAAGTTGATATGAGCCCCTTGAGACGAGGCTCGGAAACAATGGGGTATGAAATTTTTCCGGAAATGGGTAGTTTGTAGTAGAGTAGAGGATCCAAAGGTGCGACAAAGGCTCGGAACCCAGCTCTGTAGCTCCAAGATCTGAATAGAGGGGGCTGGGGTTTTCAAGGTGAAAGGGACACCCGAGAGCCGGGTATTCGAGTGTCCCTTCTCTTGCGATTGTGCTTGCTGTGTATTGAGAACAATAGAATTGAGGTGATTGAGGCGGATAGAGAAGAAGGCCGGGGCTGCGGGAGAGGTAATATTAACTCTTCAGGAAGTGCTATTACCATTTTCGGCTCTGAGGGTGGCGAGAGACGTTCACCAGAGTGAAAGTGATTGTGCTCGGACAAACTACGTCGCAGTGCCGCAAAGTCTTGCGAAGGTGGGATTTTCTATATCCATATGGCATTATGATGAGCTATTAAGGAAGCTGGATAGTTGTTGTCGTAGAGGGCTGCTGCGTTACTTTATCATCGCGAGTTTTCGGCAATACACCGCTCGTCACCTTCACTTTCACTGACTCACAACTTCATGAAGCCCCAATCCCCACAAACGACCCAATCTCGCCCTATGAATGCGCCCCCAGCAAGCGCTCCCAAAGTGAGTAGCCAGACTACCGTCTTGCCACGGCCTGGCATGACTTCCTTACCCGTTTCTTCGTCTCGGTACACAAAGTCATTCTTCTTCCAGAAAACGCTCCTGAACCAGAACAAAAACTGCCAGTCAGGATACATCACTGCACACCAAGTTAACACATAAATTGGTCACGGTTAGGTGGTCACTTACTGTTGTTCATCCCGGTCTCAGGGTCAATAGCCCAGTTTACACATCCGGAAGACCAGACCAACTTCTTGGCCTCTCGCTGCGTCCAAAGAGAGTCGGCGAGTGCTGCTTCGGGTTTGACTTCGACAGTCGCCGGTGCTGGAGCGAGCAAGCGCGGGATCAAAGAGCGCGAGCGGTAGGATGGGAGAGCCTTGATGACGGGCGAAAGCAGACGGAGGGTAAAGTTAATCTGACACTCGACGGTGTAGATGACTGACAAATGGCCTGTGACTGTGTTCGGTCCCATCATAACGAAGAAATTGGGAAAATCTGGCACCACGGTACCAAAGTATGCTTGTGCGACGCCCTGCGTGGCGGTGTCCCACTGTGCTTGGGATCAGCATTTCTTTCAGGAATATGTAGGTGACGAGGGACTCACGTATTTGTTCAAGCTCAGCCCCTCACGACCGACAATCTCCATTGGGCATAGCATCTGTTGGGTAGCGAAGCCGATTGCCAGTACGATCGCGTCGGCGTTTACTTCCCTGCCTGACCTTGTCACAACGCCCGTGTCTGTAATCTTCTCTACCGGGTCATCGGCCACGAGTTCGACGTTTTGCCTCCACAGGGTATTTAAGTACTCAGTATCAAGAACCTTTCGCTTACATCCAATCTCACTCTTTGGAATCAAGGCGTCCCAGTACTTGGGTGGGGCGACACGCTTCACATACTCCTCGTTCTCTTTTGCCAGGTCTTGTCGGATCGTGCGACCGCTCTCAATCGCGAAGCCGCTCCAGTCCCGTTCCATCCCATAATAGAAACTGGCGCGATAAAGACGCATCGCCAGGGGAACATATCGCATAACGGCTTTGAAAGTCTTGGAGTAGTATGGGTTCTGGCGTTCGGAAAGATACTGTGCCTGTCGGGCGAACTGTGTGATCTTGGCCACGGGGTTCGGTTCATTTGCCATGATTGGGACAAATTGGGTTGCAGAGCAGCCGTTGCCTAATGACAATTGTTAAGGTGACATTTAACAAGCGGAGAGACGAGGAACGACATACCCAGCACCACAACATCCTTATCTTTCCAATCAAAGCTATGATCCCACTGCGCAGAATGAAACATCTTGCCTGTGAAAGTGCTGGTTCCCGGAAGGTCACACGTCTTTGGTACGGATAACGAACCAACGCCTGAGACCAGGATCTTTGCCCTTCGTATCGTTCGCTCCTTAGTCTCCAGGTTCACAACAGTGACCGCCCATACTTTAGCCACGTCATCCCATTCTGCCTTCTCGACGATAGAGTGGAAGCGGACATGCTCAACAATACGGTATTGCTCTGCTACGGAGCGGAAATAGGCCTGAATCTCTGGGCGCATGGAGTACTTCCGGCTCCAATCGGGGTTCAAAGCGAAGCTGTAGGAGTAGAAATGCGATGCGACCTATTCTTGATTAATTGACTAAGTCGTTGTAATCTCTTCGGTTCACATGAGAGGAAAGACTCACGTCACATCCGCATCCAGGATACGTATTCGCCAGCCATGTCCCGCCGACGTCCTCACTCTTCTCGATGAGCTCGAAATTGCTCACACCGAATCGACGGATTATCTGGACAGCCAAACCAAGGCCGGACATACCGGCCCCAATGATGAGGACCTCTGTATCAAATGACATATTGATGAATGTGATTGAGAAGAGAGGAGTGAGATATGAAGCGCGTATGGAGACTTGATGAATTGGAGTACGGGAGTACTTATAGCATACCGACTCTCGTTACAATGCTTTCCGCGGTATCCACCTCCATAGCCGCCACGTACCAATGAGTGGATCCTACATACCTAGTAAACTTCACAATGCGCAGAGTTTCGACTTGTCTAAACCCCTCGTGAACGTTCGTGAGTTGTCGTTGAGCTGGACAACCCGTCGAGGCAGGTTTGCCGAGCTGACAGGAGGAAGGTAAAGCGAGAGCCAATCACGGCGGGTCGGATACAGTATGCGCTTCGTGGGGACCCCGCGCATTCACAGACGCGTCTAACTCTGGCTCTTCACGATCGGAATTCCAGATGAAGTATCCCGCGGCTCAGGCATTGATTGATTTCACTGAGGACGTGTGTAAGGCGATTACGTCACCAGCTTGCCTTTCTAGCATGCGATTCGCAAACCAAACACCAGCAGACACTAAAATCAGTTGCTAAAGGTCATTCACCCAATTACTACTATGCCGCGCTTACAATTACGAGCTATCTGCGCTTAATGCACTCTCTAGAGCCCGTGGATCATCCAGCATGGACCTTCCTTCGAGTCTCATTCGAGACATCTCACCGCCACCACCACTGAAGCGAAGAAAGACATCGGGAGCAATAACACCATCTGATACCACAGCGAATAATGCTTACCCAAAAACGACACCATCGATAGAGCCCACATTGGCAGCTGTAGAGGCTGGAAAGGCAAAGGTCGATAACCACTTGGCATACTTCAAGGATCATCTAGCAAAAGCATCAAGGAAAACAGCACCCGAAATCTCCAGACTTTCTATCGACGACTTCTCCACACTTTACCAGAATAATCACCAAGAGAATGGCCATCATTTCGTCGTCCATCAGCACAACCATCCCAGAGCTGGCGTGCACTATGATCTGCGCCTGCAATTCTCCGAGACAAGCTCAATGTCCTTTGCTCTTCCCAAAGGCTTGCCAGGAGACCCAAACTCTCGGAGTATAGGCCGAATGGCTATCGAAACGAGGGTGCACAATTACTGGAATCATTTGATCGAGAGCGCGAGTAGGAAGACGGGGAGTTTGTTAATTTGGGACACGGGGACGTACGAGGTGTTGCCTAGAAAGATGACTAAAGGAGGTGGGAAGAGTATGCCCAGTCCAGTGACGACGGATGAGGAGGACTCTGAGCCTGAAAGTGAACGGAATGGGCCAGCTCCAACACCTCAGAAGGCCGAGACCGAGAAACACGAGAACGACAAACTCATTTCAGCATTCCAAACTCGCTACATACGCCTACGCCTCCACGGCACACGACTTCCGAATAATTACACTATCATCTTACGTCTCCCATCTAACGAGATCATCAAGCGGCCAACAACACGGCGAAAGAAAAGCCGCCAAAAAGCAAAATCTCGAGTCAATACGCAGGGCGCCAATACAGACTCCGAGCCTGAGCCTGATTTGCAGTTGGAAGAGCAGAACCAAGATGAAGATCTCGATACCGACTCGAACGAAGACGCACAAACCCGCGCCAGTAATGCCTACCCAGGCTCTACGAATGATATTGGTTCGATTCACCAGCGACATTGGTTTTTGCAGCTAGATCGGCATAATAGTGGCTTCTTGCTTGAAAAGGATGGGGATAGCAAGGGGAAGTGGGTGCGCGGGCCGAAGGGCGGCGGACTTTAACCGTTTTGGGTACGAGGACGGGACTTTGAGAGGAGCGTAGTTACGGGACGGTTAGCGGGGGAAGTGGAGAGCGACGAAGGTGTTGAGGGATTTGTGGGACGAGCAGGCTGGACAGGGGTAGAGCAGTAGACGCAGGCTACTGTAAGGGACGAAGTGTATACCCAAGAAGATAACTAACTAGAAACAAGAACGTGTACAAGAACTGCGACAAACTTGATAAACATTTAGATCCCGAACTTCAAACCACTCCTCGTCGTTCCCCTCGTGTTCTTTACTCCAGTCGCCTTCTTTGCAATCCTGCGCTCGTACTCACTCTCTGTGACCCTCTCCTCCGTGACCTTAGGCGCCCTCTTCTTCCTTACTTGCTTACCCGCAGTAGCGGCCTTGCTCACTACTTTCCCCTTGCGTGGCTTAGTAACAGCGGGCACCGGCGACACGGGGAACAAGTCGTCTTCAGGGGAAGACGCAATCGGGTTGGCGAAATCGACCGACTTCCTAGCAGTGGCGCGAGTTTTCTTCTTGAGCGAGGAGGGAGTAAACTCCTCGGATCCTACGCTTTTCTTGCGCTTGCCGTCCGGCGTGTAAGTCTCTGAGCCGGCGCTGCGTTTACGCTTCCCGAGGGTTTTTGTACTCAGTGTGGCCTCGACTGCTGGCGCAGGTGCCTTTGCCTTGGGAACCTTCCGAGGACGACTCAGGCCACGCTTTACAGGAATTTCAATACGGGCTGCGTGCTTCTTGACTCTAGTCTGTTTACCGGTCGATGACACACTCTCGCGTCTCGGACTCGCGCGGAGAGCCTCTCTGCGCGAGTCGGAAATCCTTCTGAAAGCCCTAGATGCCTTTGATTGCGACGTCGACACCTGAGACGGCGACCTTGGCGTTTGGGGCCTCTTCGCAGGAGCTTCAACGGGCGGCTCAGGTGAATCCGTGTCTGCGACTGTAAATATGCCGTCAGCTAAGCCCTCTTCGATGATAAAAGGCAGCGTACGCTCCGAGGAGATTCGTCTATTTTTACTGCCGACCGATGAAGCGACGCTAACATTGCTTGTTCGACGAGGCTTGGTAGGCGTAATATTAATGGATTGGCGGATAGCTGTAGGGCTCACTGAACGTTCGATCAGCACTGCATATCCACCCAATGCTAGCAAAGACTTACCTTGTCGGCCTACTACGAACTTGTCTAAAACTACACGCGGGGCGTAGTCTTTGGTAATTTCCTCATCTCTGTAGCCTATGTTGAACGCATTAACAGCCTCCTTGAGCTTTTGCTCGGTTCCGAGTTCATTGATTCGTTCCTCGTCGCTGGGTACCGGCAAGGGGAGCTTGTAGCGTGATCCAGAGTCATACTGGTGCAAGTCTTTGTATTGCTCCAGCTGCGGGTGGTTGAACGGGATACTATTCTCGACGACGTTGGGGCCATCCTCGGCGGATCTCGAGAGATCGTAGTCAATCTTGAGACTTTCCCAATGCGCCATCTGCAGTGTCTCGGGAAAGGGGAGGGATGCTGGGAATTCTCTGTGCCAATTCTCGAGCTCATTGCGTGGACCACCGTACTTGAACTCCTTCTCGCGCTGCACGTTGTCTTTGGATCCTCCTACTCTAGATCTGAGAGGCGCAGAGGGCCTGACTGGCGGTTCCTCAGCCTCATCCGCCTCTTTGTACAAGGCCTCCTCCGCTGCATATGAGGTATAATACTCGGGCAGATCGTCATCACTAGCCTCAGTTCGGCCAGAATTCTCCTCCACAGCTTCCGCATACTCACGCTGCACTCCACGGACCATAGCTTGAAGACGGCGATATAGCTTCAGGTCAAAGTCACGGCCCCCTAGAGGAAGTTGCTGAAGGAGAGCCTCGTCAATGCGATCAACACGAAGAATGTAGGTCGTCGGAGAATCGTCGCCTCCTTCTTCAGCTAAGTAGTTGATTGCCTGAGTGAGGCGGAGATCATTTGCGTTTCGTTGCGTGGGCTCTTCTTCACTGACCGAATAGAGCTCTTCCTCAGTAGAGAGGTCGATGAGATCGGCTGCGAGAGGAGCTTGGTGTTTATGGTATCTGGAAGCCATTTTTGCGATTGTAGCGATGATATTGATAAGGTTGTTTATGCTGGCGGGCGTTCAGCTGAGCGACTTCTGTGACTGTGTGGAGCAATCTGAATTCAAGCCAGCAAGGATCCGAGGACTTAAATGTAAAGACTGGATGGGTGGTCTTGTCGGGATACAAACAACTATTGAGTGTTAGACTATGGGACGGCGTCTTTGTTTTGTTTGTGGACAAAGCCGCCTTCCGCAACCGGAGATCCCCTTTGAAATTGTTTGGCAGTTATCATGCTCTTTGTGCGCGTTGAGTGGTCTCAAACGTGATCGTGCATTCATTGTCCTGCAGATGGTTGGCCTTGTTTTGCTGTCGTGCAAGGGCTCGGTGTAAGGGATAATCGCATCAACGATGTCGCTGATACCTCCCTCTGCGCACAGGAAAATCCGCCACGCAGGAAATATATTCGCTGTTTAGGTCCTTAATCTCTTAGCCCTACAGTATACCTGTTCATCGTCAAAGACACATCATTCTTTAAGATAATATCTCTAGGATCCAACTATGCCATAGGAAAAATACGTGCGCATTTCGTGCTGTTGATCATGTCTTACAGAACACATTAACATCGGAACAGCTTTACGCCCCTTTCAGAACATACTGAGGTGTATTCTTCTACAGCTCGGAGATTCTGCAGTGTAGCTAAAGATACAAAGAGATGTCTCCGAGCTTTGGAGACTATATCGACCAGGGGTACGCGCCGAGTGACGCTGGTTCTGGCGAGCTTATGTCATCGAGTACAAAAACACCAGCTCATGTAAATTACTGTAAGTCATGCTAGGCGGGTATCCTCGCAGCGTCCGCGCCTTATGCGTGGTACCTCTCTGTAGACCGCGGATCTGCAGATCCTCGACCACGGAACCGCGTGGCCCAATATCCCTCTGCGAATTCCGCCCCGATCCGACGCTCTTTGGTTCGGACAGTGGCATTCCAGGTCTCTTTTAGGTTGATGGTATTGGTTCCAAGTTCCAAGAGACACGAGTCTGGGGAAAGTGGAACCGAAGCTCGAATCTTCTCATTTTTTCGCCGCGTCCATGCTAAATCATTTTCGGCGTCGAGTTTCAGATGCTCTAAACCCCATTGTTCGGTTAGATCCATGCCGTCTATAAGGTCTGTGAGCGCCACCATATCGTTGGTGTCGAGAAGACTCTGTGCGAATATCTCTAGGGTCGGGTACGGGAGGCCCATTTGGCTAAACTCAATATTGGGGGGTATGCAATCAATATGCGCGTCATCTGAGGGGATCAAGGTAAAGCACATTGCTTTGCGTACGACTTTGAATCGTGGGAATGTGTGGAGTAGTGACCACAGGTCGGGGGGGGGGGGCGAGGCGGATAGGTTTCGTAAGTGTTGACTGAATCTAGAAGTGCAGACGCTTCTCTAAGCTTCTCTGTGGGCACACACACCTCCCAGTCCTAGTGGTATAGGTCAGTAGTGCAAATATGAAAACAATACAGACAACGGATCGTTATCTTAAGCTTACCCTGCGTCCTCTCCCGGCGCCATAGTAGATCAGAGCGGAAATACCAACCAGACAACAGGTAATGCCAGCTCCATGCAGTATCTGTGTAACTTCTAAAATCTCCAAAGTGCCGTGTCCCCCCAAACTTGGCTGCTCATCGTCGGGGCTTCTATTCAGGAAAGCGGGGTCATTGTACTGCTCGACGGGGATCTGTTTGACAAACCGAGTATAATCCTGCTGCTCCTCCTCGGTTGTGTTGTGTTCCATAGTAGACTTTTGTACACAGGTTGGGAATTTGAAGGAAGGGTGGGGTGATGATAATTAGAAAAGGCACTCGTGGTGTCTGTACCAGCACGATCGCGGAGATGGACGCAGCCAGCAAGGCACTTGTAGAGGCTCCTCCAAATGACGGTGGGGCGTGGGCTGCCTGGGCGTCGAAGGAAGAGGTGGCCCAGCGCCAGCAGTACCTCAGTATAGAGGAGGAGAAGGCTTATTACTAATGTCTAGTTTTGGACAAGAACTGAGAAGCGTGTATCATACTAGATGAGCGCCATGTGTGCTGACCCGTCGCAAGAAGTCATGGTGTTTGTTGACTGTCTTGGGATAGCGACAACGTAACATTGTGTCTCTGTACATACACCTGGCTCTCGGTCGAGGAAGACAACGTGTGACTCTGGCACGACACCAGAGACATAGTGCGGCCATACGCGATGAGGGGCTGTGGAGAAGGAAGCATCATGACGGGCTGACGAACTGCTGGGGATGTGGGGGATGCTTCGTAGATTAAACGAGTTGTTAGACATGCCTCGGCTGCGCAGCTCAGATGTCACTCACCAATGGGTCGGGGTGAAACCTGGCCATGGCGCTGTGCGCGGACGATTAGACTTACTGCTTTCTCTTCTTCATGATACCCTGAGTTTCTCTGTTTGTTCGTTCGTTCCTTTTACGTTGATCGTGGTCCAACATGTCAGGTAAGTTCCCATCGCAAGACCACAGCATGACCACACTCCTCACCCCCACAGCCCTTCCATACGCCATCCCCGCTGCTGCAGCCACCTTCTCCTACCTCAATGCCCGCCATGGCCTCAGCTACGACTTGCCAATGCTGTCAGCCCTCGCGAGCGCTGCAGTCAGCACCAAGCGACACGAACGAAGCGACACGTTCAATCTCTTCTACGAGCTAGAAGCCCAGGCACAGTCGCGCGAGAACCACGCGTGGATTATCTTCCAAGGCAGGACATGGACATATAAGGAAGCTTATGATACCGTGCTACGCTATGGGACGTGGTTGAAGAGCAAGGGCGTGGAGAAAGACGAGATTGTCGCCATGGACTTTGTCAATTCGGATACCTTTATATGGGTCTGGTTTGGGCTTTGGAGTATAGGCGCGAAGCCTGCATTCATCAACTACAACCTTGCGGGAAAGTCATTGGTACATTCTATCAAGACAAGTACGGCCAGATTGGTATTAGTGGACCAAGAAGGAAGAGACAAGTTCAATGACGATGTCATGAGGGAGCATGGCTTTGTGCGTACAGAACTAGAAAGAGACGGACGGGCGAAGTATGGCTTTGAGATGGACCAGTCGGATATCCCGAGGTCGGTAAGGAACCAGACGAAGACACCACAAGCCGCAGTAGATGCTGGAGCTGTTTCTGAGCCACTGCGACGGCAGCTGGAGGTGGTCTTTTTCGATGATGCTTTAGCCTTACAAATCCTCACGCTCCCACCCACACGCCTTCCCAACGTTGCCCGCGACAATCAGACGCGCACCAGCATGGCCATGCTCATATACACTTCTGGTACGACAGGACTTCCGAAGCCTGCGATCATGAGCTGGGGCAAATGCAACGGTGGAACCAAGTTCGTCTCAAGTTGGCTATCCCTGAAAAACAACGTGCTCTACACTTCCATGCCTCTCTACCATTCTTCCGCTTCGGTGCTCGGCGTATGTGCAGTCCTCCGTACAGGAAACACAATATGTCTCTCCAAGAAGTTCTCACATAAAACTTTCTGGCCTGAGATCCGCGCCAGCAATGCCACGATGATTCACTATGTTGGCGAAACGTGTCGCTATCTGCTCTCCGCGCCCCCGTCAGCTTTGGACAAGCAGCATAAAGTGCGCGCAGCGTTTGGGAATGGACTGAGGCCTGATGTATGGGAAGCGTTTAAGGAGCGGTTTGGCATTGAGACCATCTTCGAAGTCTATGCGGCGACTGAGTCACCGGGCGGGATGTGGAACCACAGCAGGAATGGCTTCTCCAGTGGCGCAATCGGACGGATGGGCACACTTACTTCTCTCCTCTTCGCGTCTATGCTCTGCCTTGTGAGGATGGACTCAGAGTCGGATCCTCCAGCCCCCCTTCGCTCACCATCCACCGGGCTTTGCCAGATCTGCGACTGGAACGAGCCCGGCGAATTGATGTACAAGCTGGACCCCAACGACATCAGCCAGAAGTTCCAAGGCTACTTTGGAAACGCCAAGGCGACGAACAGCAAGATTATAAGGAACGTGAAGGTAAAAGGGGATGCGTATTTCCGCTCCGGCGACTTGCTGCGCCGGGATAAAGAAGGACGGTGGTGGTTCGTAGACCGCATCGGTGACACATTCCGCTGGAAAGCAGAGAATGTATCCACCGCCGAAGTCTCAGAAGCGGTCGGCAAGCACGAAGCCGTCGTTGAAGCAAACGTCTACGGCGTGCAGGTGCCCCACCATGACGGACGAGCCGGCTGTGCAGCTTTGGTGTTGAAAGATTCTGCTGCGACAGCGATGGGCGACAAGACGCCGCTGCCAAGCGAGCAGACGTTACACTCTTTAGCGGAGCACGTGAAAAAAGAATTGCCCGCGTTTGCAGTGCCGATTTGGCTCAGAGTCACGCGCGAGATGCAGATTACTGGGACGAATAAGCAGCAGAAACACCTACTACAACAGGAAGGCATTGACCCCAGCGCAGTCGAGGCCTCTGGAGATGCTTTGTACTGGCTCAAGGGCGGAAAGTACCAGCGATTCACGAAGAGGGACATGGAGCTTGTAGTGGGCGGTGGGGTGAAGTTATGAGGAGCATTATATGAGTGGTGGAGGCTGTTTGATCAAGATACCACATGGCGTATGAATGGGATATAATGGCGTACATTAATTTCTGTTTCTTTGTAGCATAAATTAAGTAGCGATCTTTGCTTTCCGTGTCTTCCTTGACCTTTTCTTCTTTGGCTCCGCATACAATTCATCATCATCATCCTCTTCCTCTTCTCCAGCCGCAACCTCGTCCTCAGCTGTGGTCGACGCCGCTTTGCTTGTAGCCTTCCTCTTCTTCCTACCAGCAGCATTAGAGGGCACAATTTCCGTATCCTCTGGAACCGCCGCATCGTCCTCTTCACCATCCCTACCCCTGGCGCCCTCCCTCTCTGCGAGTCTCATCAATGCAGCACCCATTCGCTTCCCAGCCGCACTAGTTCCCTTCTTTTTCCCACTTGGCCCTGGCCCTCCCCCGCCAGGTCTCACTCTAGGCGCAAACGCCCCAGCACCAACGCCCCCCTCGAAGAAACGCGTGATGTTCGCCTGCGTACCCTCCTTCTCCCTTCGATTCATATCCCTAATCACTGGAACTAATACTTCGTCTGTGCGCTCCCAACTCCATCCTATCTGCGTGCTAAGGAACGTGCGTAGGGCAGCGAGGTCAGGGACACCCCACTGGAAGGGCTCGGGATCCGAGTCGACCTCTGGTTGCAAATATGCCTCTGCGACTCTCGGGTCTGGAAACGCTATTGGCAGGAAGAGTTTTGTTGCCTGGCTTCGCCGGAAGCGTCGGCGGAAGGGCGACTTGGAGTCTTGATCTTTGGGAATAGTGTTATTCTGCACAGCGGTCCACCAGTCCTTGAACTCTTGAAGATCAGGGAATTCAGAGAGAATTTCGAGCGCGGTGACAGGGCCAATGCCGGGTATACCGGTCGTGTAATCGCTTCCGAGGAGTTGGGCAATAGCAATCATCTTCTCCCTTGTTAAGCTGAACTCCGAGGTGAGGTCTTGAGATAGGTAGCATTCCACGAATTTCGCAGCGTTAAACATGTTCTTGTACACGCGTGTGCCTCCGAAGAGGAAAGTATCCGAATCGTCCGTTACGATGCCATCTACCAGTCCCAACTGCACGAGCTCCGCACACTGTGCTTCAGCCTCCATGGGCGCTGTAACATACGGCAGCCCAAAAAGCGTTAATAGGTGTTGACATTCACTAATCATGGTCTGCGTGACCTCGTCTGCGTCTCGGCGGTCCTTCTTCTGTTGGGCGCGGAGTTGTTTGAGCTCTTCGTCGAAGTTGATGCGTGCTGTGGTGTTATTGTTGAGTTCTTGGGCGAAGCGAGCGTGCTCTTCAGCTTCGGCCGCGAGGGAGGCAAAGAGTTCCGCGTCTTCTGGGTCAGAGTACTGGTCTGAATCGTTTTCGGGGAGATCAAGAGGAGCGGCTTCGTCTGCTACACCGCTATGGGGCACGACGGGAATTAGAAGGTCTTCAGGGCCCTCCAACCTGGCTGGTGTCGACTCTCGGCGAGGTCGACGCGGCTGTTCTGTGCGGATTGGAACATCCTCGAACTCAGGCGACGGCGACTTGGGGGATTCTGGTGCAGGTACGGCCTCGATGTGCATAGGCACATCCTCGAACTCTTCGGATGGAGATCTTGAGGGCTCCCGTGGACTTGGAGCTTGTGCTACTGACTTCTCTTGCGCTTTTGCGCGCGTCTCCTCTTCATGCTCACTTTCCGACCAATCCACAGGTTCGTCTTCCGAGTCGTCTGCGAACGGCGTCTTTTTGACCAACGCAGGGTCCTGGCGAGGAGGCGACTTCTGCTTCGGAGAAAGCGGCTTGGGAGGCTCTGTTCGCACTTTGTCGGCCAGGTCACCCATCGTCAACTGATTGTCTTCAATCGGGACATCTTCCATGTGTACATCAGTTTCATCGTCTGAATCAAGTACAATCACCTGCTTCTGGCTCTGACTCGCAGGAGCATCCAAATCGATGACCTCCTTTGTCTCTTGCTTCCGGAGACGAGGCAGTTCTTGAAATTGGAAATGCGCCTTATCTTCCGCTTTCGCCTTCTCCCATTCTTGTTTCTCGTCTTGCCGTTGTGCGCTTAGTTCCTGTCCTATGTCTCGTTGACCCTTGAACCAAGGCGGAAGTGGCGCTGCTTTCTCCTGTTCAAGATTCTTTTCAAAACCACCGGCAGCGTCTTCTTCGAGTTTCTGCATCTTCCGCTGACCGAGAAGAGATTTTCCCAGGTTGAGCTTCTCAAAAGGTAGCGGGCCGTCGAAACCAGGAGCGTTGTTAGACTGCGGCGCTGGCTTTACGGCTGGCGCAGGAGCTTGAGCTTGTCGTTTAGGCGACGGTTGTCGAGGCCGCTTCGACGTGCGAGACTCAGCCAAAGCGGCCTGTAAATCCATATCGTCCTCGCTGTCACTCCCCTCGAAAGGTCCTTTCGGTGCCAGCTTGCTGCTGCGTTGGTTCGCGAGCCTCGCAATTGCAAGACCAGAGCCTTTGGTCCCCACAAAGGGATTTGCATCTGCAGCACGTTTCTGCTGGAAGACCTCACGGACCGGGTCGTCATCTGACTCTTCGACAGGTTCAAGTCCATCCGGCTGCATCGACATCGTGATAGCCTGTTGAAGTTGTTCGTCCTCCGCATTGTCTCCGGCATCTTCGAATAGGTCGTCCCCATTGGCTGCTGGCACACTTTCCCACTCCTCGCCTTCGTTGATTTCAGCGAGAAACAGGGAGTCAGGATTCTCATTTACTGGTGAAGCCCGTTGTGGCGCGCGTTGCGCTGGCCTTTGCTTTCTTGACTTGTAAAATCGACGACGCCGCGTCGCTAGCTCATTTGCAATGAACTCCCGCCCCTCTTCTTGTGCACTCAAGCCAGGCTTGGCCTTTGGCAGCCGATTTAACCCTTCGATAGGAACATCTTCAAAATCCTCGTCGTCTTCCCATTCCTCATCTTCAACAACACGATGGGGCAGATCTACGTCTATCGGCTTATGTGCTCTCCCCTCATCTCTGTTTGTAACCACACCCAGCGCCCATCCACCTTCAACCCCATCGTTCTTGACAAGCACATATTCTCTGTCTCTCTCGCCTGATACGCGGCTTGAGGCGCCAGCACCAAACGCATTGTCGTTCATGCCGTTGAGGTTCATTAGGCGCTGCGTGAGGTCGTTGCGTTCGCGCACACGCTCGATTTGAAATTTGGAGAAAGCCATCCTGTCCGGAAACATGGCGTCCAGCTGTTCCTTCGAATGCCCCATTCTGAGCCGGCTCCTCAACCTAGCGGCATTCAGAATATTGTAACGATCGGCAGCAGGCAAGCTCTGGAAGAAGGGACCATCAAAATCAATCTTGGAGAAATCGTAGACATTGATGTCCTCGCCTCTATCAAATAGGCTTGCATACTCCTCTAACTCTTCAAGCGACATAACCCTAGGATCGTTCGCGCCGCCCATTTCGTTCATGGACATGCCCAAATCTGGTAGATGGTATTGGTCCTTCCTCTTGAACGTGCGGTTCTGCGCGCGCTCCTGATCTGTCTGCAGGATCTCCTCCGCATAAACTAGGTTCTCAGGTATTTCCTCCTCCTGCTGCTGCTGCACTTCCCGCGGGTGTCTCGCAGCCTCCTTCCGCTTCCGTTCTTCCTCCTCGGCAGCCCTCTGCATCTGTATCGCCAACAACTTTGCAGCTGTCCTGACCGCATCCTCACGTCTGCCCTCGCGGCGCGACTTGCGGTTGTTTATGGTCTGACGCTTGAGAGCCGGTGCGCCACCGTCGAACACGAAGACAGGCTTGATGCCGATGAAGAGTAGCTTGCATACTCGGCGGAAGAAGCCGACGATATGGCTGTTTCGTAGCGCATTGCCTTCTTTGTCGCGCACAGCTTTCAGGAACTGGTAGATCCAGATGGAGGCATCGACAGCGAGTCGCTTCTTGTTCAGCGTCTCAATCTTAATGGGCCGCGCGCAGGGTTGCAGGACGGTCCAGAGTCCGGTAACACCCATGGCGGCGCTCTATGGACGCTATCCATTGGTTTTGGCGCTTCGAAGGGTGGTGGATGTATTCTTGAGGTTGATCAACTAGAGATGGCTGCCTTGTGATCTCGCGTCGGATGCGTGTCGTCGATGACGTGCATGCCAAGCCCGGCCGATCGCCTCGCGCTTTGGATAACGATAGTTACGGCGGTAATATAAGGTGTCTAAATCCTTTTCGTAGAGTGAAGACTCGGATACTCTAGAAAATGTTTATATCTCAGATAACATTCTAGAAAACCGCTACGTCTAAGGAGATTCTCCTTGCCGTCTACCAACGCTATGCAACTAAGCAAGTGTAAACATAAGAGAGTATCTATGCCGCCCGCCCTTCAAATTCAAAGTCCTACTCCACCACTCTGTACCTCTTCTCCATCGCTCTCGTCGTCGCCAAATTCCGCTGCCTCGCCAGAATCCTCGTCCCCAAACACGCCAGCCTCATGCTGTTCATGTCTTGAGCTGTGCTGCGCATGGTCTTCATTATCTGAGTCATCGTCTACGAAGACTCTACTTTGTTTCCTAGGATTGCGACTACCAATCTGCGATGGTCCGGCGCTCTCTTTGTACAGATCACTCAATTCCTTGGGCGGCCGAAATTCAAACATTGAATTAGGACGATCCTGGCGGTGCGCTGTGGGCCGTAAATGCGTGCGAGAGGTGTCGAGCGCTGTGGAGTCTGCCGTCGCTTGCGGAGATATAGCTGACCACCAACCGCTAAGACGCTTTGTCAGGGACGGGCTATCTGGAACTTCGGATGGCTTGTCTGACGGATTCGTCTTCAAATTTGCAAGCTGCCGCTTGTTCTTTCGTCCAAAGTTGAAGCCCAGTGGGAGGGTCACAGGGGAACCCGGTCGAGATAAGCCTGCAGACGACGAAGAAGACTCAGAGCCAGACATCGGGAACGGAGCGCCATCTTCTGGGCCGTTGCTTTTTGTACGTTTGAGCAAGCCGCGCAAATCGTCTTCCGAAAATATATTGACGAGATCACCATCGCGCGTCCCACGAGGTCGGTACTGACGTCTCCCTTGCTGGATAATGTTTTCCAATTTAGCGCGATTGGCAATGAACTTGAGCTTGGGAAATGCAGATTGCTGGCCGACGTGAATCATACGCGCTAGCCGCTGCGGCGTGGGGTCGGCAAGAATATGGACAAAGTCCGAGGGAATCGACTTTGGCCAGATGGTTATGGTACCGCTGAAGCGCTGTAACCAGATCTCGCTCCAATCCTGGCCCAATGGTCGTGGCAACAGCTCGAGGTGTCGGAGTACCTTGAGCCATTTGTTTAGATCGAGTTTGAGGTACTGTTCAGTTGCTGAGCCTATGAAGCCGCCTCTCCAACCGCGTCCTCGTCGATGGGTAACGGGTCGTCCTACGGAGCCGCGGGATGAAAAGAAGAAAATATTGATGTGTGGGTTGACCTGGCTCACAATGGAGAAGCGAACATTGAAGTGGAGATTGAGTGCTTTCAATGGAATATCAGTCCTCAAACTTCCATCCTTCCACTTGTGGCCAAACGAATAGGGTGACAGTGTACCGTCCTTGTTCTTCTTCATTAGCACAACCGGATTCAAGATCCCAGGAACAGCGGCTGATGCGAGGACTGCGGACCAAACAACACAGTCAGGAGCCGTGATATAGTTAGCGAGGATTGTTGGGGAACGGAATGGAAGTCAGTGTATGTCTCACACGCAATCGGTATATGGGCGTTACGTACTGTGGGTCGGAGGGGACACATGACACGTTCAATATACGACCGGTTCGCTGATACGCTTCCCTAAAGGTCATGCTTCCGCGCGTCATCCACGCGCACTTCTTCGCCCATTCTACGCTATCGAATCGCGCCCCGGTGGTGTACCATCTTTTGATCCAGGTGAACATGTCGTCGGAACAGGCCGTGATACGGTGAGCAAGAGCTGGAACGAGGAGCTTTTTAAGCTCTTCGTCAGTCCTCGTACACAGCAGTGCTGCCACAAGCGCTCCGCCAGACGTTCCAGTAATGACCTCCGGTAGGAGATCAGCGTCCAACAGCGCCTTGGCGACGCCGAAATGGTAGTACGCAAAGGTTGCTCCTCCAGACAGGCATAGCGCAGTCCGTCCAAAGTTGCTGCCCAAGTGTTTGAACAGGGCCCGTTTGTTGTCCGCATCAAGCTGTGTGGTGCGGAGGAGAAACGTCAGTGCTTTCTCGGCCTCATCGACGAAGCTCTGAACAAGTTCTTTGGTCCCATAGTACGTCTCGCTCCAAAGCCTCGGGTTCTCGAACCCTACGAAGTTGTTCTTCACGCAGGCTTCCATGAGAGCGCGCAAGTCTTCGACCGCTTTATGCTGGCCTTCCCCAGTCTTCGCCCCTGACCTACCATTCTCGTCCGACTCTGCCCTTTGCCGCAACTTTACAATTTGTTCATGCACCTTTTTCAATGTTTTACTATCATAGTAGCTGTACTCAGGGGTCTCCTTCCACGAGTCGTTGCCCAAGTACGTGTCGATTTCTTTTGCCCCGCGTATCCAGTCCTCGTATGAAGTAGCATTCTCTAATCTCTTCCGTAGTTTTTGCCGTGTCCCTCTCCATGTTATCCAGTGCTCGTACAGGTAGATGTACAGTCGGGTGAAGACGTATGCTATGCTTAGGAACAGCAGCCACCCAAGGACGACCACCAACAGCGGCCACTTGAGCAGCACATAGACGAAGCCTTCGCGTGTTTCATCCTTGCCTCGCCCCGACGGTGCCTTGCTTTTCTTGCGCCGCCGCACGCGCTGGTGGATCGGCCGCCAGTCGTTGAGTGCTGTGAAGTAGGTACGAGTTTCGGCCGCCGGGGCGGTAAGGTCATCGGTAGAGGGAGAGATCTCAGGGGCAGCTAAGGCCTTTGCAAACTCGGCGAAGTCATCTTCATTCACAAAGTCGTTGTCGAAGTCTGGGAGGAGGGTGAAATCGAAAGCCACCGAGGAGTTGGGCTCAGGGCCGTCTGTTGCTTTTTTCGCGTCAGCCATGGGATAAGGTCAGGGGCTCTGTATCTCGCATGGTTGGAGTGTATGTACGACAAGGTTAGGGTGTGTGCAGCAATGGATGTGTGATGCCACGGACTGGTGACGGTGATGGTGGTGGTGATGGGACTCGTAGGGGCGCTACGTCACAGGACTAGACCCTTGATTGTCACCTGCTTGCGCATCAGGAACGCGTCAGAAGTCTCGTCGCCCACAACGCCATATCCATGAGCCATGATCCTTCGCCCTCGATCGCTCTCTCGGGTACAATGGCGGTCATGCCGACGCTTGATGACGCTCGCTATCGAGACCTCGTGCGACGACACCTCGGTTGCCATTGTCGAAAAAGGCGTGCAACAGGGCCAAGCAGTGGCACGCCTGCACTTCCACAAGAAAGTTACATCAGACAATTCGGCGTTCCAGGGCATTCATCCGCTTGTGTCTCTCCAGGCCCACCAAGAGAATCTGGCAGATCTTGTGAAAGAAGCAATCGACCACCTACCACGAAATGCCCGTGGTTATGCCAATGAACAGGACCCAGCATCTTCAGTGCCTGTTTCAACAAGGAGGCTCCCTGACTTGATTTCGGTCACCCGAGGTCCTGGCATGAGGAGCAATTTATGCACTGGCCTCGACACAGCAAAGGGACTCGCAGTAGCATGGCAGGTATTGCGACAGCCCAACGCCTTCACGACTATAGCTGAGTCTTTGTAGAAACCCCTAATTGGCGTCCACCATATGCAGGCTCATGCCTTGACCCCGCGCCTAGTCAGTGCCCTTGAAGCCGGCAGCTGTCCCAGCGATTACACCCCTCCTGGCGAACCTGCCGAGGACGACATCGTATCTTGCTCCCCAAATTACCCATTCTTGTCAGTCCTTGCATCGGGCGGCCACACCTTGCTCATACACTCAGCATCATTAGCGGATCACCAGGTGCTAGGCTCTACCAACGACATCGCGATTGGCGAATATCTCGACAAGGTCGCGCGCGTCATCCTCCCGCGAGAGATACTAGGGACAACCAAGAGCACAATGTATGGGTCACTTCTCGAGGATTTTGCCTTTGGAGAGACATGGCAAGAAGACGCAAGGGTGCAAGCACAATTGGCACAGGGAAAGAGCACCCCTCTGCAGTCATCCACACTCTCTACCCCTGAACGGACGCCGCCTTCAGATGGAGATCATGCTTCTGCTGAAACATATTATGAAATGAATAGGCACCGGTACAGATGGTACAAAGTAGCCACGAATCACGAGGATGCCATGCAGAGAAGTGCTACCAAATGGGGCTGGGGTTTCGATCAACCCCTGAGTAGATCCAGCGGGGGAAAGAAGATCAACAGTCTTGAGATGAGCTTCTCCGGTCTGATGACTGCTGCTGAGCGTGTTGTACGATACGGAATAGATCCAGTCACTAAGAAGCTGAACAAGACGGAGCGAGCAGCATCCGATATAAGTCTTGAGGAGAGAAAAGACCTCGCAAGAGAAGCCATGCGCGCCGCATTCGAACACGTCGCCTCTCGAGTAGTTTTGGGCCTACTATCTCTGCGCGATATTTCAACGGCTCAACCTGCCGTTGTCATGGCTGGTGGTGTCGCGGCCAATTCGTTCCTTCGACAAATGTAAGTATCCCTCACCATAGACTTGGATCACACTAACATTGATTAGACTCGCAAGTACTCTATGTTTCCACGGCTATCCCGATGTGCACCTATATTTTCCGCCCCCCAAGTTCTGCACAGACAACGCAGCCATGATCGCCTGGACTGGACTTGAAATGTTTGAAGCCGGTCACACCGATCCACTCAGTATCCGTGCTATTCGGAAATGGCCTCTTGACAGACTACTAGATCCGCCAATTGACGGCTAGACGCGAGATGACCAGCTCAAGTTAAAAAAGCACAGATTCCACCAATACCTACTCGATGCATTCTCACCACTCCAGAAGATGGCTCGATGAACTGGCCGGTATCGATCAAGAGGTATTATCATCAAGCCTCCATGTTGAATTGTCGATTCACTATAGATATCGTGCTCTCCGAGTCCAACGTTTTGCTTGAGATGCTGTCGCACAGGACAAGACAATCGACTTGAAGCCCAGTCCGAACTTTTGGTCTAAAGATAGTCACACCAGCCACCCTTGATCCTGTTAACGAGGACCTAAATTGCACCTCCTCTAAACAGCCGACAAGAACACTGTTCAAGTGGGAGCGGAACAATTATATTCTTTCCTACTCGGGGAGGTACGAAAGGCTGGTGTATATACCCGCGTCTAGACCATGTTCACCTGAGGTCTATGCGTAGGGAGCTACATGTTAAAGCGTTAAGCTTTCCAGACTCGAAGTCGACACGTCTTGATCCCTGTAAGTATGCAGAGGCCTCGATCCCGTATCGGCTAGGGCCCTTGTTCGGTTGCTACCGGATCCATGCTACGATCACGAAATAAAACAGCAATATATCCAAACAACATGTACTCTAATTCTGCCGACTTTTTCCACGCATTACCAATCAACGTCTTTGGATCTCGGTTTCTTACATTGCAACTCTAAATTTAGCACCTTCCATGGTCATGCCACTGTTCCAGCCGAGGTTTATCAGCATTGATTGCTTTGACAGCTTGGAAACTTGACCTAGAGCCCGGATCAACAACTATTTGAGCTCGCTAACGCAGAACTTGGATTATCGCACACGTGAAAACAATACTAGAGTACGGGGCGATGGTGTCCAGCCTCGTATCTTTCATCTACATAAAGTGCTGTCGCTTGTATGGTCGAGTCAACCAGAATGGAGACCCAACGGACGTGTATAACAGTCCACCACTTCTCAGGATATGCAGTACCACTGAGAGGCATATTCAATAACCTACAGGTTGGTCTTTGCTCGTGGACATCGCTTAACGACAATGGCACCTACACGGCACACTGTGCTGGCGTTGCTGGGGCTTTCTATCAGGTTCGTTAAGATCAACCTCGTACATCACAATAGCGTCACTAATACCTTGCAGCATTCGCGCGGCGCCTACAGGTTTGAAACATCGTCAGATTGGAATCATTCCCCCTCGGCAAAGCGTTTCTTGGGACGGTGGCAACCCACAGCCAACTCAAGACCCTCAAGGACCAGGACTGCCGCCGCTCTTTCCACCCCATTCCAGTGACCAGATCAGCCACTCTCCTCCATCAGCATCTGTGAGTTGGGATGGAGCTGGGCCGTCAGAAGTACCAATATCATCGAAAGAGCCTGACCACCCAATCCCATCAAAGCCCAGCAATCAGATAGGTCTGGGAAAACCATCATACTGGGTCAGTTGGGAGACAAGTGGTCCAAGCCCTACAGAACATCCCGAAGTGCCGGGACATCAACCTCCAACTTCTCCAACTGACCAAATCAGTCTCGGAAAACCATCTGGTTGGATCAGCTGGGCGACGAGCAGTGCTGCTCCGACTCCTACACCCGAGATACCTAATCACTCACCTCCATCTACACCTACTGATCAAATCAGTCTTGGAAAACCATCCGGGTGGATTAGCTGGGCAACTGGCGACCCTACTCCGACGACTACCCCTGAGGAGCCTGAGCATCCTCCAAAGCCAAGCGATCAGATCAGTGTGGGTCGACCTTCGTACAGCATTACGTGGGACGGCAGTGCTCCGGGAGCCTCGCCAACCCCTAAGCCTGAACCTGAGAAATCCTCCACAATTCCCAACTCAAGTGGACCCAATTCTACCAAGCAGCCTGGTTATCCTCCATGGTTCCCATGGTACCCATGGCCGTCAAAGCCTACCACATCGACAGTGAAGATTACGCCAAAGCCCACTCCAAGCTCTAGCCAAAAGTCGATTCCAATTCCTGAGCCTACTCCCACGCTGACCCCTAAGCCTAGCCCACCCACGGAGAGCAATCAGATCAGCCTTGGACCACCCAAATACAGCGTCAGCTGGGGCTTAAAGAAGCGACACGATGCGATTGACGCCAACGTGAAGCCAACTTCAAAGGGTCCTGCAAAGTCTACGACGAAGCCAAAGCCAAAACCTACTTCGAAACAGCCAAAACCCACTTCGTCTCCAAAGCCTACACCTGCTCCTACCCCTGCGCCGACCCCTACTCCTGCTCCTACACCTACTCCCACTCCCAATCCCGTCCCATCTCCTTCTCCACCTGATGAGATCAGTAACGGGCCCCCTCAATTCAGCGTCAGCTGGGACAAGAACCGACAGTCCGAGTATGATCCTGAGCCAACAGGTCAGCCCCTTCCAGAGGACGAAGAGCCCTTCCCAGAAGACCCGGAGGATGAGGAACCCATTGAGATCCCTCCGTTCCCCTTCCCCACACAGCACAACAGCATCGGAATGCAACCTCCGAAGGTATCCTTTAGCTGGGGGAAGCGTCAAGATGAACCTCAGCCTACGACTTCTCCCGAGGACCCCGAGGAGACTGGACCGATTGAGATTCTCCCCTTTCCCATCCCTACCCCCCCGAATAGCATCGGTATTGAGCCTCCTAAGGTATCTGTGAGTTGGGGGAAGCGTGAGGCAGCACCGGAAACGGACACGATTGGTTTACAATTCCCCACCATCTCTTTCTACTGGCCAAAGCCGTCGCCCCCTACGTACATCTCGTGGGGCAAGCGTCAAGACGAGGAAGAACCTACCGAGACTCCTGCACTGCCAGCTCCTTCGCCAAGCGATGAGGTCGTCATCCAACCTCCTCACGCAAGCATCTCATGGGCCAAGCGCGATGCTAAGCCGCAGTACACGAGGACTATCAAACCAACCCCCACCCCATCGTACAGCCTTTGCCCAGACGTGACGGCAACCGCAACACCTTTATGCGTGCCGCCGATGTGCCCCAAGGGCCGTGTGGCCTGCGATTGGAACCTACAAGTTCCTATCATGGAGAAGCGGATAAAAGAACGGGAGATTGAGAAGAGGGTTGTAACGATCAAGACATTGACGCCAATCGGCTACCCCACGCCTGCCATTAGCAGGTGTACGGCAGCCAGGACAACAACAATAGCGGTTAGCTGTCCGACGTTTACGTGCGTGCCGTGGTGTGATCCCGCGCAGGTGGTGAAGTAGGGTGCGTGGTAGTTTGGTGTTAAAATTGATGTTTGAATTGGTGGCGCGAATCGATTATTTGTGTGATTGGAATCTACTTGGTTAGATGAATTGTAGCATAACATTCGCTATATGACTGCTTTGAATAAATCGAAAACATTGCAAAGAAATCGAGGCTAAAAATTGTACTATTATTATCTCAAGTTGAGCCGGTATTGCTGCAAACCCAGGATCAGGTCCTTCATACGTCGCTTGGAACCCAGAATATGCAGTGAACAAACTTGGCAAAGTGATATTATTAGCCTATGAAAGCAAGAAAAGCCGAATACGCATACAGACAGGCAAAAAGGATCGCGTACTCGGGTTACAAATGCCTAAACGCACCAAGCACGAGTTTGAACGGACGCTACGATAACGAGGACTCTTCTACGAAGAGCTTTTAGGCGACGGCGCCGGGGTACTGCTTCCGCCGCGGACCTGGAGCTTCTTGGGCTTCTTCTTCGCTTTAGGCTCTTCAGACACCGGCTCCTCTTTCTTCTCTTCCTTCTCAGGCGCTTTCGGTGCAGCTGGCTTCGCTTTCGCGCTGTCTGGTTTGGGGGTTTCCGACTTCTTTTCTTCAGCCTGCTTCTTCGGCTCCTCCTTTTGCGGCTCTGGCTTCTTTGGCCCGGCATCAGCCTTCTTCGCACTCCCGTTCAGCTTCTTCGGCTTCCCGCGCTTTTTCCCAATGCTCGCCGCTGAAGTAGCAAGATCCTCGCCTTCCTGCACGTCCTCGACCATGAAGTTCGCCGCCATGCATCGTCCACCGTTTTGATGGCCCACGTCCATGGGACACGCGCTGAAGACGACGACGACGTCCCGCTCGGCGCGGAAGCGCACGAAACTTCTCTTCTTGCCCTTTGGCTCTTCGACTTTGATGACTGCGCCTTTGGCACCCGCGCCTTCACTCGAATTGTTAGCAGTAAGCTCCAGAGGCGCGTTCATGAACAAATGTAGCGGCGTGGGTGCGATGTTGACTGAGATGTCAGCACCGACTGCTTTCGCACCCTTGAGTCCTGCAGTCTCGTTCAGTTCTTTGAGCGCGAGGACAAGATTCTCCGCACAACTGCCGTGTTCCGCGGGTTTATCGATACCTAGCGCAGTATACAAATTGGCGTCGCACGCTGCGGTGAGCGTATCGTGAGCACCGGGCGAAGTATCCTCTACCAGGGTGATTATTGGATTGCGCAAATTCGTCAGCAGTTCGTCATCGACCTCAGGCACGAGCTTGTACGACGAGGCGCGGGTGTGGGGGAGGGAGAGATACTCCATAGGTGGCATGGAAGAGTTCGAGGGATGTGTAGTGGCGTATGCGGTGTAGGCGGCGTAGACAGAGGAGGCGTAGCCTGAGCCGGTCGCAGCTGGGAGTCGATGTTAGTACTAGTAACAATGTTTCATACCAGTAGCTTCAGTGGAAGAACTTACCTGCAATGGTTCCAGCTCCAACGGGCGTCTTGGAGAAGTCATACAGTTGCTCCGCATAACTCTTGTTCGGGTCGCGATAGTGGCTGGACTTGAAGGCACTCACTACGCCCTTCGAATCTGGGATCTGCACATTCGGAACATAATTTGAGATACCTTTACCAGTAGGCAGGTAGGAAGACCACTTCTTCGTGTTTTCTTCGTTTTGCGCCTTCTCTTCCTCGGCACTGGGTTTCTGCTGGGCGTCTGTTTTACTTGCCGTGCCTTTATTGCGGTATGGAATGGAGGGAAGGTAAGACGCCCAGGTGCGTTTGGAGGGTTGCTTCGATGACGATGCTGTGGGAGTGGACTCTTCCTTCTCTGGAGTGTCGGGTGCTTGCTCGGGCGGGTCTTCAGCGTCTTGCTCGGGAGAGTCGTCATCCTCGCTTGCCTCACTTGTAGTCTGTGTCTCCTTGCCAGTTCCCTCTGCTTCTGTGAACTTTTCCTTTCCTTTACTTGTGGACTGTGTCTCTTTGCCAATGCTCTCGTCCTCTTTGGGCTTTCCTTTCCCCTTGCTTGTCGACTCCGTCTCCTTGCTGGTGCTTTCTACGTCTGTCGACCGTTCCTTTCCTTTGCCTGAGGGCACACTCTCCTTCCCACCACCCTCCTCAACAGCCTTCTTCAATCCCTCAGCCTCCTGCTGCACCTCTTCTGCATCCAGCTCCTTCGCCTCAACCTCCTCGTCGTCCTCTCCCTCCTCGGGCGGCGCGCCTAGACTAAACGCCCACATGCTGACTACTTGCTTCCCATACGTATTGATAACCTTGATGGTCCTGCCTCTGGGCACGAACGTCGCAACGCCATGGCGCGCGGGAATGGTCTGCAGTTCGCCCGACATGTCCTCAATGGCAAAGTCTTCTTCTACGTCCTGTGCTTTCTTCTTGCGCTGTTTTTCGACGACAGAAAGCACGGAGACGAGAGCGAGACCAGCGAGCGCACGACGAGAGGGAATTGGGGGCGCCGTCTTGACGTCGTTCTTTTAATGGTAGCAGTGAAAACAAGAAGAATAAGCACAGCGAAACAGCGTCGCAGAGCAATGTGAATAGTTAATCAAGTTGGATGACGAGTCTTCTAGTGAGAAGCGGAGGATATACCTCCAAGCATGCGTACGGATCAGTGACGTATTGGGCCATGGCCCGCGGCGGGCCTAGAGCGTTCATGGCCTCCAACGGCCGTACAGGATGCATGGAAGGCCTTGCACTCTTGCACAACGTCCCGCGCGATCATCTGGCTGGGCGGTTGATGAGAGATGGCTTGCGGGCACCATGACGCAGCGGAGATTGAGAACCCTGTTTTAGCACCATGCACGGTTGCACCTGCCCTTGCCGCTCGCTTGGGGGGTGGCCCCACTGTATCCACCATCTCAGCGTCACAACTCCAACCTCTCGAGGACTTGAACATGATATACGTACCGACGAAAAGAAGAGGGCTTCCATCCCAGGTCTACCGCTATGAAATTGATTCCAACTCCACAACTCGGTACTTTCCAACCCGTTCTTTGTTGCCAACTGCAAGGATGCAGATGGCAGCACGTCTTGAAGACGCCACAAGAGAATGATTGATGCTGTGTCACATGAACAGCCAAGTACCTTACCGATTCCTGCATGAACCTGTATATTATCGTCGCCTAAAGTTTGCAACACACACACATATACACACAGAAAAATAGTCAGACTGCAGCAACCACCCATCTCTACTACTAACGCGAAGATGGCCGAAGCACCCCGAGAGTGTGCTTTCGAAGAGTACGTCCACCAGAATTATGCAGACAGCAGCTGGCAATGAATCCCAACAGCTTCATTCAGTCGGAGCTCTTCACTTTCTACATTGGCAATTCGAGACCTTCCTTCCCAAAGCCAACTCTGCACCTCACCAGGACTTCACGCCCATCTTCCTCGCCCACGCCCGCCTGTATACATTTGCTGATATACGTATGATGGCGGCCTAGATAGGTCGGAGGAAGGAAAGTTGGACGCGCTGAAGCGCCTAGTCGTTGAATATTGTGCTTGCAAAGTGGACACGGTGGGTCAACACTCTGCCTGCATACGCTTGATGGAGGATGGCGGAGAGTTCGTAAGTGACTTTTGGAGAATTGTGAGCAATTATCTACTGCATTGTGGAACGGGTCCAGGGACATTGACCAAGTCGGCGTGTCTGCGTAGCCCTAACTGCATTAAGCTTGACCGGCAATAGCTAGCAGGTTTGAACAGGCTGGAGTAGAGCTTTCAATGACGGTCCGCTAGGCGTGTAGCTCCCTCTGTAATCAGCGTGCGTGTAGGTGTACCTTCCATGCTGTCGTCGTGCACAGGTAGCCTGTCGTCATGTGTACATGTTCGCATCACACCAACAACCGGGGATCATCCCCGCCCCGACATGCAACCAGCAACAGCTTCTTGAAAGGATCCAGCGACGCAGTCTCTCTGTCATGCGTCCACCCAGCCGACATATCCCCGTACGCAATCAAGCCCTCCTCTTCCGTCACGTAAGGTAGCACCCTCGCGTTGAACGCATCCCGATCGCAAGACCATGCCTCGATGTCCTTCGTCACCGGCAACCGGGACAAGACAGGAACCTGGTCCGCTACCCCGCCTTTTGTTAGAACACTCCACCCGCAGCGCGAGAAGACTGATAGAAGTACCGTGCGGCGAAGCGATTCGTTGAAGACCCACCTGTCGTGGCAGTCTTTGAAGTCCTGCTTCTCGTTGAAGGAGCGCTTCCAGAGGTGGGCGGACCAGGTTTCTAGGAGAGGTATGTGCTTTTCAGCTTGTGCTTGGAGGTTCAGGCTGGGGTCAAAGAGGCGTATGATTTGGTAGATTAGGAGGGCCTGGACGGCGGCGAGGTGTTCGGTGAGTGTCCAGTTACTCGAGCTGGCGATGAGGGCTGCGATCTTGGAATGGATACTATTTGCCAGGACCGATACATTTCTCGCGTTCTTCGTCAAGAAGAGCGCTGAGAGTGCGACGCAGTCCTGGTAGGCTTGCGGTTGGTCTTTCTGGTATAGGTTCTGGTGTATGAAGAGCGTCGAGCCTGAAAAGGCCATGTCAGGGACGAAGGCGCATAGTCCCTGGATCACGGTGAAGACTTGTCCCTCATTGAGGAAGGCGGGCTGCCGTACTTCTGGGAAGAGCGTTCTATATACTGGCGGCGCTACGGTTGCACGACTCCTTCGTGCCGACAACTCTTGACTCCAGTCCTTAGTCCAGTCATTATTGTCAATTCCCCAGTCATTATTCCAATCTGTCTGACATCTTTCCGGACTCGATCCGCTCGAGTCGCTCGATGACCCGGAGACTTGTAGAAACAGAGGATCGATATTCACTTCGATGCTGGAATCAATTTGGAGATCAAGCGGTAGAGTGGAGCTCCCGCCGACGCTTGCCAGAGGCGGCATGAAATCCGGCGTACTTTGCCGGATTACCACCTCAGCATCGTGGACCGTAGTCTTCTGCGCGTTCGGGTACTTGCAGTCGAAGCCCTTGACGAAGCAACGCTTGCAGAACGGGTATCCCAGGTCACATCGTCGTTTAGCGCGGACGCAACCGTAGCAGCTCTTCTTGCGGGTACTGGAGATGTACCCTAGCATTTCCGGGGCGAAATCACGGCGGGATCAGTAAAAATCACAAGAGGGAGGAGGAATCAGGAATCTAGCTGCGGGTGCCTCCAGCTGAATAGCTATCTGTTAAAATCCGTAGAGGTCAGTGTTAGTCAGCGCGCTGACATGCACGTCTCGTGATCTGATGCAGAGTGTTGGACCTCCGCCAGAAGCGCATCCTGTAGCCTTGGCGACGACAGCTGCCATCAACGTCTCTGCTGTTAATAAAAGAACAACTCGACTTCAAACGCCCTTCAATCTTTGCAGCTTGGCATTATACGCTTAAACGAGATCTCTCCAATCTCAGCATCTCGATGTAGCCGCGACATCCGTACCCACTTACTTTCAGATCCAGGAACCCGACGATCCTGCACACACACACCACACCAGCCTCGAGAACTATAATACAGCCATAACCATGCGCAAGCCTCGAGATTGCGGATCGATAAAGGAAAAAAACGCCCAGTGCGTCCGCCGTACCAGGCCCCCAACGACCCTAAACACGGCCGCACCGTCTGGTTTGGGATGGAATGCTGTCCGATTGGATCTTGATGTCATGGGTAGCTGGTCCGTGTACTTTCACATGTTTGCGGTTACGCATAGTGAACGGAGCGGCCCCACGCACCAGGTGAAGCGCCGTCGTCAGCTTGCAACAGCGGAATCGGCAAACCTCTCTCTACCTCTATACCACACATCATCAAAGTCATTGTCGCCGCGGAAGAATTAGGTTCGAATTGGTTGGGTTGCTTTGTCTAAGACGCCGCTTTGTACACACGTGCTCCACCGAACCCGCTGCGTCTCACCTGACATCGGACTCCGGCCTAGCGTTCACAGCACTATCCCACCTGCAATCCTCAAACACACCCCGTACCTGGCAATGGATTTGATAGAAGGCTCGCCGGGCGCAAGACGGGCAATGTCCCTGCTCTTCACAATCCCAGAGCGCTTTACCGAATTCGCGCACATGGACCAAAAGAGCTTCTGCGAGCTCTCGGACTGGATCCTTGTACACGTCGAATCGCAAATCAGCGCCGACGTAAGCGTGGAAGAAAGCCTCTTTGTGTTCCTCGACATCGTCGCGCAAGGGAATAGCTTCAGCAACGTAGCGTACCACTGGGACCACGACGTGCAGCTCACACAAGGGTATGCCAAGTCTCGTATCCTCTAGCAGCCTCACAATTGACCGTATTCATAGCATCTTCCTCAACGTTCTCAACGCCCTGACCGTCCTGCGCGAAAGCAGAGATATCATGGACTCGTGTCCTCCCTTCACAAAGACGAGGAAACGATGGGAGGTCGCCAAGCGATGGCCGCGAACTCGGGCAAGAGTCGACGGACTCGTAAGAATCGGGTACGACGAGATGTCGAGGGATGGGCTCGAGGTGAATCAAGAGAGTCTGAAGGAGGCGCTAATGGCGTTGAACAACTTCATCCACGAGGTTTCGGACCAGGATGCGTAGTTGATGTGCGAGCTGCATTTTTGGCGTATTTGGCGTTTTAGTAACGACATGGATGGCAAGGAACTAGCATCGGTGCTTCGGTTGGGAGGAATTTCGTACGCGCATTCGTAGCTTGAGCGATCCCCGCTCTGGGAGTCGGCATTACTCATACTGTTTTCCATATGCTTCCTGACAGGTCTTAGAGTGTTTCATCGTCTATTCCGATTGTATAGCTCCTATAGTCCGTCCCTTCAACAGACTCAGTCTGCCCTTCTTGATCCCAAGCGCCTCCTCGATCCTGCTGTCCGGCTCGCCTCTTTGCTGCCTCATGAGTGCCAATTGTACGAGTCCGGCGTCGACGTACTTCCGCCCCGCAAATCCTCTCCGCCCCACATCTCTAAGCTCATCTTCTGCCTCGTCTGATATGCGCTGTCTTGCTTCTAGGACTCGCAGGACTGGATTGTTGCGCGGGTCGGGGAATGCAGATACAGGGAGCGATTGCATCATGTCGGAGGGTAGGGAAGACGATTCATTTCGTCGCGGGTCAAACTGCGAGGTGGAAGTAGGCGAGTAGTGAGGATTGGGATCTACAGCACCGAGGCTGTTGAGGCGGGAGGCGAAGGCGGGATCTCTGACGTCTTGCTCGATTGCTACCATGACGAATTAATATTCGTGCCTGTTATACTAACATTCGCTCGAACATACCCTCTTTTCGCGTCTCAGTCGCCAGCGGCGGATGTCCCGGCGCACCCGCATTCGCGGCGCTCACTGCCTGGGCTGCGGAAGCCACCGGCGGCCGTGTTGTAGTATTTGAGGGAGATCGAGTGGGATACTGGCGTGCAGCTGAGCCAGCGGCCCTGGCGCCTTTTGAAGCAGAGGAACCCATAGTGGGGTATCAGCGTGAGCGTGGGGCGAGAGAGTTGTTGAGATGCATGGCGTCGGTAGGTCAGATAAGATAATAGTTGAGAAGCTTGGGCCACGCTTGAAGATTATATCACGTGCAACATTTCTGCTATCCTATAGTGGATGGCACGTTACAGATATATCTAGTACTTTAATTTGTTTTTAGGTTATCCACTGACAGTATAGCCATCACCCGCTCACAGCTCCCCATCTGCGCGGTAGTGTCCTGCGACCAAGAAAGCCAGCTCCAGCGCTTGCTTCTCGTTCAGCCTAGGGTCACAGTACGTCGTGTAGTTCAAGCTCAGATCCTCATCCACAAGGCCTTCGCTACCACCAGTGCACTCAGTAACGGCGTCGCCGGTAAGCTCAAGGTGCATGCCACCTAGGAAAGAGCCGTGCTCTTTGTGGATCTTGAGCGCCGAAGACAGCTCTGAGAAGATGCTGTTGAACGACCGAGTCTTGATGCCACTCGGCGTGCTACGGGTGTTGCTGTGTACAGTTAGTTGTACGCCATCAAATACTGGTAGAATGAAGCCCTTACCCATGCATTGGGTCGCACTGCCAGACCACGACATGCCCACTGCTCTTGACTGCTTCAATATGTGGGCCAAGCATCGCCTCCACCTTCTCCGCGCCATATCGTGTGATGAGAGTGATCTTTCCGATCTCCTTGTTTGGGTTGACAATGTCCAACAGTTCCACCAGCTCCTCGTTCTTCATCGACGGGCCAACCTTGATGCCAATGGGATTTTCGATACCCCGGAAGTACTCCACATGGCCGCCATCGATCTGACGCGTCCGGTCTCCGATCCAGATGAAATGGGCTGAAGTATTGTACCAGCCCTTCCCATCAGACGACGCCTGGGAAGGCTTATAGCCAGCAGGGTTCTTGAGCCGCCTCGTCAGACTCTGTTCGTACTCCAAAACCAGGCCTTCGTGGCTGGTGAATAGATCTACCGTCTGTAGCTGTCCTGACGTATCCGCACCGATGGTCCTCATGAAGCGAAGAGAATCCGAGATGCTGTGGACGATATTCTGGTACTTTGACTGTAGCTCTTGGTCTTGCACATGGCCGAGCTCCCAGTCCAGGGGGTTGTGCAGATCGGCAATACCACTGGCCAGCTGTCCGCGGATGTAGTTCAACGTCGTGGCGGAATGGAAGTAGGCGCTGACGAGCCTCTCTGGGTCCACCCTCCTGTGCTCAGGGTCGTATCCGTTGAGAATATCGCCCCTGAAGCTAGGTACCTCTTTGCCATTTAGCATTTCAGTCGGACTTGATCTCGGTTTCGCATATTGTCCGGCGATTCGGCCAATGCGAATAACTGGCTTATTAGAGCCCCAAATCAAGACCAAGCTCATTTGTAGAAGAAGCTTGATTTTGGCATCGATGGGGTTGTCCGCACAGTAGGAGAATAGCTCGGCGCAATCGCCACCTTGAAGGAGGAATGAGTTGCCTAGCGCAGCATCGCGAAGACTTGACTTGAGTCTGACAATCTCTGTTGGTGTGACGATTGGGGGTAGGCTTTGGAGCTTTGTCAAGGCGGCGGATACAGCTGCTTGGTCCTCATATGTGACGATTTGTTTGATGGGCTTTGATTGCCACGCTGCTTCTGTCAGGAAACGCTTCCCAACGTTGAGGTCTACTTACACGCAGGTGACCATCCTTCATGCTGGCCGTTCGTTGTGTCCATTTTGCCCGTCACTGATTCAATGTAATGTTGCGATGTCCCGTCCACGCGTATGGGGTAAGATAATTCTTGAACTTTACGTGCCCTTCGTTGTCCAGTATTCTGATGCAGTGCTAGGGGCAGAAAAGAATGAGAGAGAGGCAACGTCTACTAAGAGACTGGCCTGACCACGTTAATATGGAAGCTCGGCACGGGGCTTTGCTGCAAAGCGACGTGAATAAAGAAAAGCGCACATGACGCAAGGAATTATTATTCTACAACACACCGAATGATCATGGGTGTACCGTAAAAAGGAGAGAAAAAACGCAGGAGCAACGAGATGCACTTACAAGTAAAGTAGCTAGTGTACCGTAGTGTCGCCTTACCCCAAGTCCGGTCGATTGAATCCAGCTACTCGAAATGCACTTTGCACGTCAAAGAGGGGAGAATAAAACCCGAAAACGCGGTGCGTAAAACAAACCATTTCCGCGAATCACGGCCAATCTCTCCTCCTACCGAGGCTGATCAGCCGATGAACCATTTCAGCCGATGAACCACTTTTTACTAGTAAAAAAGCAAAAAATTAAATTTTTCTTTATTTAATAACTTAATAAATAATATATATATAAAAAAACTTTGTATATAAAAAATATATAAAAAAGTATTTTTTATAATTCTATAATTTTAGTTTAGTTTAATACTTTATATTAATAAAGTTATATTAAAAGTAAAAATAGAAAAAAGCTACTTTTAATACTTAATAACTTTATTAATATTATATATTAAACTATTTTAAAATTCTAAATTTATAAAAATAAGTTTTTTCTATATTTTATATATATAAAGTTTTTTTATATATATATTA